CAAGAATTGGATCTGCTAAAAATTCCAATTCATCGTTTCTCTGTCGATATTTGTCAAGGTAGGACGACTCTAACTAGCCTCATCCCCTGCGTTTTGTCCACGGAAACGCTTGTATTTGCTTGAAACCTCTGATGCTGTGACTTCCTTAGGTTTTGCGGTATTTACCGGTGTCTTACGGTCCTTAACAACAATGGTTTTAACCTTTTTGTTAGGAGCCGCTGCCGTCTCAATTGTATTACTACGAGGACATTGTCTCATCATATGACCTTTCTCGTTACAATTAAAACACTTCAGGTAGTTTTTTCAAGTCAGGACAGTCTGCACGGCAATGATCAGAAGCTTGACATAGTCTACAGAAGTCTGGCATATTTTTCCATTGAAGTAATACCTGGCGAATCTCTCCATCATCATCCATCCAAGGAATGACTCGTTGAAATGATTCAAAAGGAAGGTCATTGGTGTTGGCTGGAGTAAGGTTCAATGTCGCATAGCCTTGATCAGTAAAACAGTCATGGCTCCTATTAATCCCAAGGTCCAATACTCAACCATATTCGGACAAACAGTTTTCCATATCCTTCCTCAATCGTTGAGGGGCCTTTAGGGGAAGTCTATCCAATTTGAGGCGAACAATCTTTGCGTCGGCAGGTAAACTAGGGAAGCCTTTAACGAAGGTTCCATCCTCCAAACAGATGCCCGTGTTCAAAATGGCCTTATATCAGGGTGAATCTTTTGTCCATGCAGTTTCAATAAATGAACGATTAAGATACCTACGGGTAGAAGGGAGTCTACCGCAGTAGTCGTCGCAGCCGATTTCTTCATCAGCGTCTTTATTGAAGGCTTGAAGTGCCTTTCGCAACATATGAGCATCTTTGCTGTCAGTAATGTCGATGATAATAGAGTTTTTTTCAATGCCTTTCAAGTACGGTTTGATGAATTCGACTGTTGGTTCCGTGGACGATGAAGGGTCTTCATCTGTATCCTCGACTGTTGCAGTTGGAACTGGGGTTAGGATGGTAGGCCGGAAGGAGTGAGTGGTACGTACTTGTCCAGAGACGACTTTCGACCAAGATAAGGGATGAGTTTCTGTTGCTGTCTTCTTGCCTGTATTAGAGGCAAAAGTTGCTAAGGTATGGGTCTGATTATTACGCGAAAGAACCATGATGTCATGTGGGTTGGCTTGTTAGGCGAAAAAACCATGAAGAACTTGATTTTTGATGTCGCGACAAAAAGAATTGGATCCGTTTTCATTCTCAATCTCTTAAGGCAGTCATTCTGTATGTGTATGTTGCTATTTATGGGGCTCTTTAGATGTCAAATCGATAGTATCTATTCAATTTTTAGGGCGAAAGCATCAAATTTTTATATAAATAACGGTATTTTGAGTTTTTTGTTTTTGTGTAATAGCTCATGAAGAGATGACCTACCTATGTCGGTGAGCTTAGTTTTGGATCTTGTCTAATTTATGAACCAGCTATGTTAATAGTATTACAAGCTAATAGATGTTGTTTGGAAAATATTTCACTCAATGTAAGAAAAGATAAAAATCTTATACCTATAACACTTTTACAACATTGTGCGTGTTTATAGGCATATAATGAAAAACAAAAGAGAGATTTAGATAGTTTTTTTATATGTATTTAGTCAAGTAAGCAGACGTTACTTCCCGTTTGAAGCTACTTGTTTCCCTCTTTGTGTTTAACCATTAACAGTTTGTCTAGAAAAACAACTCTTCCTTTTTTAAAAGTGATCCGACCGCGACTACATTTGAAATACAGTTTGTCCATTTGCTTTACGCGCTTTTCCTGTGTCTATCACTAGTCCTTTACATAAAAGATAACAAATGCTTGATGTGTATATTTATTTCATTACTATATGCTTTTCTCTATGTCAGAAAAATTTTCTTTCGTCTAGCTCCACTTCTTATTTACATGATTTTTCTCTTTTCCTTCTTTTTAGTTCTAAATACGATCATAAAAGATAAGAAAGCACTTAAGTTTTATTTTATATGTCTAAAAGAAGCGGGATAACAAATATAAAATGTTCTGCTACTACAGATATCTTCCTGTTATTCTTTTACACAGATATCGATAGTTGTATAACTTTATAAATAATACTATTGGAAAATCAACACACATTAGCCTTGCATTGAAATAATAATAAAAAATGTAATTTCCATTTCCTTTGATTTATAGAATAACAAATGGTTCAGAGTTATTCATTGCAATACATAATAAAACCAAGTAATATTTTCATTTTCTTAGTTGTTTTTACTTGAAAAATTTTTCACAAACATAATTGAATTATAAAAAAAAATATTGTAAAAACAATCAAGAAAATAACAAAATAATCATAAATCAGGAAATTCAAGAAATCAGAAAAATAGCAAAAAGTAGCAAGCAGTTACAAGGGTATTATATGAACATAGATGAGCATGGATGAGCAGAATAATAGAAAATTTAAATACATTTTCATTTTTCTAAATTTTATCATTTTTTTCTGAATTCAATCTGGCTCTTTTAAAATTAAAGATACTACAGCCTAAGAGATGGAAGAAATTCTTCATTGAATGCAGAAATCTCCCATTAAAAGTAGAAGAATTTCTTACTCATTGAAAGAAACTTTTGGCCAAATCTTCACTCAAATATGGAAGATTTCTTCCATCGATGAAAAACAAAACACAATCAGTTACGCTGTATTTTTTTAACTAGAAATTCTTTTTTGCTGGCACAAATAGCATCCTTGCGCATTAGTATTAATTTTGTCAAATTCATACTTGAAGTTTGTTAATTTATTAACTCTATAGAAAAGGTCCTTTTGAAGACATGGCGCAATGTGGCTTTTGACTACTCGAACTCGATCGATTCATTAGAATGGCTATACTAAGCTGAAAATAGCTTAAGAGAACAAGGGCAAAAGAGGAAATAGAAATGATAGTGCTGATCTAATGGTATGCCTGGGCATGGGTTTGTAAACAGAAAAGAAATGGAAACCTTCGGTTGGATGTCGGAAGGAGTATATTGTTTGTGATGACATGATACATAGAGGTGATTAGGGGTAGAAGCGAATGTATAGAAGCTCATTCAGCGCTCCAATAAAGTAAAAAGCGGATAGCCTTGAGTGTGTTTGTGAGGAAACAATTAACAAACCTTTGAAAGACAAAAAGCTTGGCCAAGGGCACTTTTGCATTCTCTAAAGCCATCTTGAACAATGCCTAAGGACGGCGCTTGGCTTTGGAAAAGTTCCTTGATACATGTTTTGAGTCTCTTTTTGGGAGAAGTCGTCAGACTAATTAAGTAGCAATTGACTGAATCAGTTGGGCTGCCTTTCTTATGAATTGAGACTACTTGTGCGACTCGTCAACAGTGAGACGTGTATGGCCAACACCAACAAAAAACAAAAATATGGAAAATTAGGAGACCACTTAGATCTGTGATATGTATTTAAAAAGTAGAGCTAAAGGCATGAAAAATTACAGTAATAGCCGTAGGTGTCAGGAACTTCTCATAAATGTAATGGATTTACAGAAAACATATATATATATATTTAAACTTCGAAAACATTTATGCCGACATGGCAAGTATGCCATTTGTGTACTCAAAAAAAAAATTTTTGAAAAATAATAAAAATCACTTTTTGAAATGCATCAAAAGTATTTTCTGTAATTATAAAAAATATAAAAAAATAAAAATTTCTAATTTTCTGTTTCAAATTAATAAAAAAAAAGACAATTCTTCAATTTTTTAGTTTTAAATAAATAAACGAGTCTGCCAGACAGGAATTCGTCTTCTGAACTAAAACAGTAAAATCATCGTCTGGCAGACTCGTTTATTTATTTAAAACTAAAAAATTGAAGAATTGTCTTTTTTTTTATTAATTTGAAACAGAAAATTAGAAATTTTTATTTTTTTATATTTTTTATAATTACAGAAAATACTTTTGATGCATTTCAAAAAGTGATTTTTATTATTTTTCAAAAATTTTTTTTTTGAGTACACAAATGGCATACTTGCCATGTCGGCATAAATGTTTTCGAAGTTTAAATATATATATATATGTTTTCTGTAAATCCATTACATTTATGAGAAGTTCCTGACACCTACGGCTATTACTGTAATTTTTCATGCCTTTAGCTCTACTTTTTAAATACATATCACAGATCTAAGTGGTCTCCTAATTTTCCATATTTTTGTTTTTTGTTGGTGTTGGCCATACACGTCTCACTGTTGACGAGTCGCACAAGTAGTCTCAATTCATAAGAAAGGCAGCCCAACTGATTCAGTCAATTGCTACTTAATTAGTCTGACGACTTCTCCCAAAAAGAGACTCAAAACATGTATCAAGGAACTTTTCCAAAGCCAAGCGCCGTCCTTAGGCATTGTTCAAGATGGCTTTAGAGAATGCAAAAGTGCCCTTGGCCAAGCTTTTTGTCTTTCAAAGGTTTGTTAATTGTTTCCTCACAAACACACTCAAGGCTATCCGCTTTTTACTTTATTGGAGCGCTGAATGAGCTTCTATACATTCGCTTCTACCCCTAATCACCTCTATGTATCATGTCATCACAAACAATATACTCCTTCCGACATCCAACCGAAGGTTTCCATTTCTTTTCTGTTTACAAACCCATGCCCAGGCATACCATTAGATCAGCACTATCATTTCTATTTCCTCTTTTGCCCTTGTTCTCTTAAGCTATTTTCAGCTTAGTATAGCCATTCTAATGAATCGATCGAGTTCGAGTAGTCAAAAGCCACATTGCGCCATGTCTTCAAAAGGACCTTTTCTATAGAGTTAATAAATTAACAAACTTCAAGTATGAATTTGACAAAATTAATACTAATGCGCAAGGATGCTATTTGTGCCAGCAAAAAAAAAAAAGAAAAAACTCTCTCTCATCACAGCATAATTGATTGCATTTTTCTTCCATATTTGAATGAAGATTTGACCAAGATTTTCCTTCAATGAGTGAAGAATTCTTCCACTCTTGATAGAAATTTTCTGTATCCAATGAAAAATTTCTTCCATCGCTTACATTGTAGCGTCTTTAATTTTAAAAATCCAAAATACACACTTTTTTTTTCTATTATTCTGCTCATCTATGTTCATCTATGTTTGTCCTTGTAATTGCTTGCTGATTTTCTTGATTTTCTTGATTTTCCTGGTTTTCCTAATTATCTTGATCTTTTGAATTTTCTTATCGTAAATTATGCCCCAGCTCCTCCCCTCCTATACCACATGATCCTTGCCTGTCACCCAATTGGAAACGCTTTTGTTCTCTGAAAAGCCTTCTACCTACTCTTAATATCCTTTACTGGATGCACCACAACAAAGTCAACAGTTGTTTTCATCTACATCGTCTTATGCCCCATACAGTTCCTAATAACTTTTGTATCCACTGTCCTTTAAATCTCATTACTTCCATTGATACCCTCAACCATTTCTATTTCCTTTGCCTCACCAAATATGTCGTCTGGTCTTGCGTTTTTTCCAACTACATCAATCCCAATATTAGTGCTCCTTCGATCCACCTCCTACGTCAAGTCCTCCTCCAGGTTATTATTCCTCGCGTCGCCCTCCTCCATTTCCCTTCCCCAAGCGCCTTTCAGATCTTTGCATGCACAGCCCTCACTATTTGGCAAGCTCACTGGCACTCTGTTTTTTTCTGAGGCCTCATCCCTCTCACAAGCTATAGAAAAATGCGGTCTTTCATTCAGCAAATAAGCTTCACAATGAGTCCCGCTTTGATTATGAACTGTAGCTTCTCTTCTCTGCTTTCGCTTTCCGATACTTCCTTCTTTATCCATGATGTCCACTCCATTTCAAGTATCGATCAAGCTCTCTCAAATTCTTAGTATTTTTCTCCATTTCCTATACCACATATTTATCTTCTTTCACTTAGTCTAGTTCTTATAATATCACAGTCTTCTCTTCCCCTCATTTGACGTTTGAAAGTCTTTAAATAAAATTGGAACAAGTCTTCCTTGGAGAAAAAATGGTCAAATTCTACAAGTCGCTTTCTTTTTTGGTCCAAATCAACTTCAAAGGTTCCCTGGATATTAATAGACATGTTTTGTATGTATTAGGAGTAATTTATACGTGCATAAAAAAAATCTACAAGGCCTTCATACGCCTAAGAAAAAGACAAGGATTTGCATGAATCGGGCTCTTTTTCATTGTCAAAGCATCCATTTGCTTGGTACCTCTGTTATATGAGCAAGTAATGGACTATCAAACTGTTTATTCAAATAAATTATCTTATTAGAGCACACTTGCTCCATTAAGCTGGTAAATCTGGTGACTTTTTCAAACTGAAGTTTATTCGAGTTAAACTAGCTATTGTGACAATAAACTACTTGATAATTACTCAGTCGAAATTTATACCTAGATCGCTTTCGATGAAGTACGTATGACTTTCATGAAAAGAGTGCGTGTTGATTAACAAAGATAACTTCATATATTCCAAAAAGTGGCCAGTTGTGCGTAGATGTGTTGATTTAGAAAAGGTGCGGCTTTAAGCATTTTACCAAAAAAAAAAAAAAAAAAAAAAAAAAAGAAAAAGAAGCATATTTTTTTTTGAATCAAGACTTCCAGAAACTATTGTATTTGACATTGTTTTGTATTACAATTCGTCTTGTCAATCTACAATCTTATATCTTTCTCAGTTTTTATTACTATGAAAAGAACCAGTGGGTATCAAACAATCAAATTTAGTCCTTTCTCAAGTATCCAGAGTGTAGTTTGTTGTTTCCAATCACCTGGATAAAGCTGTCAATATAAAATGATATTCTGATTTGCATTACCTAATTTATCCATTGCACTTGCTGGCCCAATCAACATGTCTGAACTTGCAATTTCAGGATGAGCTTGGATATATTGTCTCTTAGCTCTATCTGCTGCTTTTTGTACTGCTTCATTTTCGGGTTCTGTCTTGTACAAATCGCATTTGTTACATGCGTTACATTTAGAACCTGGTATAGCTCTAAAATGACTACAGAAATGATCATAGGACTCTAAAACACTAAGCCGATTTATCTTACACCTTGAAATTTACCTTTGCCAATATCTTTTCTACAAACATAACACATCTTGTAGCCACAAGGACAAGCAATCTTATTACAGCCATCTGATTTCTGAAAAGAAAGAAAACAATTGGGACACTAAATACAAAAGCTTAAGACATTGTAAAATCAAACATGTCTACATTACTGTTCTCTTGACAGCATCTGCCATGGCTTTTTCCACATAGAGTCTTAGCCCGTCTGATTCCTTTTCCCAACATGTATGAGCACCACGTACAGGTCGACGACAAGTCAAACAAGTCAGTGTTTTGCAAGTTGGATTTTTACACTGAAATAGACTTCCTCTTCGTGATTTTGTAACACGACCATACGCTATCTCTAAGTCTTGTTGTATGTCCCACTGATAAAAAAAGTAAATAAGTATGTCGAATAAAAGCAGCCTATAAGCATGAAAAGCAATGCTCATTAGCAAGATGAATACCATCATCCACCGTGCCATTGTTTTCAGCACACGATTAGTATACACCCATTCCAATGGTTTGGTAGACTCGTCCAGCTCAAAGTAAGGGCATGCACAACAGAGTACTTGTTGTTCTGCTCTCACACCTTCTTCTAGTAAAGAGCTTTCATATGCTTTCCAGATATCATCTGATAATAAGTGCCTTAGTGTGTTCTGTCCAAAATAACCTGTGCATTCATCCATAGAAATACAATGAATACGAGGCTGAGATCGTAGTGTGCCTTGTCCAAACAATCCTTCTGACATGTAGTGTGTTACACACCTATGACAAAATGCGTGCTGTCCTTCACTGCAAAACACAAGCTGTTCAAAGGATTCATCAGAGTAACAACAATCACAAGTAATGAGTTGCTGTTGATCTGTATATTCTGTCAAATTCAATTGTACTGCCAATTGTCGGTCTTTTTCAACTTGTTTTCTGACTGCATGTTGCTGTAACTGATTCAATTGATCCAATAAATCGGGATCTGTTACTGTCAGTTTGGTATGATGTGAAGGTGTGGAAGACCAGTAAAAGAAAAAATTCCGAATCGTATTCCAAAATCCATTTGAACCCATTTCTTTTAAATGGTCATAACATTTGATATAATCCCAATTATTCTCTGCTAATACTGCACGAACAGAAGATTTCCAGATCTAATCATTAGTATAATAGTACTTTAGAAAGCAATATTTTACTTGCGGATAATCTTGTATCAATTGAAGTTGTGCTTGTGATTTATATTTTTCGCTACGGATCCCCTCGGATGGGTCCATTTTGCCGTATTCTAGCCTCTCGGGATATTTACCAGTTGATAGAATGGCATCTACCACTTGTTCAATATGAGCATAAGAGTACTGTAGAACACGCTCCCTTAGATAACTAACATCACAGTCAGGGAACAAATCAAGTGCTAATATGCTAAGACATGCATTCAGTCGATTATCTCCTTTTTTCTGAACTGGAAGTTGAGGGTAATATCCTCCTCTATCAAGAATTTTCTCTGTTATTCTCTCTACAGGGTCTTGTTTATAATACTGAAGACAAGCATAAAAGTATTCAGGATCTAACAGACAAGAAACGTTTGAGTTTGTTTGTATTCAGTGTGTGCAGAGTATAAACCTCCTTTAGGAAAAAGAGCCAATAATTGTTGAACGTGCTCCTTGTCCAGTGTTCTTTTGTGTTTCGACATAAGAAAAGGGAAAAAAGAAAAGGCGAGAAAAATCCATATGTCCATAAAGAGTCATTCTCTCGAACAATATAATATGATTGGTGGAGCGGACAATGGTGTATGACGTTTATGCTACCCATCAAATCATCTATAAAAAGACCCTTTAAAACCTTTTTTTTTCTTTATTCAATAATGTCACCTAATATTGTACTTGCTACTTCTACTGCTCCTATACACTTACAAGAAAAGGCTGAACAAGCATTTCATTGGGAGCAAGTATGCTACTATGTCTGTAAGTATTCTTCCTTGACATGTATCAATGGCTCACATAAATTCATATAGCCACTAACCAAATTAAACAGATTCATCGCAATAAACAAGTCCAGGCTGTTTATGACAAATGGATCAAGGATACTCTAGCAAAATATGGTTCTATTGAAAACTATTTACTATCGGCTAAACTCAGGTTTGAACCTATTCAAGATGAAACACGGCCTCCTGTAATCATTCTCCCTAATGACTTTCCATATGCTGTAGAAGAAGGTATTAGTCATATCTTATTATGGTCACAAGTTCCTTTGAAACAGCCTTATGTTGAGGAGATTCTGGAAAAAAACTATGGCAGTAAATACTACGAATGGGTGTATTTTGTCAATCCCCCCGATATTCAGAGTGTGCGCAAACTTCCTCATGTCCATGTCTTTATGCGTCAGAAATAGAAATTAAAGTTTAGAAAAGACCCTATCTCAAAAGACCCTGATCTCTTTTGAATCTCCGAGTAAAATTCGTTCAATATTAAAATTCTAGCAATAAAAAACTTTCTAGTCCTAAATTAATATAAGCCTATAAACTTTTTTTGATTTTGTATTGTCTTGATCTATCATGTCAAGAAAGCTCCAATAATTGAAGCTCTGAAGAACCATTTCTAAATGCACTGAGTTAGAAGTCAAGTTTGTTTTTAAAGACGTTGAAGAATTCACTAATATGGCTTCTTATGATAAACAGAAAGCGACATAAAGAAATTATCAAAAGCAAAGAGAAAATTGTGAAGCAAAAGGAAGTCTAGTTATTTAGAAACTCAGTGTATTTCTTAGTGAAGAAGAGAAGGGCAGCTAAATCTCGAGACATTTACTCTGCCTGAGAAATCGGTATCGCTGGTCTCTCTCAAGTAATTTTTGATGAAACTTTGCGAGCTTTCAATCCTCAAAAAAGCAGTCAATTCAACACTGTTTTCAACCTGAACTCATCCTTGCTTACAACAAGAGATTAATTCAAATAGAAGCAAAGCATCTCTCGTGAAGTAAGACAGACAAAAGAGAGCATTTCTGTGCATTAATTAAATTCATGTAGCAGATTTAGCTACTTACAAGTTCATTGTTAGAAGCTAATAAATTGGTTTAAAAATGTGTTATGAACTTTATTTTAGAGATTCTATACTCTATATCTAACAATACAAAAGAAAAAAGGAAAAAAAAGTATACTCTGTATTGACTACATTAATTTACGAAGCTTTCGAAAGATACCATGATTGGGACATTTTACAGGCTTGAAACTGATATCGAGTACACCAACTGCAAGTCTGCCTTTACCAGAGAGTTTTCTAAAGGCACCAGGTGTAAGATCAATGTGTTTGTTGACCTTACAAGCAGCGCATTTGTCAATGATCTGAACAATGATTTTTTTGCTTCTATCACGAGTATTTGTAACTTGCATACACTTATGGCATTGTTCGAAACCATGCATTGCCTTAATAAATGGTTTGTAAGTTGTCATTCAACTGCATAAGTCTACTTACCATTGCACCCACCATGTCATTGACATGAGCATCAATATTGGGCAATCCATTTCTACTAAAGCAAGCAGCCTTTTTCAAATCCTTGCCTGTATACCATGTACCACGATCCGCACGCTTATTAAGCTCATTACTGTCAACCTGCATAATACGTGCCACACCTCGCTTTTCATCACTTTTTACTGCTTGAATTAATGTAAACACCATTGTCAAAAAGTAAACCAAAAGAATTGAGCGCATATTGAATAAAATGTAATTATAAGTTTCAAGACAAAAAAAAAAGGAAACAAGACACTTTTTATATGCTTTGTGTTTATTGTTTTTTAAGGAGATCAAATTCTATTGTTCATTTAAAGAAGAGCAAGGATATGTGTGTATAGGAGTCCAGCAAAAAAGAAAAAAGAAGATGAAAAAGTACTATGAAACATATTAATAGTCCAACTTGTTTATTTATAACAACCAACGTGGTATAAATTAAGAATGCACTTTAGAGAAAAATATGAGATAAAATTTAATCGTCAAATCCCTTTGTGTTTAATGGTATTTGCCACACTAGAATGAACACTCCCCCTTCTCATATTTAACACTGCAAACTTTATTGTCATGCTTTTGACTAGCTTTTCCCCTTGCCAATTATGCAAACTATTTATTAATCTCCTCAAAAAGAAAGAGAGAGAGAGAGAAAAAAAAAGAGAACAGGGTGAAAAAATAAATAAAAAAGGCTGGAACCTTTTTGTTGTAAACAATCTAGGCTTTTAGCAAGTTATTTTGTTAGAAATGTTTTCTCATAGAATTCATTATATAGCAGTAATTAGAACTCTAATTTACGCACGATAGAGATATGCAACATAATAAAATGCTTTACTCCTTGAGAATAAAACCGCATGCGTGGTCATGAACGACATGTTTAAAAGATATCCAAAGAGGGTTTTACTTGGGACAAAAAATATTAAAATGTTTTATTTTACTAATTTTTTCAATATGTATAAGAGAATGGAATGATTTTTATATCTATAATACTACAAGAAAGTCTAATGTTGATGTGTTTATAATTCTTCATCGGTAGTGTAGACTTCTTCACCACGCTTACGACGTTCCATACGCTCCTTCTTCTTCTTACGGAGTTCCTTAGAAGTCAACTTCTTCTTCTTTTCAACGGCCTTGATGGTGTTACCTTGGGCATCAACCATATCTTCTTGTTCTTGTTCCTTGATAGCGGTAGAACCGTTACCAGAGACCCAGTTGTGACCAGAAGGAGTTAAACGACCGGCATCAACCATCCAGACTTCGTTACAGAGAGCTTCAGTGAATTCACGGTTGTGAGTAACAATAACGACACCACCACCGAATTCCTTGATAGCCATAGCCAAGGCACCGAGAGATTCACGATCCAAATAGTTAGTAGGTTCGTCAAGAACCAACATGTGAGGCTTGTTCCACATGGCAGCACCAATGACAAGCTTGACCTTTTGACCACCAGAAAGACCACGGATACGGGAGTGAGTGGCAAATTCGGGTTCAAGACCAACTTCAGCCAAGTGCTTTTCGATTTCCTTAGCAGTCAAGGGACGGTTAAGACCCATCTTGGCAGCTTCAGCAGAGTCGACTTCGGCAATCTTCTTACCGAAACCCATATCTTCAAGCTTTTGACGAGAGATCCAGGTGTTGTCAACAGAAGAACGACCGACCCAAGAAACTTCGTATTCGTAAGATTGCTTGAGCTTACGACGACCAACGAGTTCTTCAACAACACGCTTCTCACCATCAATGATGAAAACTTGTTCCATAACCTTCTTGTTGGATTCGGCGTTCATACGGTCGTTCTTATCAAGTTCTTCACGATCTTCACCAGTAGCGTAACGCCATTGGATGTATTCGTTAGGGGTAGAGTCCAAGTGCTTTTCAATGTGGTGGAAAGCGTGTTGGGCAACGTAAGCAATACGCAAGTTAGGGTGCTTCCAGACGGTACCGACTTCGGATTCGATTTCACCAGTCAACAACTTGATCAAGGTGGACTTACCGGCACCGTTGGGACCAATGACAGCAACACGAGAAGCAAGAGAACATTGCATGGAGATGTCAATGAGTTGCTTACGGTCAGAACCAGGGTATTGGAAGTCAACGTTCTTCATCTTAAGAATAGCACGTTCCTTAGTCTTGATACCTTCGAGGAACCCGGGTTCAGGGAACTTGAAGGAGATTTGAGAAGCTTCAAGAGAGTAGTAAGAAGCAGCACGAGGAACCTTCTTAACAAATTCGGACAAGTTACCACCGTAACGCTTGAGCTTGTAGTTGGGTTCGTAGTGAATGATATCGGAACAGACGTGATCCAAGAAACCAGAGTCGTGAGAGACAATGATGGAGGTAACAGTCTTAAGACCCAAGAGGTAGTTTTCCAACCAGGCAACGTTAACAACATCCAAGTGGTTAGTAGGTTCGTCAAGCAAGAGAATATCGGCGTTCATCAACATAGCACGAGCAAGAGCAAGCTTCATCTTCCAACCACCAGAAAGTTCACCAATAGCCATCTTGGTAACCATGGCTTCAGAGAAACCGTATTCCAAAAGGATCTTACGGACTTGTTCAGGGTCCTTGGTTTCAACACCTTCGGAAGCAAGGATGAAATCAACAAGGGGAGTATCGGCTTCAGAACCATCGATATCGTGTTCGACGTAGACAGTCTTAAGTTCAGAACGAGGGGGGAAACCTTCGACTTGCTCATTGGCGATGGCACGCATAAGGGTGGACTTACCACAACCGTTGGCACCACAGAGACCGTAACGACGACCACGCTTAAGACGAAGAGCAGTTCTGTTCAACAAGATCTTGGCACCATAAGCAAGAGAGAACTCACAGTTACAGAGATCTTCACCTTCATCATCTTCTTCTTCGGGATCCTTGGGAGTAACAGCTTCCTCACACTTGTTCAAAGCAGAGAAGGCCAAGTTGTTGGCATCTTCAGCAGAGATGAAAGTCTTGGCATAGGGAGCAAGAGATTGGGTCCAGACGTCCTTGAAAAAGTTCTTAGAAACACAGAGAGTGAGGGCAACATCGTTCATGAATTGAACAGTGGTGTTGAAGAATTCATCCATGTTTTCGGGCAAGAGTTCCTTGATGGAGGATTCAACCTTAGCCTTCTTTTGTTCCTTGGTGAAGACTTCAGTACCGGGGTTCTTGAGACGTTGAAGGGTAGCAAGAGCCTTTTGGACGACACCACGACATTCGGGGTCAGCAACAATATCTTGAACGTGTTCAAGAGCGGGCAAGAGAACGGGCAAGAAAGGAGCAGCAACATCGGGATCATCGACAAGCTTGGACATATTGTCAATAATCAAGGCAGACTTACGCTTGATGGGAGTAGCACGTTCGTTCAAACCACGGTTCAAAAGAGGAACCATGATGGAGAGAGTGGCAGAGTCAACTTCTTGGACGAAAGTAGTGGCACCGAGCAAGTGAATGGTTTCGGGGACGTTTTCGGGGTGGTTGATACATTGAATAACAGCAGGAATGAAACGTTCGATATCCTTGTTGTTAACAAGAGAACAGATAACACCCATAGATTCAGTAGCCTTCTTCTTAACATCAGCCTTAGTATCCCACATACAGTCAGAGACGACGGGAACAACGTCAGGAATAGCAACGATAAAGTCAGTCTTGTAGGTCTTAGCGAGGAGTTCCAAAAGCTAAAGAATTTTTTTAGCATCAGCCACTGATAAGAATCTTTTTTAAAATATTTACCTCAAGAGAGAGCATCTTGGTTTGCCACTTGCAGGAGTTACCGAGACCTTCAAGGATGAAAGGAACCAACAAGGGGTTAGCAGTAGGGTTGATCTTCTCAACGATGTTCTTGGCAGCCTTTTCAGCGGCTTCCTTGATAGCGGTTTGCTTATCAGCTTGGAGTTCCAAGAGGTTAGCAACGAAGGGGATAACGTAGGGTTCAGTTTGGTGGTTGAGGTTTTCGTTGGTAAGAGCAACGATAGCAGCAACAGCACCAGCACGAGTACCAGCGTTCTTCTTGTGGGCAATATCCTTCTTGAGTTGTTCAAGGACAGGCTTAAGAGCAAGAACACCGTTAGCCTTAACGTGGGCAGCAAGTTCAGCGGCAACAGCTTCACGATCAGCATCGGAAGCAGCAGCGAGCTTGGTAACGATTTCCTTGGCCTTCTTGTTCTCAACCTCGGAGGGGATAGTGGAGACAATAGTCATCTTCTTACTTTGGATTTCGCTCTGGTTGTTCTTAGCGGCAGCGGCAGCTGGCATATTGATTATAGAGAATGGATGAGAGCGGTAAAAGAAAAATAAAAGAGAAGGGAGTTCACAAAAAGGTAAGTTGTGAAAAAGGGAACAAAAACGTTAAAGAAGTAAAGAATTCAAACTGGTTGTATTTATTTTATGAAAATTTTTTTTTCTTACTAAAAAAATTTTTTTTTTAAAATCACTTTATAATACAATTTCTACAGGTATTGTTTCGGTCAACAACCAAGCAAATTGGAGCGGACTTCTCTTTGCATCACAAAAAACTATTTTAACAGGTCAAGTATCTTTTTATTTGTGCACCAAACACTATGTCAATGCGAAATGATAAGCCACCCGATAGAAGATAGTTCCTCTCCAATTAGATCAATTTTTCCTGCTTTGGGGTTTCTTCTTCTTTTGCGACTACGGGAAGATTGAACAAGTCTTTTTCTAGATACATATGATGAGAACAATCATAAGTAATGGCTTTGTTATTTACCTAATCCCCACACATGTGTCTTCAATTCAAGGTGTTCAATGTTGAGTGTATCCTATTTGTTTATGCATATATTTTAAGTATCATGTACATCAATGATAATAAGACATTACATAGAGTTTACGGAAATCCACCTTCAAATCAGCCAATTGTTGCTTAGTAGCGGTTGTTTCTTTTAATTTGGCAACATCTCTATCTACAGCTTCGATTCTGCGTGCATAATCTTTGACCTATTGGTTTCTACTGAATATAAAGTCCATATGTAAATGCATATATACTCTACTTTGTCTGTGGAAGCTTGAAGTTCCTTGACAGAAATCATTAAAGCTTCGGATGCATTATTGTATTCACCCAAAAGATAATAATAACCAGCAGAGCCTGCAGCTGTAACGCCTAAAAGAAACCCAATAATTCTACAGAAAGTCAACTACTTGCTTTGATAAACAGAATAAACAATACCCTCCGCGTGTGGCAGTCAGTTTAGGTGCTGTTGTAGAATAAGCACGTACTTGGGGTTGCAAACTGAGACGAGGTGTTAAACGAAAGAGTGAATTCATATCTACAAATAAAGTGAGATCTACAATCCCAACTATCCAAACACTATACCAAAACTAAAGTTGGTTGATAGAGAGAAATTAAGCCCAGGGGACATTTTAATTCACTTGTCTGTCTCTTTCACTTTTCCACCACACTCTAGAGTATTGAAACTCAGTTTCCGGCGTCATTGATCCAGTAAGAAGAAAAAAAAAAAGGAATGTCATACACACAGACAATGCATTCTTTTTGATTGAAAAAAAGAAAGAAAGAAAGAAATATATATATATAGAAAGAGAGTTATTTATTCCAGTCAATTACAATGTCTTTTGAACCAATTCTATTATTTTTTTTGCCTTGATGCTTGCTTATACATAAAGAAATCGTGACTTTGTTAAATTCAGGAGGAGAATGAGTCCAACTAAGGCTGTAGACTGATCCATTGTTTCGAAAAAAAAAATAAAATAAAATAAGATATTTCTTATTCCTCTTTATTTATTTATTTTATGAGCAGTCTGAACAAGGGACGCGCGACAGAGGTTAGATAGCTATTATGATCATAATAAAAATTAACTTGTTTAGGTGACTTCACCGCGAGACCTTGAAAAAGAGTTTATCAGTATGGCTAAACTTTTTGCTGGCAGAGAGACAGAACAAAACTGGGAAGCAAGGGATGCCTCTGTTCGTCGTTTGCGCAGTTTACTTCACCAGTTAGACAAAGTAGACGCTTGGAAAGGAGCTATGATAGCTGGACTACAGGACATTATGAGTGATATCATAAAGACTGTAAGACAATGAAAATGAGAGAATATATTCTAAGTGTATATATACAGATCCATAGTTTGAGATCGTCTGTTGCTACTGAAGGACTTTGTTTGATACAAGACATTGGAGTTACCCTAGGAGACAGCTTAAATGCATACACATTAGAAATCATCTTGACCAACTTGCTTAAATGCAGTAGTGTGACAAAAAAGATGATTGCCACCAAAGCAGCTCAAGTAACAAACTTATTCTTGAGCAACACACAATTCCATACAAAGATTGTCATGTTATTGTGCAAGACAATCAATGAGAAAAATGTGCAATTAAGGCAATACGCTGCTACGTACATAAAGACAATACTAGAGACACATGGATCAAAAGACGCTATTCGATCTGTCATTGCTGAAAAACTAGAAGTAAACCAGTCTATCGAAAGTTTTTTAAGGAAAGGATTAGCAGATGGTTCTCCTCATGTGAGGGAAGCTTCTCGGCAGACATACAGCGTTTATTATGATTATTGGCCTGATGCAGCAGAAAAGTAAGCGTTTCTTATTCATGATTTGAATGATTGACATGATTTATATAGGCTCTTGAGATCCTTAGATAGTTCTGTACAGCGCCTATTAGAAAAGAATTCACCTAAAAGCTCACCCAAGCCCACCAGTAGACCACGCATGCTTAGTAGTAGATCGAATTCTATGTCATCTGTTTCTTCAAAGACATCTACATCAACAGCAGCCACCAGTCCCTCTTTATTTAAACGACCCAATTTGACAAGATCATCATCATCTCATACCATTCCTAAGCCTAATACTATACCAGCCACTTCCTTAGAAGTAAAAAGAAATCAACAAATAAGTCGTCTATCGCACATTTCTAATGTTTCTGCACCTTCTACTACAATTCAACATAAGCTAAGCAAAATAGCATCCACAACAACTGCCTCAAGACGAACACAGTCTGAGTTCCATCAACAATCTATATTGGCTTCAGCGTCTTTGTTACACATGTTGAAAAGCAATGATCTACAAATGCAATGTAAAGGCATTCGTACGCTCTCGGAAAGACTAAGAAACACATCCTATCACCCTTCCCCTACATCTATTATCTTGCCACCCAACGTGCCTTCCAAAATTGAAGTTTTACCCATCTTGATGGATTGGATTTCTCGTCATGATCTAGACTTGAGACTCTATCAATTACTGATGAGTTGGGAGTCACTTGCTGGTATTTTTGTCTATATCATGTCTTTTAATTATTATTGCCCTACTCTCATCATTGCAGATCAGGAATGCAGACACAAGGCACAAAAAGAAGCAGATATTATGAAGGTTTACAGCAAAGGTCTGACGAGAATCAAAATGTTTTTGAAGCGAAATGATCCTGAACTACCACAACGACTGTTGGATATTGCCAAAAGCGTGACGGAAGCTAATTCAGTGAATGATATCCAATTGCTCGATGCCAGTGTGAAGCGCGACTTAGTTTTGTATCCTCAGTATAAAGAAAGTTTACTGTATGGCTTGTTTAGCTGGATGGATCAACTTGTGTGTGATTATGTTGGATTGCCAGAAGACGAAGACTCCGAAGTACTGATGGAAGGCTCACAATGGCTAAATGTGTCTGAAAAAGAATCATCTGCTGGTCAATGGTTTGAAGACAAGACAAATATCCACTCTTTTGTTCAGTTTGTCATCAAATCACTCTTACAAACACCAAGTTATGATATACTTTCTTGTATGGCAAGCCATTTGAAAATGGCCAATGAACGTGTGTTTGAAAGTGAAATGAAACTGTTGTCGCAACAACACAGGATGGTGATTGAAAAGGCTTTAGGCATTCAACCTATGTCTCGGCTAGATGCATGGATACAACAAGAGGACTTTTCACTATTAGAAGAGCAAGGTAGTACGGGTATGACACAAGATATATCAAAGATCAAGCTTGAATTTGAACCTAGTTTTGAAGAGGTATAGCCATAGTGTTTTTTTTGGGTTTTTGGTAACTTATGTCCTATTGTAATAGCCAATTGTGGAAGAAGAAATGCTGTTTGATTTGGAACCAATAATGGATGAAAGATCATTAGATTCACCACCACCAAGAGATGAATTACCTCCCTCACCCATATTACAACCTTTATCACAGGAAAAAAAGAGACTAGCTCGCTCTGTTTCTGAATTAAGCCCTGAACGATCTCAACCAAAAAAGAGAAGGCTAAGTGAAGATATGGAACCCTTTTTAGGGATAATATCACTCATCAAACAGAATAAGGCTGATACAAGCACATTTCAACACATTCAGCAACTTGCCACTACATCTATTATTTGGCCTACATCATATCAACAGAAATCTGTATTGCATTTGTTAATAGAATCCCTGATAGACTACTTGCAGCATGATCAAGAACAATCAGAAGCTCTGCAAATACAAGCTATTCTGACTATCAAAAGCTTATTGACGCATCAATCAACATGGTTCAAGAATGAACAGTCACTTGTTTATCAGCTTACAAGAACATTTGTAGGGAAACAGACAGACAACAATAGTAACGTAAGGATATGTATTACATTCATTTTCTCTTACACAGCTTAGATTTATTCTGTATTAGATGGTGCAGTAGACAGATTGCTTGAATTAATGCCACCAGATTATGCGCTAAGCATCTTATGGGATATATCTAAAGACAAAGACTATCCATTAGGTGCTTTATTCTCCCATATCAGTAAAGTGGCTCCAAAGTCATCAACAAAAGCCCTTGAACAGTCACTGCAGAACGGTGCTGTTGATGTTTTGATTCGAGTAAGCTTTATGGACCTTAAAATAATCAAGTCTAATACCTCCTTTCTGTTAGGGCTATAATCATGCCAGTATATCTGTACGTAAATCATGTGTGTTAGCCTCTGTGGGTATTCACCATGTTCTTGGTGACTCTTATATAAAAAACCATCTCTCTGTACTAAGAGCAGAGCAATTAACGCTCTTACAGCACTATATTACAAAACAAAAAAATACCTTTCTGTAAATAAATTCAGGCACACACTGTTGTAGAAATCAACCACGTCATGCTGTGTTTAAACACTTGCGGCAATCTAACTGGTCGCAATATGCTTTAGAGACAAAGAAGGTAAAAAAGCCAAGTCCGGTTTAATTTATTTTTGTGTCCTTCTTCTAATCTATCACACTATGGCCAAGCTGGATGTCAGCAGCCAAAAGACACTTTTAAAGAGAGCTATTCTCGGTTTAATAGCCGTGGTGGCCTTTTCGTCGCGTTTATTCAGTATTGTTCGATATGAGTCTATTATTCACGAATTTGACCCTTGGTAACGTGAATAGTAACATACAGCAATCATTAATAGTATATAGGTTCAATTATCGTGCTACTCGCATGTTAGTCAAAGATGGTTTTTACGATTTCTGGAATTGGTTTGATGACCGTTCTTGGTATCCCCTTGGACGCGTTGTGGGTGGTACGGTCTATCCAGGCTTGATGGTCACTGCTGCTATTATACACAACGTGCTTCATTTCTTTCATTTCCCAGTCGATATCCGTAACATTTGTGTGCTTTTAGCTCCTTTGTTCTCTGGTTTGACTGCTTTTGCTACTTATCTCTTGACCACTGAACTCAAAGACAGTTCTGCTGGTTTGTTGGCTGCTATCTTTATGGGTATTTCTCCTGGCTATATCTCTCGTTCAGTTGCTGGCTCATATGATAATGAAGCTATCGCTATCTTCTTATTGATGTTCACCTTCTTCCTTTGGATTAAAGCACTCAAATTGGGCTCCGCTTTATGGGCATCTGCTGCTGCCTTCTTTTATTTCTACATGGTAGCTGCTTGGGGTGGTTATGTGTTTATTATCAACATCATTCCTCTTCATGTATTTACATTGATGCTTATGGGACGCTTCTCTAACCGCGTCTATGTGTCCTACTCTACCTTTTATATCTTGGGTACTTTGATGTCAATGCAAATTCCCTTTGTTGGTTTCCAACCCACACGCACCTCTGAACATATGGCTGCCTTAGGTGTCTTTGGTCTTTGTCAAATCATGGGCTTTGTCAACTTGCTCCGTAGCCACCTTCAAGCCAAACAATTCCAAATTGTTTTGAAGGCTTTTGTTGCCATCACATTTGTTTTGGGTTTCACCGCTTTGGTAGGCTTAACGTTGGGCGGTTACATTGCTCCTTGGACAGGTCGTTTCTATTCTCTTTGGGATACTGGTTATGCTAAAATCCACATTCCTATCATCGCCTCTGTTTCTGAACATCAACCTACTGCCTGGCCCATGTTCTTTTTCGACTTGCAAATGCTTATTTTTGCTTTCCCTGTAGGTATTTACTTGTGTTTCCAAAAGCTTAGAGACGAACATGTCTTTGTCATTGTCTATTCTATCTTTGCCTCTTATTTTGCTGGTGTCATGGTGCGTTTGATGCTTACATTGACACCTGTTGTCTGCATTTGTGGTGGTATTGCTATCTCTTCTTTGCTTGATACTTATCTTGATTTCACCAATGTTCGAGAAGTACAAGAAAAGCCAGAAGAAGACAAGAAAAAGAAGTCTACTAAAAAAGAAAAGAACAAGGTTTATGGTATCCTTGCTCCTGACGCTCGTATTATTGTTGTTGGTACGTTTGTCTTTTTCCTCTTTATGTTTGTCTGGCATTGCACCTGGGTCACTTCCAATGCTTACTCTTCTCCCTCTGTCGTTCTTGCGTCTCGTAACCCTGATGGATCGCAGCGTATCATTGATGATTTCAGAGAAGCTTATTACTGGTTGCGCAAGAACACAGACGAAGATGCCAAGATCATGTCTTGGTGGGATTATGGCTACCAAATTGCTGGTTTCTCTAACCGCACCACTCTTGTGGACAACAACACTTGGAACAATACTCATATTGCCACTGTGGGTCGTGCCATGTCAACCAATGAAGCTGATGCTTATGAAATCATGAAGAAGCATGATGTGAGTTATGTGCTTGTGATTTTTGGTGGACTTTTGGGCTACTCAGGTGATGATATCAACAAGTTTTTATGGATGATTCGTATTGCTCAAGGTATTTGGCCTGATAAGATCAAGGAGCCTGATTTCTTTACACCGGGCGGTGAATACCGTGTGGACGACCAAGCATCCACTGCCATGAAAGAATCTTTGATGTACAAGATGAGTTATTACCGTTTCCATGAAATGTTTGGTGGTCGTCAACCTTTTGATCGTGTACGTAACCAACCACTTCCTATGAAGGGTCCTGAATTGTCTGTCTTGAATGAAGCATTTACTTCAGAGAACTGGATTGTCAGAATTTACAAGGTTAAAGACTATGATAATTTAGGCAGAGATCATCGTGAAGCTATGGCTTTTGAATCTGGCAACAAGAAAGTGAAAGCAAAGAGAAGCAAAAAGAGCAATGATCGTAGAAGACGTGCTGCTGCTGCTTATGATGATTTGGATTAAATAAAAAAAAAAAGTTATTTATTTCTTTGGAAAGTTATAGATCTCAATACCTTCCACACCTTCAACAGGGAAATCAAAGATTTGACCATAAAACCATTGTTCAAGTTCCATTGTACGCTTGATGTTTTCTGCACGACGGAAACCATGAGCTTCACCTTCATAAAGAACATAAGCGACAGGGACGCCTTTTTCTTTCATGGCATTGACCATGACTTCAGATTGAGAAGGAGGCACGACCTTATCTTCAGAGCCTTGGAAGAAAATAACAGGACATTCGATTTCATCAGCTCTATTGATAGGAGAGCGTTCTTGGTACACTTTCTCATCTTTAGGATATTCACCAATCAAACGATCAGGATATCTTGATTCAAACTTATGCGTTTCTTTAGCCAACAAGGTGATATCTGAAACACCATAGAGACAGCAGCCTGCTTGGAACACTTTACGGAAAGCAACAGAGGCAAGGGTAGTAAAGCCACCAGCACTTCCACCGACGATAGCCAATTTCTTAGCATCGACTAAGCCTTGTTTAGCCAAGTAAAGAGCAGCATTACAGCAGTCGTCGACATCCACAATACCCCACTTTAGTCTTAAGCGTTCTCGGTATTCACGACCATAGCCTGTACTACCACCATAGTTGACATCGGCAATAGCAAAACCTCGGGTAGTCCAGTACTGAATAGCACGACGGAAACTATTGCTTGAGGAAGAGGTAGGACCACCATGAGACATGACTCGAAGAGGAGGAAGACCTTCACCCTTGTAGTTGGGGTTTTTGGGTGCATAGTAATAGCAATAAGCCGTCTTATTGTCTGTGGTGGGGAAAGCAATTTCTTGACCAACAGAGACATAGTCAGGTTCCAAGACACTAGTGGCCGTGGTTTGATGCACACGGTAAATAGACTGTTGCTTTAAGTCATAAGAAACAAGCTGAACAGGTTCAGTTGGAGAAGAAAAGTTACCAAGCACATATTCATTTTGATCTTGGTCGAGATAAATACGAAGATGATCGAAACTAGTATATTTGCTGCTCAGGTTGGTCATTGTCTTCTTTTGAGTGTCAATGATGGCCAATGAGTCCTTGTTGCTAGTGACAAGTTGATGAGGGTTGGATTTGAGAGGTGTGAATTCAGATGAGTTGAATGACCATGCAGGGCCAACGAATTCCTGTTCAAGAGGAGACTCTAACAATAAACTAACTTCTTGACCATTATAGGCATACAAGTTCCAGAATCCAGAACGATCAGAAGCAAAGTAAAGAGTACCATCGATACCGAAATTAGGTTGCTAATAACACAAAGTTACCATCTCCATTTTCTGTGATAAGTCGCACTTACCGAAATACTCTCATCGATCTTGTCTCCAGCAACACAAACAGAATTCTTTAAAACTAATGCCCCGTTTTGATATTCAGTTTGAGCAACATAAAGACGAGTATAGTCCCAAGGCATATTAGGATGACTCCAACAGACAAAAGTCAACTTGTTTTGACTAAAAAGACGTGGGGAAGCATAAAAGTCCTCACCTTGTGCAATAACGGTCTGTTTGCCTGAACTCAAATCAATAGAAACAAGCACATTAACCACGTCCTTGGGCTCTTCATTGGGAAAATGTTGTTCGCGTACACACACTAAAAATTTGTTTTCTTTGTCAATCGTATAATCAGCATAACGATAAAATTCGTTTTCTTCGGTCAATGGTTTCATGTTGCCGTTCGAGATAGTGTAGAGACGACGATCGTAGTCGTTGGAAAACACAACTAGGTCGTTAGATACCTTGAATGCACCACCGCCGTATTCGTGGACGCGGGTTTGGCAACTAAAACCCTCAGGTAATAATGCTTCAGGGGTTGCGTTGTCGTGAATACGTTGTTTGAATATTTGACCGCGTCCTTTTTCAGCAGCAATGGATTGACACCAATAAATATAACCATTGTCTACCCAGGTATCATTAGCTGCGGAGCCAGCAGATAATGAATCGGCTGTGACAGGAGAAGGCCAGCTTCCAAAAGGTTTAACTTGTGCCATATTTTTTTTTAAGAAAGAGAAAAGAAAAAGCAGATATAAAAGTCATTTTATGCCTTATAAGGGAACCGGAAGGAAAAACAAAGGACCCGAAAGTACAAACGCCGTATATGCCACCAGCCACGAGCAGTCATGGTAAATATTTACTGTTGAAGAGCTCTTGTATTAATACTTTAGTTCGTAGATAAGTTGTTAAACTTTGGCGCCTGATGTTACAGTGACTTCAACATGGTTGTTTCCGGTTTATATGACAACGGCACTAGTCTTTTATTTTCAGGTACGAATTTAGATTCAACGTTATTGATTATTATTCGAGTGGAATAAAATTTTTGTAAAACATCTCTATGTCGTAGTTCTTTCATACATGTTTATGCGATACAAATATCTTAATCTAGACATGCAAAATCAGATAGTCGTTCCTTTGCCATTTTATTTTCTATAAAATTCACAGAATCATAGTTAGGATTGTTTGCAGAATTGACAAAGAATGGTTGACAAGTTAGAAATAATCGGATTCATTTATAATCTCATTCTGTTACATTATTTCCGGATCTTTGGATTCGACAGCTACTATAATTGATCTCGGTCTGCAACACTACTTATAGCATGATTGGTTGAGAATGCAAAGTTCCTTTAGTAGACCAGGGGTTCATTACTTTATTGGGAAATGTGCTCTCTTATTACTTTTACAACAAAGTAAAAGGGGTATTCCTTATATTATGCACCAGGCATGCTTCTACATAGACTGAGTATCTCTTCTTTCGTTGTTCTTTTTCTCTCTTTTTTTTTATTGAAATAATGAGCCATCAAAGAGAGCACACTGATCACAGTAATAGTATTAGTAAAGATTATTCTCTATATATGTAACACATCCATGTTGACTATTGTAGTTTCTTATGCATCTTCTTTAGTGGACTCAAGTCAATGCTGTGAAAGCTGCTTCTGTGATCAAGAGAGCAAGAGCTACTGTACATGTGATAAAGAATCGATAGACAAGCATTATCATTGTAGCTGTTCCATGGCACAAAGTATAGCCACTTCATTAAATCGTGATAAAGACCATGAAGCTCTTTCCCAAAAAAAGATAACTAGTCCTAGACCTACAAGCACGATGATTCATTCTACCACAACCAGTATTCATCAAAGGAGAACCAGAAAGTGTCGATTCCATACTCGTTTATTTGTATTTAGTACATTTCTCTTTATCATTTTGGGAGCCATTACCGCTTTCTTTTGTTGGCCAAGAACGCCGCGTGTCTCTATGGATGGAGGTGCTGACAGTCTAGAGCCACTTGATTGGACTCCCATGATGCCCTCACGATCTTCTTTAAGGGCAGCATGGCAAATCAATGTGACTTTGGATAATCGAGATAATTGGATTCCAACTCGATTGACGAAGCTGGATTTTGTCATGGTGGATAGTTTGACACAGGCAAAGTTTGCATGGGCATCAACCAATGCACCTATTGTCTTGGCTCCAGGTACTATTTCACCTATCAGTCTAACGTTTAATGTAAACTATCAAGCTGCAGATCGAAATGACCCTACTTTTCAAAATCTATATCATGCTTGTACTGCTGATAAGGAAAGACATTCACTCAATGTGCTGCTTAGGGTAAAAGACAATGTGATTAGTTATAAAATTTATTCTTTATTTAGGTCTCTTTTCATATCTTTGGTCTTTTATGGACGCCACTTGTGATAGCTACTCCTTACACGGGAGGAGTCTTGTGTCCCATAAACAAGTAATTATGGCGCAGTTATGTCAATTGTCTAATAAAACACTCCCAGCTGTCATTTATTATACGTGTGAGTCATATCATAGAAAAAAAAAGAGATCCGCAGCATAGTACACACGCAATCGATGCCTTATTTTTTCTCAAGAAAAATGTTTTATTGACACGCATAAATCATATTGAACGGGTTTCATTTTCCGCCATCATTTGGCATAACAAAGACATGTCTTTTTTTTTTCTTTTATTGAATAAATAATACAAATGGGTGTTTGAACTGTACAAGATGAAAAGGGGGATTGGTTTTTTTTTTTAAATTTTTGAAGCGCATACAAGGAATCCATTTCCATGATGTAGATGATAAAAGGCATGTAAATGAATATTGTTGTTTGTGTATTGTTTGTTTTTATCTGGTTCAGTTGTATTCACTGGTTCTTGTTCTTGTTGGTTCTCTTCTTCCTGTTCTTGCTCTTCTTTATCCAGTTGATTGATACAGGCATCAAACCAATGTTGTTCCATATTTGACATGATAGCAGGCGGTGAAGAAGGATCACGCAGAAGATTTGTGATTAAAACGTATTTACGAATAGGCAGATCAATGCGTGTTTGATCATATTCTGCTAGTTTTGAATAACTTATTGATTGGATATCGTTTATGAATTTGTTTGACATAATGAGTTGAATTGAGGGTATAGATAAAGTAAGAAAAAAAGAGAGAGAGAAAAAATTAAAAAAAAAAAAAAATAAGCCCTATTTTATATTAATTAATTATCTTTTGTCTCTCTCTTTCTCTCTCTTTTTTTTACTGTGCCTTTTTTTTATATACTGCGGCTTAATGCATAATTCAATGACTACAAATCTGTCATTGACAGCAAATGATGATTCGGGATTTTCTTATCAAATCACGACATATCTTTCCGATTGTACACAGCTTTTTACCAAACAATTCTTGTCAAGAACAACAAGCATAAATGCGATTTTCCTTTTATGTCCTTGTGACTCTTTCTCTGTGACCATTTAGTCTGCAAGTTTTTTCTTTACTTTTTTTGACAATTGAGAAGACTTTTTTTTTTATTTATCATGGAAATTCAAAAAAAGAAGACTCAACCTAGCCGTAAGGGCAAGAAGGCATGGCGTAAAAATGTAGATATTACAGACGTAGAAGAAGCTCAAGAAGAATTGCGTGCCATTGAAAGAGTGGTGTAAGAAATATAAACTTTTGGTTGCGATCGTAACTTGATCTAATAATTTTTGATAGTGGTCATAATGAACAATTAAAGGATGAAGAGCTTTTTACTATTGATGTCGCAGGTGATAGTACAGGTAAAATCAAAGTTTGATATCCTGTCCAAAAATTTATTAAAGAAAATTTTTTTTGGTAGTCAAACGTCAACTTGCTAAAGATAAACCTCTCCGTGTGGATGAAATCTTGGCTCAACGATCAGCCGTGCCTACTGTTCAATCAAAGAACCCATTTAAAAAGCCAGAAATGACAGACAAGGTGGCTTCTAAGCATGAATATAAGACATTGAAGCGTAAAATCGAAAACAATGCACCCATTGCACCTAAAAAGAAGAATAAGGCAGCTCAACAAAAGAAATATGATCTTTGGGATGATGGTACATGTGAACTTAAACGTAATAGTATGTTGACCATTTTATGTGTAGCACCTATGGAAGAAGCACCTGTGAATGATTTCTTGCCTATTGAGGCTAAATTAAAGGCACCCAAGACATTGAATGAAAAACCTGTTGCATTAGATCACATTCCTGCTGTTCAAACACCTGAAGGTGGCCATTCATACAACCCTACAGTAGAAGAGCATCAAAAGTTACTTGCTAAGGCTACAGCAGTAGAAGAACGCAAGGCAGAAATCCTTAAACAACTTCAAGAACAACTTTCTTATCGTGAAGAACTCAAGTTATTAGCTGATGAGTTAGCTACTTCAGAAATTACAGCAGATGGTAAAATTGTTGTGTCTGCTGAACAAGAAGAAGAGGAGGAGCAGGAAGAGAAAGGAAAAAAGACTCTAACAAGAAAAAGGCAGCTGAACGCAAGACTCGCCAAGAACGTCATAAATCACATCGCTTAGCTACAGCCGAATTAGAAAAGAAACAAAAATTACATGAAAAAGCTATTCGTCAACAAATTGATAAACTTCGTCAGATTGAAGCTGAATTGGCTGAACGCATGGAAGAATTAGATGCTTTGGCCGAAAAGAGAGGTGAACGTAGATCAGAAGAAGAAAAGAAAGGTGTCAAGAAGCTTGGTAAATACACTGTACCTGAATTACCAGTGGATGTCCAATTAACAGAAGAATTGTGTGAGACACTTCGTCAATTAAAAGTAAGGCAGAAAAAAAAAGAGTAGAAAGTGAAATTAATATGTACATTTTTAGCCTGAAGGAAATATGTTTCGCGATAGATTTCATAGCATTCAAAAACGTAATATTATTGAACCTAGAATACCAGTCAATCCAAGCAGAAAATACAAACTCAAGGAATACGAAAGAAGAGCTTACAAGAATTTTGATCAAATGGAAGCCATTAAAAAGAAGAGAGCATTAAAGAAATAAATAAATAAAAAAGAGTATATATTTATCCGTTAATAGACATGGGTGATCTACTAGGGCTTGTTGAGTAAAAGCAATACTTATTTACAAGTTCCATATAAGATTGGGAATTCAAATCCATAAAAGAAGGTGAAGTAGCCAATGGGGAATGGCAGGAAGGTGAAGGTGGTGATGATTTTCGTCTTGTAGGAATCGGCATAGCCAATGTCTTTTGAGAGAATGGAGGAGAAGGTATCGGCGCAGGATTATTTTTAACTTGAGAGATAGATTGGCTAAAATCATACCTAGACTTGAGCTTATCTTCAAAAGCTATTTGTTGTGGTTGTGGTTGTGGTTGTGGTTGTGGTTGTGGCTGTATGACATTGTCTAATAACAATGGCTTCTTGGTTGCAAATTGGATTTCATAATTGCGAGTGTCGTTGTTATCCCAATAGTCTTGAGTGCCTACTTTATAGTTGATAGCAAAATAAAGTGTGGTAGCATTTTTTGGCACAGTGATTTTGAATGAAAAGACGTCATATGCCTTGTGACCTTGGTAGAAATTAGCTTGAACATTATCAATAGTTTCCCAAAAGTCAAAAGTATATCGAATCGTCACTGACTTGTGATAGTCTAGATTCCTGACAGAGACTTTTCCTATAAGAGTATCTTGATCCATACTAAACGAATTCTTGTCTATGCGAATTAACTTATTTTTTCGATCGATAATATCAGCTAAACGAGTAGTAGACCAATTGGGAAAAACAAGCGAACGAGTCAATCTATCATCCTCATCCTCATCACTTTCATCATCATCTTCTTCTGATCCATTTTGTGCCCAAAAGATTTTTTTCTGACTGATAGCTAAGGGTGTTTGTGCTTTTCTAAACAGGCAAATATCTTCGAGATTGTGCTTACTGAATTGAACAGATTTCATGCCTGAAGTAGGCGAACAAGGCGCCGACGCAGATTTAGGAGTTCTCAAGGAGGATTTTAGAAAACGCGGTAGTTCAATTGATTGAGTTGTGTCTTGTACAGGTGGTTTTGAAGGCGTTGTGATCTTCACCATAGAGGACTTGGGTAAAGATAAAGCACTAGCAACAAGTTGGCGAGTATATTCATTCGTCTCTTGCTCATCATGGCATACTGTAGGTCTTTTTAGTGTTACCCTTTTTTGCATTTTAAAAGAAAGAGATAAAGAATAAAAAAAAGGAAAAAATAAATAAAATAGGCTATTAAATAAGAATTTCTTTTGATAGACCCCTTCTTTACCCTTTTACATCATTTTCTTATCATGATGCCATACTCAAATTCTGATTGGTGTAACACGCAGTCTGCATTTTATCTCTTTTTTGTTATCAAACTCAGTTTCAAACATTTCTTGATAATAACAAACAACACTGTTTGTGTTCCCACACACACACTGTTTATTTTTAAAGAAAAGAGGGTTGACCAGTGAATTGAGGTTGCTGTTGTTGCTGTTGTTGCATACCTGTCATTTGGGGAAATCCCGTCATTTGTTGTTGTTGTGGTTGTTGCATCATTTCAAACATACTTTTTTGTTGCGCTTGTCCTTGTTGAGGTTGAGTTGTATTACCAAACGGATTACGACTTGGTTGTTGAGCAAATGGCTAGAGCAATAAAGTAAATTATCTTCTTTTTTCTTCTTTTTTATTTTTACCTGTGAAAACGAATTATTGTTGTTCTGTGATACTAATGCGCCCGTTGCTGCAAATCCTGTACCACTATAAAATATGTGTGTTTGAGTAAAAAAAAATTTTCTTTGTGTCTTTGTCTTACTAAGGAATACGTAAATTTCCAGTGTTACCAAAGGTGTCCATTCCATCACTAAGCAAATTAGATGTGATGTCATTATAAAGTCATGCATTCTTACTCTCTGTTTTGTAGCATGGCATTCAACTTGCTATAGTTTGAAGGCGTTGAAGGGGATGCTTGCATAGTCTATGTATATTTAACAACATTGTCATGATGCATCATTTTCATACTTGAGAATTTGAAGTTCCAAAGGAAGAAGACGATGTTGATTGTCCAAATGGATTGCTGCTATAGCCTGTCATTTGGGGCTGTTGAAATCCTGTCATTTGAGGCTGTTGGAATCCTGTCATTTGTGGTTGTTGGAATCCAGTCGCTTGGGGTTGTTGAAATGCTGTTGTTTGTATTTGTTGGAAACCTGTCATTTGTGCCTGAAGATGTGAAGCATTAAACCCTTGGCTATTATTCTGATAAGGGTTGTGGCGATGTTGAATGGGCTCCGCAAACGACATGCCTGTGGGTTGAGCAAATTGCTGTTGTTGTTGATAAGGATTCATTAAAGAATCAAAGCTTTGTTGTGCTGGAAATGGTGAAAAACTATCAAAGAAAATCAATTCCTCTTCTTTTGTTTTGTTTCCTTACGTTTGCTGAGAAGGTTCATTGGTAATGAAATTACCAAATAAATTGCTTTGATTTTCATTATCTAATTTCTCCCTTCTCTTTCTCTCTAATTCTCTAGCTTCTTGTTCACTTTCTCGAATGGCTCTTTGTAAATCTTCATCTGAACTATAAAACACAAACTTAGCTATCAATTAATAGCCAAATGCTTATTTTACCCTTCCCCTCTTCTTCTGGATTCTTGCTCTGCTAAACGTTTACTTTCCTCAATAGCTTTCTTCAGATCTCTGTCTTCGTCCAGATAACCTGGATTTCTATATACATCCACTTCATCGTTATTCCTTCCTTTAAACATGACATCATTCATGTAGTCTCCAACACCTGCCATTCTGTCTTGCATATGGTGACGAGAGCGACGTTCTTCTTTTAAGCGTTGTTCGTCCATCAATAAACTGGTAATGTCTTTGGCTTTTTGGCGCACATTAAAACCGACATCTTTACCAGCATCGTCAATATGCTGAAACTCTTTAAGTGTACGAATCACATAAATATTCTCTTTAGCATACAACACAACATTTTCTGATCCAACATGAAGACAGTAGTCCAACACAAGCAAAGCCTGATTTTTTTTATGCATAAATATTTTTTTTTTGTTTCTTTTACTTACTTTAAATACATGACGCCAGTTCTTTCCTTTGTCGTTTAGTCTTCTGTCCAGCATGTCCATGATTTCAATAAAGTCTTGTCTATATATAGAATGAATTACGGATCCCCCTTATATCTTAAACTTACTCATTGAATGTTAACTGGGCAATTTCGTTCATAAGAGAGCCACTTGGGCCCCAATTATCGTTTGAAGTAGCTTCTCTCACTTTAATCTGAACGTCAGAAAATCCTTTTGCATAGTTTTTACTAAATATACTTAGATTCTATTTTTCCTACAAATACAAACTTACATGCTTCTCACTACTCCTTTTCCAGCCATTTTAGATAAATAAATATAAAAAGAAAAAGGGAAAAAGAAAGTGAAAAAAAAATTGGTCGGGAAAAACTTAGTTGGTTGTGAAATCTTGATGCGTCATTGATTTAGGCTGATATTGTATGGTAAGACAGAGTATAGGGTATATTTGCGTAACAAAGATCTCTGGCTGAAATCAGATCGACATACCTTATCAGATGTAGAAAATAAATAACTCCCCTAGTGTTTTTCTATGCGTGTTTTGTTTTGTGTGGTACCAATGCTTGATGTGCGGATGACCAAACAATGGAAGTCCCCCACCCACACAAAGTCTAAAAAGTACGCCGAAAATGTTGTTTTCGCCTGAACCGCCGAAATTTTAAAAAACCGCTTTCCATGAATCTTATAAATACTCACTGCATCCATTTAATTCTTCATTCAATAAATCATGTCTAACGTAGGAAAACTCAAATTCATTGAAAACGAAGACTTCTTAAGCTTGTTTAAGGTAAACAATATATTGAAGAAGCAAGGTGGTAAACACGATTGGGTGATAGAATCTCTTGCACACCAAATTCTTTTCCGCTTCTACAACCAGGGTTGTCAAGATTCTTGAAGTAGGTTGTGGGTAATTATTCATTATAAAGCTACCTTTCTCCATATTAATATGGTTACTAGACCTGGAGACTTTGCCTTGATTCTTAAGGATGCCTTAAAGGATCAGGTCAAAATTAAGGCCATTGATCCCTCTGATGACATTGAAGCTGCCAAGGCCAAGTCAAATGGAAATGATGTTTCTTTTGAACGCGGTGATATCTTTAATTTCTCAACTGAGGAAAAGTTTGATGTAGTCTTATTTACAAAGTCTCTTCATCATTGCCATCCTATTGAAAAGGTATATTTTATTACTTGTTAAAAAAAAGATTAACTTTTTGCATATAGGCCTTGCAAAATGCTAGTAATTTGCTGAATGAGGATGGTGTCTTTGTGGCTGAAGAAATTTATACAGATCCTGCCACATTTGAACATGTTGATTGGTTTTTTGATCGTTTGGATTTATTGCGTGCTGGTGGACACTTGATTCCCTTACAAGAAAGATTAGAAAACGCTGGTCATACTAAAAAGATGCTTTCCAAGTTTTTGAATGTCAACTTGTCTAATTCTGAAAGATGGTTCAGACCTATCAAGGAAAACATGGGTAAATTTCACAGAGATGATCCTGAGGGTATTACACCAGCTACTGAGCTCTTCAAGCAAATTGAGCAACATTTTGGTAAAGAAAACGTTGAGTATATCAAGGCTGCTCAACTTTATCATTTCGTTGTATTCGCAGGGTAAATCAATTGACATAAAATAATTCAAAAACTCATTCCATTCTTTAGATTGACTGACAATGAAACGAACCAAGAGGTTTTGAAAGAGTTTATCAAGCAAGAAAATCGCGCTATTCAACAATCTGGTCTTCCTCCCTTGGGCATCTACATCATCTGTCATAAATAAAGAACTGTCCTGAATTATTTTACACCCATCTTTATGCTTGAGCTCCATTTTTTTTTTCAATAAAGACAAAGCGTTGCTTTTTTAACTTGTAAATTAAACCTGATGGTGCTTTTGAAATAACAGATGCTTTAACATCATTGATTATTCTTGTGATATCATTTGCAGTGCATAACAATTGAATTTGTTTATAATGGTCCGTGTTTAAGCCTGTTTCTTCGGTAATTTGTGCAACAAGGAAAAAAGAGTTGCTGATACTTCCAAATACTCAACATAGGATGAAACATGGCTTAGATAAAAGAATGCAACTAGCTTTAAAGTACAAAGAATGTATGTACTTCTTGTAGAATATATAAATTATTTGTCAAACATGATATCGATTTCCTCCAATGTCTTTCCTCTGGTTTCAGGCATGCACGCTATCCCAAAAACAGTAATGATGGAGCACAACCCAAAGAAGTAATAGACACCAGACACAGAATAGGCCAAACAATAAGGAGCGCAATAAGTTATCACAATGCTACAAGCCCAGCTAAGAGCATATGTTAATGAAAGCCCTTTGGCTCTACACCGCATACTGAATATTTCAGCAGTATATACATAGTTCGCTACGCCCCATGTACCGGCATGAGCGGCAGAGAAAAGATAAATGCAAGCAATAATAACAAGTCTTGCGCTATTGTTTGTTAAAATAATATCGTCGTTTGACACCTTTATGAAGAAATCAAACATACAGCCTATCAGAATCATACATATGGCTGAAATTACTGAGCCTACAAAGAATAGCGCTTTTCGGCCCCAAAGATCAATCCACCATTGTAAAGATAATGCTGTAAATAAGAGCGATAAGCATCCAATACCTCCTGTCAAAGCCAAGGAAACAGATATATCACTTAGCCCTGCTTGTTTAAATATTTGTGGAGCATAATACAAGATAACCACATTGCCTGTAAAACAAGTGGCTACTGAAATAAAGAATGCAAAACATGTTCTCGATAGATTGGATCCTTGAAACAATTCACTAAATGTGCAACTATCTCCTGTCTTTTTCTCTGCTTCTATAGATGCTTTTATCTCGATAGCTGCTTGTTGAATGAACGTATTGTCTTGAGGCACGTTGTAAATAACTGACAGTACTTGTAGTCCTTCTTTTTCTCTTTGTTTGTCAATAAGCCATCGAGGAGAGAAGGGCAAGTAACAGACAAGAACTATATACAGCATACAGAGAATCATCTGCACAAGCCAAGGCATGCGCCAAGATAGATCAAGTTCTAAGTAGCTACTCTTATACGTAACCCAGTAGCCAATCATCTGACCAAATGAAGAAAGCAAGGCAAAGAGACTGATGAGTTTACCACGAATATTTGCTGGTGCAATTTCTGATTGATAGAGTGGTATGGCATTCGTCATAAGACCGGTGCCTGTACCGCTGATCAGCCGCCCTAGAACAAGGGACAACATATTTAAACCCAAAAGTTCGCATGATATGCCTACCCAAAGTAAACAAGAACCTAGTAACATTGAATGCTTTCTGCCGATATGATCTAGGATCATGAGTTATTGTATTTTTGTTTGAATTTCTTACCACAAAAATAGCCAGAAAAAAATGCCCCACTCATACAAGTAACAAGAAATGAAGCTAATAACATGCTTTGGTAATAAGCAGACGAGCCATAGAGAAAGAATCGCTCTTGAAAATTAGGTAGTGCGATGATGCCTGAAATTGAACCTGTATCATAACCACATACAAGTCCTCCCATGGCTGCTATTGTAGCATATACATGAACTGGTCTGCTTGAATGATTTGATAGCAATGGTGCTGTTTCTGATACTGGCATGAGCAGAAATAGAAAGAAAAAGAGGAAGTAAGATTAAAACAAGTTTTTTTCTAATTATATTTTGAATGCGGAGATCTAATGACAATGACATTCCTTTATTTCATCAAGCAACAGGCATCCGCTTTTTGCCTTGTGTTGATATTCCCGATTCTTTCTTTTGCTTAAGAACGGTAGCACCTACTTGATCACATTTGCTTAATGCTAAGCTAAGACGAATAGCCATCCTATATTCAAAAGTATATTTTGTAAACGTCAAAGCCTTTTCCCAGCATGTTCGGCTCTTGGAGAAATTGCCTAATCCCCAACTGGTAATACCTGCTTCTATCATAAATGTTTAATCTTGCTTATTCTCATACATATCTATTTACCCCAGTATGTAAAAGGAACAATCCATGTCTCTGAACAAAGTTGATGCTTATGGTCCATTACCCAATTAAGATGAGATATACTATCCTCATGCTGCCCAAGTGCATTTAAAATAGCTGCCTTCATCAACATAAGAATAGCTCTTTGGTTATAGAACCCTGATGGCTTTGTTGAAGGCACAAGTTCCACCAATCGAACTGCATATTCTAGTTTCTCTCTTTCACAAGTCAGTTCAAGTGTATTTTGAACAAGTACTAAGCAGGCTTCCAGAGTGCCTTTCTCCATTTGATCAAATGCATTCCAGACTAACAGTAACTCAAGTGCTGGTAAACTGAAATCTAAATCTTGATACCCACTCTTTTGAAAAAACTCGACTTTTTGTTTGACATAATTGTCTATACACGATCGCTTCTTTTGGTCTTTGACGAACTGGGGTACGAGTGCAAATGCCAAGATACTCTCTGTTTGCTGCCCCAGCATACCATAGCATGCCCCAATAAAGTATTGACAGAGAGCAGGAGACCAGTAGTATTTCTCTTGACTAAGCTTTTCAAAATAACCGAGTGCTGATTGCCAGTCCAGCTGTAAAGCAAAATTGAATCCAATCTCATAATACCCTATTTGCGTCATGGCAGTATCCATCCATTCATTTCGACAGGCATCTACAGCAAATGTAAATGATTGAGTAGATAAAACCAAATTTTTCGTGACGCGTGAAATGCGAGCAGCATAATAAAGAAAAAGACAGGAACTTGGATAGCTTTTTTGAGCATCTCTTAGGCATTCTACAGAAGCACTCTTGAACTCGAGAGCATGTAATTGAGGCACAAATGAAGAAAGGAGGGAATAGTACGATAAAAGCCTGGATGAAATTAGCTATTTTCGAAAAAAATATACTTACATGAGTGAGGCCAAAGGTGATCGAACACCTTTTCCTTCTACGCATAACTTTAAAAGTGCAAACCCTAATTGTTTGTCACTCTTGAACCCAAGCGAAGAAATGACTTTGAGAACTTTAGGTGGTAATACAGACAGTAACAAATGAACTGATCCTAGGCCAAATTGGATAGCAGAAATTGTGTTACGATCCATGTATTTTGTATAACGCTGTCCCATTCTTTTGTACTCTTGCCAGACAATGGTGTAACAAGTGAAGGCTACATGCATTTAGTTTGTGTTAAAAAAGAAAGAAATTGTTGACATAGTACCTTTTTTTAGGTTGAGTCCACATTTGATATAACTCATGATGGTCTCCTGTGTTATCTGAAGCATGCCAATAAATAAGCAGCATTCTGCTTTAATCACATTGGCTCTTAATACGCCATTTGGTATAAAACTAGGTGTTTCTCCTGGCGCTGTGTTTTGATGTATGGGTGGATTGTTTGGAAGACCTGTATGGTTTGAGGTGATGAGAGATGAGAAACTAAAAGGCCAGAAACTCTTTTTTGTCGTTGAATTATCAATCTGTGCTGATGCGACACTGTATGCAATTAAAAAAATGTTCATAGCAAGTTGGGTTTCATCTTGATTTTCGGTCTAATACAGGACGTAATAAGAACAACATGTAACTTCATTCGACATGAATTACCATCATTGCTTTCATAAATGCCATTATACCCAATCCAAAAATGTAAAGAGGATCGCTAATGTAGTACTGTTAATTTATCTGTCTTTCTGCTTGACAGTAACTCACCTTGACGCTTTTGTTTGAAACAGTGATTTCGCCTTCAAAAACTTATTATCAAATAAACATCGCATACCCTTTCTAACAGGCTCATCTATGCGGGATATCAATACAAGTAAGGATATATGGTCAAGTACCTGCTTCTTCTTGTTCTCGAGGCCCAAGTTGATTCATGGGTATGTTGGCTATCTTTTTGACATCAAGGCTTGAAGTGTAACAATTGATGTCAATAGGCGTTTCCATTGAATAGTCGACATCATAATGATTGGTTTTCCATTTGATTTGATTTTTTGGAGGCTTTTTTGTCTTCTTGAGTAATTCTCTTTCTCGAATGATACCGAGGTTTTGAATCACAATTTCCATAGCTTGCAAATGTATCTGTGCTGTTTTATCATCCATATCAATATCTTGTAGATTTTCATCTATACTGCATGAAGAAGTAGGTAGTTCTCTATAAGAAATACTTCCATCCTCATCACTTTCAAATAAGCTTTTTGTATCAAACAAAATCTCTTCTGTTTCACCCATTATTCAAGAAAATAAGAAAAGAGAGAGAGAGAGAAGAATAAATGATTTATTGATTAGGTCTCCTTGTTGCTGTTGTTTCTCCTTAACAAGGGGCAAAATAAGAATTTATCAAGTGTCACCATTATGTAATGATTGTTCAAATATATTCATGCAAAGACAGATAGTATATAAACAAAAGTTTCTAAAATCCATCATCAATACTCACTCAAAAAAATAATGGCTCTCTCTCATCGTTTATTCCACGATACTTTACGTGATCTTCAACGTGCTATGGACGCATTTAGTGTGTCTTTCAATACTGGTGGCGATAATGTCTTTGGTGCCTCAAACTTCCCTACTCATAGTACACTTGGTTCTCGCTATCCTGTCACAGATATATTTGAAGAAAAGGATCATTATGAAGTCAATGCTGAAGTTCCTGGATTTGACAAGAACAATATCAAGATTGAAGTACCTGACACTAATACTTTAGTTTTGAGTGGCACAAAGAAGCATGAACGCCATGAAGAACTCAAGCAGGAAGTAAACAAGCAGAAAGAAAAGGCTGATATTGAAGGTCAAGCACTGCAGAAGAAAGAAGAAGGTCATGTTACTGAATATGCTGCTCCCAACTGGTGGGTAAATGAACGAGTTGTTGGTTCTTTCTATCGTACCTACACTTTCCCCAATCCTATTGATCCTGACAGCATTAAGGCTCACTTTGAAAATGGTATTCTCAAAATCATGATTCCTAAGGTCTCTAAGCCTCAATCGAAGCTTATAAACATCGAGTGAATTTCTCCCTATGGCTTTAGGCTATTGCTTACTTGCATCTTTCTATCTTAATTGAATAGCTATAATAAATCATTCGTGTACGCTCTAATTGAAGGAGTGAATGAAGATCATTCAACAGATCCTTAATTGGCTGAGATAGAATGCGTCACATTTAAATGTTCCTTCTTTTTCCCTTTCAAACTTTTTTTTTTACGCCTTTTGCTTTCTCTTGAAACATTCTTGAAGACCTTTGGACTTGACAGTAAGTAAATACTTAATTTTTATATATGAACTTTATGTTTATTCCTTTCTTCTGTGCTTTTTTTTTTGCCTTTTCATTTTATCTTTTTATCCTTCAAGCTTTGCAATCAAGTCTCCTTTTTTATTTTCTTTTTCTTTTAAACCAACATCAGATTTGTAAGTGGATTGCTCTTTTCTTCTAATACTTGAAACACACGACTTGAAAGTGTTTTCAAGTAAACAACAAATAGATAGTTTATCGTTTCGAACACTTCTAACTTTTTTTTTTCTTTTCCAACAACACGCTTATTCTCATTTTTCCTTTCTTTCTTTTTTATCTTTTTGTATAAGTTAGTTTCTATTCCTTTAGTGATTTGTGCTTAATATAGACTGTAGACTAATTATTTTATTACAGACTATGTATAGGCTAATCCATGAAACGCTCAAGCGACGCTCAAGCATCTCAACACGCTGATTTCAGTAACGGTGACAGTAATAAGCGACCAAGACATACACAATCGACATATGGGTAAGCTTATATTATCGTTTTTGTTAACAGACAATTAAGCCTTCTTTACAGTGACATGTATGCTCAGTACGGACTTATGAACCAATATGCAGCCGCTGCAGCCGCTGCAGCAGGTCCTTTTCCTCAAGTTAATGCATCTCCATATGCTAGTTATACTCAACCAGCGAACCCCATGTATGCTGGTTACACAAATCCTCAATACAACATGATGGCTGCTCAATATGCTGCTTATCCTCAAGCTTTCCCCACTGCTCCTGGTACAGGTCTACCAAACGATACAAGCCGGACAATCTATCTTGGTAATGTCGTGAGCACTATCACACCTCATGATATCTTAAAATACGTACGCCATGGTCCTGTTGAATCTTTCCGTGTTGTGCCTGAAAAGAGCTGTGCCTTCCTGTCTTTTATTGATCCTTCTTCTGCCCAAATGTTTTATCAAGAATATATGTCTAAAAAGTTTATGGTCAAAGATACAGAACTCAAGGTCGGATGGGGCAAACCAAGTACAATCCCTCACACACTCAAAGTATCTATTGATGCTGGTGCAACACGTAATGTTTATTTGGGTCGTTTGACTCCTGAAGATACAGAAGACACCATTCGTCTTGCTCTGAGCAAATTTGGTCCTATTGAACATGTCAAGTTACTTCGTGAAAAGAACATTGCCTTTGTTCATTTCTTGTCTATCTTGTCTGCCGCCAAGTGTGTTGCTAACTTGCATTCAGATCCTGCATGGATTGAAAAACGTGTTAATTATGGTAAAGACCGTTGTGGCGATATTGTCGATCAGTACAACACAGCCATGACACTTCATAATCCTTACGCTAATGCTGGCGGCTTTGGCTTTGATCCTTACAGCGCTACATTTGGCAACCATAATGTAGGCACCAATACACAACGTACGCTTTATTTTGGTAACATTCATCCTGAAGCCACTTGTGAAGATATCTGTAACTCTATTCGTGGAGGCAATTTGCTTCAAATTCGTTATCTCCCTGAAAAACATATTGCTTTTGTTACTTTTATGGACTCTGCAACTGCCAACAGTGTCTATACAAACTACAGCACATTTGGCCTTGTGGTCAAGGGTAAAAAAGTTCGTATTGGATGGGGCAAGCCTTCTTCTGTGTCTAGTCAGGTTGCTATGGCTGTTCAAAATGGTGCTACTCGTAATATCTACATTGGCAATATTTGTGATAGTCATACAGCCGAAAAGCTTCGTACGGATTTTTCTGAATACGGTGAAATTGAATTGATCAATGTATGTACAGAAAAGAATTGCGCCTTTGTCAATTTCACAAGTGTCAGCAGTGCTTTGAATGCTCTTCAAGGCATGAAGACCAAGTCTGGTTATTCTCAATTAAAGATCAATTATGGCAAGGACCGTTGTGGAAACCCTTGGCGTATGATGAAACCTAGAAATGATAATCGATACAGAGACGACAACGACAAAAAAACCGAAGGCGACAAAGAACATAATAACGATGAAACCAGCTCTGTGGAGAAATCAAAGCCAGAATAAAGTTGATGTTTAAACTTTGATTTGGAGGTTGTTTTGAATGATCTTGCCAGGAGTCTAAAGCATAAGTGCAAACTCATTTACGTTTTTTTACATGTATATATATATATAATGAATTGTCTTAAGTCGCAAGGTGTCATTAATCACATTAAACCATTCGGACGACAGAGTATCTCTCGAAATTCGTTCGTCTTTGCTATCAAAAAGTATGCACTCAAAAAGAGTCTAAAGCCTGCATATACACTCACAAGCACTCTAAATGCCTACAAACCATGTTTACTAACATATGCGGTGTCTTTAGAGTTAATTTGAACAAAAAAAAAACGACTTGTAAGATTTGACCAAAATGGCCGTTCGACCAAAGGGTATTACTCATGAAAAGAGCTCGTTTGACAACCCTCAATCTTCTTTTGTACGCTACAAGACTAAAAGTAGAGCTATTGACAAGTTCAAATACTTAAAATATGTGTCAGAGGCTCTAGTTTTTGGTAAATGTGTTTTTTTTGACAGTTGTGTTACACAAATGATGAAGTATAAGCAAAAAACCTTGTAACCGTTTTCGCCTATTTTCTCAGTGTTTTAGTAGCAAAACTACTATGTTATTTACATCAATAGGTTCAGAAATGAAAGATATACAGCTTTTGTTAATGTACAAAAGCGAAATAACTGCGTCTTCATACAGTTCTCAGCAAGAACTTGATTTTTTTTTAATGATTTTATTTGCCGCACGTATTAGTGGTCTCGAGAGGGACCCACTAAAAGAGGTGCTCGACAATTATTTATTGTAAAAAAAATATAAAGAAAAACAAAATTAGCACGATAGTAAGAAAGTAGAAAAATATAAAAGGAAAGAAGAGCAGCTATTGCGAGAAAAGACCTCTCAAGATGAAAGGTCATTTTCAGCAGCTATACGCTTAATTTGATAGCGAGTGCTGTGAAGAACAGAGAGATTATGGAATGGTTGGTTCTGCATGGTATGGGTCCAATGGGCCTTCCAGATTTCAGAGAGACCGATCAAGGTTACCATGGCTATTGAAACAGGACAGTTTGTTTGAGACCGAATCCGAGAAAAATTGAAAGATGCAAGTGCATCAGAGACTAGATCCAGAGAGGTGCCTGGCCACAAAAATTCCCTGATCAAGGCATCCCGGAACGGAAATTTTTGAGGGAAGCGAAAGAAATGGTACACAGTCTCCTGATCACCACACAAAATGCAGGCAGCAGTAGTGAAGTGAGCAGAAAAAACCTTGAATAGAAGTAAGCGAGTGGGAATCTTGCGAGTCAGAAATCGATACATCACATTTCTCTGCAATGTTGTGATAGGTATGCACCAAAAGTACTTCCAAGCAGCAGAAGAAACTTCTTGCCGAGCAATGATATCAGACAAGGCAGCTTGTGTGATGACCTTACGGAAAGTATGGCCACAAAATTTGCGTTGTCAAAAGGCAGTTTCAACATGCACACAAAAGAAAAGAAACCAAGAGACCGCTGGATTGCAGGAATATGCACAGGATTGTATAAGTCTAATGAAGTACGAACAAGGCATTGACCAAAGAATGGCTCCAGTTGACAATGACTTTGATTCATTGCTTGAAGGTATTTTCTAGCACTACGACGGATATCCAGGGGAAAGGAAGAAACTGGTATTGGTGCAAAATAGTGACCCTGTGGATGGTACTCATATAGGTAGGAAACTGCTACTGTGCGTAACTTGAGAGGCAAGTCAAAGGTGTCAGATGGCAAAACAATTGAGCGTAATGGGAGTAAAAAGCATTCAATAGGGTTTGGCATATATGAGTACTGTTTCCTAGGAATAGCATCCATTGTCTGGCAGCACATTGTGGCAGTCATCGTTTGCTAACTAATGCGAGGAAAGATTTGCCGGTCGACAAAAGAAGTAATGACAGTTCGAATGGTATTAAGGGTTGCTTGAGTGGTAGGGATCACTCGCAAAATATACCAGCATTTAGACAACAAAAGTGAACTGGCAACTGTAGCTCTACCAACAACAGAAAGATTGCGTGAGGCATGAATATCCGCCAGTTGAGACAGTGATCGAGTGAGGGACGAAAAAAAGTGAGCGCGCTGGTCCAAGGATTGGATAAGGGGGAAACCTAAATAGATGATGGGTTCAGCATCTGTACGGCATCATATCTTAGGAATGTCAACGGCTTGTAGAGTAGTCAGCCATTTATCATCTAGATTGTGGCCAGAGAGAGAGATTGCTCGTACTTTATGGTAGTTAATCTTGGCATTGGATGCTTTACTGTAGGTCTGCAAGTAAAACTGCATTCTGCAAGTAAAGCTGCATTCTGCGAAGGTCAGGGATATTATGAAGAAAAACTAAAGTGTCATCAGCATAACTAAGCAATTTGATAGCAGGTAAGGTGATGGCTTGACTAAAATCATTATGATTGAAGCGATAATCAGAAAATTGAGTGTCATTCAATATCGACTGGAGAAGTGGCTCTAAGGCAAAATTGTATAAAATACAAGAGAGTGGGTCACCTTGTTTGAGGCCTCGGCGCTTTGGAACTAACTGCTTAGAGAGCCAACCATTGATGTTGATACAAATGGAATTATCTCTAAACAAGGTAATAGTGCTGGCAACCAGGGTCTTTGGAAAACCAAAGTGTAACAACACTTGCTTGAGATAGTCAAGGTTGACACGATCATAGGCCTTTTCTTGGTCTAAAAGAATGCCAAGATCTTTGTCTGGTCAGCGGTAGTTTGTTGCTGCATTTTCCATGATCATTTGGGTGAGCAAGCCATGCTCAGCAATATATCTACCAGGCATAAAGCCTAGCTGATGTCTGTTGATAAGTGTAGCAGCTACTGTCATAATCCTGTGGTTGATTATCCGAGTGAAGATCTTGTTATCTGCATTCACCAACTGAATAGGACGATAGTTCTCTGCCCGCGTTAGATCACCTTTCTTAGGCAAAAGAGTCATAAGTGATAGCAGCCATGATTTCGGGAATAAAGAATGAGCTAAGGCATCATTGTATACTTGTAGAACCAGCTGCCTTAAACAAGGAACACGAAGTAGAATACCTAGAATTTCGTATGGCAAACCATCGCTACCAGGACTACTCTGACGAGGTGAATGTCTACTTGCTTTCGATATCTCCAGCCAAGTGATAGGACTTTCAAGGGTAGATGCTTGCTCTTTAGTAAGTCGTTGGCTGTTGGTACGTTGTAAAAGCGTATTGACATCAGAGGATTGGATCTTTTCAGGACGATATAGCGCCTTATAGAAGGCAACCATCACCTCTGTTTTCCCTTCTATATTAGTGACCAATCGTCTAGAATTGGGATCAAAGAGCTTTGGTATTGTTCGCTGTGTAGACCTATCTTGTGTAAGTTTTTTGAGAAGACCAGGAGATTGTTCACCTTTTTCTCGTCAAAATTTGCCTGCTTTGAGATGTTCTATTTCGGCAGATTCATCCTGCAAAATAGTAATCATTTTTACAACTTTTGGTAAAAGAGATGATAAAATAGATATATTTTTATGATCTCGTAAAATTTTTTTGCGTTTGGATTGAAGCTTTTTTAGAGATTTGGATCGCCAGTTGTTACGCTCGATCTGGAAGGATCGAGTAAAAACTTTGACTTGTTCTTTCAATTCATCCCAAATAGTTTGAACTGAAGGGCAATCAGGATCCAAACGGTTGATGTTATCCATGTATTGCTCAATATGTGTTGTCAAACCTTTTCTATATGCAGATAGTCGAGCAAGATTAGGATTACCTTTCCAAGGACCAGGTCCAGCTGGAGTGTGTACCAGTTGATAGTTGATAGAAAGCAAGGCATGGTCAGTCTAACTGTAGTTGACAAAATTTTGAGTCATAGAAATTACATTGTCAGCATGAGGTAGAGTGCAAAATATATAGTCAATATGTGTGCGACTACCAGTGGTACTAACAAATGTAGGAAGAGGATCACTTTGAAAACAATCTTGGAATGAAGTAAGAAGTAGATCATTCCAGCACGTATCAATGTTGGATTTACGGTAAATGTCATAGTTGAAATCGCCAGCAATAATTATAGGCAAAGACGTTGACTGTAAATGTGACATTAATGGCTGATTGGAAGATAACGTGCGAAAGAATGTGGATCGACTACTACGCTGAGCAGGAGCATAAATATTGGGGATATACATAAAAGGAATGGAGGGTTCAGAGGCATGAACGGCGGACGCTAAGAGAAAGCGGCCATCAGTAGAATTGAAATTTTAAGGAAACAATGCCACAATGTTCTATCCAAAGACTAGATTTAGTCTGGAACTTGAGGTTGAGCTGTTTCTGTATATTAAGTGTAGATGCGTGTGTTTCTTGTAAGCATAGAATGTCATATTTAGTTGAACGTAGAAAGCGGATGAATAAGGACTGTTTGTAAGGATCTGAAGTTTTCGTAAGGCCACGACAATTAAGGGTGGCAATTTGCATAGAGTCTTTAGGCATAGATTATCTTATTGAAAGTCAGGAGAGGTACCAGTTGATCCACCTGTATTATGATTAGGCACCACTCCATGTCTCTCACCGTCATGATTAAATTTGATCTTTTTACGCTCCTGGATAAACCTTTCTAAGTCCAAAGCCTCTTGGGTTGGATTATTGCTTGGAATATTTTGAAAATATTCATCATCATCCTCTCCATCGGAGTCAATGATTTCTACTTCACTATCTCCTTGCTCTTTCATTTCATGAACCATCAATTCATGCTCGACTACTGTAATACCGTTTGAAAGTGTTTGAATAGTCTCGGTTGCTATTTGACTAAGAGGAACGGTAGTCAATGCAGCAGGAGAGACAATTTACTTAGGCTTCGCACTTTGTGCTAGTTGCTCATTGGGTAGGTTGGAGCCTGATCTACTAGCCTTGTCTTTTGTGATCCCAATACGCTTATTAGGAGGGTGGCCTGATCCATGACTACGACGAGGACAATCACGGCTGATATGACCACGCTCATTGCAGTTATAACAACGACGAGTATTAATGTGTTCCATGCAATCTGCTCGACAATGGTCGGATTTTTGACAAAAACGACAAAATTGGGGCATTTCATCCCACGTAAGCAGAAGTTCACGATCAAATTCGGGTCAATCTACTACTCGACCAAGTTGCTCAGGCTCAGACTTGTGAGGATTGTTCAGGTCAAGAACGACGTAGCCCTGGCCGAAAAATACAGCACCGTCCATATGAAATCCCAGATCTAGGAATTCACCAAAATGGGAAAAACGTTTGGTCATTTGCTCGCGGAGAGTTGAAGGATGAATCAAAGGGAGTCGTTCAACCTTAACTCGAGCAATTTTCGCATTCTGGGGCAAGCTGCGGTAACCTTTGATAATATTATTATCTTCCATCTGCAAACCAGTGTTGATCAACTTATTGTATACTTCTGAGTTGGTGTCCCAGCAAGTTTCAATAAAACGTCTCTGCAAATATTTGCGCTCAACAAGTAAAGTGCCAAAGAAATAATACTCTTCATGGGTATTAAGTAACCCAAGAAACTGTTTAAGGCCATTCACATCACGAATGTTGGTGATATCGATCAATACACTATCTTTCTCTAAACCGACAATATAAGGCGTAATAGTGCCTGAAGAAAGAGTGTTGGTACTAGCATACTTTGACTAGAAAGAACCGGAGGTACGTGTAGATGAAGAAGTAGAAGCCAATGATGACGACTGGTTAGCAGACACAATAGTTCTAGCCGCTACTTGCGACCAAGTTCTGGGTGAATTATCGTTGTTAAGATGCCCTTTGGAGGATGTCATGTTGTGGGTTGGCTTGTTAGGCGAAAGAACCATGAAAGCTTTATTTTGATGCAACAGAATGAAAAACTTGAGTTGGCTTCCATTTCAATCTCCGCAATCTGCCATCTGGTATGTCCTATGTTCATTTGCCCCCATATTTCCACTATAAAGTACCTATATCTTTACTTTTATATGTTCTTTGGCATCCAAAGTAACATAAGATATTTTTAAAAGCCCATAGATAGCACATTTTATATATCATATAGAGCAAATACGCTAAAAACTCTGCTTAAACAAACCTATCTTTGATGTCCCATTACTCGACAACCAGACTACTAAAATGATCTCTAGATGAAATTTATTTTTTGACCGATGGGAGATCCACGAAGGTCTGTGGAGATGAAAAAAAAACAAAACAAAACCCAATGTATGTCTGATCCAACCAAAATCAAGTAAGACCATCTCTAGATACTTTCAGGAAAAAGAAAGCGAGTTTACTAAGATGAAAACATCGACTCAATTTGAGCATTTTCTTCAAATCTGCATTCAAAGTTCATTGCACACTGTAATCAGTACAAAAGAGTAGATATTGATTAGCAAACTGGCGCTTATTCTAGCATCGTCTTATTTGCAAAGCTATTACTAATCACATAAGCACAACCATTCTTCTCTGTATGACAATATGTATCGAAGGAAGATGGTTTTTCATTATCTTAGTATAAGAGCATCAGGAGATGTTTTGAGTATTCAAATGCGTCACACTCTCATAGTCCGCGAAGAAAGTGAACAGGATTAGATGTAGTCCTTTAGAGGACAAGTGATACCATGAGTCACCCTAAGGTTCTTTGTTCTTCAAAACAAGCCAAGTATGGTATTCTTATTAAGGAAAATGAGATACATCTTTAGGTGAAGAGAGTGGAAACCAATGTCGGATAGGAACTTTATTTTAAAGATAAGTGAACGAGCTGTATTAGATGCAGTAGAAAGAATTACCACGCCCTTATATCAAACAACGTTTTATATTTTATTTTTGTGCGTAAGGGACAGTCGATGATGCCTTTTCGTCGTAATCCATATCCTCATTCTCTAAGAAATGTACTGTTACAGCCAAATGGATTAGTCTGGATCAATACTACCAAGTGATGCCCATTGGCATCGAGGACTAAGTGGCAACAGATCACTACATCCTCAAAGACATGCAACCATATTTTAATATTCGGAAAGATAGGCTTATCATGATAAATTTCATAGCACCAGAATGAACAAGGTGGCTTAATTGGCTTTTAAACGATGCTTAGGTTGATACCTAATCAGCCAATTCACTATAAAAGGAAAGTTTATTTTGGTGTAAGCCGAGACCATACTTCATTTGATTTTTTTTTCGTTTTCAGCCCTTCTTTCTTTCTTTTTCTTATCAACAATGTCTGAAGACGATTACGACTATTTATTCAAAATTGTCATTATTGGTGACTCAAGTGTAGGAAAGTCCAATCTCTTGTCGCGTTTCACTGTAAGTAGTCAATTTGAAAAGATGAATAGACTCACAGAGTATAGAATGATGAGTTCAATCTCGAATCCAAGAGCACCATTGGTAAAGTGAAATTAGCAAACTAAATAGATACTCATCTCATACTAGGTGTTGAATTCGCTACCAAGAACATTCAAATCGTAAGTATATATAAATAAATAACGATCTTACTTATGTTATCAGGGCGAACATACCATTAAGGCACAAATCTGGGATACAAGTGGACAAGAGCGTTATCGAGCCATTACAGGCGCGTAAAGTATAGAAACACAGCTTCCAAAAAAGACAAAAAAAAAAACTCATCTCTATTTTATGTAGCTATTATCGCGGAGCAGTCGGTGCTCTTTTAGTGTATGATATTACTCGTCAATCCTCTTTTCAAAATGTTGATCATTGGTTGAAAGAATTACGTGACCACTCTGATGAAAAGATCTCGCTTATGTTGGTGGGTAACAAACTCGATTTGGCAGAGACATCCCGTGCTGTAGCCACAGAAGAAGCAACACAATATGCAGAGGATTCTGAAATGATGTTTTTTGAGACCAGTGCTTTGGATGCTACTAATGTTGATGCTGCTTTCAAAACAGTATTTGAACGCATTTATGAAAACATGCCTAAATCCGTCGCTAAATCAGATAACAACAATGTAAATATTACTGGTCAAAATACTATCAAGCTTACACCACCTACCAGTGCTAACACAACAGCACCTACTGAAGCAACTGCTCGAGGTGTAGAAGAAAAGCCTACCAGTGGTGGTGGTTGTTGTTAATTATTGTTATTTTTTTTTATTATTAATTTGATTCCATAAAGTGATAAAGACGTCAAAAAAGAAAGAAAGAAAAGAGAGTTGTTGCTTTTTATTATTTTTAAGAATGGTAATAAATAGAAGATAAAAAAAAAAAAATAGAGTGATAAAGCCATGGATTATAAATTGTCTTCCATTAAAATATCACCTGCTTCATCCATATAAGAAGTTAATTCAGCGTCAAGTTTAGCCTGTGCAGTCTTGGGGTCCTTCATCATATAAGAATCCATAGCTCTATCTAAATCTTCAGCTGTAACTGGCTTCTTTTTCTTTTGCGTCTTTGGCATCTGTTTCTTTGCTGGTTGCTTTTTATTCGTGACTTGAACACGCGATTTCTTTTGCTCAACGTTTGCCTTCTTTTTGTTGATACCACCACCTACTGTCTTACCAAGACGGTTTTGGATATTATTGTTGGTACGGTTTACTTTAGCACCACGAAGACGACTAAAGACACTACCAGACGCAGCTCCTTGGCCTTTACTATTGTTGTTGTTGATATTCGTGATAGTTCTTTGAGGCGTCTTTTGAGCCAATTGACTAAAGCTGTTGAAACTTGATGAGACATCCATAGTCTGTGGCCATGGTTGAGCTTACCGTTCATTCAATCCACCTTGACCATAAGACACTGTACGAGCATTTGTAGTAGCAAGTTGGCTGTTTACTCTACGATTATTGTTGTTGTATGGCATCTATTGAACATGAGTCGAGTGTTATAGATATATGTATACACACATACACACACATACTATATAGCACCTAGTTTGTTTTGTGTCTAATCAGAAATACACATTCCATCAATATACCCTAGATGCCATACTCTCGTGCACGCGTGTATATATGTATATGTATTTACTTACGGTAGGATGAAGGGCGATGCGAAAAAAAAGAAAAGAAAAAAAAGGAAAAAACCAAAAGGATAAAATGGAAGTAAATGGAAAATGATTGGTGAATGATTCTGATTGGTTCATTTCTCAAACCTCTATACTTCACCCAGAAAAATTGTTTGCTATTGTGACTACTTTCTGTCATTTTATTAAACATTGCATGATAGATCCTTTTTTTTTTGTCAATCCATCAATAAACAACAAGCTATGATTATGAAGAAGTCCAATTCAAGACATTTCTAGCTTGATTTTAGGAAGCAAATTGTACTCTATAAAAAATTTGAGTACAAATAGTCAAATGCTTTGGTCTTTGATGTTTGGCCAATTGCTTTTCGACATACTATTTCTATTCAAAAGGGACACAAAGCATTGAGAAGCGCATGCTACAATAAGGTCTACCTTCCGAATAGGCTTTTTTTTTTTCCTGGAATTACTGTACTTTATAAGAGTTTCGTAAGCGATGATGCTAATCCTATTTCACTTAAGGTTATTGCTCTTTGTCACGCTTGATTTGAGTATTGTTTAAAGAATATGCATGAAAAGATCCGAGAGTTCACTTGATGAAATTCAACTCTGACAAATACATAATAGTCTTAGAAAACTTCAATTATGAGGATTATATAGGGATACGTCATCATTTCAAAGTTGAAAGACAGCATGAATGGAAGGTAAAGCCAAAAAAGAAAAAGAGGCTTCGGAGATGTAAACAAGTTAGCAGGGACTTTTTTTTTTCCCTGCTGCGAATTTTTTTTTCTGTTTCTTTTTGCCTTACATTCTATACACCATGTTCCTTCGTCCTACCGCCATCTTATCTGCTGCTTCCAGAGCAGCTGCTGTTCAACGTCGTGTTGTTGCTCCTGCTGTTTTCTCTCGTATGTACGCTTCTCTTCCTAAGGAAGATGTCCAATCTCGCGTTCTTGACGTTGTCAAGAGTTTTGAAAAGGTCGATGCTGTCAAGGTAAGAAAAAAAAATGTAGGTCTATTTGACATATCACTCACACGAAATACAAGGTGACACCTGAGTCCAGCTTCATTAAGGATCTCGGTTTGGACAGTTTGGATACAGTTGAAGTTGTCATGGCCATTGAAGAAGAATTCTCTGTTGAAATTCCCGATAAGGATGCCGATGCTATCCACAGTGTCAAGCAAGCCATTGACTACATCACTTCTCGTGAAGATGCTCAATAAAGTCTTTTTTTTTTAATTCTTAAACAAATGATCAAACGCTTCACTGCATCCTCTATCATTCAACCATTGTTGCAACATACAGAGATCATTATGATTAGCGAATTTACCATGGATGTCAAACTTGACTTCTTGCATATCTTTAAATAGGCGATGTGAGTCTAACTCAGTTTTGTCTTGACAGTTAACTATTTGTTTCCAACGTGATGCCATCTTTTTGTGGCTGGCAGGAATATCAGCCCAGGAAATGGTCTTAATATCATTCACGAATTGAGCAATTTGTTTCTCGGGTCCTTCAAGACACATACATCCTGGTTTTCCTGGACAAAGAAAGCCAGTGATGTTATATTTAGGAGCCCAATCTACAATATGACCACGCTTTTCTCGAGTGTAAATCATAGGAAACCTATGTATCATGAGTCATCATCTCAATCCATAACTCTCTCCTTGAATACCATATCCAATCCCTAAGAAAACGAACGGGTTCTTTGGCCAGTGCTTGTTCTCTTTGAGCCTGTTGATGCGTCCTATCAAGCCAAGCTAAGGCATAAGGTTCAGCTATGGTTTGCAACTGTTGCATCTTTTCAATGATACATGTAGACCGCTCTGCCTCTATCTCAATACCATGAAGCGCATGTACCAGTGCTTCATGGTCATCTCTTGATAACCATAGGTTCAGTGTTGAAGGTAGATCCAGTTTATAGTCATCTGACACAAGTGAGATGCGACCATAGAATGTCAAATAGAGTTGATAACCTTCTTCTGTTTGGTTCTCTACTCGATCAATAGGTGCCTTTATATAGAATTCGAGTTGTTGAACATCAGTTGTGAATGTGTTGTTTTCTATATTCGCTTGTAATTCTTGGTAATGAACTGCATCTTCTGATTGCTTAAATTCGAATTCCTTGTCAAAATAAATAGACTGTAACAAGTCTATTGTATTGATTGCATCTATCAGTGTCTCTTTCATCTATAAGAAAATACACAAAAAAAAAAAATCTTTCTTCCCTGAGATCAAAGGAAGCATTACTTTTGAGCCAATCATTGTGTATATTTTATTGCCCTAGATTTCTTCATATTCATACAAGACACCCATGCCTTCTTTAGGCGTCAAACCCATCTTACGCATACGATCAGCTTCAATGCGTTCTCGATTGACTCGAGCCAATTCTTCAATCTTTTCTTTTGTTAATTGTAAAGCAGGTTGACGTGATGATTTTGCTCGAGCTGCTTGACGATGTTGTAGTCTATACTATCGTAAGACATCATAGAAGCAATAAGGATTCTCTACCTTAATTGTTCTTCATCTTTTTTAAAGTCGAATTCTTCACTTGTCATGGTAATACTTTCACCCATTCTTAATGCTTCTTGACGTCTCTCCCAAGCATGAAGGTTATAGAATCTATTCAGTATGAGTTCATGCTTTTGCCTTACACATACTTTTCATGAGGCATAGTAGCTGTATTGTAATCCTCCATAAAATCAATAAACATGTCTTTACGCTTACTGTTACTGAGTGTCTCTACATTGGCTGTCTTGACTTCAATTAACCAAGCTTGAAATTCCTAATCGTTCTGTCTAAATCCTATATACATGCATGCATTGTGTGTTACTTACAGCTTCTTTTGTAAAAATGCTATACATATATATATATATCAATCTACGCATTCGATGTCATCATGTCACCTACTCTGCTTCATGAATAATACCATATTTCCCCCATTGATCACCCACAGCAGATAATGTAGGCTTGTGTTTTCTCTATTTTACATGTCAATCCATTGCATTGAATCCGCTTTTATATATATACTTTTGATGTCTTGTGCTTCTTATCTTTTTATGTTTTTTGTGTCTTCTTTTATGATGGTCTGAGCTAGAATCAGATGAAGCATATCGTCTATCCGAGTGACTATCATGTTTATCGCGACCTTCATGTCTTCTTCTATGCCCTAAAGGTGACCTACTGTGTCTTTTTCTTTTCTTCCTATCAGGAGAAACCGAACGTCTTGACTTGGAACCCATATAAAAAAGAAAAGAAAGAAAAACATATATCTCTGTGTGACTTGTGTTCTATTTCTTCCGATCATAAAGATTGTCAAAAAAAAATAGTTTTTCTCTCTCCCTCTCTCTCTTTTATTTTATCATGTTTATGAAAAAGCACGCTCAAGATGATGATTTCGAATCTCCTCGTAAAATTATTACTGAGAGTAATGTCGACTATTTATCCTATAAGTTTGATGAAATGGATTTAGCTGCTTCATGGCGAGTCTTGACTAAACAGAAAATGACGATTGTCAATGGTATTCGACTTGAAAATGCTTCTTGGAGAACATGGGCTAAGCAAAGAAATAACCTAAAGACAGTGAGTCCCGAGACTTTGAATTGGTAATTCTATCAAAGAAATCTATTTTTTTGGTCTGACTTTTTTTTTTTTAGGTTAAAAGACAGTGATGTAACATGGCTTTATGGTCCTTTGCATACAGTGATTAAAGATATGGATGAACAAGATAGATATGCTAAACCCAAAGTATCCACTACAGAAGATACATTAGGACTCATGACACAACAACAACAACAACAACAACCACAACAAGAACAAGAACAAGAACCTTTAAGGAAATCAACACCTGAACCCACTGTCAGACCCAATGCTTCCCCTCTTCAGAATGGCAAACCATTAAAATCAGCATTGAAGAAAGTGACCATGTCTGACATATTAAAACGGTCTGTTTCTGAACTACAGATCCATAATGAACCTGATAAAATAGCTGGTATTTCTATCTCTGAAGCAAACCAACAACTCGGCGCATTTTCACCTGCTGTGATTGCAAGTCATCGTCAGCCTAAATTACGGTTCAATCAATATGTTGAACAATGTGTTGCTTTGTCTTCAAGCAGTGAAGATGGAAGTAGAAAAAAGACATCGCGTATGCATATGGCTCATTTAAATGACGAAACAACCACTAATGATGAATATGATGACGACGAATATGATCCTGGAGAAGATTCAGATGCGGGTAGCCTCATCATGATGCGTAAACCATCTCGAATGCACTCTTCCATCAAGAAAATAGAACCTGCTTTACTCAAGACAAATTCTCGTTCTGAAGACTCGGTTGATTCAGACACTTCTGAAAACGAGATCATTCCTACTTGTTCCCATCATTCCTTTCGCCATAAAAAGCATCGTCATCGTAGCCATAAAACACACCACAATCATCATGAGGACTGGGATGCAGAAAGTGCAGAATCAGATGCTTTTGTGAACCATATTATTCAAGTCTCTAAAGGCAAACAGCCCATTCCGATAGACTCAAATACAACAGAATGGAATCAGACCTATGAACAATCCAAATCAGACTATGATTATGTATTTGATGATGATGATTGGGATACACATAGTGAACATATGGACGATTTCCCTCCTTCTTCTTCTTCCTCTATCCAGATATGCAAAGCACCTGCTGTCAGTCAGACAACATCGCCTAGCCCTAGAATAGAGAAAAGTAAGAGCAATACAACTGCAGCAGAAGACATTCATTCACACCAGCAAAGCAATTCACTGCTGAACAGTATTGCGAATTGGGCATCATCTCATATTTGGCCATCAGATAAACACGATTAAACTATGACCACTATATTTCCCCTCCCCCCTCTCTCTCTTCCCTCTCAAAAAAGAAAAGGAGCCTTTTTATTATTATTATTATTATTATTATTAAAGCAATGCTCTAATATGTGCTTATGGGTCATTTTTTATAGAATCATCAAGCACAATTAAACACAGATTTCCTTATTTAGAGGATTGAAAACAACCTTTATGCTATTCAAAACAACCCCTTTTTTTAGTTTCTTTCTCTTTCTCTTTTCTTATATATTTCATGGCCATATTTAAAAGCAAGAAAAAGCATCCTCCGATAGATACAAAAAGTAATAAAATGCAACATGGAACGTAATATTGATTTTTATAACAGCCACTGTATCCTCTTCTTCTTCTCCTTTAAGCTCAACTGGCAGTCTTAAAGACAAACCATCGCATGCTGAAATTGATAGACTATTTGAAGAAGCAGCTGTATGTATTTTAGATGTGCATGCATAATCTCATTATCTGTCATAGTCTCGACTGAACATCAATATTCATGATACAAGTGTCAAGGAATTAACGACAGATAAAAAATGGTTTATTTTATGCAATGAAAGTGCACTGACTTCTATGGGTACTGTTGTTGGCAAAAAGAATTCCAGTCACAAGAGTTATCCAAACACGACCTCGAGTAGTACAGGCTTAATCCAGTTTGGAACAGAAGAAAACGAACTCTTGTCTCCTATGCATTATATCAGTTGCTTATTGGACCAAGAATCCAAGATTGAATTGCGCTCTAAATTAGTATCTGATCTTTCGGTTCGATTAAGAACCATGCCTATTCGGTTAGTTTGGTTTGTCTGTCAGGTGTATAGTCTATTGACATGTATTTTAGATGGGCACAGGAATTCATTGAGAGAGATGGTATTAAAGCACTTTTTGATCAACTGAGTTTAATCAATAAGATAAATTCAAGGTAAATAAATAGAAAAGAGGATAAAGTATAACTCGTCATTAGGAACCAAAGAGAATGTCAACTTGAATTAGAGATCATTAAATGTCTACGCCAATTGTTTAATAACTATGTAAGTCAGAGGAGAAAGACGAACACGGGCTAACTTATCCCCTTAGTATGGTATTCAACAAGTCATTAGTGATCCAGCTTATATTATCACCTTAACACAGTCTATTTTGTCACCTTCTTTGTCCACACAACGACTTGTATGTGATGCCTTAACATTCATGTGCTATTTTGAACAACCTAGAGGCCATGCGATGGTCATACAGGGCATGGATACCATTAAAGAAAGCCGAAATGATTATGGCCGATTTGATGCTTGGCTCAAGACACTCCTTACTGTTCTGGAGGGTCGCGGTAAGATGGGATCTATTGTAGGTGCCAGTACCGATGTACGACAAATTGCGTCTAAAAAGAACCCTGATGTACCTGTGACAGAGTATGCCGTAATGTATTGTGCTTGAACCCGTCTTTGTAAGAGAAACACTCACACTTTGTTTGTCTTAGTTAGCCAATCTTCTGCTACTTCTTGCCATGATTGACCCAGACACCATTGAAGACCGAGATAAGCGCATCACACTACGCAACCAACTCTACCAAGCAGGACTTTCTCAAGTGATGGAAAAAATGCGTCTGTTTCATAACGAACTGATCAATCTGAAACTGGAAGAGTTTTCTGAACTCGAAGACCATGATGCGATTGCACATATGGCTTTACGCGATGAAAGCACAGAGCCAGACGAAATGTTAGACACCATTCTAGGCTCCATTCGAGGCACACGCGCCTATGATTCTCTGTTACGACTGATGCAGCATTTGCTGGTCTTACAATGTGATTCAGAGACCAAGAATCGATATTATCAGTTGATAGAACATTTTGTGTCTCAGATCATTTTGGATAGAAAAGGCGTCTCGAACAGTTTTGCTAATACTTATGGACTGACAGTCAAGGACTTGATCGCCAAGTTTGCAGAAGAAGACGAGTTAGAGATGGCTTTACAAGAAGTAGATGAAGCAAAAGAGATAGCAAGAAAAGCACTTGAAAGAGAAGCAGCTTTACGACTTCAGGTAGACTTGAAAGCAGGTAAAGTAGAAGCATGATCCTAGACTCCCGTGAAACTCATCAGCTTAGATGGACTTGTTGGCAAGTACCGTGTCAAGAATGAAGCATTGGAACGAAGTCTTCGCATTGCCAACCAAACAAACGCTGTACTTCAACAAAAACTAAATGATATTGAGTCAGATCATAGAAGGACACTTGAATTCATGGACAATCAAATCAAACGGTTGTATCAGACTGTCTGCATGCTTGTTGCTAAAACCAATGAGAAACCAGAACCTGTAGGTGAACAGCATATGTACTAGTCAAAACTCATTTGATTTCTAGACTGAATCGTTCGAAACCATCAAGTCCAAAATAAATGATGAACTAGTCCAACAAAGAAGAAGAACGAAGCCATTACCTATACCCAAGAAAAAGCCATTGCCTCAAAAGGACGACACCCCACCAGTAACCCCTATAAATACGATAGCATCACCTTCTTCTGGACCCATAGACGCTGCATTTGAACCCACGCCACCACATACACCACCCAACAAGACACCCAATCATACTTTATCATCAAGACCTTCTAACACACCTCCATCATTAAATGAGATAGCTGTCTCTTCATCTGTCTCCTTAGATACGTCTATACCTCCTCCACCCCCTCCTCCTACATTACCAGGATCTATCACCAATACTATTACTTTGTCTGAAAATGCTGTACCTCCTCCACCGCCGCCACCGCCACCACCACCACCACCAATACTTGCATCTAATATCAATTCAAATACGACAGGTCTTGTTGGACCCCCTCCCCCTCCCCCTCCTCCACCTTTACTTTCATCTACAAACACGCCTCCTCCCCCTCCTCCACCGCCACCACCCATGCTTGCATCTACAATCACATCTCCTCCCCCTCCTCCACCGCCTCCAACTGCTCCCTGTTCAACACCATCTCAACCATCTAAAGAACTCCATCAATCCAAACAAAAACTTAAATTCGTTGAATGGGAAAAAATCAACCGTCGCCAACTTGGAGAAACCATTTGGGAACATTTAGAACAAGACACAGATGACGATGATGATGAACCTGTCCAAGACGTGGACTTGTTTGATAACCAGTCCCTGATTACAAAAATGTCGAGAGCAGATGTGTTTTCATCAATTGAAAAGACGTTTGCTCAAAAACCTGCTGTGGATCTCTCCAAACGTAAAAAGAAATCAACTGATATGATTGAGTTATTAGACCCTAAAAAAGCCTATACGATGAGTATCTTTATTACTGGTTTACTCAAAGATGTGCAAGTAACTCGGTTATCTGATTATGTTATGGACATGGCACCGTGTATTGCGCAAGAACATGTATTGGACAACTTGATTAAATTTGCACCTGAACCTGATGAGATCAGCGCATTAAAGCAATATACGGGCGATCCAGAGAAATTATCAGTGCCTGATAAATTATCATTGGAAATGATACGTATTCCTCAATTTAAGTTAAGAATGCAGTGCTTGTTATTCAAGATGACCTTTTGGGATAAAGTGGACGAATTAGAAAAGGTAAGCGTACAACTCAATGAACATAACTGATGACATGATAGGATATGGCCTGTATCTTAGATGCATCCAATGCGTTAAGACATGCTAAACAGTTTAAGAAACTATTACAAATGATTCTTGTCTTGGGTAATTACATGAATGGAAATACAAACAGAGGAGGAGCATTTGGTATTAAAATCTCGAGTATCAACAAGGTAAAAATACAAAAAAAAAGGAAGAGATGTTTAACTCTGACAGATCATTGATACAAAAGGAAATTCGTCTACGACTTTAATGCACTTCCTTGTTGAGACAGTAGAAAAGAGTTTCCCTAAAACAACAAGATTTTTAGACGAATTACATGATTGCGAACAAGCAAGCAAAGGTATTTGTCTATTAAATAGAACGACACTAACCCTATTTTGTTAGTCAATCGAGTGGAACTCAATCAAGATTTCTCTACCATGAAACAAGAATTAAGCTATTTTGACAAATTAGAGGATATAGACCCATTTACACACATCATGAAAGCATTTCAACAAGAAGCACAAGTGAAATTCAAGCAGATACAAGAATTACAGCAAGCCTATGAAGAAGCGTATCAGAAAGTAGTATCATTTTATGGAGAAAATCAAAAAATACAACCCAATGATTTCTTTAGCATCTTTCAGACATTCAGAATGAATTGGCAGGTAAGTGATTCATGACACAAGCCTTATGCTAATCATGCTAGAAATGCTCTCATGAACTATTCACTGCCCAACAAACCCGAGAAAGACTAGAAGCACAAAAGCAGTATGAAGCAGAACGTAGAAATCAAGCAAGACATGGTATCACCAGCAGTAAAGGCAAAGGCATTGATATGAGTGACTGTAAGTATCTTATTTTGTCATTTTGTTTATTCAATTGGGTCTTTATAGACACACTTACGACACACCATGACTTGATCATGGAAAACCTATTCGCTAAACTAATGATGAGCCGAAGAGAGTACAAAACTAAAGAGAAACTTCAAATGTTACGTCAACAGCCAATCATGCCCAGTGAATTAGATGCAACTGAAATTCTTCAATCTATCAAGTGTGAAAATTAACCCTCTTTTTTTTTTTTTTTTTTTTTTTTTTTTTTTTTGCTGTTGTTGTTGTATGTTACCCTTTTTCTCACATATACCAAATAAATGAAATACAATACACATACGTATGCTCTTGTGTCTACTATTACTTTTGTTGTAGCCTTTGTTGTTTCTTTACGATCATTTTTATACTCGGATATATGGACTACTTGTTATTCTCAAGATCCAAGTTCGATACTCTCTACCAACCAAATATGTAGTCAAAGTTATATAGCGGCTTACTTTTCTCATGTCGAATCTCGAAAGATTAGTTTATTGGTATACAACTCGAGTCGTAACATCAAGCTGATTATCATAGGCTCATGTCAACATGACTATATGTGGATCACTCCTCATCGGACAAGGTATCATCAAGATGGTCTTTGGGGAATTGTGGCCTATGGAGAGTCAGGTAAATAAATAAATAAAAACAAGACAAGTTGTTTGTGATTGACAAGACAAGGATAGCACATGTATGATCGCATGTTGAACTTTTTGTTATTCAAGGTGATATTCATTGGCGCAGTGATGGACCCTGTTTGGAGACATATTTTACGCTTATCGATGTGGATTGGTGTATTGGGGTTTATGCGTATTTTTAGTCTGCTAAGTCGAGATCGATTAGATAATGTAAAGGACAACGTATGTGTTACCTGAACTGACTGTGATATCTATAGTTGACAACAGTAGCCTTTGTTTCTTTACGGAAATACTATAAGATTACAGTCTTATTATCTACTATTCTATTCAGTAACATTATTTGGTATGTAGGATCACTTTATCTGTTTCCTACTTCATTAGCATTTCTTACATTGGAGGTAAAGATTTAACTTATGAAAACTTTGATATTGATCATGACTTTAAGTTTTTACCTGTTGTGTTGGATACAACTCAAGTATTGATCAAATACATGACACATTTAATGGATCAATGGATAGAGAATGGGTTTGAAGGCAAGCGTCTGATCAATTACTATACAGAATTAGGCGCAGAAGTCTTAATTCTCGGCTGTACTTTATTGCAATACCTTCAATTGATAGTAAGTAGACATATACTCAATAGACACAGATGACTGATGATACCCAAGTGGATGCATGGTGTGTCTTTTGGACTAGTAGACATTGTCTTGTTTCTCAATGTACGAAGTGTATTGAAGAACTTGTATCAAAAGGTTGTTATTTACCGTGAAAGATGGAAAGCAATGTCTTATGTTCGAGATCGCTATGTCAATGCCTCTGCTGAAGAATTAGCGAAACACAATGATGATTGTGCTATTTGTCGCGAAAAGATGAAGACAGCAAAAAAGTTGGCCTGTGGTCATTTATTTCATTTGTGAGTATCTTTCTGTGGATGTAAGATAATTAACCCATCCTAGACATTGCTTGCATTCTTGGATACAACACCATGTCTCTAAACCAACATGTCCTACCTGTAGAAGGCCTTTATCACCACCTTCCCATCTAAACAATGATGATACCATCGGCTTATTGTAAATTCCTATTATGTACACACAATTCCTTTTTTTTTTTATTTTTTTTTCATAGTTGTATACAATCTAATTTCTCTTTCTCTTATTGTCCAGGAGCAGCCATCTAGAGAATGATAAGCATATACAGTGAAGTGTATCTACACTTACATTTTGACTAAGTTCTGCAAAACGAGTACCCACTCTTTCAGAGTGTTTTAAGAATTTATCAGCACACTTGTTAATACAACTTTCCTATACAGAGATTCAAATCAATAAGCCATCTTCTTTTTGTATATGCATTACTTCTTTGCTATTCAAAGACTTGGTAGTAAAGTCATTAGCACAATCATCAAAACAACGTTGAACCAAATTGCTGTAAAGTCTCATGAAATCCTTCATCTAAACATATGATTCATAAGCTTATTCATCGCTTTTGTTGTTCTTACTTGCTTGTGTTCAATCATGGCAGCAATCTGAGCCTGCTCGGCTTGGTTGAAACGAGAGAAATCCATGGCTTACTTTTGATAAAAATGAAAAAAGAACAAGGGTAAATGCACTCACAATGTCAACGCTGTTCATGCTGCATTCTAAAAAAATTGACGTCACATACGAGTCACAACATGGAGGTCGACAAACTTTTCTTTTTGGTATCAAATATAGGCGCACACACGAGGGAAAGCATGGCTTAGTACTACCCTTTTTATAAAACGCGTCAAAGTATATTTAAAGATATAGGTTGTTTGTTGTTATGCAAATTTAGAAATTCACCTCATTACAGCTGATCCCAAATTCCGAGATTGATATAGAGATGCACAGATACAAATGGCACATGTTTGGTTAGTACTGGATTTAAATTGAATAAATGAAATCGACAACTTCTCTCTCTCTATCTCTATCTCTATTTCTCTCTCTTTAAAAGGAGCTCTTTTTTTTTCCTATTTGTAGTGGCTAGAAAGCATAAGGAAAATAACAGATAAGCGTCTGCATCCATGGAAACATAAACAATGCGTGTTTACGCGCGTTTGTTTTTTTTTATCATAGTAACCAATTTAGTGATTACTTTTTATTTTATTTCTCAGACTCTATTAAATAAAAGTAGAAACGCGTTTGATTGGCGAGTTATTTTAGGATCACCAGCCCGCGGAATGCAAAAGGGCATTGTTAGGGACGGTCGCGGGACAGTATTTTTAGTTGTCCTCTAATAGAATCCGCGGAAATTAGGTTGGCTTTTTTTTATTGTTTGTTATATAAATAGGACTCATTTGAACAAGTTGTATTTTCCCTTCTCCTCTTCTCTAATCTCATCATCTCTTATAACAAAACATGTGTGGTATCTTTGGGTAAGTGGGTCTATCTTGCTAGTGTGATTTCTAACGCGTATAATATAGTTACTGTAACTTTCTCTGTGAAAAGTCTCGTCGTGAAGTATGTGATACTCTCTTGAACGGTCTCTCTCGTTTAGAATACAGAGGTTATGATTCTGCTGGTAAGAAGAGAGATAAGAATGAACTGAATTGTTTCTAATCATGAACAGGTTTCGCTGTTGATGGTGATAACGATGATATTCTCATCATGAAGCAAGTTGGCAAGGTCTCTGCCTTAAGAAAACTTGTTGATGAACAACCTCTTGACTTTAGCAAGCCTTGCATCAGTCAATGTGGTATGGCTCATACTCGTTGGGCTACTCACGGTCAACCTTCTCAAATCAACTCTCACCCTCAACGTTCTGATGAAAGCAACGAATTCGCTATTGTCCACAATGGTATCATCACCAACTACAAGGAAATTAAGCTCTTGCTCGAAAAGAAGGGTTACGTCTTTGAAAGTGACACTGATACTGAATGTGTTGCCAAGTTGACCAAGTACATCTTTGAATCTCACAACAAGGAACTCAACTTTAATGAATTGGTCAAGGCTGTCGTCAAGGAATTGGAAGGTTCCTATGCTTTCATCTTCAAATCCACCCACTTCCCTAACGAAGTTGTTGCTACCCGTCGTGGTTCTCCTCTCTTGATTGGTGTCAAGACTGCCAAGAAGCTTAAGGTTGACTTTGTTGATGTTGAATTTGGTGGTAACCCTGCTGACAACAGCTGTAAGTTATACTAGAGTAAGGGAGAGAGAGAAGATGTGTATTAATGTTTGTTTTTAGTTGCTGCTGTTGAAGGTCAAGATGGTTCTCGTCCTGCTTTGAACCGTTCTCAATCCAGAGCTTTCTTGAGTGAAGATGGTTTGCCTCAACCTATTGAATACTTCTTGGCTTCTGATGCTTCTGCTATTGTTGAACACACCAAGCGTGTTTTGTACTTGGAAGATGATGATATTGCCCACATTGCTGATGGTGGTAAGTGTATTACCCCTTTTTTTAATATATAGCTGGTTGCTAAAAATATCATTTTTTCATTTTAATTTTAGAACTCCACATTCACCGTGTTCGTCGTGCAAAGGAAGACAACACACCTGCTACTCGTTCTATCCAAACCTTGGAAATCGAATTAGCTGAAATCATGAAGGGCTCTTTTGATCACTTTATGCAAAAGGAAATCTACGAACAACCTGAATCTGTTGTCAACACCATGCGTGGTCGTGTTAACTTTGAAAACCATGAAGTCACTTTGGGTGGTCTTCGTGGTTACACCAACATCATTCGTCGTGCTCGTCGTATCATTTTCATTGCCTGTGGTACTTCTTACCACTCTTGTTTGGCTGTTCGTTCCATCTTTGAAGAATTGAACCAAATTGGTACTCAAGCTGAACTTGCTTCTGACTTCTTGGACAGAGCCTCTCCTATTTTCCGTGATGATGTCTGTGTCTTTGTCTCTCAATCTGGTGAGACTGCTGATACCATCTTGGCTATGCGTTACTGTTTGGAACGTGGTGCTCTCTGTGTTGGTGTCACTAACACCGTTGGTTCTTCCATCTCTCGTGAAACCCACTGTGGTGTCCATATCAACGCTGGTCCTGAAATCGGTGTTGCTTCTACCAAGGCTTATACCTCTCAATACATTGCTTTGGTCATGATGGCTCTCCAGCTTTCTCAAGACACCACCTCTACTCAAAAGAGACGTGAAGAAATCATTGATGGTCTTTACCGTTTGCCCGGTCACATCAAGGAAGTCTTGGCCATCGATAGTAAGCTTCAAAAGCTCGCTTTGGATGATTTGGCTCAAGAAAAGAGTTTGTTGATCTTGGGTCGTGGTTACCAAAACGCCACCTGTCTCGAAGGTGCTTTGAAGATCAAGGAAATCTCATACATTCACAGTGAAGGTATCTTGGCTGGTGAACTCAAGCACGGTCCTTTGGCTTTGATTGATGAACACATGCCTGTCATCTTGCTCATGACTCAAGACAGTCTTTACCCTAAGGTTCAATCTGCCCTTCAACAAGTCGCTGCTCGTAAGGGTAACCCTATTGTTATCTGTAACACTGGCGATCAAAACTTGGTCAACAACCACAAGACCATTGAAGTTCCCAAGACCAGTGATTGTTTGCAAGGTTTGATCAACATCATTCCTCTTCAATTGCTTTCTTACCACCTTGCTATCTTGAAGGGTGTTGATGTTGATTTCCCTAGAAACCTCGCCAAGTCTGTCACTGTCGAGTAAAGAGACTTTTTAAATTTTTTTCTTTCTACATCATTGCATCCATTTATACACACCCACACCCACAGAAGCATTTATATATATTTCTCACAAAAAAATATTCATTTTTGTTCATTTCCCCATCTATACACACGTACCTTTTTTTAAAAAAATAAAATAAAGATACAGTTACAGTCTATTCACAAGGAAAAAAAAAAGTCATTCAGTGCCTGACTCTTCAGTTGACTTACTAAATTTAGATAAGTGGTTCACTGTGTGTATATGTTTATGTTTTTGATCCTTGCATTCGGTATTAAATATACGTTCGGTCAATAAGTTGCATAAACAACCAAAAGACTTTCAAAGTTACTGAGGATCTTTATAAACAAAATGAAACCAAGCTCAGCTAAGTGAACGAAAATGATAAATAAGGTCATATGCACCATGAACGCTTAAGCAAGTATGACTCAATCAATCCTTATGAGACATTACTTCTTTCTTTTTCTTTTTCTTTTTTTCTTTTTTTTCTCTTTGTCTTGTTATTGATATTTATATATCAAACAACCATTATCTATTTTGAAGTGATAGGGATGCGACAAGATAGAGGCACAAAAGAAGACCTCTTTGGGCCTGTCATGACCAATGATGAACACTCAAGAGGAGTATGTTTATCTATGCATGTGGATTCTCATTAGAGTCAATTAGTTTAGTGTTATTTCACGCAGCAATTCTACGCCAACTCGCAGGAGCCTGCAGTCTTTCCGTACTAGTCGTGGCATACCCTACTCTTATACCGAAAGACGTGCCTCTGTATCTCTCGTTTCGCCATTCAAATCGCCTTCTTTATCGTTTTCTCCTCAAGCAGAACTATTATGTTGGTACATGTTAAACAAATCCGTAGTTACTTAATTCTCTAGTCTCTTCTCGTTCACAACGATCCTTGAATGGACGTAAAACTGAATTTTCTTCCAGTTTTGAAAGGTTCTTGAAGAACAACTCATTTGATTCTGGTGACAGTACAAGGAAGCGAAGAGGGTCACGTGCAAGTGATTGTATCTTACTTGATATGGTTGGTTTTTTTTTTTGAATAGACACGTTTATACGTTTTAAACATGGATAGGAATGCAAAGAGGATTATCAAGAAGAAGAGGAAGGGCTAGAAGATTTTATGAAATTTATTGGTGCTCAACAAGAGCTCAAGATGTTTCAACGTACGACAACAAAATTCATGATACAAAACAAAGAGAACTATGAACCTACAAGAGTAAAACAAATGATTGTTGAGCCATGATACTCATCCTTTTCTTGTAGCAACCACTGTCTCATTTTCGACATTTACAAGAATCACATAATGTCTTGTCTGAATCAATGTCATTCAGTGAGCCAAAAGAGCCATTAAATAGCTATGGCTTAAAAGAAGAGAATGAATTTCTAGGACACCAAGTATTCTATGATCATCCACGCTGTACTTTGGATCAAGTTCAACATACTACCATATCACCTTTAAAAAATCGTAAAACACCTCCTTTACCTCCACCCATCATGCCACAATGTAAAAACAACAGTAGCATAGATGATGATGATTCACTTGTGTTCAGAATGAGTGAATTGGGTGGATACGAAGATCACAGTGTATGCCATCACTCAAAACATGAGACAAAACAAAAGGCTAGGCAGAACGGAAGTTTGTCTTTTTCAAATAATTCTGTTTTTAACAAAAAGACAAATGAACAACAAGGCACCTTATTGACATATCCATTGTTTTATTATCAACCTTGAATGTTTGCTTAAATAAACAAGTACATCATCAGAAAGTTTAAAAACGTAAATTTTCAAAGTTTCATACTGTTTTTCCAGGTATATATACATAAGATGGAAGAAAACAAGAAAGAAAGAACATAAGCAAAGTACATGTGTTATTGTTTGTTCCTGTACTTATGATTTAATCTTGACTATAGACAAAAACGGAACATTATAAATACACTTATAGAAAAGGAACTTGGCTTTATCAATGTACAATGCTTCATTTTCTTCTTATTTTTTTATTCGGAACTTTATCTTTAGATGCAATTGCATTGAAAACTCAAAATACATCCATATGCTTGGATAGCAACTTTGAAGCTTTTGTGGACAAAAACACTAATGCACACACATGGAATTCATGTCAATGGACACACAAAGACATGATACTTCACCCATCATATCTCCGATTTCCTTCAAGCGAAGACCCAAACGACACACAACCGCAATCAGCACCATTTGATATCGCATTTCGATGCTATCATGTACCAGATGAGATATGCCAAAAGGCAGAAAGAGCCTTTAAGAAAGCAGGCGAGATTATAGCCAGTGTCATTTTATTTCGAGAATCAGTGCGAGTGAACGCAACATTAATGTCATTTTGTGCGGTAGGCAATGAGTGTAACAAAAAAATGATGACGTTGGGCGGTTCTTCTCCTGCTCGCGCCATGCCTTTAGTCAATGATGATGGATTGCTTAGGCTACATCCTCAAGCACTTGTAAAGCAGTTTGGGCTATCTGATCATCCGGCTTTTGCGCCTTATGATATCTTGAGTGTGTTTAATGCAGATGCGCCTTTTTGGTTTGAAGTAAGTCTTGAAGTTTCCAAGTGATGTGCTCACAATAACGATAGGAAGATGGCTTGGCTATTGGTCCAAATCAAGCGGATTTTACTTTTGTTGTGCTTGTAAGTTTAACTTTATATAATGTCTGCTTATATGCTGTGTCTATCATAGCATGAATTTATGCATGGTTTAGGTTTTTATTCTGGATGGAATCAGTATATTTCTTCAAAAGCATTAACACCGGATCCTTCGCCCTTTTTGGCAAACCAGCTCCTTCTTTTGATGAATCCAATGACAAATGCCATTCATCCTAGTCAATTCTTGGAAAGTGCTATGGATAGACTGATGGGTATTCTTAATTACGACCAGCAAGGAAAAACACCTACAGGCACACAAACCTTGATTTCAGACCTCACAAGACGACTTAATCAAATTCAAGCCTCAACATTGTCCGATCTTGCCGATTCGTCAGATTTTTCTATTGCTCATACCATGTACCAATATGCTACTACTCCAGGATCTCTAGGCGTCTTTGTGTCTTCAGAAGAAGCACCTGTCATTCTGGAAACAGAACTTCAACCATACCAACCAGGGTCTTCCATCTCTCATGTAGCCTTCAAGGAGTACACAAATACACCAGAGTTTTTAATGCGATATATGCAAGATAGAGGTCTTAGTTTGTCAAGTGCAGTGGAGAGAGGAGGAGGAAATGGACCCATTGGGCCTTTGTTGTTACGCATTTTAGAGCACATGGGTTATTCTACTGTGGACAAGCCTAATGTGATACCTCCTTTACTCATTTTTCAAAGACAAGATATAGGCTTTCCATTTTCAAAAGTAAATTCAAGAAAAAGCAAGCATTTTATAGATCAAGTCATTCAGCCAGACCTGTATACATCTGCATCTGTTCAACACAAGGCTTCCTTTCATTTATTACTTTTAACTATATTTCTGTACATATTTGTTTAAACAATAAAGTTTTAGATCTGTATTTACACACTGCATCTGGATAGTCATTTCAATAATGGTTTTGTTGAGAAAAGTCTATTTTTTTTTCGTCTCCTCTCTTTCTTTCCTAGTGAAACAAATACAATTTCAAGACCAATATGCCTAACAGTTGTCGTTTTTTTTTTTTTTTTGGAGTGAACATTGGAGAGGATGAGATGTATTCCCCAAAATAAAATAACACAAATCAGGCAAAAAAAAACGCTGAGCAAACAAGGCTTGAAGTTGCTTTGGTTTGTCAAATAAAATATTCCGCTCAGTATTTGGTCCTTAACATATCAGATACTGTTTGGGGGAATCAATTTACAGCTGGTGAAACTGAGGAGCCTAAGAATATGAAGAATAATATTCTTCAAGAAGAGCTGCCCGAAACACGTCAACGCTTCATAAACAAACCACAGCTTAATTTAAGTTGCAAAGTGCCTTTAAGTAGATATTGAATTTATATAAGCAGTTTGGCATTACATGGCATGTTCATAAAATAGAAACATTGGGAAAGTAAATGCTTCTACAGTACAAAAGACAAACTTCTTTTTCTAAGGCGTATAAAAATGGCGTGAAGTCTATTTATACATGTGTAAATGCTCTAAATATCTATAAACCATGTTCACTAACATATATGATACATTTGGAGTTGATCTGGACCAAAAAAAAAGCGACTTTAAAAATTTGGCCAAAATGACCATTCGACCAAAGGGTATTCATGAAAAAAGCTCATTTAATAACTTTTGATCTTCTTTTTGATACTGCAGAACAAAAAATGGAGCTATTGGCAAGCATAAATACTCAAAATGTGCATCGAAAGCTCTAGTTTTTGGCAAATATGTTTGCTTGCTAGCTGTACTATAAAAATAGTACAATAAGGGTGAAAAACCTCGATAACGTTTTTGCCTATTTACCCAATATTCTAGCAGCAAAGTTATTGTATTCTCTGTATTATCAGACTCAGAAAGCAAATATCTACAACTTTTGTCACTACACCAAAACCCAATAACTGCGTCTTTATGCAGTTCTCAGCAAAAGCCCCAATTTTTATTGCAGCGGCAAGAAACGTTAGTGTTGCCTTCCGTTTCAATTTTCGCAACATAGCCGCCTGGTAAGCTCTATGTCCATTTATCCCACATTTGCATTATAAAATGTATATGTTTCTATTTCTCTATGTCTTTTGACATGCTAGATAGCATATGATATGTTTTGTAAGTTTGTATCTAGCAAGTTTTATATACCATTTAGAGCAAAAATGCTCAAAATACAGCTTAAATGCACCAATCTCTAATGCATCATTACTCGACAACCATACTACTAAAATGGTCTCTTTTTTCATTTAAAGTATGTTCTTTGAACTCAGGAATCAGACGGTACTATCAGTTTGGCTGTTTTGTGAAATTTATATTTCTGGACCATGGAGGATCACGAGAGGTCCGTGAAGATGAAAATAACAAAACTCGATCAGAAAATTTTGGAATGGCCCAATGTAGGTCTGATTCAACCAAAATCAAGGCTATATCTAGGTACTTCTGATAAAAAGAAAACGGGTTTACTAAGATGAAAAAGGTGGGTTGATTTGAACATTGCCTTCAAATTTGCAATCAAAGTCCATTGTACACTGTAATTGGTAGGAAAAAGTCATTCATTCTCAGTTGACATGCCAAAATCAGCAAAAGTAAGGGACTGTCTGTCAAAAAATGACGGTCACTTTAACCTTTTCTTTTTGTTTTTTTTCAGCTTGTCCATATCCTTATTCAATACTACTATTACTATGGGAAAGCAAGTGAGAAAGTCAGTCAAACGACGCACTAATCCTCTTGGACCTCAAGTTACTGCTGGAGTTCAGCAAGGTGTTATTGATCAACAAATAACACTTCAACCTGATCAAGTTCTTCCTGTTGTTCAAAAGGTAGAGTTCGAACAAGCTGTTTTTATAAAAAAAACTTACTTTTATAGCTTTCTTCTTTGGACCCTACCGAGAGAGGCTGGGCTGCTTCTTCAATTTCCAATTTAGTCTTATCGAGTCCTGCTAACCTTAAGCTCTTGTTATCCAAAGGTGTTGTTGGTAATTTAATAAAGTTATTGAGCGATGATACCCGGGAAGTAGTCGAAGAAGCTTTAGGTACCTTAAGGTAAGTTGCATGAAAAAAAAATTTTTTTCTTGATCTGTGTATTAATTTCCATGGACTGAAATCAGAAATCTGTGTGCAATTGATCCCGATGTTTGTAGGGAATATTTTTCAAAGGATATTTTGACACCTTTGAATGCCATGCTTCCTCAGGTACGTATAAACAAAGAAGTACATTGCTTAAATCTAATTTTGCGTTGAATCAGATTTCTAAAGTTATTGATCTTGTTTTGAAAAATGAGCCTCTTGCTGATAATGCCGATCAAGATAGACGTGCATCAATTTGGGACGTTGCAGAAAATTTTATTTATATTATCTGGAGTTTAAGGTAAATTGTACATGTGTTATTTTTGGTGACAGCTGTCTAATATTTATTAGTGAGACTTCTGAGAAGTACATTAAGGCTATCAACCGTCTTAACATTGTTACATTTTTGATTTCATTTTTATCAGCTGCTGATCAATGCCCTAACAAAGTTGTTGTTGCTGCTGGTAAATGACTAAAAAGAGACTTGGAGTAAATACTGAAAGAATAATCATAGGTCAATGTTTGACTACACTTACGGACGACAACAAGGATATCTACATCGAATTTCAAAACCATCCCGAATATATTCAAACTCTCTTGAACATCTTGAACAAATTCGAAAGTCCCGACAAATTGCTTGTGCGTGTGTTAGCTTGTGGTACGACGTATATTAAGAATGTAGTACGCATTTACTAATTCCAAGAACAAATATATAGCCATTTTAATGAACGTGCGTGAAGTTGTGCAGTTATCTAATGCATGGGACGATGAAAGAGATGCTCTTCATGAACTTCACAAGATGGTATTGCCTCCCTTGATGGCTTGCTTAGATTATGATATCCAAAAAGCAGCTGAAGAAACAAAGGCTGTGATTGATAGTGGTGTAAGTAACTAATAGGGGGTCCGTGTGCAGAAGCTGGGCGCTAGGAATTAAAGCTCATATTTAACTCTAATTTGTGCAGGATGTAACCAAGCATGAAGAAAGTACCGAAATTACACCTAAACCAAAGCAACCACTTACAAAAGGAGATGTAAGTGTTCAAACTCAAGTGTAACCATGCTTATGCAGAGAATATGTTTAGACTTATATCCAAAATGTCCAAGAGCGTTTGGTTACCTTGCAGTTGGCGCTAGAACTGTTAGCTGATGTTTGCTCACAAGACGACGCAGAAGGTAAAGTAACACACAAGAAAAACTTTTCTTGATCTAATCATATCACTTCACATAGATGATGGATGGGAAGATGCTGGTGAAGATATGGAAGAAGATGGAGATGCTGAGGCTATGGCCGATAACTTGAACGAAGACAATGTAGACGAATACTTACGTGATGCTGAAAATCTTGGAGAAGGTACATCTAATATTGTTGAAGAATCAGCCATCAAATCAAATCCTATTCTCAATGGTTTCACATCAAGTGTCTTTCCCCACCTGCTTCGACTTGCAGCTCCGACTGTCTTGTCATTCCCTCAAGATCGTTCAGTTGCTCCAGGCGTTACACAAGGATTGACCCTTACTCATCAACGTGCTCTAGAATGTCTCAACAATTTCCTGTTAGCAATGAACGAAGTTCCTTCTAAATTCTGGTTTAAAGAATATGTGTCTGATGCCTCAAATACCTGGACATGGTTGTTTTCTACTGCAAATACTATTGGATCCGCACCTGATTCTGAAGAACGTAACGAAGTTCTTGAAGCCATAGTTGGCTGTTTATGGGCTCTAGGTCGTGGTCTTGGTGGGAATATCGTAAGTTATCTAAAATAAGGGTGGCCATACAAAGAGTCTCTCTTATTATATAATATGATCCCTTAAATTCACACACTTTTACTCACGTAATGATTTCTTTTTATTTTTTCTCATTCATTTTAGCCCTTGGAGCCTACTCATGTTCCTACATTATGCGGTGCATTCAGAGCTACCAACAGCGAGTCTATGCAAGTTAAGATTGTTGGTTGTTTGGGTTCTATTGCAGTAAGACAAGGTGATATCAGTACCAATAAGGTAGGTTGTCGCACAAGTTTGTGTTATTTTCAGAAAACTGTATTGAACTTTGTTTAGGAAATTGGTATTTTTATCATGAATGTATTGAGTAACATTAATACCCACACAACAAAACCAGATGTTGCGGTTGAAGCATTGAACTTTATGTTTGACGTCTACAGTGATTGTGCTTTTGATTATGACGAGCCAGTCTTCGTTCAAGGCAAATTTAACTATCAATTAAAACAGATTGTGCCTGCTTTCAGATCAATGGTATGTTTATATAGGTATATTTTTTTAACCTCACTATTTACGCATAAAACAGGTCAAATCAACAGATAAGAGAAAGAGTTTTGATTTGAGAAACAGATGTGATGAAGCATTGATGAACTTGGTTGCGTTTATCAAGTACAAGGCCTCTGAAAGACGTTAAGAATGAGCAATTAGAATCAGTAGAAACAATAGTAATAAAAATTAGAATTTTATAATAAATCCACTTGTTATATCTTATCCAATTAGTAGGACAAATATTAATTAATGCTTCTACCTTGTTTGCTTGATTGTGCATCAAGTAGAAGAAACAAGAGACAGGCACTTTGATCTTCCCCTTTATTCATTGCATCCTTATAAGCTTCTTCAGGGTTCAGCAGGGTTCAATAGCAATTCGACAGTTTGAAACACAGTACTTTGTTTGGTTTTTCCTTTTGTCCTATGATTGTATGAGTCGCGTGGTTTAATGACTACTACTATGAGCACGAAATGCTTTACACCAATAAAGAAAAGCTACCAAATCGGGCAAATGTGTGTTTCTTTTTGTGCTTAGATTATTTAGTTTTAACATTGTAGTAAATCAAGTAATCTGAATTATCAGAGATAGGCAAAAAGAAAGAAAAAATTGCTGCGGGTCATGAAAAAAGTACTATCATAATCAAGTGAATGGACCCGTTTTCCTTTATCTTTATTTTCACATAGGGAGCTTCACGTAATCATAATATGAATAAAAATACCTTTCTTTGGGAAAAAATAAGAAGGGAATTAAGAGGACTGGTTGTTTTATTTCCAGATTACAATGGTAGTACAGTTGGGAAACACCATATTTCTCGCCTTCTGTGTACAGTCAAAAAGACCCTGGATAGCATGATTGTCTGACAGAACTTCTCGATAAAAAAGAGTGAAAACCCTTCTTTTAACTAGTATAAAAAGTGTTCTTTTTTCCCTTTTTCCTGTCCTTTTTTTTTCTTTAATCTTTTTTTTTTCTTTTTTCGAGTCAAATCAATCTAATATTCAATAAGAAATAATAATAGCATAAGATGGGTTTGATTCGTTATAATAGCCCTTTATTTCAGGTCTTTATCGTTGGTATGATCTGCTTCTGTTGTCCTGGTATGTACAACGCTCTTAGTGGTATTGGTGGTCAAGGTCAATCTTCCACGAAGGCTGCTACAGATGCTGGTACTGCTTTGTCTGTCACCTTTACTGTTTGTTCTTTAATCGGTGCCCCTGTGTAAGGCTCAAAAGACAAAAAGAGAGAAAAACATAATACTTACTTTAACATATAGATACAATATCTTTGGTCATCGTGTACTTATTCCTGCTGCTCTTGCTTATGTTCTTTATGTTGGTTCTTTTCTCTCTGCCAACGAAGGTTTCACAATTGCTGCTGGTGCTATTCTTGGTATCGGCGCTGGTTTCTTGTGGACGGCACAAGCTGGTATCATGATGTCTTATCCTTCTGAAAAGGATAAGGGTAAGGCATTCTCACTCTTTTGGATGATCTTCAACTTGTAAGTAAATTTTATATTTTTTACAAAAAAAGACCAACCTATCATACAGAGGCGCTACTCTTGGTGCTGTTATTCCCCTTGGCAATGAATGGAACTCTGGATCCAAGTCTGAAGTCAAGATTTCTACTTATATCGCTTTTATGGTTATCATGGCTGCTGGCTCTTTCTTGACACTTGCACTCCTTCCTGCCAACAAAGTCATTCGTAGCGATGGATCCCAAGTTTCTCTTCACAAGTTCTCTAACTGGAAGCGTGAGGCTTTTGAAGTCCTCAAGCTCTTCAAAGACTGGCGTATGCTTATTCTAATCCCTCTTTTTGCTGGCTCAAACTGGTTCTATACTTATCAATTCAACGGCTTAAACGGTCCTGGATACATGACTATTCGCGCTCGTTCTCTTAACAACTTCCTCTATTGGTTATTCCAAATCATTGGTGCTGGTCTCTTTGGTTGGTTCCTTGATTCCTCCAGACTCGGCGGTCGTAAACGACGTGCCTTTTATGGTAACACTCTCACCCTTATTGTTGTTATTGCCCTCTGGATTGGCGCCATTGTCATTCAAAAGAGATTTACCCGTTCCTCTGTTCATGCAGCCGATTTTGTTCCCATTGATGTCTTTGACAAGGAATACCCCGGTTTGGTCATTGAATATGCACTCTTTGGTGTAATGGATGCTATCTATCAAGGTTTCATTTATTGGCTGATGGGCACTATGACCAATGATACTGAACGTGCTGCTCGTTACGGTGGCTTTTACAAGACAATTCAAAACGCCGCTACTGCCATTGCTAACCAACTTGAAGCCAACGAAGTTGAATATATGACACAACTCATAATTGTATTTGTCATTAACGTTGTTGGTCTTATTCTTTCTTATGGTGTCTCTTGGACTGTCTCAGACGTTACAGTTGAATCTATCGACAACCTCAATGGTAACGCTGGTGGTACTTTGGTTGGTGGTCACTTAGAAAATGCCGAAGATCACAAGGAAACTGTCAATGAAGATCTCTCTGAAAAGTCCCAAGCTTAAAGATATTCTCTTCTATTCAAATCCCATTTTTTTCTGACTAATATTCTTTATTCTAATAATTACTTTAATCTTAATGCACTTCATTTTATGTAATAATAAACGCAATAAAAAACACGACCACGACATAAATAAGAAAAACGTTGTACAGCTCAAAAAAGCCATGTAGATATTGTTCTGGAATTTTTTTTTCTTGTATGACTAGTTAAAAAATACTTGTTGTTTTTTTTCTGTTTACTTGTAAACAATCTTCCTTTAAACCTTTTAAGGGATGATATAGGTTGGTTTCTTTAAATAAAAAAGAAACGAAGAATTTATTAAGAACAATTTGCAAACTTTAAGGTTTCAGTAATACGGCAATGTCCGTTAGGTTGCACATTAATTAAGAATCTTCTCTATGCTTTGTAGAACTGAATCTTGAATAACCCAGCAAAGCAAGCACAATGTACTTAGAATATGTAAAGTAAAAAGATCATCTCAGATTCTTTTTCAATTAAATTGTCCAAATAAGTGCTTTTTGTCAAGTTGTAAGAAGGTTTGCTTTATTTATCGCACAGATTACATAGAGACACTCTGAAATGTTTGGTAATTTTGAATGATTCTTTAAAGCAAAAAAAAAAAAAGAAAAAAAAATACATGCCCTCCATCTTTGAGCAAGCTCTCCAACGAATAATAAGTTAGCACTATGAACCCTGTAGAATAAAAGCTTAGGTTATTTATGAAGACAACATACAGAAAAGAAGAAGGACCAATGTTTGATGTGGCCAACTTTTGCATCTATCACAGCTTGGCATGTTTCGGTCCAAGCGTACCGCATATTCCTTGTCGAAGTACAGCTTTCTAATGCCTTGGCTTGGCACCTGTCTGATCATCCTCTTTAACTAATGTCTGCTACAAATTTACTTCTTTTTAATCTCACATCTATTCCCTGCTCTTTCTTACAATCCAATGCAAGTAAAAATATAAATATTATATATGTATCTCATGCTCTACTTAATTTTTAGAATTTAATTTTTTCCACATGATTTTTTTAATAGCGTGTATAAATGCACGGATTTTAAGAAAAATAACTTACAAAAAACATTCCATATAGAATAATCATAGAAAAGAAAGAAAGAAAAAATGGGTAAGAAAAAAGATGTAGCTTACATCAAGCAAGTATTTTATCTATTGATAGTAATAGATAATGACCAAACATTTATCTGATACTTTGATCAGAAAGTAACACAATTCATAATTGGTAATTCTACTGAATTTTTCTACAATCATAAATGACAGCAGTCTAGAATTTCACTGTAAAATAGGACAGCAGTGTACTCAAGTGATACAGCAATGCAACATATTCTACGATAAGCAATCTATGGCTTGCTCATATATCGAATACAAATAGCAGAGAAATGGGAATTCAGTTAAAATAAGAGGAAAAGGATATTAAACGTCTGGTTCAATCGATACCCTTCATTATACCTGTAGCAGCTTGTGAACTTGCATTTCATTTTTATGAATTTTGCAAAGAAAGTTGTGATTGCACTCTTATAGTTGCTTAAATACCACTGATTCGCTTCAAAAATACATCGTATTGCTTAAGTTGAATAAGTTAGACTATTGAAAACCAATGGTCATTTAAGCACAAAATACACTAGAAACTAAACAGAGTACATAAGCAGAGAAAAAACACTGAGTATGGCTCAAAGGTATTATTTTACTTTCACGATCACTTGAGCTGAATACTAAAGCATAATGAGTCGTATGCCAAGAACGTTTTCTTTTAACTGTTACTCTATTGAACTTATTGTATAAGGACCTGAAGCATAAATGCTTAGCAAAAGAATGTCTAGCTCTTTCCTAGATTAGCTAACACAGTCCAAAAACTTTGGTTTATTTGTTCAAGTGATTTTGCTAAAACAAATAACGCCTATTCCGATTTGCATAACTCGGGTACACAATTGTTTCTCTTTAAAAGTGCCTTTTTCTAACTAGTAAATGACTCCGCCAATTTTCTTCATGCTGTAAAACTGTTGTGAAATCAAAGCACTCTCTATCGAGTGGCAGATTTTTTTAAACAACCAAACAAATGTAACCAAATACACAATGTGTCTTATTGCATATGCTCTTTGAACGTTTACATCAACATTTGTTCGACCAATTTTGCATTTACTAACTTGAATCGCTGTTTGAAGCAAGCATTTTACTGACTCTTTGTATATCGATAGTAAATAGTATCAAAACAATCGTACTAAACAAACGAATAAATATTAGCGACACTGAATTCTGGAACTCCTGGATGGGAAGACATAGTTCCTGTTTAGAGTATCCGGTTTAAAAGAAAACTAATTTTGCTGCATTTGTGTCAATTTATTTATAGAAATTATAGGTCAAGCCTATCAAAGTTAGAAATTTATACCAAATTGAGATATTTAACCGCAATTTCCTTTTGCTTCGGTTGAACGGGTATTACCTTGGCCCTATGTTCATTTTTGTCTAAACTAGACGTTGAAGATACAAAATAACGCGTTAAAAGGCGTGTGTGTGTGTGTTTTTTTTACAAATCTCTAACAAGATGGAACCGTATTCCCAGCCACAATACAAGTTTAAATTATTGCGGAAATTGTATTAAAATGGCAAATTTCATGTACCTGAGAACAAATTATACTTGCAAAAGCTTATTTTTTTTTGGGCGATAGCCAATAGTAAGCTACTACTCTTACATATGACCTCATAAGTTTAATTTAATTATACTAAACGCCAAGAATATGGCACATAAACCAATAAGAAGAGGTAAACAGAGCGGCGACAACGGATGTCTAACGGCAATATAGCACTCTTATTAAGCTATTCTTATCTATACAGCCGAAACAAAAAAGTATAAATATACTCTTTGCAATTAAGAAAGATTTCCTTTTTTCACTCTACTTTATTTTTTAAATTTAAAATGTAAGTAACTTTGGTGGAATGATGCGGGCACAAGAAGGTAGCTAAACAATGCCTCTCTTTACTAGGGGTTTCTTCGATCACTTCAGCGACAGCCACCAACAACTCCAAGACACTCCTGACGAACACAAGGGTTCTTTGACTCACGAAGTCATTGCTGCTGCTGGTAAGTCTAGCACACAAGCGAAAGGCGTGTACATGAATCTAAATGTACTTTTCTATAGCTTCTTATGAAGCCGTTAAGGCTTACAACGCACACTGTGAAAAGAACGGTAAGCCCAATGACCACGCCAAGGCCATGGAAATCTTGGCTGGTTTTGCCGGTGGTGCCTTGGACAAGTTGATTGAAACCAAGGGTAAGATATATTGCACTTTTAATTCAACTTAAGCTTACTGATTAATTAACTAGGTCTTGATTACCTTGACAAGCAAAAGGCCAAGAGACACGCTGAAGAACAAGTCAAGCAATACTACGAAACTGAACACACTTACTAAATAACATAACTGCATTTATTGCGAGCAAATATATATCCTCTGTAAAAATAAAATTATCTTTTTAGTCCATATGCGCTTTTCATTTCACGATTGCTTTTCTCACTTAAGCACTAATCTGACAGAGATGTTCGTCTTGCAGCGATTTAACAAGTACAACAACCGTTTAAAGATTCTATATACGTGAATATATCATTGATTTAAGGTCTTTCAATTTTCAGCAATTCGTGTTATTAAAAGTTTTTCGTTATGAAGAAAAATATCAAATGAATTCTAAAAACAACAGCAAGAAATACATAAATGTCGGTACTTACACTAGGTAATGAGATAAATTAATTGGTAACAGATGTCAACCAACACCTGTGAATGCTTACACAAATACGAGGAGGTAACTGAACACCCCCCCAGAGCCATCCGTCTTGGTAGACCTGAGAAGATTGATATGTCTATGTCAATAGGCATAATGCTGCCGGTGTGGTTTCCTAAAGCCTTTCATTAACGCTCGAGCTAAACTAAATGCTGTTTTGAGAAATAACGAAAAAGACTGAGTTATTTGATTTTCTTTTGCGTTACACTATCTTTTCATTTTCTTGTGTATGTAACTGAAGCACCAGGCAAACAAATGCTTCAACAGTAAAAAAAAAAGAAAGACAACACATATAGATCTTTGTCTTTTTGTTAGGCACATAAAGGTAACGTAAAGCCTGTTTATACACACATAAATATTTTAAATACCAACAAGTCATTCATAATACCTCTGGAGTTGATTTAAACCAAAAAAAAAAAGTGACATGTAAAATTTGACCAAAATGACCATTTGATCAAAAGGTATGACTCATGAAAAAGCTCGTTTGACAATTTTCAATCTTTTTTCAACCAATAAACACAACTTAAAAAAATCTTCTTTTGAAGGTTAAAAGACGAAAAATAAAGCTATCAACATGCTTCAATACTCAAAATGTGCGCCAAAAGCTCCAGTTTTTGGTGAGTGTGTTTATTTAACAGATGTACTACACAAATGATGAAATGTAAGCAAAAAAACTCAGACATTTTTGCGGATTGTCTCAACATTTTGGTAGCAGATTTGCTGTGTTTCTTCTATCAAAAGACTCAGAAAGCAAGGACCTTCAACTTTTGCCACTACACCAAAGCCCAATAACTGCGTCTTTATGTAGTTCTCAGCAAAAGCTCCATTTTTTTTAATGATTTTATTTGCCGCACGTATAAAAGCTCCATTTTTTATTGGAGTTGCTCTCGTTTTCAAATTCCGATACCAGTCTTCCTGTACATTCTTTTGTCCATTTACTCCACATTCACATTATAAAATGCCCATGTTTCTACTTCTATACGTTCACTAGCACTCTAAATACCATAGATTGTTTTAGAAAGATTTATTACTAACAAATTTTCTATGTCGTCGGGAGCAAAAACACTCAAGACACAGCTTAAACATGCCAATCTTTGATGGCCCATTACTCGACAACCAGACTACTAAAACGATCTCTTTTTTCATTTAAAACATGTTTTTCAATCCCAGGAACCGAATGATACCATTGGTTTGACTTCTAAATGAAATTTATCTTTTGACCTATGGGGGGATCCACAGAGGTTCGTGGAAATGAAAAAAAAAAGTAAGTCAATTAGAAATTTTTGGAATGACCCCAATGTATGTCTGATCCACCTGAAATGAGAAAAAACCACCTCTAGACACTTTCAAGAAAAAGAAAACGAGTTTACTAAGACGGAAAAGTTGAGTTTATTTGAGCATTGAATTCGAATCTGCATTCAGGTCTGAGTGCTACATAATGAACAGTCTGTATCACTTACAAATCAGTGTACTGAAAGAATATATAAATAATTGAGCTCACATGAATACAATGATATCTCTTAGCGATAACCGTTCATATAGCAAGCCGAATTTTAGTCTTTTTAAAAAACATCATGCAAGAATCTTGATCAGACTAGCTCTAAATACAATTATGGCAAGAGTCTCTGCATTAACTATCTAGTTGAGATGTTTATGAGTTTCGAAGCTTTGATATCATATATAAATACTTTAAACGAAAATATCGTTTTTAAATTATGAATGAAGTTAGGTTTGTTTTAAGGGATCAAGAAATATATTCGAAATCTATAAAAAACTAGGATAAGAATGAAGAAAAAGCGCGAACATATGTTGAAATAATGGAATTATACTGGTCAAAATTATTGTGGAGTAGCACATATTGCTTTGAATAAAATGGAGTGTTCAGCTTTGGTAATTTTAGAGCATACCTTTCTGTAACTTGTGTAACGCCAGTCCCAGTAACTTTCTGATCCGATCTTTTGTTTTTTTTCTTTAACAAAGTCCTACCCTAGCTTCACAGAAAATATATGATTTTACTGAATATTGAATATTGAATTTTACTTTTATTCTTAAAATGATATAGAATTGACTAGTCAATAGAAGTCATCTTTAGAGGTTAAAAATCGAAACAAACCTGACGAACCATAAAAATGCAAACAACCATGCTTCTTCTAATCTTTTTTCACAAGCTTGGGCACAAAGAATTATTACTAAAGATGGGCAGTTAGTGCACGGTACCAAAGAAGTGTCGACAAATCCTGGTTTTCCATGAAAAAGAGAGAGAAAGAAAGGTCTCCCAATTTTGACATTTGCATTGGGCGTGGATTGAAAATCCCAGCTGATTGGGTGTATTCATCTACCAAAAAGAGAAAATTGTTTATTTGATGGCCACAATGCAAAGCTCGAGAGTATCACAAAGATCAAAAAATTATATCATATAAATACATTGACTTTTTGTTATTTTTCTTCATTGCTCAACTTAAAAAAGTTATAGTGGTTCTTACAAAATGATGAACCCTTATGATTATACATGGATGTTCGGTGTCACCATGATCTTTGGATTCATGGATGCCTATGGTATTGGTGCTAACGATGTCGCCAATTCTTTTGCTACATCTGTTGCCTCTGGATCATTGACACTTCCTCAAGCTTGTCTCATTGCTTGTTTCACCGAGTTCTTGGGTGCGCTTTTGCTTGGTTCTCAGACTGCTGATACTATCAAAGGTGGCATCCTCTCAACAAAACGTTTTGTTGAAGTACCTGAGATTCTTATGCTCTGTATGACTTGTGCCATCATAGGTTCTTCTACTTGGGTTCTGTTTGCTACTAAGAATGGTTGGCCTGTTTCTACTACCCACTCCATTGTCGGTGCCGTTCTTGGTGTCGGTATTGCTGCATTTGGTGGTAACAGGTAAATTCACAATGCATCTTATTAAAAAGGAGATACTTATGGATATCTACAGCATCGCTTGGGGTTGGTCTGGCGTTGGGCAAATTATTTGTTCTTGGTTTTTGTCACCCGTCTTTGCTGGTGTTGTTGCAGCAATCATTTATAGTATCACCAAATACGCCATCCTTCGCCAAAAAGATAGTGTCAAGTGGGCTATCCGTGTTATTCCTGTCTACTTTTTCTTCACTACTGCAATTGAAGCATTTTACTTAATCTATAAGGGCGCTCCCGGTACTCAAGCGAGTAAAATGAGTGTTGGTAGCATTGTCGGTATTGCGTTTGGTATTGGTGCATTCTTTGCTCTATTCTGCGTTGTGTTTTTCTGCCCTTGGCTCAAAAGACGTGTTGTTGGACGTGAAGAACTTCGTTGGTACCATGTCTTTGTTATTCCTTTCTTGGGTCCTCGCAAGGTCATTGAACGTTTACCTGAAAACAAGGCTGAACCTTCCACCGAAGTTATTGAGTCCAGTGGTAGCTCAACTGATGATGGGGTCAAAGAAATCCAAACTATACAACAAGTTGAAAAACAAGAGCACGTTGATCAAGTGCCTACTAGCAAGTTCAATCAATACAAGGAAAAGTTCCTCAATGTTGCTCTTCATGGTATCAGAAAGGACGTTCGTAATCTTAACAACGAACATGTCAAGTCTGTTCACAGTGCTGCTGAAATCTACGATAGTGATGTTGAATACATGTTCTCTTTCCTCCAAGTTATTACTGCCTGTATGGCCTCTTTTGCGCACGGTTCGAACGACGTTTCCAATGCTGTAGGTCCTTTGTCTGCCGTATACGACATTTGGCAAACTGCCCAAGTTGATGTCAGTGGTAAAACTCCTGTCCCCATCTGGGTTCTTGCTTATGGTGGTGCTGCTATTGATCTTGGTCTTGCTACCTATGGTTACAACATCATGCGTTCTTTGGGTAACAATATTATCTTGTTTACCCCCACTCGTGGTTTCTCTGCTGAATTAGGTGCTGCTTTGACAGTATTGACGTGCTCCAAACTTGGTCTTCCTGTTTCTACCACTCATTGTATCACTGGTGCTACAGCTGCTGTCGGTTTATGTAACGGTAAACTGAGTGCCGTAAACTGGAAGATGCTCACATGGTGTTTCTTCTCATGGGTAAGTCTAAATAAAACTATTATTTATAGTAAGGCTCACCTTCATTTTTAGATTCTTACATTGCCCGCCGCAGGTCTCGTTGCAGGGCTTTTGTTCTCTTTCTGTGCATATGGCCCTAGTCTCTATCATTAATTGTATTTATTCATATCTTATTATTACCATCATTATCTTCTAATATCTCCAAAAAAGCATTAAAGAATGTATTCATTTCAAATAGAAAGAGAATGAAAACATGAATTTCGTTTCCCAAATTTGACAGCTTAATCAATAAAGAAAAGAGCTGGTTTATACACTATTGAAAAAAAAAACAATTCGTGTGGAAAAAATAAGTACTAGGAATTAAGCAGAATATGAGATTACTTACATTAGATCATAAGAAAGAGCAGAGAATAGAAGGGAGATAAAAGAGAAATAAATCAGCAACAGATATGAACCAGTATATGCAAAATACTTACACGGATACGAGGAGGTAACTGAATACCACTATCTTGTCAATTACATGATTAAAAATGAGATACTTTTCAATTCATACCACTACATAATATGACCAATCAATACCAAGCCGTGATTGATGCCAAAGGCTGTATCACCAAGTATTGATTTTTTTCTACTTATATTATCTTAGAGTAAACATCTCAACAGATCATCCACAAAGAACTGAGTGCGTTCAAGTATCATCTTGGTATACTAAAAGGGCTCTTGGATCATGATACCTTTGTTGCTGAGTTCGAGTGACCAAAAATTGGGCTAATTTTTATTCCGGGCCAGTGTTTTAAGTTCGAATATAATGATGTTTATTCAAGGAAAGAGAAATTAAATGATAAATATACAGTGATTAAGATAAAAATAAGAGATTATGTATATAAAAAGGGATATATAAAGGAAAGTGAAGTCTAAAATAATAATGTAGAAAGGGAATGGAAGGGGGATATTATTGTGTAGCATGTTAACGAGAGTGTATTGTAAAGGAAATGGACGGTCAGGATAATTGTTTATCTTTGCTTGCTGTTGGCATCAAATCTTGAAGCATAATATGCAACAGCAGGTTCTCCTTCAAGATCATTCGCTTCTTCATCGTCACAAGAAGATTCATTCCAAACAACTTCAAGTTGTTTCTCAAGTGAAATGAATTCTTTAGGTGTATTGTCTTGATAATGAACACTGTTTCGTCTCAAGTGACGTTTGGCAAATCTTTGGACTAAAGGGTTAATTATTGTAGCAGGCTCTTTGACTTTTTCTTCTTCTTCTTCTTCTTCACTAGGTATTTGCATATAAGCATCTATTGTATCTTCAAGATCTGAGGTTGCCTCTTGATCCTCTTTTGTACATCTGTTTGTCCAGAAAATATAATCAAATTCTACCAAGAGAGTGTTGAAGATAACAGAAGGAATACCTAGTGTTGCTGAAAAGACAATGCTGATGTTGCGCAAAGTCATTTTGTTGGTATTGAAGTTTTCAATAACACGAATCAAATGAGCACAAAGAGACCTTAATAAGGTATAGTTGGGTAAAGGTAGAAGCGAAATGAGTCTTCTAATTTCACGTAACTTTTCTTGTTGATCATCAATATCTGTATATGAAACAAATGTGAGAAAAACTCTCCTTGTTCAAATTGCATTAAACTTACGCGTACTACGAAGGAAATTAGGTAGGGCAGCTTCTGTCAACACGTTTTCAGGCAGCTCTCGCAACCACATTTTTAAGAGACCAGCAATGGCATGAACATCATGGTATTCATCTGTATCATCCAAGAGTTTGATATCGCCAGCTATGAGAAGAAAAAGTAAGATAATCAATCCAATAATAATGCACTACATACCATCATTAAATCGTTTCTTCAAGATTTTAACCTTTGCTGAGCTACCACTCAATCGATAGATGCCTTCTTCGGTTAAGCCGCCCTTTGCTTCCAAGTATTCAATACAACGATGTACAACTGTAGGTAGGTAATAACCATCACTAACACGAGATACAGTGATAGCGTCTTCTAGAGGAATACCAAACACTTGCTTGTCACCACGAGTTTCTTCATAGTCATTCATTGCTTGAACATAATTGTAGTCATAAACCATACCCTGGGGAGAGATAGGAGGTAACGTGTCGTTTGCTTGAGCACCACCAAACATTTTCTTAGACCAAAAACTCTTTCGATTTGCCTTTTGCTTTAATTTTTTTTCTTCATTGCTTTCGTCTGCAAGTGTATTTGAACTTTCACTAGATTGATTCTTGCAAATGCTGCTGTCTGTTGTAGAAGCAGAAGAAGCTCTTGGACTAGTAGGTGAATTCAAAGATACTCGGCGATCGTTGCTAATTTTTGACGAAGAAAAGTATGTAAGCGAGTTTGACTTTGTACTTTCAGTTGAAGAGGAAGGTTGAACAAAGAATTGATCTAGTGCACCATCATCGGTAAAGCAGCGACTGAGGACATCTTGAGCAATGTGGGCCTGGTTAGTATAAGGACGAAGAGCTTCAACCCAAGAGTCTCGATCTTTATCGGAGTCTGCACAAAAGATGTGCTTGTTGGGTGAGTTGCTATTTGATTTGGGCTCCAGTATGACAAATGCATGACGATAGGGGTTATTGTTACCCGAGTCAGGCTGGATTTGCGATGCGACTTGAGAATCGAAAAGGCTAATAGTGCCAATAAAAGCCCCGTGTTTCTATTGTAACAATGATCGATTAATTTTTAGTAACAAAAGTACAATAAGACTTACGCTTTCATAATATTTTAGTGAGCCAGTGTTATCCAAGACAAAGTATCTTGCTTTCCATCCACCAAAATTTTTACCTTTTTTTGTCAAGTAACCTTGCTTGATACGAAGATCCTAATTTACACGATTAATATCAATTTTCATTTACTTTTTTTTAGATGCTTACATTAGTTAGTGTAATTGGTAAATACTGAATTCTATCGGAACTTAGAAATTCTTTCAATACAGATTCTGTATTGGCAGATCTCAACACAAGTGCCTGTTGTAAATATTCTTCAATCATAGCCTGCAAAGCACATATTAGAAAAACATATTACTTCCTGTTCAAAGCTACCTTTCGCTCGTCTACCTTGGCAGGAGAATGAGATGAAAAGGATGATTTTTCAGGCAACCTTTTCAAATTTGATATAATGGCTGGGTTGCTTTCTTTCAACTATTATATTATTCGTGAGTTGGAGTTGAAAAATTTTTTCTTTTGAACTTACTCTACTATCCAGATTAACCAAATCCGAAAGGGACTTTTCAATTTTCCACATTTCAGTTGAATCGTTCTTTTTGCAAACACCAATAGTAAACACAGAAGCTTCTCTTCCTCGATGACAAGTTTTAATAGAATAACTAATCATATTGACATTGATGTCTGATAATTGGCGAATTGAATCGACACTAGGCACTGTATTGTTTGTCATAAGCGAGTCATAACGAGGATTTCGAGGTCTGACAGGAGTAGAAGGCTCTGATTTACTCTTAGTGTTTTGAGTAGAATGGCGTACAGGCTCTCTCTGAGAATGCTTGTTGTTATGTTGTGTTTTTGATAACGAGAAATGTTTGAGTACTTTTTGATCCATTGTGTAAGCATTGTGTTCTTTATGAGGAGAGGTTGAAAGTTGACCGTCTAAATCAAGCAAAGGTGTGTTCATGCCTGCAGAACTGCTTGATGTTGTACTAGTGGGAGATGATGGGTTAGATGGATTATCATCGTTTTGTGGGTAGTGAGGGGAAATCAATACAGAAGAGTCTAAATTTTCTTTATGGATATCAAGCATATTTGAGTGCAAAGAGGTATAGTTGGATTTGGTCAATTTCAATACAGGAGGACGTTTTGGCATGGGGAATGCAGGGATCTTGTGTTTGCTGTCATAGTTTGAGCGGTAAGGCGATTTTGGAGGTGGCACCGGTGTTGATAAAGAAGTAGTAGGAATAATTGTGGAAGAAGTTTCACGCATATTGACTACTTCTCTATCTAGAGGGTGCTGAAATATCTCAGATAAAAGGTGTTGATGTGTTACAGTACTGCTGTCAAACCTTGGGGAACTTGCATGCATGTTTTCCAATTCTTTGTTTCTTTGAGCAAGACCTTCATTTTCTAGCTTCAAAGTAGCGACAGTTTTCTGTAATTTTTGAATAAGCTGCCGTTGTTTTTCAATTGTCTTTAAATGATGTTCATTTTGACGTTTGTGCTCTTCAATTGATTTCAAATCGCGAGAGTTCTTTTGAATCATTATAATAAACAAAATTATTAGAATAAAGAAAGGATATATATAAGTAAGAAGGAATGGAAGAGAAATAGATACAAAGGAAGGTAAGAAATAAAAATAGCGATAAAAAGAAGAAAAAAAGAAAAAAAATGCTAACACGAACATGACAATTATATGGACAGAACTCGCCAAGTTTTGGATTTAACAAGTCCGATAGTGTGCCACAGCCATGCGTTGATCTTTTGCTGAGAATTACTGCTTTCAAAAGCTAATTGATGATAGGGAGTCAATATAGGGGTCAGCAGAGGGACCACAAAATTCATGCTGCCTATCTATCGAGAATTGAAGTTGTAATTGATGATTATCACAAGGAGAAGAAATACTTTGACTGCAAGTGTGATCATTAATAAGGCAGAATGAAAACAATGAAGACCAGCACCGTATGACCGTGTAACATTAACACGTTTTTTTTTTTTCGTAAGAGATACAATTACGGAGACCTTACGTTTTGTGTTCCCTTCATGGTCTTAGTCATATTTGCATAGTTAAGAAGTCATCGAATATATTTATATCTCAATTGACTATCCTGCATATGTCTTTTTTTCTCTAAAGAAAAAAAAAGCTGACCTGAAAAAGATAAAGTAAGGTTCACGTTTATTTTTCTGCTTCATAGGTCCCTTAATGACAATTAAGAAACGCTGCAAATGAGTTTTAATCGGCCAAACAGCGATTGGTCAAATGGGAAAATGATGACACGTCTTGAAGTACGGCAAAATCTATTCGCCTATTAATTTTATTACGATTAATCCAAGCTGAAATTAATGGAATTGGTCTGTGCTTTTGAAAAAAGGGATGAAACGTGAATATTGAATATTACATCCTGCTTCTTTTCCCGAACCGATAGGCTGAGCTGGCTTATTTAATAAAAGCCGTTAGTAGTTATTAATATGAAATTAGACAACATAAATTTGACATGCATCAAAATAGACTTATTTGGCCTTTGTGAGTGATGGATCTGATCAACAAGGTTGACAAACTGAGTAAGTCATCTTATCTTCTTACTTTGTTCGATGATAACGGTTCTGTCTTTTTTTGGGCAAATTAAAAAGCAGGCAAATCAAGGGCACCATTCGTCATAATTTTTTAGTGTACCTTTTAATGGCATCATCGACAGCGTTCCTGAAACCTTAAAGTCTAAAAAAATTTCAGCCTTAATAAAACATTCTTACTTGAATTGATCTATACAGTCCCCTAACAAAAGCCTGTGAAACTCTCCATCTATTGTCACTTTTTTAACTATTTTTTCATCACTTAAACCACAATATACATTCATTTTACTTGCTAGATGCTATTCAAAAACTTATCAAATTATAGCTCTAAATCCATACTTTTATATGATAGTAAAAGTTTGAAAACTGATATATTTTTCAATAATTTTATAAGAATGTTACCATCAAGTGCTTTTATTTTTATGTTGATACGACTAGACATTAGCTCAATTAATCAATTAATACTTTTTTACATCAATTTCATCATATGCCTCTTGAATATGGTTTATAAAAATCTTGAGATTAACGGGACCCTTATGCTTCTTCTGCACCTTGGTTTTCATCTGCTTACAAAGGGTTCCAATAAGAAAAAGATAGATGCGCGTATTTAAAACGAATCAAGATTGATAGTTTCTTTCAACTAGAAGATTCATCTTGGCTCAAGTCGAAAAGATTGTCATGATTATTAATGAATTAATCAAGACAATACTAACCATGAATCAAATCGGTATATGGGTAAGACTAACTGATGCATAGAATAGTTCAAATACATTTATAAATTCAAGATTATCAGATAGGCTAATGAGTAATTAGTGTTGTAAAGTTAAATCAAACTGAATTAAGCAATTGTTTCTTAATGGAATATGTCAAACATGTTATATCAAAGCATAAGCAGCACATGTAGAGATTATCAGAATCATTGGGTCCCTGCCAAGCTTAGTAGCAGCATTTTTTGCATTATTAGGGTTGTTGATAGATATGCTTGCAGTAGCAGTAGTTCCGCTCATAGTTGTATTATTCAAAGCAGTACTAAGTTGATTAGAAGTGCACTACCCCTATTTTTACGCTTAGTACCTACCTTTTTACGACATCAGCATTAACAATACTGCCAATAAAAGCAATTATGACAAGTATAATAAGTTTCATCTTGATTGAATAAACAAAGAGATGATTTGCTTTTGTATTTATATATGAAGATCGCATTTTCACATGAATAGAAAAATACTTTCACATGTTTGTCCTCATCTCCTTTTGAAGCACAATGTATCTCCAAGAAAATGCTACATCATAAGCTTGTATGAATATTCTACCCGAGAAAAAAAACTTTTATGTAAAGCAAATTAAGCTGTCATATGAATAAAAGAAGGCTATAGACATTTTTTTTTTTTGTCAGACACTCAAAACCTAAAAATGTTTACGCTAAAATACATATATTCATAAATATATTTCAAATAAATAATAAACATAATCTATCCAGAAGGTTTTTGTTGTGTTGTATCGTACATGCGAATAATTCTTGATTGGTCATTTTCATTTTGTGTAAAAGCAAAACCACGCGATTGCTTGAGCCTTTGAATTTTGCGTACCTTGTTTACTGCCCGACGGAAACGATCCATACGAGGTCTATAATCTGGCAGATTGTATTTTTGAATCTCTTGAATATAATGATAGCTTTGAGGTCGATACATGCGCTTAATACTATTTTTTAAAGAAAAAAAGGTGAGCATACACATGGTGTGTATTAAACTACTTACTATTTCCAAATATAATCACGCAAGATACAACCCAAAGGCACCACAATGACGAAAAGCCAAAAGTTTAGATTACCAAATAATAAGGGTACAATGCCGTAATATTCCATGAAAATCTCCCAAGGAACCAAAGGGCCAAAATAGGCTACAAAAGGCAGAAAGATGAACCAGATCAAAAATGAGCCGGGAATAGCAATGATGGTGTATTTTGTCCAGATACTAAATATTGCTCAGTACATGTTGATATTCAGTTGAAATACTTACTCAGTAATCAGCGCTGCTTTCCATAAAATAGTGGCCAAAGTAGCAGTGAAGATGGTTGTGCCTACCCACCACTGACCTCCAGAATATCCTAGTTTAAATACAGAATCGTCTACAAATGCAGCCATACCGATGAAAAACAGCAGAGCAGAATGATACACAGCATTCACAATCCAACCCCAAAATCGCTTTTGGTTAAAGAATTCGTTCTTTTGTCCTAAAATGTACATTTGAGGGTACTTGTCCAGTAATCTTGCAGAGGCAAATTGATCAAAGATACCAATAGCCATGGGTGGCAAAAATGTAAAGATCACATTAAAACAAGACATGGTCCATGATTCATACAATGTTTGACCAGAGAACCCATTAAAAATAGCATACTGTTGAGCGTTAGCATTGTATTTTTACTTCAAGCTAGACTTACCCAAAATTGAGTCAAATACAAAGCTACATTTTTGTAAAAGTAGAAAAAGATCATTTTACTGAGACGTTGGTAAGCCCAAGCACCATGAACAAGCAATAACTTTTTGAGAAAACGGAATTGAGAAATAGCAAAATCCGCACTTCGAGCAGCCTGCAAGCCTTCAACACCACTAATACCAATGCCAACATGGGCAGCTTGGATCATAGATACATCGTTAGCACCGTCACCAATAGCCAACAAAATGGACTTGCTGAACTTTTTGACAACTTTAACCACAAGTGCCTTCTGTAATGGAGACACACGACAGCAGACAACAGCTTTACAACGTGTGGCTAAATCATAAAATGTCTTTTCTAAATCTTTTTCAAGCGCAAAAGTCAATGATTTTCCTTCAATAACAAAAGCTAAGGGCTAAAGTAACGTGTTTAGCTCTATCATAGAATATCGCTTAACTTACATCATGTTGCATATGTTGTTCGAGCGAGACAATATGTGCCAGTTTTTCTTCTAAAAATGATTTTGTAGACATATGGTCTTCTTCATCACAGACCACTAGATCCATTTCTTCTGTAAGTAATTTACAGCTATAGCCGATATTGATGGCTGTTTCTTGTCGATCACCTGTCAAAACCCATACTTTAATATTGGCTTCATGTAATGTATGAATTGTATCAGGTACACCATCTTGCAATTTATCTTCAATAGCTGTAGCACCCAGCAAGAACATATTTTTTTCAATGATTTCTGCTGCATCGTCTAGTTCTTGAGCACGGTTCACAAGTGTTGTAGATGCTTTTTCATAAATGGCAGACCATTTCGCATATTCCTCTTCTGATATTTCGCGCATAGCAAAACATAAGGTTCTTAAACCCTCACAAGCATAAGCCTGTTCTTGTGAGTCCAACCGACAAAAATAAGATTGACTTACCTCGAGGTGCTCAAGTGTGGATGTTACAAAAGGATTGTCATCAGACAAACGTTCCAGAATGACAGTATCAGCGCCTTTACAGTACAATTTGATGCGGCCATCAGGGCCACGAAGCACAACCGACATACGTTTTCGAGTCGAATTGAATTCACATACGTTCAGAATTTGGTATTCTTCTTCTATCCCTTTACGTATACAACTAATGGAATGAGGCTTACGTGCCACAAACTTGTAATCAAAGACATTGTTGGCTCCATTCACAAGAGCGCCTTCATCGGGTGAAGATGCCTGATAAACAATCTTTCCAGTCTCCTCATTGGTTTCAGGAATGACTGTATGACAAGTCATAAGCGATGTCAAAAACTCATTGATCACATTTTGATATAGGGAGTTCTCTAAATGCTCTTCCAGCTGTTTAAATGAATATTGTCCTTTAGGATCATTGTCAGATATAGGACGCTTATCGGGATCAGGAACAGTAGCATAGCAAAGTCCACTAATTGAGCACTCTCTGAACTCCATTTCGTTGCATGTCAATGTACCTGTTTTATCCGAGAAGACGTATTCCACTTGCCCCAATTCTTCAATCAAACTACTACTACGAGCTACTGCTGGTGTGTCTGTCTTTTCATAGTAAATGTCTAGGTCGTTGTCAATCATGGAAGCTTGTATGTACTTTACAATTTCCATGGTCACCATTAAACTAATCCAATGACACGATATCAATTTGGATATTCATAATATATATATTACATACCTGATGGGAATAAAACTGTTGAATAAAATCATGAATGTCAAGATGTTATAACCAAATTCAGAAGCAAGCTCAGAGGAAGGCAATAGCATGTAACTTCGATTTGATCCCTCACGTACCTTGACGGTGTTAGTATTTTACAGTGAACAAAGCAAATATAACTTACAGATATAGCATAACTACCAGCAGAACACAAGATACTCATGGTCACCAACATACCAAACAAATACAAGATATTTCTATTTGTTTTACGTGTCACATTTGAAGCTTTGGTTGGCTTCTTACTCGAGTTTAACATGAGTTTTGTTTCATGTCCTGTAAACACAACAATACCATAAATCCAACTTGTGTTTCTGAGTTGGGCACCTCTTAATAACAGCATGTTGGGATCAAGAGGAAAATCTTTGGTTTTGCCTCCTAATTCATGACTTGTCGTTGACAGTGTACCATCATAATTATACAGTCTATTGTTGGGTTGTTCTGATTTAATTGTGCCTGTTAAGGTAGATATTTGAGCAGGTGAGATACACGTTGCTGTCTCTGGTAAGGCTTGTTTGATCTTTAGGTTGACTTCACCATCCAGATTACTCGTTTCGATATAACAAAGACCCTCTGGTTCTGAGCTGCTGAGTAGAATAAGGTCGGCTGGAAAGAATTGCGAATTTTCAATACGACAAATGTCTCCTACTTTCAGATCTCGCCATTGTTTCTCAATAAATTGTGATCCGTCATATATTTTACATTTACGAGAATTTAATTCTCGATCGGATCTATGTACACCCTATGTATTGTTAGTTATGACATGACTTTAACAATGAAGATCTTACGAAATCTTCAATGATTTCTTTGATGGCAGTGATCAACAAAACAATAACCAAAGGAACAAGTGTTGTATATCTGGAAGTAGGGGAAATATTCGGAATTTGCTATATATACAGTTTAGTTCATTTTTTCTTTATGACTCTAACTTACTTGAATGCCAGAAATGAACAAGAAAAAGACATTTGCTGATTTACTGAATTCTTCGTATAGAAATTTTGGTAGAAATGTAAAAAGGTTATATTTTGCTGTTGAAATCGAATTGGATATAAACTTTTGTTGGTCATTTAGTGGTTGGCTGTTTATATAGATGGTACGTGGAGAGCCATCTGTCACACGCTTATTGCGTCTAAACAGATCCTGAAATTTTTCTTTCATGTCTCTTTTTAAAGGTGGTTTTTGTTGTTGTTGCTGTTGTCTTTTTTTCAGAGTGGAACGGCGAAAGAGATCATTGGATTCATCCAGTTGCGTTTCGCTGTAAATCTCTTTTCCTTTGGGTTCTACTATATGCTGTTCTAGCATTTCTGTTGATTCGTTAGCAGCGAAGGAGGCGTTGGGATTATGACTGAGAGAAGAAAAGGAGTAGTCATATTTGTTGGTGATTCTGGCAGGTAGGGCATTGTTCAATAAGCCAATACCTTCCTCATAGTCTTCCGGTATAGCTCGAACATCATCCGAAGACCATCCTATTCAAACAATAGAAAAAAAATTTAATCCTAATAAATACACAAGGCGCTTGTACCTGTATCAAAAGACCCTGTTTTCTGTAAAGGTGGACTGGGACCTGTTTGGCCTTCTGTTGGTTGGTAAGTATTGTTGAATGAGGAAGACGAAGCAAGATTCTGGTTGGGATCCATATAGTACAGTGTTTTGTTGAATTAAATAAATGTAGAAATATCTATATAATGTATATAAATATGTGCGTATGTATAAAAAGGGGCGGTTAAGGGAAAGAGAATAGTTGTATAATAAAAAGGGGACTAAAGCGTGTGTTGCTTGAAAAAACAGGCTTTTGTCTTTTCGTTTTTTGATAGGATAACTAAAAGGCAAAAAAAAAAAAAAGAGAAAAGAGAGAGAAGAAAAAGAAGTGAAAAAACAGTGGAGTGCAAAAGTTATTAAACTATATAAAATTAGACTTTTACATTAAATCTAGGCCTTGAATGAGGCTGATAAAAAAAAAGAAAGTGTACAACAATAGTAGTAAGAATAAAAGGATACACATACTTGTGTTCCTTAAAACAAGTGAATTGAACACATATACACATACACAAAAAGAGAAAAAGACTTGTCCACTTGTAAACAACACCTTACTTGTACAATGGATCTACACAACATTAACAAAATAAGTTACCAGATTTCTGGCATTGAAACTCTTAAAATAGAAAATGCTTGACTTTTAAGTCTATTTTAATCACTTTTTCTTTTGAGCTGATGAGGTTGCTAATGCTTAGCTTAAAATCACCAAGACTAATAAGATAATGAGAATAATGATTAAGCAGCAAATACAATAACCAGACTTTGACTCTAGAAATGAAATAAACATGTGGTGTATCATCTTAATTCATACCTTCTTCTTCTTTTAGTATCTTTGTTACTCTACGCATTGCACTTTTTAATTTTCCCTCTGAGCGATCTACCTCATTTCCTAATTCATCCAATAATCTGATATTATTACTTAGTAACCACATATTGCCATGGTGACCTTATTCAGGTACACAACCTACATGACTTGATCATCCACTTCTCGGTTCATTGTACCTGCAATTTCTTTTAAATTGACCAAAGTACCGCCCATAGCTTCCAAATGCTGATCTTGCTCTCTCATCATCATCTGTTTTATACTGAGAAGCTGTTTGTATATATTTATACTCTAAATTACCATTTGTTGTTGTTGCTCATTCTCTATAAATATACTATTATCATTTTGTCTTGCTGTTTGGTACGATGTACTTTCATCCTAAATAAATAAATATATATATATTTATGTATATACAGAACATAAGTATAACGTAAACAAATAGGGCAGAATATTACTTGACTGGAAGGGGAATAAGGCTTTTTAGCTGGCGGATTAGCTAATGTCTTTCGTATTGATTGTATCGTATTACGCGACTGTGTTAAGAACTTTTTTCGAGTATTCAAGTCCTTTGTAGTTAAATTAAACTGCTGTGGATTCTCTTGAGAAGCCAGTAGAGCTTCTTCTAAATCTTCGATATCCTGTTCAATGGCTTCTAGTGTTGAGTTGAGTTCGTCAGCTGTCCATAATAATTCTTGGTTTTTAGGTGAAGAAACTGTTTGTTGAATTCTTTTCCAAGACTCAAATAGATTGCTAGCATTCACAAGAGTGTCTTCCACTTGACTATAACAATAGACTATGAGTATAACGGAAGTTGGTGTTTGGACAATACCTTTTTACGATAAGAAAAGGGTCTTGTTCCATACTGCATAAATGGTATAAAAAAGAGAAAAGAGAGAAAAAGAGATAAAAGGGCCAACAAAGTCCGCCTTAAGAAAAATGATATTCAAAGACATTATGTAATTACATCCTGTACCTAATGTAAATACGAGGCTATTCTTTTTCATAGTAAATGACGCTGTCTTTAGTAGGAATTTATTGCGTTATGGAAACAAGTCTTTTCATGTTCTAATACAGTGTAACTCGAAGTGAATGGTCATCATTATGAAAGGAAAAGTGAATGTCGGAGATGTGACGAATTGCTTTGATTCTTGTATTCGAGTTCAGAATGATCACATATGATATGTACAATTCAAAGGAAATAAAGAAAGAGAAAAGAAGAAATGACAATCTTCATGGGGCTATTTATACAAAAATCATTTTTTTATTGAGTTTACATTTAGCCGTTGTTGAATTGAAAAGTCAAAAAGATCACGGTTGTATATGAAGCTTGAAAAGAGCTATAAAGTAAAGGATTCTACAAGTCTTTAGCAGCTCAGATTGAGCTTTAACCAAAGAAAGTAAATATACTAGGAGATGTAGATAGAAGGTGTTTATTGTTTTCATTTCTTAACCTTTTACAATGTGTAAAACGAAAACAATAAAATACTCATCAAACGAGAAAGAACTATTAAAAGGGAAAAAAGCTAGTTTATTTGAATAATTTGTGTTGAGTGCTTTTTTAAATTTTGCAGGATGATATTCAAATTTTTTAGGGCCACCGTTTTTTTTTTAGATCCTCGACGGTTATATCCTCTTCTCCTCCCAAAAAAACGGTGGCCCGATAAAATAAGTAATTTAACAATAACTAATGAACATTTTGTTTTTGCTTTGGGAACTAACCCGTTTGTTTCAATAGTGGACAAAGTCATTTTCTTTATTTTTTACGTTGAAATACAAATGGTATATGGGAGGATTCTTGTTGAAGGTTTGTTTCATTTTTAAAGCACCCCAATGTACATATCCAAAATTTTGAAGATGCATTGGTGAAGGCTTGTTTGATATATTTTTGGGCAATTCCACAGGAAGAAGAGTTAAAGGCATCGGCCTAATTTTACTTTCTTCTGCTTCATCCTTGCTTCTGGGAGGAGCAATGACAGGATCACCTTTTTTAGATCAACCATAAGAGCGCTTCAAGTTGATATGGAATGCAGATTCATCAATAAAAGCGCAGTTGCTCATATAATCCATGTCAGTCTCTTCCCAGTGCTTCATCCATTGATATCTAGCTTCAATTTTCTCAGGAGAATTTCGCTCAACTGAATAAAGTTTTGCTCGCTTGAAGCTGAGATTGCACTTTGTAGTAACAAACCCATACAAAGCAGTCTTTGAGATCTTCAGATCCTCAAAACTACTCGTGAGACACTCCATCATCTCTTCCAAGACCATTTCATACCTTTCATCAATAGCTTCAATCGGACACTCCTTAGAGCATTATTGAGGATTTCAGGTCTTCCAAGCTTCCGCTTTCCATCTACACTCCTTTCCACAGCGACCTTACTGTCCTTTTCCAAGCTCGCCTCTCCTTACTTGAACCACGTTTGTGCTGTCGTTGGTGGTATACCAAGCTGTTTAGCAGCACCTTGGACGCTTATATTCTTTTCATACACTAAGTGAAAGAAGTTACTCTTGTCCTCAGGATTGTACTTCCGATAGGCCTTCTTAGAAATCCCACCAACATCTCCCGCAATACGGTTTGTGGTGTTGCTTTCAGTCTTCATAACAACATCTTTTACTGCTTTTTCAGGAGGCTTGAGATCAGTGTACATTGCGAAATCTGTAACATCTTCTAAGGGGTAAGCTTCGTCATCCACTTCCTTTGCAAACTCAAGATGCTCTTCTCCATTCTCATTCGTTAGGTTTCCGTTTCCATCTACATAAACAAAGCTACTATTTCTGACCCAATTTTTTTTCTAAGTTCGCATGATTTACTTTCCGAAAATACTGTATTGCATAAGCGATACAGATGATACACTGACCTTGAATCAAAATTCGTCGTTTTTTTTTGTTACTAAAACCCAGTAATAAAGGGGTGATGATAGAGAGAGTCTTCAGTACACCTAGACTTCATCCAAACGTATCCATTTTTTATTGATATTGTGTTAGAGGGTTTATTTTATAATCATAGTGTTACAAATAAATTTAGTATCTGGTAGGACCGCCTTTATCATCTATGGCTGCTTGGCATCTATTTCTCATGCTGTCAATCAAACGGCCAATCAGTTCATTACTGATCTGGTTCCACTGATTCAATAGTTCTTTCCTCAATTCCTTGGTGTTTTTGATCTCACATCTTACGCACTCAATCCTCTTTTTCAAGAGGCCACCACAAGTGCTCAATTGGATTTAAATCCGGGTTTTGAGGAGGCCAGGAATCAAACCCTCTTTATCATATGCTATGTCTTCCATGTGTAAGGCTAACCCCCCAGTATGATTTGTAGATCCATCTTCTTAAAAGATTTAGCGTCCACCATGATCGGACTGTAATTCCATGAATCGAGGTTGAAGCTTTTCTGACAAAAGTTCAATGTATTTGGTTTGATCCATGGTGCCATCAACTACAACAAAAGGATCAACTCCGTCTTTCTAAACCCCAAAAACCATGACTCCTCCTTTGCTAAACTCGGTGGTAGATACCACAAGTTCTTCCATGTAACGCTCACCATAATGGCGAAGGACTCTCTGGCACCACCATCAATTTCCTTGACTGAAAATGTGGATTCATCAGACCAAATATCCTGGCTCCACTGATCTACCGTCCAATCCAAATGTTCCTTGACCCATTCCAAGCGAAGTTTCTTGTGACGACTCGTAAGGACAGGCTTATGAGCTGCGTAATAAGAATAAATGCCTAACTCGGAAAGATGAGACCTAATAATGTTTTTACAGACATTGGTTTCCATCCTTTTTAGCTCATTTCTGGCCTCTTGAATGCTTATAAAAGGATTAAGCTTCACAACAGTCTCTAGATACCTTATACCTCTAGAACCAGTCTTCTTGGGTGTCCCAGGAGGAACATGGGGGACAAGTGAACCAGTTTCCTCAATGCGCTTTACAATATCTCTCACAATCTCTCTAGGTAGACCAATTTTTCTTCCTACCACTGTATTATTATGATCTTTTTTGTAAAGCCAATGTACACTCCAGTAATTTTTGTTATCTCTCTCATTGTATTTGACACGCTTGCGTTTGTTATCAGTGCTATTCATTTTGTGATTTGTTTATCTTTGGGTGAAAAGTAAAAGGCCTATTACATGGATTATCAGTAGAATAATGCTTAGTCTATACTGCAGAAAAAAAGAGATATCCATTTGAGCAAAAATACTGTTTTACTATCTTTCAGCTGATTTTGTTTGGGCTCAATTAGACATTCAAACTGCCCTAGCCCCTCTTTCCTGTAGATCTCTCTTGGCTTGACAAGAATCAGTTGTTCTGTATAGACATTTCAAACATACATAGCTATGATGTAGTCATATACTAACCAAAGCGCTGTACAGACAATAAGAGGAAAGGTGAACAAGTATTTCAACTGTATGCATTTGCCTTAAATCAATTTGACAAGTAAACTCCTCTTTAAGCAAGGTGACGCAGCGCTAATCATAACATTCATTAATTGATTTTTTCTGGAGATCAGGACAAGGTTCTATTCAGGAACAAATATGTTGTCGAATCTAACTTGTTGTTCTTTTACTTTGAATAGACGCACAAAATGTATCTATTTTTAGCATTGGGCTTTCTTTGCATGTATTTGGCATCGTTATAGTCATTTTGACCGTGTATTTTTTTTTGCTTAAGTTTGTCCGATTACTAGACGTTATGACGGTGACTCTTAATAAATCAAAATCTACTCTTATAATTTTTTGACTAAATTGTGTATGCGTTGCGTTCTATCATTTTGATGAATTAAGTGTTGTCGCGGGGTGAAAGTATGCAACCCATTTTTGGTGGTCTGTGCGTCATAGAGTCATTTGGTTGAAAAAGAAAAGTATCATACAAATTTCAGCCAAACAAAGAACTGTTGAGCTTAAATAGTTTTATCCTTCTATTTTGAATAAATTATCCTTTTATCTCTGCTATTCTTCGGTCACACACATATAATCATTACATGGTGAGGCTCCCTGCCTAAGAATTCAGTATTAAAAGGTCAAACAGCAATTCTATTACATCCAACAAAAAGCGTTCTCGCAGAGAATCATCTTACACACCTCCAGCTTTTTCTCGTCGACAGTCCACAGCATCTGTCGCCTCAACTTCTTCTTGCAACTCTTTTCACACAGCACCTGAATCTTTTTGCACCATATCAGGCTCAACAATATCTCGCCCTCTCGCTACACCGGTGGAGGCACCCTCTGATTTTGCACTCTATCTCATTAAGGAGCGTGCGAAGTCGGTACCAATGGCAACATACGAACTCACCACCAGCATTCGTATTTGGTTGAAACAGTTTGAACAACAAGCTCGTATCCACGGTATCACCTCCATGGATAATTGCACTACTCATCTCACTCGCTACATGCCTCTAGTCATTCAGCAATGGATTCCAACTCTTGCTCCTAGCATTGTTTCTTCTTGGACTCTTCTCAAGGAAGCCCTTATCACTCGTTTTGGTATTCCGGAGGAGGAGGACAATCGCCTACTTCTCAAGCAATTGAAGGCGTGCAAGCAACAAGCTAATGAATCTGTTCGGCTACATGCAGCGAAATGGGAACATTTTTTAAGTCTTATCACCACTGAATATACTGAAAAGACAAAAATTACCTACTTTATTCAGTCGTTGAACCACAGGGATACCAAGCTGACTCTCACTTCTCTAGTCTTTTCGATGAAGATTGACTCATTAAGCCAGGTGATCAATCATGCAATCGAATTGGAGCCGGAGACTGTTACACTGGGATCTGATCCTATGGATTTGGATTATATGTCTAGCCATCAATAGTACAACAAGAAGCAACCTTACAACAACTCTCAACCTAAGCAGCTGCGTGCTTATGACAAGCATGGTAATCCTATCTGTGATCTTTGTCGAGGAAAGCACCGCACTGTGGATCACAACAAGAAGAAGTACAACAACAACAACATCAACAACAAAAATAACAACAAGCAGCAGCAATCTAGACAACAAAAGAACGTGCATAACGTCAGGGAATTGAACTCTATTCCAGCAGATAACCAATCAACATCATCTTTCTCTGTGGATATCAGTCATTTTGCATCAAATTCTCACAAGCTACCACGCAGTACTATTCTAATTGAGGATAGACTTGTCTTTCTTCTGTGGGATACTGGTGCGGACATTAATGGCATCCAATTGGAATTGTTCAATGCTATGCATGCTGAGTTGAGTGATCGGGAACGCATCACTTATCGTGATGTTAACAACAACATCAAATCAACTTGCGGTACAGCAGTAGTTTCAGTCTTCAACCAAAATATCAAATTTCACGTTATTAATGGTCTTAGCAGCCCATTGGTTGTCGGATGGAACACCATTAGCAAGTTTAAGGATAACATCGACAGTGATGCTGGTACAGTCTCTCTGACCATCAACAACAACACTATCAAGATACCTCTTGACACCACCAAAGAACCCAACGTCAACACTCTGGACTCCGCAAACAACAATATTACACAATATATCTTGGACAAATTTGATAGTATCATTGCTAAGAATCCCGACAAACCTTCTGTGACAAATCTTATTGAATTTTACGTAGACACAGGTGATCATCCTCCCATTTACTGCAAGCCAAGAAATTTTCATTCAGATCTGCAAGCTGAGATAGATGAAAAACTTGAATCAATGGTGGATAATGGTCTCCTAGAGAAGGTTTCGTTTTCCCAGTGGGGTTCCCAAGTACGGCCAGTTGAGAAACCTGATGGTTCAATGCGTGTTTGTGGCAATTATATTCCAATCAACCGTATCACTCAACCAGTGAACTATCCTTTTCCCAACATGCACAACATTCTCCAATCTCTGGGGCAAGCAAAGGTTTTCAGTAAGGCTGATCTGTCTCAAGGCTACTTCCAAATTCCTGTCCGACAAGAAGACAGAGAGAAGACGGCCTTGGTTACAGCCAATGGTACCTACGTTTTCACAGTAATGCCTATGGGGATGCGCAATTCACCAGCATTTTTCCAGTCTTTAATGGACAAGGTTCTGGGTTCGTTCCGCTATGCTTTTGCTTTTGCATACCAAGATGATGTGATTATATATAGTCGCACCGTGGAAGAGCACAAGAAGCATATCGATCAAGTCCTTACTGCATTACAGAAAGCAGATTTGTCAATCAAACTCACTAAATCTACGTTCTTGTTAGATTCAGTAGAGTATCTAGGCTTCATTGTCTCGTCTCAAGGTGTCAGCGCCAACCCGGAGAAAGTCAAGCCTATCATCCAGTACCAACCACCTTCCAACTTAACCGAGCTAGAGAGGTTCTTAGGAATGACAGGAGTCTACCAACGCTTTATAATTCAATATCAAGTCAAGACGGAGCCGCTGCGCCGGTTGAAGAAGAAGGAAGTCGAATTCAAGTGGGGCCATGATCAAGTCACTGCTTTTGAACAATTGAAGAAGGATCTGCGTCTGTTGCCAACGTTACGACAACCGGATTTTTCCAAACCATTTGACCTACATACAGACGCCGCGTCCTCTGCTGGCATAGCCGTCATCCTGTGCCAAAAACATGACAATGTTGCCTATCCTCTTGCCTTTGCGTCGCGTGCTCTCACCATCCATGAGCAACGTTATTCTGTGCGTGAACAAGAGTGTTTAGCAATCATATTTGGTATTAAACGTTTTCGTCCGTTCTTGGAACGCAAAACTTTCTACATCTACACTGACCATTCCAGCTTGCAATGAATTTTGAAAGCCAAAGATGATGTCTCCGCCAGAGTATGGCGATGGATGATGTTCTTACAGAGTTACCAATTTGAAGTGTTCCATGTCTCTGGCAGTAGCAACAATGCTGCTGATGCTCTCTCTCGTCACTCTGTGGCTAATGTGCAAGTTATCCAAGAAACCATTCTTTCTCCACAATTTGACTGGTCCAAGGCACAACATGAAGATTCGGAAATTATGGATATCATTAGCAACCCGGAACATCACAAGTCATTCATCATGATTGAGAACGTATTGTACAAGGCAACATCTAACCAAGCATCTAAACACAGCAAGGATCTTTGCGTAGTAGTACCTACATCTCAAGTATCATCTGTATGCAAGCAATTTCACTCATCCAAGTTCGGTGGACATTTTGGGTTCAAGAAAACCAAGGCTAAGATTTTGCAGCAACAATTGTGGTGGACATCAATGTCGCAGGACATCAAGGAATTTTGCAACAAGTGTGATTTGTGTCAACGAATCAAACGTGGGCAGCAGCACCAGTACAACCTATCTAACACCTTCTCTGATCTCCCCTTCTACCGTGTCTCTTTGGATTTCTTTGGTCCTTTGCCTTCATCGTCAAACAACAACAAGTATATACTGGTCGTAATGGATTGTTTTACTAGATTCGTGGAAATCTACCCGGTGCCATCAACAATACAGGACGATGTGGTGAAAGTATTCTTCTCAAGATACATATTACGCCATGGTCTTCCCATGGAGATTCTCACGGATGGTGGTCCTCCCTTCTCATCATATTTCTTCTCATCTTTGATTGCTACGCTGGATGCTAATGGTCTATCATCTCCACCTTATCATCCACAATTGAATGGAACAGTAGAAAGATTTATGGCGACATTAAGAAGAATGATCTTAACTTACACTGAACAAGATCGTATCAAGGACTGTTGGGACCAATACTTAAGAGTAATTCAATTCGTATACAATAATACAACTCATGCAAGTACTGGTTTCTCTCCCTTCCATTTGGTTCATGGACGTTCTGCTAGGTTTCCTCTGGTCAAGACCAACACAATTCAAGAATATGATGATAAGCTGGTTCCGGAGAAGAAGTTTGCAAATGAACTCCAAGAGAGGGTGAACATTGCATTTGATGTTGTCAATAAGCATCTCAAATCCAAGGAATACAATACTCAGGAGAATCCCTATCAAGTTGGTTGTTGTGAACATATAGAATCTATATGCATATGATGATCTGACATTAAATAAGTCTTCAATTACATACTAAAATATATCATAATCAATTTACATGTTGTATACACAGCATTATTCATCCCTTCTTACACTAGTTGTGTCCTAAAAGACCAAGTGCTAACGTCATGTATGAATATACCTTTCAGTCACATTTTTATCCACAGCTTCAATGGATGTCTTTTATCTTAGTTTAAACATGTTAAAGATCAGACCATCACATAATCACAAATTGACATCTGCATCAATACCAATGGTAGACGAGGTCTGTGCCCTGATCATGTACCCAGTTCTTGTGTACCTTAATCCACTCAACCGATTAGCTAGTGTATACACCCTCAGTCCCAAATCAGGGATAATCAATTATCATACAAACAGTATAAATACAACACAAAATATAACCTTTAATAAAGCAGACTTCTTTTGACCGTTTTGGTTCTAATCGACTTATTGATTTGACCATTTTATTAGTGATTATATCACATTACATCATAAATAGACATAAAAGAACCTCTTGTACTGAATAAGACAATGTATCTTTTAATAGATCAAGACTTATAGCCGAAATCCAGTCATTTGCACGAACTCTACTACTACTTACTCCGACATCTCTTCATGTATAAATACCTAGAGAATGAAGAGCTAGAAAATGATATCTAGATATATATTTTTTGGATAATAAACCTATACAAGTTCTAATCGACTTCTTTGTTTTTATCTTCTCTCTTACATCACAACATTGGTGATCGAGTTCTTATATTTAATCAACCTCTCACTTCTGCCAAGAAGCCAAGGAAACTGCAGTTCGATTTGTCTGGCCCATATCAAGTATCTGCCATCAATACCAAGTCCACAGTATCCTTAAAGCAAGCTGGTACCAACAAGAGAATCTACAATGTGCATGTCTCAGACATCATTATTTTATATTTTATATTTTATCTTTCTTTCTATATCTTATCCATTTTATATTTATCAAATTTATATTTATCCATTTTCTTCTATAGTCTCATCTCGCTGTGGGATATTAAGTTTAAATAGTTTTATCCTTCTATTTTGAATAAATTATCCTTTTATCTCTGCTATTCTTCGATCACACTGACTTGATCTGATTTTTTTTTTGCATGCAAGGTTCTGTGATAATTATATGTGTGTCTTCTGAATGGGTGAAATTTAGGAAATGATAACCCCAAGGACCATAGTTTTAAATACCGCAATCAACCATTCTTTCTATATTTTAATCAATGTATCCTGGAGGCAGAGGTAAGATCAAAATCGCGTTGCAGGGCAACCAAGCACTTATATAATGCTTATTTGAGATAGAATTAAGAAACTACATCAAGGAGTCATCTGATCCAAATCTCAATGAGTTTATAAAGAACAACTTCCATCTGATCAATCAAGATGATGCTACGCCCAAGAGCATGATGCTTGTTTGGAAGAACAGATTCGTTCTTGCACTGAACAAATATAGATCAGAATTGGTACTGGGAAATAGAGCAAATTTAGACATAAATTTGTGGAAGAGTTTGAAGGTATTTTTGCCTATGCCATTGTTGCATGTACTACATAATGCTTAGCATATAATTTTAGCTAAGAGACGGTGTTGATAATGCTAGTATTCTATACCAGTGGTTGTATATCGCTCAAGAAAAGAAGTCTGAAGATGCAAATTCTTTTTTGCAAGAAAAAAAAGAACAAATTGAACAGATGGAGACCAGCACAAGCCAAGAAGTCAATGCTTTGCTTGATAAGCTCAGCATTCGTCTTCTCAGGCGATTTGATAATTTGAGTACAAAGGAGATGTGTGTCTTAAAGCTCTCGCTCTCAAAGATTGTTGACCTTGTGGACGACGAGATGGCAGATGTGTACAAGTCTGTTATCCCCAACCGCCATTTTGAAGAATGGATGAGCTTAAAGAGAAGCAAGAGATTGGAAGAAGAAGAACAAAGCAAGATCAAGACAACAGTAGCAGAGTTTGTTGAGAAGTCCAAGATTGATATAAAAACTGCTAGAAAATATGTTCTGCAGAAGAGGCTCGAGCTGGAAGACGAAGATAGTTTGGAGGCAAGACTCTTTGAGATGATTGATAAAATCATTTCTTTAATCAAAAACAGCAAGAGCAATTATTGGCAAGAGGCTGACTTTGTCGCCTTTATCAAGACTCTTCTTGAAATCGCTTTCCGTGGCTCTTCCTTGAGCGTTGTAATTGGTGAGACTGTTGCTCATGCTACAAAGCCAGCCATTGAATATAATGAAAGCAGTTATAGCAATGGCATGAACAGCGTGTTCAACTCCGACTCTCCTTCCTTTGTATCGACAAGCACAAGCAAGTCCGGTTGTGTTGGCCGAAAGATTGATCTTCAAATTGTAAGCGACAATGACCAAGAATTGTCCTTTTGGGAGTTCAAAAACAATGATGTTGACCAGGAGCTCCTCTGGTATCAAGAATCTAAATCCTTGCGTTTGGCCCAGTGCTTACAGAAGGAGGTTAGCTCCGTCTTGAAGCACCCTCAAGATATTTTGTCTTTGAATTGGTTTGGTAAGTACAAAACAAGTCCAGAGTCTAATGTTATTGTCGTTGGGATTACTAATACACTTTTCTCTTCTTACTCTAGGTTGGTCTGCCACCATGTGCTATCTTACACAACAAGATGGATATGCAGTTGCCAAGAAGATTGATAAGATAACTGTTCCTTATGACAACAGATTGATTAGTACAAGTCTGGAGGATCTGATGCTTTGCATCTTTGAAGTGAAGGTAAAACATAAACGCATAGACTGCTGCTTTCATCTTATCAACTGACTTTTCTTGTGATCACTTTTACTCTTTCCATCTAGGCTACTCTTTCTGCTTTGAATGATGAAATATTCATTGCATCAAACGGGCGTACCAAGAAGCGCAAGTCATACGACAGTATGCCACACACCTTGCTTTCCCCAAAGCGTCAATAAATATACCCTTTCTTGTTGTATTCTTGTTGTCTTCTGAACATCAGTATATGTTATACATAGAAAGGTTCACTTTGATTATGTGTTTATTAAGAAATGAGCAAGTGTTATATTTAGGGATAGGTGAAAGCCATACCAATTAGACTGTTATTGTTTGTTTATTGTTTGTAAGTGAACAAGAAAAACTCAGTTTTCATACTGTGTCTTTGTGCTTCCCCTCTTGGCTACTCATTGACAAATGGTTCCTTTTTTTTTTTTAGGCTAAGCTTAAGTCTTTTGTACTCAAAGCATAAGCCAATAGTTGCCTTCACTTTCTATCTCAATGCATAAACAATAATGGCTAAACACCAGTATTAAATGGCACTTGTCTTTGGCATACTTCACACCAAACAATCAAGCTCTATCTTTTCAGATCTCTTATTATGAATTGATTGTTCATTTCCCAGTTATTCCATAATGCTATATACCGTGCAGTACATCAACACACTCAAGATACTCCAAATTGTAACTGCTGATCATCCTTATGACAATCTTAGTTTCGCTCACTTTGGCTTTCAATTCACTCAATGATTTTGAGCTACACCTTGGTCTTTTATATATAAAAGAAAGCGAGAGTGAATTCAGGATGTAGCTTTTGCATACTTCCTGAAATAAGTATCAAGTTTCTGAGAAGAATAAAATTGCTCTTTATTGAATGCTATAAAGGTTTGGATCCCAGTTACTTAAGCTTCATCTATTAGTTTCACTTATCAAAGCCTTCCCAAAAACGGTTGTCTAATTTGAAAGGTGTTGGCTAAAGGTTCATAATCTTCTAGTTTTGCTAATTTTTAGTTTTTGCTCCCCTACCCAAGTCTCCGAATCGACGTTGTGGTTTCCACTTTCCTCTTGATCACTTAAACTGCAACGTATTGATACAAGGATATGAAGCTACACTAGCTACAACTACAGTATGACTATAAAGCCTGATCAGTTCCTCTAGGTCAAAAAATTACAGATCGGTTTGGTCGAAGGTTGCTCCTGCATGAAGCCAAGTAAACAGTATCAACCAAATGTAGCCCTGATACACACCTGGTCCACTTCTCCAGTCGTAAAACTGAAACTTAGGGGGCGTAATCGCAGCTGCTAGACGTAGTTGAAGAAACAACAATAAAACTAAACCTAGCCCTGATACACACCTGGTCCACTTCTCCAGTCGCAAAACTGAAACTTAGGGGGCGTAATCGCAGCTGCTAGACGTAGTTGAAGAAACAACAATAAAACTAAACCTAGCCCTGATACACACCTGGTCCACTTCTCCAGTCGCAAAACTGAAACTTAGGGGGCGTAATCGCAGCTGCTAGATGTAGTTCAAGAAAAAAGGAATTTAGTGATATAAAAAAAAACCACCTTTTGGAAAAATGAAATCCCTTTGAAAAAATCGCTCATTGGCGTTGCGTCTACTGTATTTTGCTGCACATTGAGTTGTAAAAAGCACCCTTTAGGATCTTTTTTCACCCGCCCTTTGGCGTTGCCTTCACTGTATTTCCAAAGGACAAAATTTCTGGACATACAAGGTCATTCATTTTTGAGCTAGTGATTTGTGACGACCTGAATATTGAACTTTTGCAGAACGTATCTCTCTGAGTGGTATTAAACCAGAGAAGATATCCAAGATATCGGAGATAAGAAGGACTGTTGGCATCAAACCATTGAAACTGTAGTTGTTGAATGCGTCGATGAAACGTGTCAGATAATGAGAGAGATTGACCCGACAGTGGGAATGCCACAGATTTGTAATAATCCACTCTTGAGTTAGATGCTTTACTGTAGCACTCCTCATCCTTAAGTCGATCTTGTTTTTCCTGCTCCAAAACTTCCTCATCTGCCTCAGTCAAAGGCTTTGTGTTTCCTTCGATATCACCCATAAAATCTTGAAGGGAAACAGTCATTGGTTTGGCCTGGTGGCTAACTACTGTGCTAGGTTTTGCAACCTTTCTCTTGCGGTTTCAAGGTGCAAGGGGGCATTCGGCTCCCAAATGCTTCATGCTTCCGCATTGATAGCAACTCTTCTTACGACTGTTCAGGACTGGGCAATTGGCTCTAATGTGATCATCCACATGATAATAGTTACAAATAGACTTCATATTGGAATATACCAAATGAAGCTTACAGTCGTCATCCCAACCGGGAATCTGGGGTAACAATGCTTTGTAACTGACATTTTTCTTCTGATTCAAAGCAACAAATCCTCTTCCTGTAAACCAATAACCATCTGTGGTATGGCGGAGACCGATTTCCAAAATCTCACCGTAGCTTTGGAAGATTTCAATCAATTTAGGCTTCAAAAAAAACCTCGTCCTCGAAAGGGATGTTAGAAATGCCCACTCTGACAATAGTAGAGTCTTTCTCGAAAATGCGGTTCACCTGAATACGTCGGTCATGCAGGATGAACTCTTTGTTCAGGGCCTCTTCAAGTTCTTTAGTGGTTCGAAAACTAATGTCGACAGAGTGCTGCTTTTGACCAATGATTCTGGTACGAAGGCTGAGTCCATTAGGATACTGATCTCAAAGGTTCTTGTTCAAGCTTTTCTCCCTGAAGTTCATTCCGTTAAATTCACTAGTAGCGATGACAATGGAGTTTTTGGCTGTAGCCTCGAAGAATCGTTTACGAGACTGAAGCGATTAGAGTTCAGCTGTTTGGTCGTCGAGACCGAAGGCATGTTGACTTTGACATCTTACAGTTTGTGCGTAGGATCGAAATGTAAACAGTTGGTTGTTGGGGCTATGGCATGAACTGTTGGTATTTCCACCAATCAAAACTTGCATAAATATCTTCTTTTATGTATGCTCAAACATAAGAAACTCAAAAGAAGGAAATTAGAAGGCAGAATAATGGTTCATCTTGAAAAACAGTCGCACTTGTAGCGGGCTGCTAATCCGCCGCTAGTATATTCATTCAAAAAAAACAGGTTATTAAGATTATATAATAAGTTTGATGCTCAAAAAAGGCACAAATTGAGGATCAAAAGCATATTAGGTGTGCAATGTGTCAGATGCAATCAGAAGTTATTTAGTGCTTATGAATGATTTGATAAAACTGCTAAGTAAAGTGCTTATAGACTCATGAATAATTAAGTTATAAATTGATTTTTATTCACTAGATCAAATTTACTTCATACAACGATCCACAAGGAAACATAAAGAGCCCACCTAGGCAACACCTTAAGCACCATTGCTAACATTAGTACCAGCGGAAGCACTGTTATCAGCGGCAGCATTAGTACCAGCGGCATTAGTACCAGCGGCATTAGTACCAGCGGCATTAGTACCAGCAGCATTAGTACCAGCAGCATTAGTACCAGCAGCATTAGTACCAGCAGCATTAGTACCAGCAGCATTAGTACCAGCAGCATTAGTTCCAGAAGCGTTGTTATCGGAAACAAGAGGAGGAGTAGAGTTTTTTGGCTCAGGATTTACGGGTTGTGTGGGGTTCACAGGTTTGGTGGGCTTCTTGGGAATATAGGCCTTGATCAATCTGTTGTGCAAAGATTTAAAACGTCCACCTCTCCAACGACGCTTATGAATAGTAGCCTCATTGCCATAGCGTTCGCCATCAGGGCCTTCAAGCTGGCCTTCAGAAGGAAGAGAACGTTGTTCAAACTGAGCAACCCTGTAACATTCACCATTGGCTTTTTGAACGTATCCGGGCTTGCATCTCAAGTAGCCAACATTACCAAGAGTAGGAGAGCGTTTTCCAAGCTGAGTAGCCCTGTTGCATTTACCATCACGTCCTTTAACGTATCCTGGAGGACAGGCCAAGTGGTTGATGACACCAAAACTAGGAGAGCGCTTTTCAAGACTCTCTTGAGTAACATGGATCTTGTTTGATTGAGTATCAGCATCAGCAGCTTTGGAGAAACCAACAAAGGCAATGATAGTGGCAATCGTAAGAAAAGTTAAGCTTCGCATTCTTGCTTTGGATGAAAGTAGAAAAGATGATGATTGTCAAAATTCTCTTTTGTGGATCCCTTTTTATATCTCTCTTTTTTTCTTAAACAGAGAGTCAGATGAGATCAACAAGCATCATGCATATAGTGTTCTTTATTTTAATGTAATAACATAAAGGAAGATAGAGAGAAAAACGATGATCAGCACATAGAAATACACTTGATTTTCTCTTTTGTTCTTTCTTTATAGTTTTCTTTTGTTTGCTGTTCAGCGATTCATAAAGGGCTATAGGTTTTATCAAATTGATAGCATGTATCTAAAGAAAAAGGGTCCTTTATGTCTAATGAATCAGCTTCAAGGAAGTCAATCATCTGTGAAACCGTACATAATTATGTAGAATTGTTCTCGTATTTTTGTTTAGTAAAGCCTGATTTGTTGATCTTTTATGTAAGCATGTTGATCCAGCGCGTCTTTATTTTTCTGTTAATTATTAGGGGTGCATTTGTAAACAGTCTAAAAAGATCATTGTTTTGCTGATCTTATGCATGTTGTGCAAAAAAGAAATCCCACTTTAGCCTTTTTTTTCTACAAACATTTGGTTGTATTCAATAGTTCAAAATATGCGATATCAAAAAATTGCACACTACAAACTGAAGCAACTATATGGTACGATTCACTTGGCATATATAGTGTCACAGCTCTAAGCAATAACATCTTCTTTTCTTCAGATGAAGATGTTGATTGATCAACAACGCAAACAAAAAAAAGGCGTCATTAGGGCGCATGAATCACAAATATAGAATTCAGGATATAATCAGAAAAAGAACGCTAACTCTACTAACAGATACAACACAAAGGCAATGAAATGAATAAAGATTAAAAGAGAGAAAATCACTCGTACAACTCATGAGCAACTGTCTAAAAGAACTAGTGTTTGAGCAAATTGATCAGACCTGAGCACAACGTATGCACAATCATTCTTCACGCTGTTGAATAAAAACAAGAGGATCAGACGCTGCAAGTATGAAAAAATAATTTTTTTTCAATCTTTCTTGTCATAAAACTGCTTAATATGCATCAAATGACATCAAGAAAGTTAATGTCGTATCTAGAATGATTGATCAAGCTGTGTAAATTTACTTTACTTTTGACATTTACAGAATAGAGTGAGCTAAAATAAAATAAAATAAAATGAGCATTTTGGCAGATATAAATATGTAGATTGATTGAGTTGAATTGAATATAGATCAAGAATGAGCTAAATACTAAATGTGATCCTATTCAATAGAAGTCATCGTCAAAAGAAGGAATACGTGTCAAATAAATAGTTTTAGCTACATATAATACAACCAAGAGACGTTCTTTTCAAGGCAAAGTGTTATTGATTTCATTAAACTACATAAAAAGCATTGTGTCTTTTTTGAGATGAATACATACTATTACTACATAAATTTATCTAATTCCTTTGAACCAATGATACATTCTTAGTCATCAAAAGGATAAATCAACACGCACAATAGCATATATGAAACATGCGTCTATCAATACTACCTTCCTATATTTCTCTCTTGTTTTGTCTATTGTTGCTATAATCGTATCTAGACCATATAATAACCTGAATCTAGTAATACAAGTTGGGTTTGTTTGACTAGATGACTAAATTTATGAGCAGCTGTAAAGGCTGGTTCACAATGAAAGCCCCAATTACTAAATCAAACACTTTTGTAGTGTATCTTCGCGTGGATATTCATGGGTAAAGTTTTTCATTCAAGACAAGGTTCAGCATACCATGACAACCGAATAAAAAAAAATCATGGATCACAATATTCTCTGATGATTTTGTTTATCCAATCACAACAAGGGTCTGCATGATTTTACAAAGGAGAAACTCGGGTTTCAATGACAGAATAAAAGACAGGAGATTCTCATGAACTAATTGCATAAATAACCACACTTCTTTTTTGTTTTCTTTCAACAATATGAAATCCATAGACCAACAACTAGAACAATTACGTCCTTTGCCTACAGAGTTTTTCCCTTCACCTGAGCCTGGTTTACCTAGTTCACCTACTGCTGAAGCAAATTCATCTTCAGTGCCTCCTCCCGAACACCATCATCGACATAGAGACAAGAGAGTGATTGCGATTGCTTATGATCAATCGAATTATGCAGATGCCATGATATCCAAAGCCATTCGTCTTAGTTTAATAAGGCCTACGGACGATATCCGCCTTGTTCACATCATTGATCAATCTGATTACCGAAACTTGTTTACACCTTTACTCTCGGGTAGTAAGACATCAACGCGTGGGTATGATGATGAACCGAATCCTACTCTAGATAGTGTATCTTCTGCTATGATTTGGGAAGTCGTGAATGCATTAAGGAAATTGGGTGTAAGTATACCTAAAAAGAAAAAAGAACAAAAGATTGATAGATGAGTACAGTTTAAACATGTCTCTTCAGAAGTATTGCGTGGTGATCCAAAACAATCTATTACAGACTATTGTCGTATGGTGAAGCCTGTTTATTTGTTATCGGGCACAAGAGGCTTTGGTGCTATCAAAAGGTAAACAAACAAAAATAACAAAGACTGACTTGACTTGACTTAGAACTGTGATGGGATCTGTTTCTAATTTCTTGACGCACCATTGTCCTTGTCCTGTCTTGGTGATCAAACTTGATCCACAAGAAATCGAAGCTCGTAAAGAACTAAACGAAAAGAAGCAAACGAATTTCGCGGAAGTCTATGGTAAGTGTTTGTACATATTTATTGTTATAGAGTATTAAAGAAAATGTTCTAGATGTGTTCAGTGCAAGCCATCCTCAAAAGTAAAAATAATCTAATAGCAAACTATTCATGTAATTTCTGAGCAGCCACACCATTCATGCACGTTTGAGCGCCTGAAGTGGTTGCATCTTGTACAAGTAATTTAATAAACTTCTGCTGTTCTTCAGCTGTTGCTAATCCTATTTTTGGACCCACAACAGGCATCATACTCTTGACAGTTTGTTTCCAATCCCAAAGAAACTTTTTTGCAGTAGCCGTGTTAGAAGCTATTGACTGATAAGTTTAACAGACTCTCTCTATGTGAAGATATGTTTACCCATATCTACTGAGCGATAATCTGTCTGAACAACCTTGATATTGTCATTCGCAGCTAACAAAGAGTCTAGCTTAATTGCAATACGAGGATCTTGACCTCTGGCAGCACATGCAATATGGACTAATCCATGGTTAAATTCTTTTTTTTTCTTTGCTTAAACTTACCCGATTGATTGATTTTTAAAATATTATGGCTATTGCCTGTATACTATACCGACATCAATGACCCTGTTGTAACCATCCCTATTTTACCTTTAAATCAATTTCGAGCAATTGAATTATTCCACCAGGTTTTGTTACTCGGATCAGTTCTTTGATAACTGCAGGCCATTCATTTTCACGTAAAGCAAGGATAAACAAACGCATATGAACAAAATCAAATGAATTATCAGAGTATTCAAGTCCTTTAAGTACATCGCCGTAGCAAAAATGAACTTGAGGTGGTGCAATGTTCTTATTTGTGACCTCGACAATATCACAGCCTTCAAAAGTACATTGAGGATAATCACTGGCCATGTCCTAAACACACATCAATAACAGTTTTGTGTAGACATCAACCCACCATAAGCCATGAACCAGAGCCGCAACCAACATCCAAGATAGAAAGGTTCTTTGTAAAATCAAGTTTTTCTGCAACACTTGTCAACATGTTTCTATTAAATACTTATGAGATAAATACATGCTATAGACTCCATACCCTTCAAAAAGTTCTTTAACAGCAAAATGTTGCTGGAAAACAAAACAAAAAAAGCATTATTTCCATCAGTCTTTAGAATGCAACTTACACCCGTAAGTCTGTCTTGCTCTTCATCATCTTTAGGTAGCCAATAAGTGGAAGATTTACTATCATGAAAATCTCTTTTTGAAGGCATCAAAGTACTATCAATGACTGTGCTGGATGATTCAGACATATTTTCTGAACAAGTTGAAGAAGAAAAACTTAACTTCGATAAACGTTTTCCCATTTTCTAAATGTTCATTTATACGCACACACTCACACACTCACACTGAACTTTATATCGCCGTCTGTATGCTAGAATGAGTACATTTTATATAAACATCTTAAAGACTTGTCTTACGGAACATGTAGTACATTGTGAACAAACAAGAACAAAAGTTTATTTTGTAAATGAATGTTTGTGTTCCATTGATTTGTAAGCGGGAAAACGAAATGCAAAAAGGTGATTTTTTTTATTAAGCAATTAGGAATCATAGTAAGGTAAAAAGCCAAAAAAAAATGGAAGGGGGAATATATATATATAATAAATGAATATATTACAAGCAAGAGATATGAATTATGTACTGTGTGCAAATATGTGTCAACTTTTAAAGACCTTGTTTGGATCCATGATCTTTATGTGTGAGATCAGAGCCAATGGCAATGCCCGAAGAAGGAGGTGTTGTGTAGTAATTGATAAAAGATTCTTCATCAGACTTATGACGTTGTTGCTGCTGTTGTTGTTGTTGTTGTTGTTGGTGATGTGTAAGCATAAAGTTGACTTGAGCAATATTTTCTTCCACAAGATACAAAATATAATCATCAAGAAATAAGCGTAAATTATGAAAAGAAATAAAACTTTGGGCTTGTTGAAGTGTAAATTCTTTCATGATCAAGGTGGTATAGTAATTCCATTTCAATAAGAGCTGTTTAGATCGAATGAGATATTGAGTGGCTTCATTTAAATTAGACTAACAGCCATATCAATAAAGATTGATAAATATATACACACTTACAGGCATGTATCGCTTCAAATATCTTCCCACTACGGTAGAAACCCATTCCATCCAATGCTCAATGGTTGGCTTGTTATTCAACAAATCATGGACTTCGATACGCACTTGAATAAAATGAGCTACAAGTCAAATAGAACCAATACTTACATATATTCTTGACTTCATTAATGTCACAATCACAAACCCATAAAGTTTGATCCAAAATACCATCCACATCAAAATGTTCCCAATCTTGTCGCATGACACTAATGAGTTCATGTCTGCTTAATGCAGTAGAAGCTGTTTGTGCTGCATAATTGAGTGAAAGTTGACGACGACATTTAGCCGAAAAAATACGAGCCACTAAACAGATGATCTTAATTTGATAAATTTGTTAGAGACATTTACCATCGAGTTTCTTTTGAGTTAAGCTGGTGGGAAATTTGATCAAAGCGTTCTCGATATACTCTCTTAATTCTCTTGTATATGTTCTTAATACAGTAGCCATTGTTTGAGCAAGGGGATGATTGACTGTTGGCAGAAATTTATTAATGACAGCCTAAACAAGTCTGTTAGTCATGTATCATCATAAATGGATATTTACATCATAAAGTGAGCAATCCCATCTCCAAATAGATTCTGTAATTTCAGGAACAGAATGAATCATGCGCATAAAATTACCAGGCATGTCTTGATAAAAGTCTTGCATTGTATTTCTGACTTTCTGGACTTGACCAGTAGATATTAATTGAAAGATTTCTCTACAGTGGCGTTCATAAGCAGAAGTAAATGAGGAGACCAAGTTTTGATCAATTTCATGATTGTGTCTGTAATGAGGGATCAAAGGCACAACAAAAGTAGGGATAGTAGTCGGTTCTTGTGTACTTGTGTTTACATGATAAGGAGAACTACTGCTTGATGAAGGAGTCATACTGATAGAAGTATTTGCTCTGACAGAAGCAGGTGATCTAAGCCCTTGATTTTCACTAACATATGTGGTTATTGTTTATTTCTTTCCTTATTATGTGTGCTTGCCTTGTTCCTGTCAGACTACTAGCATCATAGGTATTTTTGACACGAATACCACAATAATGATATTTTGATTGGCCACGAACACCCAATCTTCTGGTCTTTAATGCAGGAAACACAACTCTCAAGAGCTTACCAAAAGTAGCAGAATTGACAGGCTGTAGTTTGTTTGCAATGCAATATGACTTGTAATGTTCAAACATATCTTTTCTAGGTACATTATGTTCTCTTTCTTCAACATAATTTGCTCGAACCCTAATATCATTGATAAATTTATGATTTCAGATCAGCGATTGTTAAATTTTTCTTACCATCCTGTAACAAGCATACTGCTTTCCTTGTCAGCCATAATATTGGGATCTAAAGCTTCAAGTGGATCGCTTAAAGAAACAGGGTTACTTGAACTCATAGTCAACACGTCCTGATCTAGAGCACTTGAGTTATTTTATCAATTTATTTATTTCTATACCTTTATTGGCTCTGGTCTCTTCGTTGTTATTATCATTGGATTTAGGGTTTTCACTGGTACTGGCTGTCATATTAGAATGAACAGAAGAGACTAATGTCATAAAGATAAAGAGATGGTTCCTAATAAAAACACGTACACAGATAGAAACAAAGAGAAAAAAGAAGAAGAGAAAGAGAAAAGAAAAAGAGATCTCACACATAGATATATATAATTTGTAACAACCATTTTAATTCGGAGTAGTTTTTTTTTTTTTTTTTTTTTTTATTAACATTGTCTTGTTTATCAGTCTACAGTGATCCTTGCATCAACATAAGGAAACATTTCAAAAAAGGCCTATATAAAGAATAAGATATCTCAAGATGACATGTCATATGTACTTGCCTTTAAAAGGTCTGTGCCATTCTTAACATCATCTGCACCACCAATCTCTCGAATAGAATGCATACTCAGCTGAGGATTGCCTACATCTAATTATGTGTTTATATTTTATCTGTCTATATCTATCTCTTACCAATGGTACGAAGACCAAGTTTAGCACTTAGCATGGGGCCAATGGTAGATCCACAAGGAGAATCATTACGCACAACAAATTCCTATGATAGATTTCTACATAAATTGTCTTGATGGTTTATCTCTTTTCTTACTTGGATAGGGATTTGTTTCTCACGAGCTATTTCACGTAGAATAAGACTAGTGGGTGCTGTAGTGGCATATCGCTAAAACAGAAATAAATGACCGATGAAACATACTTTAGAAACTTGCCTGATTTGCATTGATTTTAATCACTGTTCCTTTGTGCATTTGAGGACGATGGTTTTCTTCATATTTCTCACTAGGACATGTTATACAGATGGTCTCTGTTACTGTTCTTACCTGTAGTTGGGATGAACTGCATGAGCCATATCGGCACTCACAAGCATACTCTTGTGAATTGCTTGTTCAAAGACTACTTTTGTATGAAAGGGTGCTGATTTTGATCCAATAGGAGAAGCTATAATTCTTTCAAGTGTACTGGGAAGCAAGTTGGAATTAGCACCATGAGCACTTGTACTGCCTATTTCTTCATTATCAAATAAAGACACAAGTCGGATGTTGGTCTCGTCTGATAGACTATCTTGTGTGGAGGATTGAATCAATGCCTATATATTGGAGGTAAGACAGAGTTTCATGTTATGCCCTTTTTTTTTTTTTTTTTTTTACCATCAAGGAACAATAAGACATGCCCAAATTATCCAATCGAGCTGAAAAGATGAATTCATCATAGGCACCACCTAATGTAGCAGGTTGTGTATCAAACAAACATAGCTCAAAATCACAAATTTGACGTGCTGTTGTCATGAGTAACAAAGAATAAGACGCTAGACTTACCATCGACTTGCATTGTGTCAGCCAACATATGAATCAAGGTTGGGTGATGATTTTTTGTTTGATCTGGGCCCCAAGACTTTTCTTGTGGGACAGCATTCAATGCACTATAGGTATATGTTTAATATATTTGGTGTATAGAGAAGGACTTTACGATTTAGCAGCGGTGGCTAATACAGGAACCATATGGGTTTCTTTGTTGAATTTGAATGCTTCATTGACAGATCCGTCCAAATGAATAGCAAGTGTAGGTACACGTAAAATAGGTCTGGATTTGATGGTGAGTAGACCATGTCCAAGTTTGTCAAACTTACTTTTTAATATGCACCAGTGTATGTTTATAAGATCCATTTTCTTGTTGAACCATCACACGTCCAGCAATACCAAGATCACGATCAAACCATGTATGCCTTTAATTATTAGAATCATATAGGGCTATGTCTACTTTACCAAATACCTCCACCATATAATTGTACACCTACTTCAATATATCCCGCTTGTTCCTTTTTAGAAATAGGCTTTACTTTTAAACAAGGCGAGTCTGTATGTGCCCCCACCATCGAGAACCCACCCTTTCCATGTTGATAGCGATTGCCCACGACAAAGGCTACAAGAGAAGATCCATTGCGAGTAAAATAATACTTGCCCTTCTTTTGTAAATGCCATTCGTCTTTTTCGTTAATACGTTGAAACCCTGCTTTTTCTAACCGAGTGGAAGCTTCATGAACAGCATGGAAAGGGGAAGGAGAGGCGTTAACAAAATCAATAAAGTCAAGCACTTCGTGTTGTGTTGTGCAAGTGCTCATAGGTTTCTTTTCAGTTACAAAGGAAGAAACAACCGTTTTGGAGGAAGTAGTTGAAAGTTTAGTAGAACGTCTTTTCAAAGAGTGACTAAGCTGTTTAAAAAGATTACCACAGCCAACCATAATGATAGTAAAAAACAAAAACAAAAAAAAAACGAAAGAAAAGGGTAAAATGTCTTGTAACCTTTTTTTTTTTTTTTTTACTCGGTGTGTAACAAGTAAAAGAGCAAGTGATATGACAGGAATAATCTGCCTTATTTAGCTTATCTTTTTTGAAAACGAAAAAAGAGAACAATGACATGCATAATCTCTAGGTTATAAGCTCCGGATCGAAAAGCGGAAGTTGAATTGTGTGCGGCAACTTGAGTAAAGTGTACGTGCCCAGAGAGAAAAAAATCCAAAAGGAGACAAGAAGTGTGTAGCATAACAAATCCTCCCTTTTCTTATCGATTGTAGACATGGTAAGACACCATCTAATAACGAATCAATCGAGAAAAAAAACAAAGAGAGGATGCAGGTCAAATAAGATGATGGATGGATAGGATACGCTTGACATATCGCATGGATTTAAATGAAAGTCAAACAAAGACTAGAGCGAGAGCAACATACAGTCATGAGCTAGACATTTGATCCCGCATTTCTCCTCCTTTTTTTTAAACTTGATAGACTCGTATCAAGACAGAGTACTTACTTGTTGCTTAGGATTCTTCAAAGACCCCCGTCAAGCTCGCTAGAGTTACTAAGGTTCTCGGCCGTACTGGTTCTCGTGGTGGTGTCACCCAAGTCCGCGTTGAATTCATGGACGATACCAACCGTTCCATCATCCGTAACGTCAAGGGTCCCGTTCGTGAAAACGATATCCTCTGTCTCTTGGAATCTGAACGTGAAGCTCGTCGTCTCCGTTAAACAAAGTTATAATAAAGCCAAATCAGCTTGTTTTTTGACAGGTCCTTTATTTTCTTTTAAATGACATTTTATCTTTCTGATGGTGCACCTAAAAAGGATCGAAGTCTTTTACGTGCTCTATCTGATTCACCTAGTGTTTGTCTGTGTAAATGAGAAGGAGTAGGAGGAGTTATAGGAGAAGAAGGATTGGATCTACGAAATGTCAAAGAAAGAGAAAAAAAGGGGGGGCTATACACTTACGGTTCATGAAGTACTTCTTGCATTTCAAGTGCTCTTTTCATCTCGTTGAATGCCCAACGTTCAGCCTAATTTATATAAGTTCACTTGTTGATCAATCGTATTTCTTACTTCTAGTTGTTCTCTTTGTCTTGCTAATTCTATGGCAGATTCTGTAAGGGCATGTTGATCTTGCATTGCTTTTTGTCTTAAAGCATTGTATTTCTCAGGTCTTCCTTCAACAAGATCAACCACAATATCATCTTCATCACTATACCATATGTTAATATGTATATACAAGATACTAATCACTTACTCTGACATGGGTTGTATATCTTGTGGTGTTGGGTATAAAGTTTCAAAAAAACCACCTTGTTCAAATCGCCTATACATTTTTGTCTTTTCTTCATACTCTTCTTTTGTTTGATCAATGGTATCTAGCAACTCTTCTATGGTTTGTTCCAATGTCAAGATATGATCTTGTTTCTCCAACATGTCTTGTTCAGTGTATATACGTGGTTGATCCTGTATTTGATAATCCCATTCTGCTTTTAATCTGTCCAGCAGATCATTGACTAACTCAATTGCTTCTTTACCACCACAATCCATAGGTAATCGAAATCGAGCCACTTCTTCAAATGAATTTCTCGGGGCTTGTTTGGTTTGGATCCCATCAAACTGTTGTATCTGTGTCTCTAATAATCGTCGTACGCCTGTATATAAATTCATCAAACTGGCCCTTAAATCCTCACTTTCATTTCGTGCCTGAATTTCTCTTTCTTTAGTCTGGTTCAACAAATTGGTATACATTTTTCGAATCTATAGGCTCATTCAGTCATTGTTCAAGTGATAGAGTAGTTACCTGAACAATTTCATCATTGTCAGATTCATTATTAAGTGTGGTAGCAAAATGAGAATTCATGTCAAGTGTAGTAACATTGATTTGGTGTCGATTGTTCATCATAGTCACTAGTCTATCTTGTGTCTTTGCTAATTCTTGTTCATGTCTTTTTGTTTCATGCTATGTTAAACAAGTGAATAAGATGTATCAACCGAATTTGATTGTTTACACTGTATTGTGCTTTCATGTACTGTAGATTATGCTTGACTTTGCTGATCTCTTCTTTTAATCGGGTGTTCTGTATCACTTGTTTCTGGTGAATGGCTTCATTTGCCCTAACAACATGATAAGCCAACATACACTATGTCAGTCTGAACCTACTCTAGTTTTGCTTTGGTTTCTGAGTAATGCTTCTTTACGAGTTGATGTTCACGTTTTGCTTGAGTCTGTTAAGTGGTCAATGGATTTGTTACGAACTAGAATAAATTACCAATTGGTTTTCTAGTTCAATGCGTTCTTTTTTCATTTGTTGAATGATTTCTATATAGTCTTCACGCTCTTTTTCGTCTTTCTATCGAAGATACTCAATTGTTTTCTCTTCTTATTTTTATTTACCTTTCGATCATGAATTAAAGTATAGATACAATTGACTATTTTGCATGTATCTTGAGTATCGTTTGATTCAAATACAAGTGGCACAGGATATCCATAACTTGTTAAAAGAATATTGATATAGTTACAAGACGCTTTTAGTGAATCGGGTGTACAAAAACTAGTTAAAGTGAGTTCACTTATAAACACTACTTTTTTTTTTTTTTTTTTACTTTTCAACCTCAGTATAGCGATCGTCTGTTAAAGGTGTATGTAGTTGGTCTTCTGAATAACTATAGAATAAACAACGATGAGCCACTCATATAAGAAAATGCATATCTATATATCTACTCGATATCAAACAGTGGTGCTTCTAATGATGTATTCATTTTTTCATGAGACAGAGGAAAGAAGCAAAAAAAAAAAAAAAAAAAAAAAAAAAATCGCGTTTTAAATTTATGCGCGGTCACACATGAATCAAGGTACATTCATTGTGGCAAACCTCGAAAGACGCGTTAAAAACAAGATGATCAAAGTATTTCTCGATATGTTTATTTCTATAATGTATGCAATCTAGTTCAAAATAGTGTATCATAGCAACAGAACCACTGTGCATGTTGTGCTATAGACTCTTTGATATTCTATACGGATCTTATAGCAATACAGTATCCGATTGGACCAATCAAGTTATTCAATATTTCTAATAGATCATGCACTCTCAAAAAGGTAATTCTTGTTTAGCAAGTAATTCATGTATTTCCTTACATAATCAGTGAACATGATACATCTTTTTTTTTTTATCCAAAGCGCGTAAAAAGCAATGATTCGTCACAACTTGAGTTCTTGGCTTGTTATCAAATTTTATTCGCTCTATTTCTCACTAATATCACAAGACTTTCTTTTCTCTCAAATAAATTAGGCTTGGCAAGATAGGAAACAGTTCTTTTAAAGGCCGAGACTTTGAGGGAGTTTAGTGGTGTATGTCTTTTTAATTATACGTCATTTGCGCGACTTTTTTTTTCTAGGATAAATACTCGGTTCCATTCTTTTCCTTGGCCTCTTTTTCTTTTTTCTTATTAATCTTCATTTCAAACAATAGAAAGAAAATATGGTGGTAAACGCATTTATGCTCCAACGCAAATATCCTCAGTTGCAAGTCAACGATATCAACAAACTTATTGACCAGTTTAGGTAAGTTATCTTTTCTTCTCTTTTTTTACTCAGGAACTCACACTTTTATGAAGCGAAATCGACCTTGATCAAGATGGTTATCTTGACCAAAAGGAAATTCAAAAGGCTTGTAAAGAAACTGGTTACAGTGATAATTATGATGAAATTCGTGCTACTTTAAAAGACGTTGTGACAAATGCTTCTGGTAAAATTGATGTAGAAGAATTTATTGAGGTAAAACATTTTATTGTTACAGAAGGAAAAAAAAGGGAAGGTGCATGTCTTTGTTCTATCATGCTTGGCTTCTTTGAAAAAACGCGAAGAAAGCATGATTGTTGGTCATTAAAAGACCGAACAATGACGGCATTTGCCAAGGCCCTTTCTTTCCTCTCTTTTCTCTTTATAACATGATGACTTATCGTTTTCTTGGCAAATCTAGCTTGCAGCCAAGCTAAAAGACGGCCGTAACAAGGGAGCATTTGATGTCCACCAAAACAAGATCAAGGTACACGGTACCAATGCCAACACAACACACACAATCAACGATGATGAACGTACTGAATTCACAAGACATATTAACGGTGTTCTCGCTGGTGATCGCCACATTGGCTCTCGTTTGCCTATTCCTACAAACACAATGCAACTATTTGACGAATGCAGAGATGGTCTCATTTTGTGTAAATTGATCAACGATGCTGTGCCTGATACTATTGATGAACGTGTCTTGAACGCTGGCAAAAAAATCAACAGTTTCCAAATGGTAGAAAACAACAACATTGTTATTAACTCTGCTAAAGCCATTGGTTGTTCTGTTGTCAATATCGGCTCCACTGATATCATTGAAGGTCGTGAACATTTGATTTTGGGTTTGATTTGGCAGATTATCAAGCGTGGTCTTTTGAGTAAGATTGATATCAAGCAACACCCTGAATTGTATCGTCTTTTGGAAGATGGTGAAACACTAGATGATTTGTTGAAGCTTCCTCCTGATCAAATCTTGTTGAGATGGTTCAATTACCACTTAAAGGCTGCTGGTTGGGAAAGAAGGTAACTGAATGGTCTATTGAGTAGGATATTAAATTGTCTATAGAGTCAACAATTTCTCCAAGGATGTAGCTGATGGTGAAAACTATACTGTCTTGTTAAACCAACTTAAGCCTGAATCTTGCTCTCGTGCTCCTCTTCAAGAACGCGATGTGCTTCGTAGAGCTGAAATGATTTTGGACAATGCTGAAAAGATCAATTGCCGTAAATACTTGACTCCTACTGCTTTGGTTGCCGGTAATCCCAAGTTGAATTTGGCCTTTGTTGCTCATCTCTTCAACACTCACCCTGGTTTGGAACCTTTGTCTGAAGAAGAAGCTCCTGAGATTGAAGAATTTGATGCTGAAGGCGAACGTGAAGCTAGAAGTAAGTAAAACATGTTTAGAAGCATCATGGCTTACAATCGTACTATAGTGTTTACTCTCTGGCTCAACAGTTTGAATGTTGAACCTGGTGTTTACAACTTGTTTGAAGATTTACAAGATGGTTTGGTCTTGTTACAAGCCTTTGAAAAGGTTGCCCCTGGTATTGTTCAATGGCGTGCTGTCAGCAAGAAACAACCTCTTTCTCGCTTCAAGCAAATTGAAAACTGTAACTATGTTGTCTCTCTCGGTCAGCAATTACACTTTTCTCTTGTTGGTATTCAAGGTTCTGATATTGTGGATGGTCAGAGAACATTGACTTTAGGTCTTACATGGCAATTGATGCGTGAAAACGTTGTTCATACGTTGCAATCCCTCAACAAAAACGGTCGTTCGATTTCTGATCAAGATTTGATCCGTTGGGCTAATGACACTGTTCAACGTGGAGGCAAAACCTCAAAGATGCAGTCCTTCAAGGATCCTTCTCTTAGCACAGGTATCTTCTTCTTGGATGTCTTGAATGGTATCAAACCTGGCTATGTTGATTACAGCCTTGTCACTCCTGGTAGAACAGAAGAGGATGCTTTCAACAATGCTAAGCTGGCTATTTCTATTGCTCGTAAGTTGGGTGCCACTATCTTTTTAGTGCCTGAAGATATTGTTGAAGTGAGACCTAAAATGGTAAGTGATAGCATGAAAGAAAACAAAGTGATACTGATTTCATTCTTTAGAACTTGACCTTTATTGGTAGCTTAATGCAAGTTGATAAGGACATCAATCATGCATAAATCACCTCTCTCTCTCTTTTTTTTTTTCTTTTATACAGTGTACGATCTAAATAGCATATAATCTCGTAAATAAATGACTCTTCCATCCCCTTTTCTTTCTTTTGCATAAAGAATGGTTGTAGATCACTGTAAAAAAAATAGGAGAGTATTTTTTGCATGAATAAGAATCACAATAAGACTAAAAAAAGTAATGCAATTTGTCAAGTTTTTTTTTTCTCTTGGGGGACTCTCCTTGTTAAAATCAATGCACGTTTCATTTTTCCAAAAGACAAGGTTGAGCCGTTGAATACTATTATGTTTATTTAATTAAAAAAAAGAAATCTACCATCCCATCAGATTCTCTCTCAGTCTATCAAAAAATCCTTTGTTTGCATTGCCAGTTGACTGCAGGGTTTGTTGTGATTGTTTATGTGTTGAAGAGAAAGGAGAACTGTATAGATCAGAGGTATGTTGGGGCAATCGTAACACTTCAACTTCTTTGGCTCTTTCGTCCCAAGTAACACCCACCATATGATCTTGGTCAATAATCATACCATTGCATTCAATTGCCTTTAATGCTGTTTCGTGAGAGACATAATGGAAAGTGATCCAATTGCCTTGACTGAAAGGAGCTTCGAGCATATCACCCAAACTTGAAAAATATTTTATGATCTCTTCCGTTTTACTGGCATCATATCCAAACACTCGAACTTTCTTTTTGTTGCTTATTGATTCAGCACTATACAAAGTCTTTAGTTGATGTCTCAACATTTATAACTTGCCTTTCTTTAAATAATGCCTGATGAGTAGATGTTAAGGGCGAATCAAAGGCTTTTAATGATCTATTCGTGTATCGAGATGATGAAATGTCTGATTCTTTAATCGATTCTGTTGGTAAACGATCAGCTTCTTTTAGTTTAGACAAGCTGTTGTTGAATCCTTCACTTGATCTATTTGGTTTGACGAACACACCTTTAGAGGTTTTCATAGCTACATTGCGTCTAAGAAATATCCGAAATACGCGTTAGTTCATGACCATTTGTAGAAATATGTACCCTTCATCACCAACATTGTCTAATGCTCTTTTCTTTCCAGAAGATACTTGGTTGTTTGATGACTATATATAAACAAACGCGTATAAGATACAAGATATAACATCATACACACACTACCTTCATGTTTTTATCCGTACAAAGAAGATAATAAGGCAATACGGTATTTCTTTCATTATAAGCAAGAGAGGAATTGATACTTGTGTTTTCTGCAACGGGTGTTTGCTTTACTGGTACATTTCTAGAATTGCCAAGCAAGTTGTTAACAGAGACAGTTGTACGTGTTAAGGAATCGGGCTTTACGATAAAAAGAGGCGCTTTGGTATCTTGAATATAGTTATTGATGTCTAATAATTCATTGGTTTTTTGCTGTTGTTGTTGTTGTTGTTGTTGTTGTTGTTGTTGAGGAGCTGTGGTTATACCAAACCCACTTCCGAACAAAGAAGTCGTTGGTTTGGCTGTAGTAGAAGAAAATAATGAGGTACCTGATGCATTTGTGTTGTTTGCTCCAAAAAGACTAGGTGTAGTCGTAGTAGAAGAAGAAGCGGGGGTTGTTCCAAAGAGACTAGGTGTACTGTTAGTAGTGGAGGTTGCTCCAAACAGACTAGGTGTGGTAGTAGAGGAGGTTGCACCAAAGAGACTAGGTGTACTGGAAGTTGTAGAAGGTGCTCCAAAAAGACTAGGTGTAGTCGTAGAAGCGGGGGCTGCACCAAAGAGACTAGATGTAGTCGTGTTAGAGGAAGCAGCAGGAGTTGCTCCAAAAAGACTAGGCGTAGCGGCACTCGAAGCAGTAGCAGGCGTAGCTCCAAAAAGATTAGGTGTATTGGTGTTTGAAGCAGGTGTTGTACCAAAAGCACTTGTGTTGGTATTGGTCGCGCCAAACAAGCCTGTTTGTTGAGGTTGTGAAGAAGGCGTACCAAAACTAAAAGAAGGAGCAGGTTGACTTGTTGCTTGACCAAACATAGGTATGTTTAGGAAAAAAAATAAAAAGAGAGAGAAAAGTACGTTTAATTATTGCGTCACAAGAGAACAGTAAGTGAATATACACAAAAAAAATTTTTTCTTAGGTCGTACGCGTTTTTTGTAAGTGCATTTTGTCTGAGTTGAAAGCCACCTATAGGATGCGACCAATGTTTATTATTGCTTTATGATGAAGGGAAGTGAAGGGGTATAAAGATACATATATATATACATGTCTAATCAGATGAAGACGGTGAGTCACTACCAATATTTTTCGGGTTAATGACGGTTGACAGAGATGGTTGACGAGTAGAAGCACTTCTTGGAGAAGAAGAATAGCATTCCAAATCAGGTGTATTTTGTCGATAGGGATGGTATCTCGATGAGTGATAAGCTATAGAGACGAAAATAAATAACCTCATGCATAAAACAGTTGCTTTCTTACAAGAATTTTCTCTACTGTGTCTATTGTTAAAACTCTATGCACATTTTAGTATATGTGTAACAAATAAATATAAAGAAAAATGATTTACCTTTTGATCATCATAATTGAAATCCATCACATAATCCGAATTGGCGTGAAGTGCTTCTCGTTCATATCTTTCTTTCTGATGGACACTTAATCGATTCCACCTTTCTTGAGCAATCAAGATAGCATCTGACAACTCAATGTGTTCATCTCCACTTAATTCGTTCTTTACTTGTTTCAGAAATTCATCAAATGCTGTCACTGGTTTCACTGGTACAAACTGCTTTCGCTTTCTTTGATTGTATTTTTTCAGTGGGCTTTCTTTTGGACTTTCGATAGTCTTGGTAACTGTAGTTGTGGTTGTAGTGATGGTTGTGCCTGGTTTTGCTGTATGATCTAAAATACAAGTCAATCGATTGCTAGGTACCGTTTCCATAGTTACCTTGATCATCATATCCATAATTGATCATAATGGGCGTTGTAAGAGGTACACCTCGGGCTGTTGCTATGGCTCTTTGTAATACCTAAATAAACTCAGTTAAAAAAGTCTAATTCTCTACATTTGTTTTGTTTTTTTCTGAGTGAATGCAACCCACATACACACATCACAATACCTACTCGTCTATGCCCTCTTTTTACATGGAGTGATATCAAATCTGATTCAGTAATATCAAACAACTAGAAAAAAAGTTTTTTTTAGTGTGTTTTTAAATCATTCGCAGTAATTTTTTTTTTTTTTTTTTTTTGGTTTTCTTACCGATAATAATCTATCAAATCCTTCAGCTACAAAGGTATCGTAGTATTGTGATAATTTATAGTTTTGAAGAAATTGTCCTAATTGTTCAAGCAAAAACTCTCTATTGTTATTCTGATCCATTTCAAGGGTGAGAAGGGAGAGAAAAGGGGGGAAAAACTATCAATATAAAAAAATAGAATAAGAGAATAAGAAAAGAGAAAGAGTGTAAGTACAAGATCCACAAAGCAGTTTTATACTAGATTAGCCTACCTTTCACAAAAGCTTGGCGTATGAGTTATTATTAAGAGAAAAGGAAAGAAAGAAAAAAAGCTGACTGCACTAAGATAAATGAGTCGATTCAAATAAAAAGTTGGAACAAATTTTATGCTTTTTTGGGCCTCTCTCTTTACCAATCATATTAAAGGACTTAAAAGAAACACTTTTTACAATCGTGATTGTGCCTGACTTTAAAAGATTCTCTTTTTGCTCTCCTAATAGAGAATAAGCTTTATATTGGCCCCTATTAATATCTACCATACAAAAGAGTAAGAAGATGAAGAAAAAAAAGCTTATCAAACTCGTGTTTACAAGAAGAAGTGAAAGAGAAAATTGACGTTTAGTCTCGATTCCCATTTTAGATTTCTCGCATAAACTGCATCATTTTAAATTGGACTCCTTTTTTTAAATATGTTGTCTATATAATAACAACAATAATAATAACAATGCTCAGGTCGACTTGATTTAGAAGGTAATTTGAACACATGAAAACCCTTAAATGCCTATTTCTGCATATATAAAGACGCATTTATTCTTACTTTTTTTTATTTTATTCTTTCTTTCTTATATCTTTTTTCAATGTCATCTCCCTGTGTGCAACCAACTTACCATCATCACCATCATCATCAAGACGAGGTTCAAAACCTAAGATATGTCGATCCTAATTCATTATCTCAACAGCAACAACAACAACAGCAACAGGGTCCTTATGATTACCATCACTTTTTAAAGAGACAGCAACAAGACTCTTACCAAAGAAGATTTAGCTATACTAGTATGCTATCTGACGCTGATCCTTGTTACTTGCCTACTATTACCAATTCATCTCCTTCCTCAAACCATAGTGAAGACTATGCTCAACAAGAGACACCTCCTCCGCCCTCTTCATCTTCTTCTTCTGCCTCGGCCGTGCATTCTTTTATGGACCCTGTCTATGTTGACTTACAAACAAAAGCATTGAATCAACAACATCCCTTGTTTCACCATCACCCTCAACCTACTCTTTCTTACTATGATTCTCATCCTAAAAGCCTTCTTCATTACAATGACCACTATCACCATCATCATCGTAACAGTATCATTCAACCTCAACCTCAACAACAAGGTTTCCCTATCAGTAGCATGTGCTCTACACCCACACCCACCTCTGCTACCTTGAGCATGAAGCAAGATCGCCCCATGACGCCTATTTCTCCTCCTTTGATTGTCAAAGATGAAAGCCTTACTCAAGACTCACCCAATCAGAACTCTGATAAGCTTAAGAAAGTGCCTCGTTCTCGTGGCCGTCGAGTCTCTAATGTGCCTGGTTGTGGAGCACGTATGTTTACTTGTAAAGCTGATGGCTGTGGTAAAGTATTCAAACGCTCAGAACATTTAAAGAGACATATTCGATCAATCCATACTTTGGAAAAACGTAAGTAAACTTGTATGTACTTTATTTGTTTATTCATTCTTTTCTATTAAGCATTTGAATGCCCATATCAAAGTTGCAATAAACGGTTCTCGAGATCTGATAACCTGAATCAACATATAAGAATACATCGTCATAGTACTAGCAATAGTACAACACATACGTCAAACACTAAGGATGCCAAGGACAACACCTTGAGAACAAAGCAAAAATTACAACAACAATTAAGTTCAAATCTATCCATGAATAACAAGTCAGAACAACCATTTCAAACCAACTATTCTCACTATAATAACAATAGTACTTTTTCAAATTTCATTTAAATATTTAATTTTCTTTATTTATATATACACTTTTCTTCTTCTTTTTTGCATTCATAATCTAATAGCTTGCTATTACGTTACATATATAAAACCATATGCTTTTTTCTTTATTTTCTCTTTAATTCCTTCCAAGGAAAAAAAAAACATATTACATAAAAAAAATACTAGTAAATCATTATTAAAATTACTATATGATACCTATGTAACACTACCTAATGTCTCTCTTTTTTTGAATTGTTTCGAGAAAAAAAAAGAAGTTGCTTAAAATGTACAAATGATACTCCTGTTTTCTTTAGAAACATAAACTTAGGAGATCCCAGTATAATAAATTCTATAAATGGAAAGTGTGTGTATACATGTATGTCAAAAAGAAGGAGGTTGTTATTTCTACTTTGTGTGAATCTACTCAGTCAACAATAGGAGTTTTTTAATCATATAGACTTTACTACATGAGAAAATAAAAAGAAGGAGAGTACAGTATAGAGATCAAAGGGAGAAAAATAGGAGGAAGTGAGATACACAAATTCATTTTTATGGTTACTGGTATACTTTATTAAACTTTAAAATCACTTACAACGAGAATCATTTCTACAAGTTGTTGATCTCGATAATATGGAAGCCTAGAATTTTGTGATGTAACAAATCAAGCAGTGCATGTAGTCGAACCAAAAAGGTTTTCGTTAGTGACAGTATGTAGTTTCAATATTAATAAACCTTGATCTAAAATCAATCTGCATATAAGTTATAAAGTGAGTATAATAAGAATTATTTGCTTTACATCTACATGTTATGATGTTCCAGCTTGTTGTTTTATACATGTGCATGTTTATGCAGAGTACCATGATCTCTCTTCTTTTTGCGCTGCATTCCATATGTCAATAAATTTTGGACCTAATAAATGCGCGAGTGCACATTTAGAAATCAAGTCAACATATCAAATTCACCCGCTTTTGGTCTTGTCGAGATGCAGCTAAAAGTTTAAATTTAAACTTTTCGACTTTGTTCATATACAAACTAACGCATGAAAAAAAGGATAAAGAAGACAAAGTAGTGACAGAAAGGAGTAAAAAAAATTTTCAATCACACCCATACCGATAAAGGAAACCCTTTATTTTGATCAACATTGTCTTACTAAACTCTGGGTTCTCGAAAAAAAAGGAAAGACAGAATCCTTTGTATTCTATTTTCGAAAACGCGAAATGGTCTTGATTGAAATTAGAGCGTGACAAGTATTTTTATATATACTAGTATCATGCTTGATATTTTTTTTTACCAATCAAGGTCGTTACCTTCTCTTTCTCTTTTTTTTACGCAGTAAAATCTAACCAAATACTCTCAATTCATTGATTCGGTCCGAAGTTTAATGTTTATTTATTGCATGTCCTAAAAGAGTTTTATGGTTTGTAATCATTCCATTTTTTTTGAATCTCAAATCTTATGAACACTATCGAGCTTGTGTATATGATGGTAAAGTTATTTCATCATTTCTGGACATGCATAGAGAAATGCAATGAAATCATGTTGCACAAAACTACGTTTACGAGCTTCAAAGTATGCTTAAATACTATTTCTTTTAAATCAATCTTGAGAATGCAATTTTTTTTCTTTGTTTTGTTTTGTTTCTGGGCGTATCGATTCAAGAGTCAAGAATCAAATAGTGTTAATTTTATAGTGTCTTTTTATTGGTAGTTGCATTTACCAGTCATGAAACAGCTTTATCACTTTTAATGGTAATTCCCAACATAATGCACTTATTAAATATATGATGCTGCTGTTTATAATACTATTTTAAGAGAGAGATAAAGAAAATTGATCATAAGATAAGTGAATATTGTTAAGATATACACATTGTCTATGAGTCTGCTTTTAAAGTAGCTTAATACAATATTGAGTGAAAGGTCTTTACAATTGCACCTTTGTTATGTATTGATCAATAAGTGCTGCTTGTTTAGAAAGAACATTTGAGTGATTTTACATTCTGTCCTATGATCAAATCAAATTCTCGAAATGAAACCCAGCTAGGTATACACCTGGTTTATGCTTCAGAAAAAAAGTTTTTTTTTTTTTTCTTAACTCTTTTACGCCTGTCATTATGCTTCCTTGCCTTCAAAAGAGAGGCATTGCCTCTATTGCTAATTTCAAAATACCTCCTTCATCTATACCAGTGCAAAAAAAGACTAATTTACTTGGCATGACATTACACGATCTTGAAAAAGAATTCGAAGGATTACAGCACACAAAGAAATATACACCATTACAGATCTGGCAACACATGTATAAGAGAGGCTATACAGATTTTAACAATATGCCCAATTTATCCAAAGATCTCAAACAAATACTCGATCGTAAATATGAGATCAACTATGGAGAAGTCAAAGTAAGTCTCATCGATACCATCGATTTAATAACATGATCAGTTGGACAAAACAGCGCTTGATCAAACACGCAAGTTTTTGATTGGATTCAATACAAAGCAAGATCCAAAAGCTGTGGTTGAGACAGTCATCATTCCTGAAAAGTCTCGATCAACACTATGCGTTTCTTCTCAAGTGGGCTGTTCCTTGAAATGCAGTTTCTGTCATACAGGCACACAAAAACTTGAGCGAAACTTGACTTCAGCTGAAATTGTAGGACAGTACATGATAGCAGCATCTCAGAGTGGCGATTTTCCTTTCAAAGACAATACACGTAAAACCATCTCCAACATGGTCTTCATGGGACAAGGCGAACCATTGTATAATTGGAAGCATGTCAGCAAAGCTATCCAGATATTAACTGATCCTCAAGGATTGAGTTGGTCTAAGCCCAAGATCACTGTCTCTACCTCAGGTGTAGTCCCTTTGATCCCCAAAATAGCTACCGAACTAGGCGTTTCTTTGGCTATTTCTTTACACGCAACCAACAACGCATTGCGTGATGTACTTGTTCCACTCAACAAGACATTTCCTTTAGAGACAGTATTAGATGCGTGTACAAAATATGCAGAACATATGGGCAATAGAGGAAGAAGAATCACATTTGAATATGTCATGCTGGATCATGTCAATGATTCTTTATCTGATGCAAGAGTCATGGTCAAGCTATTAAAGCAACTACCAGCCCATGTGAACTTAATGTAAGTCACTCTGCATTTGCATAGTTAATCATGTTTTGCAGTCCTTTTAATCCATGGCCTGGAAGTGGTTATCAATCTACCAAAATGGAACACATTGAACGATTTGCTCAAGTGATTGTACAGAATGGTATTCATTGCACCATAAGAAGACCTAGAGGACAAGGTAAACCGGTTAGAGTTGGACGCTTGTTTATTCACGCTCAATATCCCTCTATAGACATCTTGGCAGCATGCGGCCAACTACGTAGTTCAGAAGAAAGAAAGAAAAAGGCTATTTAATGAAATACATCTCCATCACGATAATAATGTTGAGCTCTCTTTTTCTCAAATGCTTCATGACGTTTTCGTTCTAGAGTCGTTAAGTTTAAAAAATCTGTCTAGTGCTGTTACCTTTCTCTTCTTTTTCTTGTTGGTCTATCTTTTTCCATTCTTCTGGTTCTGCGAATCCTACATTCACTGGTTTTTGTGTTACGCTGTCGTCCAGACTAAATTCTTCTGGCTCTTCAGTAGCACCTAAAAGATCTCCAGGCAGTTCTGTATAGATAAGCATGAGAGTCACTGTTATTCACCATCATCCTACCTTCTGGATTTAGCACTTTATCCAAGTTAGTGTCATAGCGAACAAAGGGTGTTTTTGGTTCATCAACTTTCATAAACACTTGTTCGCGTTGTTGCTTTTCGTTTTGCTTTAGTTTATTCTCGTCCCATTTGATCCTTATGAAGACAATGAGTGCGTATGAATAATAGAGTAGTATTACTTGTGAGGTTTTTGTTCTTGTGCATGGTCTTTCTGTAAGATGCTCTTTTGACAAGGTTCTGATGACATGAATAAAATATAAAAAGGGGATTCCTGCAAACATGAAAACTTGTCACGATCTTTTTCTTGTTTTATATGCCCATTACCATCACATTAGCCCTTGGTTATCTGACCATACCATTCATCATTAAGAGTTCGACGCGTGCTTTGACGACAGAGGAAGAAGAAGAAAGCGAACTTGGTACTCCCCGATGGACATTCTCTAATACGATCAGCATCACTTGTTTTGTTCAATCACCACCTACCATCTATCCAACACTCGAGAAGCATGTTATTCAACTTGCCCCTGAAGCAAACACATTTGAACAAGAAACACTAGCGACACTATCCAGTGCATTGCATCAACATGCAAAAAAGCAACATGGTCTTATTACACTAACAGATGATCTATTGGGCATCTTGTCACCTACAGATCAACCCAAGATCTTTGTGCTACAGATAGTGCAATTCAACACAGCGCATGTAGTGAATACCAAGAGCTATGCTTCTACACTTTTACCCGACTTGGAAAGTTCAGCCAAGCCTGTTGAAATTATGGAATTATGTCAGTTATGGCCTAATTCAAGCAGCCAGTTGATAAAGATAGGCTCACACATTTACAAAATGGCATGTTTATATGGTTATTGGGATAATTGGCGTGTATTTGAAGGTATCTGTCATAGACATCAAATAAATCCTGAGCAACTAGTGAATATTCAACGATAAATAATAATAAAAAAAGCAAAAGGGTATATATATATTATAAAGTACAAGAACGGGTGTAAATCAAATGGTCTGAGATGTTGTGTTGAACACCACTACTTGTACCACTATCATTGACAAGTTGGAGTGAAGCAGACGTATTTCTTCTTCTTTCTTCATCTTCTTTTTCTTTTTGAGCAAGTTCATCTGAAGGTAATAGAATGGATCGATCAATAGAAGCAGGCAAACCTGGTATAATGATAAGTGAAAATTGTACGCACTTTTTTTTTTGTTACCTCTGTGTCTTCCTCGATACATAAGAATAATAATCACAAGTTTACTTAGTGTACGATATTGTGCTGATTGTGATGTAGCAGTATTTGGGTATCCCGTAGAAGCACCCACATTACCAAAGGCTGAAACACACTCATAAATCACAGTGGCCATTGTCACAGGAGAAGGAGACATGATAGACTGAGCTTCAAGGGCACAGATACAAAAGACAGCTGTAATGACCCAACAGATATCGCTTGTCAATTGACGTTGGATTTGTGTGATCACAAAGAAATCAGGTCCCTTGAGGAGCTTCTTTGTGTTTTGTGCGATACTCGTCATGGTAGCATGTCGTTTCAGTTTGATAAAAGGCGCTTCTGCTAACTCGTCTTCTGAAAACTTCATCGGTTCTTCATCTTCTCCTCGAAAGATGCCTAGAGCACGCTCCTATGATGCCAAATTAACCAAAGATGAAACACATTGGCTTTTTTACCTGATAAATATTACTGTTTCTCATGGAAATAGCCACGGGATAAACACTGATGTACATAGCTACAATATAAACAAGTTGAGCAGCAGGGTTAATGTCTGCTAGACTCACAACAGAAAAACCAGCTAACCATATCATGAGTAAATGTGCCAACATACCCTATGCTTGCTTACCATTCCGTGTAGCCACAGATTGAAACAATGCATCTAAGAATCTAGCACCCCAACTGATATCTGCCAAGACAGGGAGCCAATAGTTCAAACTAATAAAGCATATCAGTTCGAATAAAGTAATTGCCACCAACACAATCAAAAGCCACCATGTCTGAGTCGAGGGAAATAAGGTAGTATAACAACGACGAGGATGATCTAAAAGATACCGAAATGTTTCACGACGCAAGATACTTCTCTTAGGTGTCAACACATAGCAGATCCAGATAATAAATCGCAAGAAAATAGCAAAAGCTGTATTGCCTGCCAAAATAAGTACGATGGCTAACAATAAAGGTGCAGGTGCAGTTTTGAAAGGCACCAAACTTGCATCTAAATGATTTAATCCCAAGTTGGTAAATGAAGACAGACTCATAAAGAATGAGAAGAACCATGGATCCACAGGCCCATTGGTATTGGACGTCTCCAAGACCTGTTGTCCATATATTGAAGCTGCAAAATAAATACGGAAAAAGAAGCCAAACAAGATGATAAAGCCAATAAAGTAAGCAGGTACAATCCATGCCAGCATTTCTAACGCACGGTATTCAATACCACCCATACGATATTTTTCTTCTCTTGTCAGATCTGACTTGGATGAGGGTTGTCGCATGATTTCATATTCCGAGTTTGTGCGATGCAAAGGTAAGTGCTCCATATCTTCATGACGATTTTGTAACAATTTTCGACGCTCTCTTTCACGAAGGACATTGGTATCTTCTCTAAATGTGATTTGTTGGTTTGTGGTCGCATTATTGCTTGTGTTGTCTGGTAAAGAAGGTTTCATAGACGTAGGGCTTTCTATATATAACATAGACTTTTCGTCTTGTTGTTTTGACTGTTGTTCATATGATGATGACGAAAAAGTAACAGACAAATCGTTGCATGAACTATTATTATTTGATTCTATATCAAAAGGGTGTGTACCCATACGATCAAAAGTTTCTTTTCTGCCCACTTCTGCTTCTTTGTCTTCTTGCTCTTCTTCTTCTTGAGTGGGTTGAAAAGAATGAAATCCTTTCACGTTTTGACCGTCATTATTGAAGTTAGGGTACACGATTCTTGTATCATGAGAATCTTTTCTAGTTCTAGGGTTATTTGATCGAATTGAAAGGATGGATAGACGACGTTTAATTGGACCTATGATGGTCTTGGTTGCTTTTATAGAGATACTAGCGTTGTCATTCAATGCTTTTTGTTGTTCTAGTTCTTGTTCTCTTTGTTTTTGCTGTTTATACATTTCTTTTCTTCTCTTGTTTTCTTCCAACACATATTCAAATCGTTTAGAGAAATAGTATCGACGGACCATCACCACAAAAAATGAAATAGTGACATGTGAGCCTAGAAAGCAAACAAGGTACATGACAATCATTTGGTATGTCGTCACTTCAGACATGGGAATTGTGTTGAGTCCAGTGTTAGTGGTGGCTGTTACTGCCATAAACAGAGCATCAATATAGGCCCAATCAGTGCCTGGTTCAATATAAAACAGTCCCGAAACAACAAAAATCATGACAAGAATGTACAGATAATGAAGTTCAAGGAAATGAACCCGGGTATCCCAAAATTGATATATCCATTCGCCGAATTGATTCAGCTTATCTCGCAGTGACATGTAAAGCAATAGAGAAATGAGAAAAAAGGAAATGAAAAGAAGAAAAAAAATTAATGGGTCAAATTCGGATTTTATATGTTACTTGTCAGATTCAATGTCCGTTTTTTTCTCTTTCGTACAGAATTTATACCTATGATTGGAACAGGTTAAGTTTGAATCAAGATGAACCAACGGTTTGGTCACAACTGTGAAGATAAATAGAAAAGAGGCTGCCAGTATGTATTCTAGATTGCTATTAGTTGTCTAACAGAAAAAAGGGAGGTGTAAACGTCTAGAACAATACTGAGATTTCTTGATAGGTCAACAGAATGCAAAAAGGAAAAGTTAGAAGCAGATGGAAAGAGTTCTCCTTATTTAGTGGTTTGTGATATGTTTCCCTTTTTTTTCTGCAAAAAAAAAAAAGTTTTGAATTGAGGCATTTTTGTTATAATGTCTGGACCTTTTTAAGGAAATCGTTTGAGTTTTGTGAGATGCTCAGAGGCCATTTTTTTTTTTTTTTTGCTTTCACAAGATTGTAAGAACACAGAAATCTGCTTCCGATAAAATCAGTAGCAAACTTTGAGAGCTCTTCAGTAGATTAACTTTTACTACATTTTTGAGTTTGGAGTCTAGAAACTCCGTAACACCATTTATCTTGGTATTCCATGAGTAATATTTACTCTTTTGGCTATCGTTGAAACATTCAACAGTGTTAGCCTTAATATTATTGAAATATTTGTTACTTTTATTCAAAATGAATGTGCAAATCAAGATAACAACTTGACCTCAATTTAAGTAGTCAGAAAATCACTCCACCCATTTCAAAAAGTATATGATATTCATTTCGAAAGGGCTGCAGTTCTAAGCATTTGAAGAAAAAAGATGAATTAAGTTTATTTTCTTTTTCAGCTGCAAAGTGTCATTGATTTCATTAGATCGTACAAATGAGCTTGCACCCCTTGAAATGGATACATGTCTTCTATTAAAAAAGCTTAAAAGTTATTTTAATGCATTGACTAGAACAATAATGCGGTCAAACCTATCAAAAGCACAAGCAAATATACAGAATTGCATAATTTTACAAAAGGGTTGTAAAGACTGCTTGTGCACTATTAAGCTTACAGAATGCCTACAAAACATGTTTAATAACATCCGTAGTACTTTTGGAGTCGATTTGGACCGAAAAAAGCGACATGTAGAATTTGACCAAAATGACTATTCGACCAAAGGGTACTACTCATGAAAAAGCTCGTTTGACAACCTTCAATCTTCTTTTGAGCACTACAAGACGAAAAATAGAGATATCAACATGCTTAAATACTCAAAATGTGCGTCAGAGGCTCTAGTTCTTGTTGATTGTGTTTGTTTAACAGTTGTACTGCACAAATGATGAGATATGGGCAAAAAACCTCGCAGGCATCTTTGCAGATTATCTCAATATTTTAGCAGCAAAGTTGCTGTGTTTTTATATCAACAAATTTGAAACAAAAAGTTCTACAACTTTTTTCACTACACCAAAGCCCAATAACTGCGTCTTTATGCAGTTTTCAGCAAAAGCTCGGTTTTTGATGCAGTGGTACGAAGAACTGGAGTTGACTTCCATTTCAATCTTCGCAACCTGCCATCTGGTATGTTCTATGTCCATTTGTTCCCACATTTGTATTATAAAATGTCTATATTTCTACTTTCCTATGTTCTCTGACACGCAAAATAACATAGGATCCTTTTGAAAGTCCATAGATAGCACACTGTATATGACATCTAGAGCAAAAACGCTCAAAGCACAGCTTAAATATGCTAATCTTTGATGGCCCATTACTCAACAAGACTATCAAAGTAGTCTATTGTTTCATTTAAAGCATGTTCTTTCAATCCCAGGAATCGAATGGTACCACTAGTTTGACTGTTTTATGGAATTTATTTTTTGAATAATGGGGTATTCCATCTTAGTTATGCGCACTGACAGTCCAAGTCCAAATATTCCCAACGCTGAAAGGTTACTATCTTTCCTTAGCACCTTCTTCTCACTTGTGGGGAGGGAGGGGAATCTATCGGATAGTAATAAGTTTAACCCTATTCGTGGTACCTTGGTAGTCTCATTTCTTTGTGTATGTGGCTATTAGGGTATTGCAGCAGTCTTGGTCGTTTGCTACTGTGATAGTGCTAGAAAGCGGTAGTGAAGGTTACTGGGATTGATAGTCATTCGCCTTTTCTTTTGTGAATGCCCTTTAGAGGGGCTTATTTTAGTCTGATGGTTAGAGTAGTCTTTCTAAAGTTAAGCTTCACTTTTGAAGGGGTACCTGTCTATTCGCGGCAAGCTCTATTCATTTAGGGTCGACTATCGGACAGAATAATAGCTTTTTATATATAGTGTTCATCCATTCATTCGTTTGAGTGGATCATCTATTGAAAATGATAGGCATTCCATTTTTTTTGATAGTGTGAATACTATAGTGTGGGGGTTTGGGGGGCTTTGTGCGTACATGCACCATCTTTTTGGGAGCTCAATTAAAACTGGTTTAGGTCCTAGTTCCTGGAAACAAATACTCACAGTATTTGGCTAAATTACCAGTTTCTTTTTATCTTTTTATTCGATAAAGTATATACTTATATTTAAAGTAATTACGTGTTCTTTTCGCCTTTCATTTGTTACATAGTACTAATGACAGAAGTATCAAATCAGCGGTCACAAGTCTTGTACATAAAGTTCCCTTTCAATTTGAACTTTTTGTCATAATCTATAAACGAAAAAAATAGTCCAAAAGACATGAATTGAAATAATAATGATTCGGACTTTTCTCATAATTGCAAACTCGATACTAGATGTTAAGAGGGGTATTAAGTAACCATTTTATTTTTTGAGCACATCATAACATGATTGATTTAATGCACTTGGCTGTACTTCTTCTAATATATTCACAAGTCTTTGAGCAGCTTCTCTGTCTTTTCTAGCAATGCATGCTTCTAATATTCTACAAATTATTCTTGCATCCAATTTGTATCCTTCTCCTAGCAAATCATACACAAGTGACAACGCAGACGGCAATTGTCTCCAGTGTGCAAATCCAACAATGACCTTATTCATTTCTACTGTTTCCTTTTCATTCAGCCTTTGTTTTCTCGATTTCAAATCCAAATAGATTTGTTCTGCCACTGCCAATTGAAAGTTTTTTCTAAAGTATTTCAGCAGTTGATGTATCATTGGATGTGGTATCTCTTCTTTTGCTGTAAACAAAAGTGCTTGCCATAACCTCTTGACAGTCTCAAATGTGTCCCAATTCGGCTGTAGTGAAGTATAGAATTGGATGAATGATGCATAAATAGAATAATCGGCCACAATTTGATCCTGTAGCATAAAAGCAAAAATACGGCTGGCTGATTTCTGATCTCGAAGCGATAAATAGGTACGGATCAACAAATGATAGCTTGAAGGAATGGCCAATTTTCGCTTTCTTGCCAGCTCTAACACGTATTCTGCATCTTCATATCGTTTTGCGTTGATGCAGCCTGTGATGACACTATGCCAGCACTCGATATCCAATTCGTGCTCGTATAGATCTAGCATTTTGATGAACATGGTCTTTAGGTTTGGATGACCATAGTGGGCTATACTCTGCAGAATTTTTTTCAGTTTGACTTGAGGTCGTTTTCTCTTTTTGTTTCTTTGCAGATTCAGGTATTCGTAGAACCAGGATTCCATGCGATCGTTTTGTTCTCGGTTGCGATGGCGTTGCCATGACAGTCCCATCACTAAATGGAGATATGTTTGGTGATTGGGTTGGACACCATGTTGTTTCATGTCGTCTAATACGGCCTCTGCTTTTATTTGGGCTTCTTTTGTCTTGAACATTTTGACGTGTGCTCGTAATTTTTGGTGATAGTCATAGAGTTTAGGGGTTGTTTCTTGTGATTTGACGTGCTCGACAAGAGTAGAAGAGAATCGTCTTGGTTGTATTGAAGGCTTTGTGGAGGCTATAAACAATCTAAGCACATTATGACAGGCAAACCTGTTGCCACAATGACTACTCATATGTGGGGGTATTTTTGTTATGTAATGTAAGAAGGATTTAAAAAAACTTTTTTAGGCAGTAAACACCCCCCTTCAATGTTCATAAAGGGGCTGTCTTTGAATTTATTTTTTCTCTTTTGGAGATGTTACACTAAATCAACTCGACTTTGAGCGATACGTGCTGACATCACTTCTATTGCCGATATACGGACTTGCATTCTCTTTCTCTCTTTTTTTTTCTTATTCATAATTCAACTGAGCAAACATCAAGAAAAAGAAAAAAGAAATGTATTATGCAAAATGATTTTTTGAACCTAAAAGCTACTGTTCTAACGAATGGGTTGATGGCGAAAAATTCAATTTTATGTGTGTATGTGTTACTAGCATGTTGGCCAAAGAAGGTCAAATTCTTTTTGTCTTTTTAAATCCTTGGTCTTCCTCAGCTAACATGTTGAATTTACAAGCATATCATATTCTTATCTCAAGCAGAAAAGTATATCATTCTATTTTGATTATACTTATCAACCTTATTATACAATAAAATAACTGAACAAAATGCGAAAAGCAAAAATGAATCATTTCTTCTTTTGTATTGAAATAAAATTATTTCGTAATGAATTAGCAGGAAAGTTTATTTAATTTTGGTACCAATTCTTTTTTTATACTTCATTGAGTGACCTAGCGATTTTCGAAAATAGTTTAAAAAGCTAGAAAGGAACTATCTCTCGAAAAAGGAAGACATCAAGTGCAAGCTAACTAAAGCCATTCTCTCGGTTAGAAAGTGCGGCTTATATGAGTCAATGTGGTCCTCCTTTTTTTATAATCCTATTTATTAAAAGGCGGAGTAGGTGGACACAACAGAATGCGAATTTGAAAAAAAAAACATATTTTTTTTTCGTTCTCCTCTCTCTATCTCTCTCTCTCTTTTTCACTTTTTTTTCTTCTTTTTTTTTACGACTATGGCAGAAGAACATAACTGGAAGTTTGCACAGTGTTTTGGTGACAAGGGGGACTCTGACGATATCACTGACGGTAAGATAAAAATAAAAAAGACTATATATATACGATTTATTCACCAAAATGATTGCTAGCTGATATTATCTCCACTGTTGAATTTGATCAAACTGGTGACTATCTTGCCACTGGTGATAAAGGTGGACGCGTTGTCTTGTTTGAAAGAAACGAAACTGTAAGGTAAATATGCATTTATCACACAATACTGAGTGTTTGAATAGAAAAAAAACTGTGAATATCGCTTTTATACCGAGTTTCAATCCCATGAAGCAGAATTTGATTACTTAAAGAGTTTGGAAATTGAAGAAAAGATCAACAAGATCAAATGGTACAAAAGACAAAATTCAGCTCATTTCTTGTTATCCACTAATGGTATACATTATCATGTTAAATGTTATACATCTGCTAATTTGGTTAGATAAAACAATCAAACTTTGGAAAGTGTTTGACAAGTCTTTGAAATTAGTGGCTGAAGACAATCTCAGTCCTAATGATAGTCCTGTCAACACGCTTCGTTTACCTCGATTGACACATCATGATACCATTGTTGCTGCTGTTCCTAGGAGAGTCTATGCAAATGGTAATAAATATACACGTACAGAATGACATACTTACGTCGTTTAACTTAGCTCATACTTATCATATCAATTCTATATCCATCAACTCGGATCATGAAACCTATATTTCTGCTGATGACCTAAGAATCAACCTTTGGAATTTGGATGTCTCTAACCAGAGTTTCAGTAAGTCGTGAAATAAGCGTATGATGAGTATCAGCTAACACTTGTCCAGACATTGTTGATATTAAGCCTGCTAATATGGAAGAGTTGACTGAAGTTATTACAGCTGCTGAATTCCACCCTCAGCAATGTAATATGTTTATGTACAGTTCGAGCAAGGGCACAATCAAGTTGAGTGACATGAGAGAATCTGCATTATGTGACCGTCATGCTAAAGGTAACGTCAGAGTGTAAAGAACAAAGACACTTATATGTCAAATTAGTGTTCGAGGAAGCTGAAGACCCTGCTCATCGCTCTTTCTTTTCTGAAATCATTTCTTCTGTCTCTGATATCAGCTTTAGTCATGATGGTAGATACATTCTTTCTCGAGACTACCTTACTCTCAAGATTTGGGATATCAACATGGACAACAAACCTGTACAGACCATCAATATTCATGATCAATTGAGAGCTAGATTATGTGATTTGTATGAAAACGACTGTATCTTTGACAAGTTTGAATGTACTTTTAGTGGTGATGATAGTCATGTCATGACAGGTTCTTATAACAACACATTCCACCTGTATGATCGCGAAGGTAAATCAAACATTACACTTCAAGCAGATAAGAGTGCTTTCAGATCCAAACGTCTTGGTGGCTCAAAGAACAAGATGATGGCAAGAAACCCTGCACCTAATGCGGATAACATGGACTTTAACAAAAAGATTTTACATTCTTCATGGCATCCTCGAGAAAATACAATTGCCATTGCTGCTACCAACAATTTGTTTATTTTCACGTAAGTTCATAAGCATAATTTGCACAACAGACTCATCTCTTTTTTTTTTTTTTGTTTTAGTGGCGAACAATAACAATCATACTACTAATAAAAAAGACCTCATTTTACATATATATATATATATATATATATATATATACATACATGGTACTTCTTTATCGTCTTTTCTTGAATGAAGTATGATCTTTTTCTTCATTAAGTGCTCGCTTTTTACGCTCTTCTTCATGAGCTCGTCGTTTGCTAATAGGGTTAGATGTCTGTTGATTGAATTGTGTCTTACCTTTCTCTTTCGGCTAATTGGTTGCGAACTTCGGGATAGGTAGGCAAAAGAGATGGATCTTGAGCTCTAGGTGTTTCTTGGAAATAAGGATGTACTAATGCCTGCTTTACATTCAATCTAGACTTGGGATTGTAAGTAAGCAACCCGGCAAACAAACTGAGTGTCTGTTCACTCCATCGAGGAAATACTTCTTTTATGTTGCTATAACTGCATTATCATGAGACGTTGTTCTTGCTTTTGGTTGCCTACCTTTGTTTTGGCATCACAAGTACTTTGGCAGAAGGCAATTTATTGAATCCTGGCCAGATAGTCTCATTAGGTGCTCCTAATAACTTGACAATTAAATCAAGTTGTGCTTGTTCTGTGTTTCCTGGTAATAAAGGTTTGTGCTGCATGAGTTCACCCATGATACATCCTGCAGACCATAAATCGACAGCTGTTGTATAGTTGGTATCTCCAAATAACACTTCAGGTGCTCTGTACCATAAAGTAACAACATTGGGTGTCATTGGTTTACCAGGTAAACTCAATGTTCTTGCCAAACCAAAATCAGCTAGAATACGTTAGATTTCTTTCATATTCTTTTCAGATTACTATACCAATCTTTAATAAACCAGTAGAAGTAAGCAACAAATTAGACATTTTCAAATCTCTATGAATAATCGAATGACTATGGCAATACTCTAATCCTCGAAGTAACTGAAGCATCAAACATTTAACTAAAAGAATTGAGCTTCTTTATCTGCTTATGAACATACTTACTCTCGGATGCTGTATACGGTGTTGTTACCATGTCCAATAAACTGCCCAAATCCTAGGCGAATTAGCCTACAGCACTCTCAAGCCATATTGACTTACTTGCTCACAGTATTCCATGACTAGAAATATAGATTCTAATCGTGGTCCTACAGCTACATCTGTCACATTGACAATATTCTGATGCTTCATTCGTTTCAGAATACTGATCTCTCTCAGACTGGAGACTGGCATACCGTCTGTTTCTCTTTCCATGCGGATCTTTTTCAATGCTACAATCTGTTTTGTTCTAGAGTCCTTGACACGACTAATGTATGTTAGTGTATGTCTGAGTGAGTGCAGATCTTACTAGACAACACCATAAGTGCCTTCCCCTACTCTATTGAGTTTCTGAAAATCTTCTACGTCTCTACAGTTGCCAAAGAAAGGAGCTTCTATACAATCTAAATGTTTTCCTTTCACAGTAGTGAGTTTTATATGACGGGTTGGTATAGCAGCTGGAGGGGGTGGAGGGGGTGCGTTAGCCATAGTAAGACTGAAAAGAGAAACAAGGAATGTACGGTACTTGAATTCAACATGACTGTAACACACTCTAAAGTAAGAAGGGAGGAGGAGAGGATTGACAGATCTAAGCCTCAGTTTCCATATAAAGTGTCGAATGTTGGCCTTTGTACGCACGGGCATACCTCCTTCCTATTTTCTCCTTGTTTCCAACCATAAAATGATTACGTATGTTTTATTGTGCGCACAAGCCATTATTTATTTTATAACTATAGCAACTACTTCATGCCGATTCCCGAATGATTTGTCATACAGAAAATCATGATTTAAAAAAGGCTTATGATTGTGTATTTTCTAGCTTATTTGAACAAGAAAGTGAGTGGGAAAAAGGGAATTCTAACTGGTGTAACAAAACTATTTTTTTTCCTTTGTCCAAAATAAACAACATCCTCCTTTTTCTTTTTCTTTTTTTCTTTTCTTCTTCAAGATGGACTTGTTATCATTACCAGACCAAATCCTGACTTGTATCACTTTAAATCTTCAATTGAAAGACCTGCTTGCCCTTGGAGATGTTCATTCTCGTTTACGCGAACTAGTTTACAAGAATCCCGAGATATGGACCAGTGACTTGCTGTTTCCAGTCCAAGACCCCAATATCACAGACAAGTTTATCAAAACAATTGTACCGCGCATTACTCGGCATTACGGTATTCTGGATCTCAAGATGATCTGCTTGCCTCTGAGTTGGAAAGGCTACCTGATGATATTTGATCAATTTGCGCATTCCGTCAAACATATTGAGATACAGGCAACCACAAGGAGTTTGGCTGCATTGGCACATCATCTGTCTGTCTTTGCCGGTAATTTAACACTATTGCAACGCACAAACAAGATTCCAATTACTTTTCGACAATATGCTTTGGATGAAGACGATGACTATGCATTAGGCGATAACTTGTTACACAATCTGAAAGATCAATTCAAACATACAAAACTCGATGATCCTCCTTTTGAAAGACTTGAAAAGTTTCAAGTGAGTCTAGTTGATCAAGAATCATCTCATCTTGTTCAACAATTACATGTCTTGACATGTTTCCTATCAGGAAGACCTGTAGGGGAATCTAATAAACGAATGAGAGAAGATTATCCTTTTTGTTCTAACAAGCATATCAGACATGAGACTCATTCTCAAGCACCACATTACTTATACCAATAAAATAAAAGCTTTCTTCTTTGGTCTTGAGAAAGAGCATTTACTTATATTATGAAACCATTGAAGGCAGATAACTGTAAAATAGAGTCTGTAGCATATATAGTGTGGCCCTAAATGAACTTACTCTATTGTTTATGACATGAAATAAAAATCTGCTTGACACGTCATGAAGCAGTATGATTGGGCAACGTATGGAAAAGCCCTTTGGTCTATTTAAACACCGCACCATTTCATTAAACAGCAACCTGCAACACAAGAAAGGTTCATCTCTTGCTCTTCTTTTTCTTTTCTCTTCACAGAACTTCATTTGCTTTTGTCTTGTTCAATACTGTTTGTGTCTAACATACAAAACAATAAAAAACGACATATTACTGACTCAATAGTGTAAATAGGTACAAGATTTACAAGTCAACTTTTTTCTTTTCAGGGTAATAGGTTTATATGACCCAACGCGTACTCGATGACTAACTATGTTGTTTAGTTTATATAAAAGAGAGAGAAAAAGCTATTTTCAACATGCAGATGCTCACCAAGGTAATGATTATTGATGTTTTATTTCTCATCTTGTAACTCGAGATGAAACTTTAGTTTGAGTCAAAAAGTAATCGCGTCAAAGGTGTTGCTTTCCATCCCAAGCGCCCTTGGATTCTTGCTTCCTTACATAATGGCTGTATTCAGTTATGGGACTATCGTATGGGTACTTTGTTAGAACGCTTTGAAGAACATGATGGTAAGTCTTGTATTGTCGATATGACTAGCTCACTTTTACTTGTTAGGTCCTGTAAGAGGCATTAGTTTTCACCCTACTCAGCCTTTATTTGTTAGTGGAGGTGATGATTACAAGATCAAAGTATGGAATTATAAGACCCGTCGTTGTTTATTCACCTTGAATGGCCATTTGGACTATGTCCGTACTGTCTTTTTCCACCACGAATTACCTTGGATCATTTCAGCTTCCGATGATCAAACCATTCGTATCTGGAACTGGCAATCCAGAGCCTGTATTGCTATCTTGACAGGCCATAATCACTATGTGATGTGTGCTCAATTTCACCCCAAGACAGATTTGATTGTCTCTGCCTCTATGGATCAAACAGTCCGTGTATGGGATATTACGGGTAAAGTAAACCATGAATCTTAGATGTGTGTACTTATAAGGCAGGTTTGCGCAAGAAATCTCAAGCACCTACAGCAATGACAATGGAAGACATGGGCAGACCTGGTCCTGGTGGCGATTTGTTCGGTATGACGGATGTCATGGTGAAATATGTCTTGGAGGGCCATGACCATGGTGTCAACTGGGCTTCTTTTCACCCTACTCTTCCTTTGATTATCTCTGCCGGCGATGATCGTCAAGTGAAGCTTTGGAGAATGAATGGTAAGGACTCTTTGTTCAAGATAGATATTGACTGTCATATAGACACCAAGGCTTGGGAAGTAGACAGTTGTCGTGGCCATTATAATAATGTGTCCAGTGCTATTTTCCATCCTCGTCAAGACTTGATCTTGTCTGACAGTGAGGATAAGACGATTCGTGTCTGGGATTTAACGAAGCGTACGGCTGTGGCCACATTCAGAAGAGATCATGATCGTTTCTGGGTATTAACATCTCACCCTGAATTGAACTTGTTTGCTGCTGGTCATGATTCTGGTTTGATTGTCTTTAAGCTTGAGCGTGAGCGTCCTGCATTCCAAGTACATAACAACGAACTTTACTACATCAAGAACAGTATTTTACATATTCATGATTTTCCTAGCACTGCTGACCAAGAAGTCATGTCTGTCCGTAAATTGGGCTCTCAGTTTGTCGCACCTCGTACATTATCTTACAATCCTGCTGAAAGAGCCATTTTGTTAACGAGTCCTTATGAAGGAGGTACTTATGAATTGTACCGTTTGCCTAAGAGTTTGGGTGGTACATTACAAGAACCCTCAGATGATGCCATGAAGGGCGCTGGTCATGCTGCCTTGTTTATTGCCCGTAATCGTTTTGCAGTCTTTGACAAGACAAACCAGACTATTCAAATCCGTGATCTTTCTAACAAAGAGACCAAATCCTTCAAAACACCCGGTCAAGTCACTGATATCTTTTATGCTGGTCCTGGCTCTCTTTTGATGGCTACACCTACGTCTGTCATCTTGTTTGATATTCAACAACGCAGAGTGATTTCTGAATTGGCTGCTTCTTCTGTCAAATATGTTGTTTGGTCTACAGATATGTCTATGATTGCACTCTTGAGCAAACACACCATCACCATTGCTGACAAAGAATTGAAGCAAACAAGTCAAATTCATGAAACCATTCGTATCAAGAGTGCTACTTGGGATGATCAAGGTGTCTTGATCTACTGTACTTTGAACCATATCAAATACGCTCTTCCTCAAGGCGATAATGGTATTGTTCGTACCTTGGATCAGCCTATCTACTTGACCCGTATCAAGGGTAAGAAGTTGTATGCTTTGGATCGCGATGGCAAGGTGCGCGAGATTGTCATTGACCCTACTGAATACCGCTTCAAGTTGGCTCTTATCAAGAAACAATACGAAGAAGTACTTCATATCATTCGTACTTCCAATTTGGTGGGTCAATCCATCATTGCCTATCTTCAAAAGAAGGGTTATCCTGAAATTGCTTTACACTTTGTCCGTGACGATAAGACTCGTTTTGAACTTGCTTTAGAATGTGGTAATTTGGATGTTGCTCTCGAGACTGCCAAATCCATGAACAAGCCTGATTACTGGTCTAAACTTGGTGCTGAAGCCTTGCGCCACGGTAACTATAAGATTGTCGAATTAGCTTATCAACGTACCAAGAAGATGGACAAGCTTTCTTTCTTGTATCTCTTGGAGGGTAATGAAACCAACTTGCGCAAGATGTTGGAAATTGCTCAACTTCAAAAGGATCCTTTGATGCGCTTCCAAAACGCTGTCTATCTGGGTGATGTTCAAGAACGCATTCAGTTACTTAAGGATGTAGGTCAATTACCCTTGGCTTACATGACAGCCAAGACACATGGCTTAGAAGAAGAGGCTGCTGCTATTTTGGCTGCTGCTGGTAAGACTGAAGATGAAATTGAATTGCCCTCTGTTGCAGAACAATTGCCTCCTACACCTAAACCTGTGACTCAAGTTCAAGACAGTAACTGGCCATTATTGACTGTTTCCAAGAGTTTCTTTGAAGGTGCTTTTATTCATGCTCAACAACAACAGCAACAGCAACAGCAACAAGGCGTTGCTATCAGTGCGCCTAGTTTCTCTTATGATGATCAAATCGACAACATTGAAGATGCTGCTGGTGATTGGGGAGACGATGATGATGATCTCGGTATTTCTTCTCACAAGACCAACAATAACCGTGCCTTATTAGCTACTGGTGGCGATGATGATGAAGATCACGATGATTTGAATGGTGATGGTGGTTGGGATGACGATGACGATATCAAGGCTGAACTCGATGCTGAAATGGGCAATGTGGCTGCTAAAGAAACAGCTGAATTTGTTGCTCCTACTGAAGGTGTGAGTGAAAATGCTTTGTGGGCTCAAAACTCATCAATTGCTGCTGACCATATCGCTGCTGGTGCCTTTGAAAGTGCCATGCAAATCTTGAATCGTCAAAAGGGCATTGTCAAATTCGAGCCTCTTAAGCCTCACTTTATGGCTATTTACCAAGCTGCTCATGTATCTGTAGCTGGTGTGGCCAACATGCCCAGTGTCCAGTTCAATTTGCGTCGTCAACCTGAATCTTCTAGTCCTCGTCACAGCTTACCTGTTACTGTATACAACTTCCAAACCATTGTGACTACACAACTTCAATTGGCTTACCGTCTATTCACTTCTGGCAAATTAGTTGCTGCTGCACAACAATTCAAATTGCTATTGCACTCTGTCTTGTTCACTGTGACAGCCAATGAAAACGAAGCCAATGAATTGGTTCAATTGGTCAATATCTGCCGTGAATATCTGTTGGGTCTATCCATGGAACAAATGCGTCGTTCTGTTACAGGTCAAACACCTGAGGATATGAAGCGTGCTTTAGAATTAGCTGCTTATTTTGCACACTGTCAATTACAAACACCACATATGCAATTGGCTTTGCGTCAAGCAACAAAACAAGCTTTTAGAGCTAAGAACTTTAGCACAGCATCACAATTTGCATCTAGATTACTCGAACTTGCACCTCCCAGAGCTGTTGCTGATGAGGTAAGATATGATAAAGGTACCGATCTTCTTATTTACTTTTATTTTTTAGGCACGTAAAATTCAATCTGTTTGTGAACGTACTTTACAAGATGAATTGGCATTTGATTATGATCAATACAATCCATTTGATGTTTGTGCCTCAAGCTTCAAGCCTATTTATCGAGGTTCACCAAAGGTGGAATGCTGTTATTGTAAAGCATCCTTTAAGCCTGAATTTGAAGGAAAGGCTTGTACTATTTGTGAAGTTGCCAAGATTGGAACAAAGTAAAAAGAAAATATATATTGAATAACCACTATAATAAACTTGATTTGTATCAACATGTTGTCTCTTTTAAGGTTTGTACCACATTACGATGGTATAAACTATTTGATGTGAATGATTAAGGTTCTTTGGGATTCTGTGAACAAACAGCCTGCCAGCTGCATTTAAACAATTTTAAAGTCAAATGTAAGCAGGTAGTTACAAATTCATCAGATAGTAAAAGCATTATCTAAAAGAGTGTTGTCATATATAGTCCTTGAGCATAGTAAAGTATATGCAAAAAAAGAAAAAAGATAAGGCAAGCATTACTGCACGTAACACATTTTTTGCGATGACAGGTACCAAGATACTTATGAAAAAGACAACAGCCTATCTCCCATGTGTTCAAATATGTTCAGTCCAATGTTGCAATTAACTATGACAAACTTTGAATAGAATGCATCAATGTTTACGATGACAAGGAAGGGGGAAAGGAAACACAAACAGTCACAATGTTTATTCTGAATTTAGTGCCTGGATCTCCAAAGCGCTTTATTAATTCTACCCAGTAAGAGCGGCCAGAATACCTTTGTAGATTCCACCACTTTCTTTTTCCTTCCACACTTGTCACAAATCAAAGCACGAAATTTTTCAACACTACTTTAGTTGAAAAAAAAGTATTCATTTGTTTTCTTTTCTCTTCTTTTTTATCTTTTATTTATAAAAATGTCTGAAGGAAAGTCTGGTAAGTTTACTGAATTGAGAATGATACATTAGGCTCACATGTACCTTTTTACTATTCTTTCCTAGTTGGTATTGATTTGGGTACTACGTAAGTATACATTGTACGCGTCTGAATGTTCAGGAAACTCACCTTGATGTCATTAGCTACTCTTGTGTTGGTGTCTGGCAAAACGACCGTGTCGAAATTATTGCTAACGACCAAGGTAACCGTACCACTCCCTCTTATGTTGGTTTCACCGACTCTGAACGTCTCATTGGTGATGCTGCCAAGAACCAAGTTGCTATGAACCCCTACAACACCGTTTTCGATGCCAAGCGTTTGATTGGTCGTCGTTTCAACGATGCTGAAGTCCAAGCTGATATGAAGCACTGGCCCTTCAAGGTTATTGAAAAGGAATCCAAGCCCATCATCCAAGTTGAATTCAAGGGTGAAACCAAGACCTTCACTCCTGAAGAAATCTCTGCCATGATCCTTATCAAGATGAAGGAAACTGCTGAAGCTTACCTCGGTGGTAACGTCAAGAACGCTGTCATCACTGTTCCTGCCTATTTCAACGACAGTAAGTTACCAAAAAAAAAAAAAAAAAAAAAAAAAAAAAAAACTTTTATTTACACAAAGAGAGGGAATGTCTATGATTGGCCGAAATAAAATATAGGCTCAAATAGATTGACGGAATACAAGAAAATTTTTTTTTCTTAGTGACATTCCGTCACACCCACTCTTTGTGTGTGCATATCTGTCATTACAGTGAACTTATATTCTTATAGGTCAACGTCAAGCTACCAAAGATGCTGGTTTGATTGCCGGTTTGAACGTTCAACGTATCATCAACGAACCTACTGCCGCCGCTATTGCTTACGGTTTGGACAAGAAGGTTGAAGGTGAACGCAACGTCCTTATCTTCGATTTGGGTGGTGGTACCTTCGATGTTTCTCTCTTGACCATTGAAGATGGTATTTTTGAAGTCAAGGCTACTGCTGGTGATACTCACTTGGGTGGTGAAGATTTCGATAACCGTCTCGTCTCTCACTTCATGCAAGAATTCAAGCGTAAGTTCAAGAAGGACATCTCTGGTAACGCTCGTGCCATGCGTCGTCTCCGTACTGCTTGTGAACGTGCTAAGCGTACCTTGTCTTCTGCTGCTCAAACTACCATCGAAATTGACTCTCTCTTCGAAGGTGTTGACTTCTACACTTCTTTGACTCGTGCTCGTTTCGAAGAATTGAACCAAGATCTCTTCCGTAACACCATGGACCCCGTTGAAAAGGTTCTCCGTGACTCCAAGATTGACAAGGGTTCCGTTCACGATATCGTCCTCGTTGGTGGTTCTACTCGTATCCCCAAGGTCCAAAAGTTGGTCTCTGACTTCTTCAACGGTAAGGAACCCAACAAGTCCATCAACCCTGATGAAGCCGTTGCCTACGGTGCTGCTGTCCAAGCTGCCATTCTCTCTGGTGATACCTCTGAAAAGACTCAAGATCTTCTTCTTTTGGATGTTGCCCCTCTTTCTTTGGGTATTGAAACCGCTGGTGGTGTCATGACTGCTTTGATTAAGCGTAACACTACTGTTCCCACCAAGAAGTCTGAAGTCTTCTCTACCTACGCTGATAACCAACCCGGTGTCTTGATTCAAGTCTTTGAAGGTGAACGTGCCCGTACCAAGGATAACAACATCCTCGGTAAGTTCGAATTGACCGGTATTCCTCCTGCTCCTCGTGGTGTTCCTCAAATCGAAGTCACCTTCGATGTTGATGCTAACGGTATCTTGAACGTCTCTGCTCTCGACAAGACCACTGGTAAGTCCAACAAGATTACCATCACCAACGATAAGGGTCGTCTCTCCAAGGAAGATATCGAACGTATGGTTAACGAAGCCGAAAAGTACAAGGCTGAAGATGAAGAAGCTGCTGCTCGTATCCAAGCCAAGAACGGTCTCGAATCTTACGCTTACAACCTCCGTAACACTCTTCAAGATGAAAAGGTATGGGATGGGAGATTAGATTAAAAAATACTAACTTGATGAAACAGGTTGCCGGTGCTCTCGCCGAAGATGATAAGACTAAGTTGAAGGCTGCCGTTGATTCTGCCATTGAATGGTTGGATGCCAGCCAAGAAGCTTCCAAGGAAGAATATGAATCTAAGCAAAAGGAACTCGAAGAAGTTGCTAACCCCATCATGATGAAGATGTACGGTCAACAACAAGGTGGTGCTCCTGGTGCTGCTCCTGGCGGTTTCCCCGGTGGTGCTGCTCCTGGTGGCTTCCCCGGTGCCAACACTGCTGAAACTGACGGTCCTTCCATCGAAGAAGTTGATTAAATTATTTAACAAAAAAGTACAAGAAATAGACTCGTGTAATAATCATGTAAATTTATAGATAAAAAAATAAATTGTTCCTAATGTTATGATTGTCATAATTATTATTGCTTGTCTGTGTGTTTTATGTTGAAGTCTGAACTTGTATGATGATTAAAGTCAACTTTTCTTTTTTTTTTTTGGCTTTGAAAAAGAAGCAAGGAATTAATTTATTTTACGAGATGCGCATATTTTCCGTACCAAAGCCTTTTTTTTTCCTTGCATGGTCATGTAAAAAAAAAGGTACTTTAATAAAGTTTAGATTATTTAATGGATTAACTATATCTAGTTGAAAAGAGGGAGGGGGGAGCTACTTTGCCAGCTCAATGTCTAATATCCTCTTCATGGCCATTTAAAAAAACAGAATAATGAACAAAGGATCTTGCAGCCTATAATAAATCCTGCATAAAGTTAACCAACTCAACTTTTTTCTTTGGCTTTGTAAATGCATGATTATTATGGTTAGTATATTGTTTGCATACAAAATAAAGAAATCTCAAACATTTGAGTTCTGTATAATCCAACAACCTGAAAATATAGCATGAGTTGGCAGGCTCATCCTATATGGTATTAAACAAATTTATTGAAGCCAAAGTAAATCCTTCTACGTGTGTATTCATTAAATTTGTAGTAATTAAGCTGGCTGTATACCTTTAGGTATGATCCATGACACGATTGAATTGACATTGATCATTACAATGAAGAGGTATCATTAGCTCTAAGGTCAATTATACCTTTGGAATCTGTCTGGACGACCAATAAGACTATAAAAGAACATACAAAAGTTCTACAACATAGCAACAAATAGAATCTTTATGCCCAGAACTTTCATTTTTGAAAGCATTCATACAGGCTAATTTTAATTAAACTCATGATTGAACTTCATGGCTTCTTCATTTGTGTAAAAAGTTTCCCCATCTAGTGTAACGCCGGTATTCTAAAAATTACTTTGTAAATGCATTGATACACGAAAAGCGGAAAAAAAGAGGACCTTTTTTTTATTCAATACGGAAAATAAAAAACTCTCCGTTAGATGATGATTGCATAATCCGAAAAAAAAAGTGATATAAAACTGGACCTTTTTTTTCTCCTATCCGTTTTTGCTTCTCTCTTCTTTACATATATCCAAGAAACAAAAATGGTTTGCACAAAGACTTTTGAATTGTAAAGTACTAGAATTTCAAAAAAAAAAAAATAAGAGGCTAACACTTCATAGAAACAACGGTAACAAGATCCCAGCTATCGGTTTAGGTACTTGGCAAAGTTCTGAAGAAAACGATACTGTCTACAAGGCCATCAAGACTGCCATTGCTGCTGGTTACCGTCATATTGATACTGCTATGATGGTAAGCGACACATAAAAATATTGAGTGACATGCTTACCTTCCAACTAGTACGGTAATGAAGTCGAAGTTGGTCGCGGTATTCGCGATGGTCTCAAGGAAAGCGGATTAAAGCGTGAAGACATCTTTGTCACCACCAAGTTGGCTACCATTGATGCTCGTCCCACCCATGTTCCTCAAGGTTTCGAAGAATCTCTTAAGCGATTGGATATTGGTTACATTGATCTTTACATGATGCACTGGCCTATTGCCATGAACCCCGCCACTCGTCAACTTGTCCCTCTTAAACCTGATGGTTCTCGTGATATTGATGAAGAATTACAGGGTAAATTCGAGTTAACTTGGGGAGCTATGGAAAAGTTATTGGATACTGGTAAAGTCAAGAACATTGGTGTTGCCAACTTCTCTATCCCTAACCTCGAACGTCTCTTGAAGACTGCCAAGGTCGTTCCTGCTGTCAACCAAATCGAACTTCATCGTAAGTAACAAAAAATAATCCTTTTAAATTATCGTAACTCAATTTTATGGCATTAGCTTACTTGCCTCAAAACAAGTTGGTTGATTACTGTACTTCTAAGGGTATTCATTGTACTGCTTATTCTCCTTTGGGTTCTTCTCAATCCACTTTGCTTCAAGACGAGACCCTCAACAAGATTGCCAAGGCTCATGACAAATCTGTTGCTCAAATCTTGATCTCTTGGGGTGTTACACGTACCAGCGTCTTGCCCAAGAGTGTTAACCCTGAAGTAAGTATCACATCATCATGTATATCATTAACGTTGTCTTTGTAGCGTATCAAGGCTAATATCGATGTTGTGACATTAAATGATGAAGAAATTCAAGCCATTAACAATATTTCCAAGACTACTACCAAGCGTTTTGTTAGACCTGCTTGGGGTGTTCCTGTCTTTGATGAAGACTTTGAATAATTTATTATATATAATCCCTTTTCTTTCTTTTCTGTGTACATTATGCATTTATTTCAATTAAAAAAAAATTTTTTTTTTGTATTAATAAGAACAAGGTAAATGAGGACTGATCATTGACATAGTATTATTCTTGAGTGTAAATGCTTTCCAGTAAGACGGAATATGCAAGTTTCTCAAATGAGCAGGGACTTGATCTTGTAAATCTTCGTCTGTGTGCTTGATCAATTTCTACAAAAAAAGCGCATGTATGTCAGAAAACCTTACTATTTAACTTTGATCTTACCTTGGGAATTTTGCCTTGATTCTTGGTAAACAAGCCTTCTTCAAATGATTCGCGCCAAATGATAGGCACAATATAAGCATCTCGAGAGCCAGGCACCAATGGTTCAGTGACAAAACAATTCTTTTTATCGATATGGGCTTCACGTTCATCCAGGTTACCCATACTGATCAAATAAGGATCCAATCCTTCAGAAGCACCAAACTTGTTTTCAGAGACCACAATGTGCCATCCCCAAGGAGAAATAGGAACAGAACTGTTCCAGATAGGAGGACGGATAGTATTGTTGAAACGAGCTGTGTAGAAATCAAAAAAGGTGACACCATCATAAAGCCATCCTCTTTGCTCTTCAGGAACAGGAGCCACATCTTCACCCAAGAAATGATAGAAAAAGTTCTTGTGGACAATCATGTTGCTTACTTGAAGGTAGTCAGCATGAGCAGCAGCGTACATCATTAAGCCCATGTTAGCGAGGTAGTTCGAGATAAAGTATCCGTCCACCTAACACACATTAATATCCACTGTGAACCATGATGATGAACTTACAGCAGAAGTGAAACGAACAGCACCACCAAAATCACCTATTTGCCAACCAGCAAAAAAGTTTTGGTAGACATAGGTTTGGTTACTTCCTACAACACTAATTGCATGATCTTGTGCAATGTATTTTGTATCAGGGAATGTAGCATTCTACAGATAAGTGAGGATAGATACTATAGATCTTATCTTTGCTGTCTTACCAGAATGTTTTCTTTAATGGTAATATCGTTTGAAGCATAGAGTTGCACACCAGATGAAAGATAGCCCTGTTCATCAGCCAAGTTACGACCAAGACACTGATGAATAAATTTGAGGTTTTTAAGTGGTTTTTCTAATTGTTGACTAATGACTGGATCTAGGCTATTGATTGCACGCAAGTCCATACTAATAAAGTATTAAAGGCAATCCATAAAATGAAAATTATGATTTTACCCAAAAATATTGTTGGAAACAACACTGTTCTTTTGTGTCTGGAACAAAATACCAGAATCTGATTTGTATGAGTATAGGTAAGATATAAAGCAATAGACTCACTTGTAGTATCATAAGTGGGGTTTCTTTGAGTAGCTACATGGGCTTCATCACGTAAAAAGATATTGCCATCTAACAAAAAGATGAGCATATTTAAACAAACAAAAATGTACATACTAATATGTAATCTTCTACCGTATTCAGAAATAACAGAACCTCGTCCACCATTCATGAATACGTTGCTTAGAACAGCACTTTCATCCTCATGAGTGCTTGAATTGACTACTACATTAACATTTTCAAATACGATATCTTGAATAGACCAAGCCAAGTTTTCCTTTTGGACTAGTAAGATGTTCAATAAAATGTCATTTGATTATTCTATTACCTTCAATAGAAGCAGTTGTGTTCTTGTCTTGAACAGCTAGAATGGTAGGCTGGCCAGAATATCCTCTTAAAGAGACACCTTCCTTTAACACAATAGGTCTTGCAGGATCCATGATAAAGATACCAGGCTCTAGATAGACTACAGGTTGTCTATTCACCATGAATAACTATTTAGACCTTGGATTTACTCACTCTGATGCACTTGCTTGATCAATCATATTTTGAAGTTGATCAGTGAACACAACTTCGTCTTTGTAATACTTGACATCCTCATCGTAACACACCAATTCAGTGGCCTGTGCCAAACTGACAATGACAGCAATAGAATAAGCAATACTAGAAAACTTCATAATAATAATGAAATGACAATAGAAAAAGGCCTTTTTATAGCTTTCTCTTGTAATTTCAACTTGAGCATTGCTTACATTTTTCTCATAAAATAACACGATGAAATTAAAATAGCTTACTGCTTTCTTTACAATTTTTTTTCAATGTCGTCTTCACAATATTTGATACCAAAAGACCCACCTTCTTATGAATCTATTTATCATACACTGCCACCGCAAACTTCTTTAGAGACACAAGAAAGTCGGCTATCAAAAGCTAGTTTTGCTATACGACGATTCTTTCGTCGTCATTCACCTTTTTTGCAAACAATCACAGCTGCTGTGTTTGTAGCAGCAACAGTATCAGCCACTGTCATGTTGTTACTATGGCAACTTCAAAACCTAGCATCACCTCCAGAGGTAGATGATCCTTGGCTTGACTTGGAATTTGCTACATCTTAATACCCTGTTTCTATTTTGTACAAAAAAAAAAAAAAAATTGATGCTATTGTTGTCAGAGAGCAAGTGAGTGAAGAGATAAAGTGGGGAAAAAAAAGCATCTCTTTCACTCTCTTTTATTTTCTTTCTTTCTTCTTTTTCTCTTGTTGTTTATAATAAACATGTCATATTATAATAACTCAATTAACTTTGAAGACGATGATGAATATACTGAAAAAGAATCTGTAAGATCGAGTGACATGGACATGTCATTAACGCGTTTGTAGACCGAGTATAATTTAAAGGAATGTACTCTTTATGCTATTGATTGCAGATCTTCCATGTTTGTTAAAGATGAAGCAGGCAATACTCCTTTTCAAGTTGCTTTAGAAAGTATTCGTTCTAAATTGTTAGATACGCTCTATACTCGACCCAATGATCAAGTAGGCATTGTTTTGTTTAGCACAGTAAAGTGAATACTCTCCTCTTTCCTTTCGTTCTTTATTGCTTACATGTATATTCTATAGAGAGAGAACAAGAATATGACCAATAAGGATCATATCTATATACTTCAAACATTAGACATTCCTGATGCTTCTCGTATTAAAGAGCTTGATTTATTGATTGAAGGTACTTGAGCTGTACAAAGCCATGTTATTTATCTGTTATAGATTTGTCATTGGTCAAACAACACTATGGTTCAACTGATGATATATTTCCATTCAGTGATTTCTTTTGGGTGTGTGCAGATATTATGTCAAGGTAAAGAAGAAGAGGGAATATGCATGTTGCTTATATACATAGCACACCTAAATTTGCTACCAAACGTATCATTTTAATCACAGACAATGATGATCCAACAGGACAAAATCCAGTTTACAGAAAGACAGCATTACAAAGAGCCAAAGTAAGATGTGAATAAATCAACTCATCATTCTCAATCATGAATAGGATTTAAATCAAGTGGGTGTTGAACATGTCTTGTTTGGTTTAGATCAATCAGAACATGTATTTGACAAGACGTTGTTCTACAGAGTAAGTCTTGTTTGATTTGACTTGTATATCAATCATGTTAGGATATTGTGAATTTTGATGATACTACTCTGACTGAAGATGACTTTGAATATAAGCTGTTATCTTCTACTGGTAAATTAAAAGATTTGTTTGAAAAGATCAAGACTTTTCAGACAACTACACGATCCGAATTCCGTATTCCTTTTCATATTGCACCTCATCTTACGATTGGCATTAAAGGGTAAGCATATCAAACAAAACACATGCATTGAGTCAAGAAATAGGTTTAATATGGTAGTGGAAAAGAAAGTAGAACAGCCAAAATATTTTTATACAAGTGGAGAACAATCAAAAGAAGTGAAAGCAACTACACGTTGGCGTTGTGTGGTAAGTTCATGGTTAATCTGGTAGCTGATCTGAAAATCAATGGTAGGACACAAATGAATTCTTGACTCCGACTGATATAAAAAAATCGTATGGCTATGGTGGTGAAAAGATTGTATTTTCAGAAGAAGATGTGGCTCAAATCAAGACAGTCAATGAACCAGGTAAAAAAGGGAGAGAGAGAAAAAAAAAGAAAAAAGACATTATATTTATAGCCTTTTTATAGGCTTAGTTGTATTAGGGTTTAGAGGACAAGAGGCTTTGAAATCATATCATCAAATCTCTCATCCTTACTTTATCTATCCCGATGAATCCGTAATGTATTCCGATAAATTACGAACAAAAAAAAAATTAACTTTTCAGAATAGCAATACAAGGAAAGTAAGAATGTCTTTTGTTTGTTATTGAAAACCTTATGTCAAAAGAAGCAACTGGCTATTTGTTCTCTTGTCAGAAAAACCAATGCTTTACCAGGAATGGTGGCACTTTTACCACAAGTAAAAACAATAAAAAATGATTCATTCACTAATCATTTTATATTAGCAAGAAACACTGGATAAAAATGGCAACCAGATTGATCCTCCTGGATTTCAACTGATTGTTTTGCCATATGCTGAAGAGATTCGTAGTGTTCCACCTTATAATATAGCTGAAGGTAACACATCTCGAGTCATATTGCAAACAAATTTATCATAATAGATTATGAAAATGGTGTTGAAAAGGCAAAGATATTGATTGAAAAGCTCAAGATTACAGAGGGATATAAGCCAATGAAATACCCTAATCCATGCAAGTATATTTATATATATATATATATATATATATATATATGGGTAGTTTGTGTTATACTTATATGTCACATCTAGTCCTTCAAAACCATAAGTATATGATTCAACATATTGCACTTGAAAATGTATCTGAAAAGCCAGCAGACAAGACATTGCCCAACTATCAGTTTATAGAATCAGTAATGTTATCTTTGCTTGTGTTACATTTTCTTCCTTAAGGGTCTAATCGCCACATTTTTAGGAACTTTCGGATGATATTAAAGATTTTAAACAAGCTGTTGGTCTGGACTTGATCTCAGCATGTTTAGATAATCATGCTAAGCGGAAAGTAAAAAGTTTTTTTTTTTTTTTTTTGTTTTACGTATTGATACGATTTATTATCTAGGATGAAGGAGAACAAAATACTCGTACAAAGCGTATAAAGTCTGATATGACTATATTTGACTATTGGGAATCCAACACCTTAGCCAGTGTATGTATCTAGCAATTATAAAAAAAAGAATGCTTATGTGATGTTAGGTTACAAATCCTTCTTTAAAAGAGTTCCTTGTCTCTGTTGGCATTCAACCTAAAAAACTCAAGGCAGATTTAGTTGAGCAAGTGAACGAATATTTCCGCAGTAAACAAAAATAAATGATAGCATTATCTCGTTGGCATATCTTTTTATCTGGGTGATCTACACGCTAAAAAATTTTTTTAAGCCAGTCAATACATCCAAATTTAAGCACGCAGCACGCAATGATCATTTTTAATATAGAAAAAAAATTTTTTTTATTTATACAGAATTAGATTACGTTTGGATCCGAAACACATTCAGCGACTATATAAAGTCAGACCTTTTTCTTGATTTTTTTACTTTTTTTTTTCTGTAATTCCATAATAATCTATCATGCCACATTTAAAAGCTTCCAACAAGGAAGATGCAACTATTTCATTGATTCTCGATCCTTCTTTTACAGGCGTCATTCGAGGTGTAGCACACGATGAATCAGAAGGCTGCACAGTGAAAGGCAGTTGTATTGTTCAAGTCAACAAGCCAATCAAAGTCAGACGTTTTCTTATTTGGCTTGAAGGACGATGCAAAGTTACCCTGAAGGGCACCACTTATGGATACAGCGTCTCTAATACAGAAACAAATGAAAGTCGTACTATTTATTCTAAAGATCAACATTTTATTGGTGATGATGGTTTGACACATACCTTGACACCTGGACAATATGTTTACCCATTCAGCTTTGATTTACCCCCCAGCCTTCCCGCAAGTTTCCGTGGCAAGCGAGGCTATGTGCGATACAGACTTCAAGCTGCTATCTATCGTCCCATGTTTGCTAGTGATATCCATGCCTCTCGTGATATTCCTATCAAGCGCTGTCTCTTGAACGATGAGACACCTATGGCTGAATTGCGTGAAACATACGAAGGCAGGCAACATACCAACAAACTCCATTATACAGCTACAGCTCCCAGTATTGCTTACCGGGAAGGCGGTTTGATCCGTCTTAATATCAACATGAAATTACTTCGACCAGAGACACAGTCTGTCAGAACAGTAACTTGTGCTTTAAGAGAACGAGTCCAGTACAGAACAACAGATGGTAATGCCAACACAATCAGCAGCAAGACAGACAATCTCTTTCCTCTTGGCTACAGTACTTTTTACCCAAATCAATCACCCGATTATGATCCTAAAGAAACAGCAGATTACAATGCTTTGTTCCGCTTGTGTCCCCGTGTCAATGCAGATCTGAACAGTCGCCTGATGAAGGTGACACATGCTCTTGTGGTCAACATCATGGTGGAGGACAAGGCAGATGATGCTGAAGATGAATCAGCTTATGAAACAGATGCTACTGAGTCCGAATGGGCTTCTGAAGACGACCATCAACAAACTGTACACAGCACAAGATCAATAGATTCAAAGCATCATTACAATGAAAGCCCCAACACAACACCACCTGCCTCTACACCTGGTTCTCCTGTCTTATCTCGGTCTTCCTCTGCCTCTTCCTTGGCCTCTATCTTTTCTATTGCTCGCTCTCATCCCAATTCCCCCAACAACCATCACAATGGTGAAGACTATTTGGCTGCTGGTATGACTTCTATTCCTGCTATCAAGAGTTCTCGTCGCAAATCTCATCGTCACAAGGACACTCATGGACCTCGTCTAACTCTCTGTTCCATGGAAGTTCCCTTGGTTGTCACTTCTCGTGAACACACATGGAATGATAAGCCCACTATCAACTCACCACCTGCTTATGATGCAGTGGAAGAACCTCCCAGTTACAACTCTGCCCTTGAAAACCTGCCTCGTGCGCCTATTTATGATCATGATGATCCTTCCCCTTGTCCCTCCGAACCTTCCACTCCTCCTAATGAAGAAGTTGCTGGGCCCAGCCGACCTTCACTCTCATCTCATCATCGACATTCTTTTACTGATATTGCTGCCAAGGTTTTCTCTAAGGCTGGAATGACTCATTCTTAACTTATTTGAATTTACATCATGATTGTACATATGCATTTTATTTTTATATATATATATATATATACATACATACTTATAGACTTATATTCATACATTTCTAATAAAATCATTCATATCTCTTTATTTTTTTAACCTTGCATAAATTATATTGTCAAATTTAGAATTAAAATCACGTCTTTACTCTGTATTGATAAACATCATGTTTAGATAAGCAACTCTTCCTTCAATGATGACGTTTACAACAAGTCAAGTGCATTGGCATCAATTTACTAAAATAAGTTTAACTTTTTGTCATACATACGCAATTTTTGAGAAGAATAAAAAAGATGATTTGCTTTCTAAATTCTGCTTGAGATGTGCTTTTTTTAATAAAAATTTCATGTCATACTTTCTGACTTGAGTATAGTTTGTTTCATGCAAGTCGAATAAACTAGGCTATGGCAGGTATAGCAATGATCTACATTCATTTAATCTTGTTAAAATATCAAACAATGTATGCTGATTTATTTGGTTGCTTTAGCTATCAATTGAATTTGACTTGATGTTAGAAGACTACGATTAATTAACGAATCTACTTTATAACACTTGAGGCTTTTATCAAATGAATGCTTCATGTTTTTTTTTTTTTTTTTTTTTTTTTTTTTTTTTTTAGTTTGAAACGATAAAAATAGTTATCAAGCTATTAGCACTGTTGACATGAAATTTCTATTTTTTGCTGCCTCAGACAATCGAAAAGTCTTTTTTTTTTGTGTGTATCAGAAATGCTTATCAAGAAATCATGAAGCCAAGCATTCTAAATAAAAACACATTGACATTTTAAGAATAAGCTAAAAAAAGGAAACTTATTTCTTTTTTCAGATCAAGTGCCTTATCTTCCTAATATAGACGCAATCAAGGCTGTGTTTGCGTTTGCTTATATTGATAGTCATCGCCGTTGTGTGATAATTAGCTGTTCTTTTCATATAATCGCACTCAAAAACGTTTGGTAGTTTTAAAAGATTTCATAAAACAAAAAAAAAATTACATGCTTTCCATCCTTGAGTAAGCCCTCCAAAGCATGATACAACAGTATTCTAAGCCCTGTAGAATAACAGCTAAGGCTATTTATTAGTACAATATACTTGGTGTGGCCACCTTCGGCGTCAATCACAGCTTGGCATGCTTTGGATCAAGCGTGCTGCATATTTCTTGTCGGAGTACAACTTTCCAATGCCTTGATCATCCTCTTTAGTTAATATCTGTCATTAGTTTATCTCTCTTCTATTCTCCGCTCTTTACCATTATCTAATGTAAATAACAATATAACTGTCCTGTAAACTGCTTCCTCTGCTCGGTTTCCAGAATTCAATTTTTGCTTAAATAAAGTGTATATTGGCTTATTCAACAATGATTATTGATATACATCATGTGACAAAACAATTGCTATCAATTTTTGCTCTGTTCGTAGTTGCTTTTATTATATACACACGTTTATAGTGGCAAATGATTTGAGACAAACACGGTATAACTCTGCTTTTTTGATATGTGTTTATAACACCAGGAACTTCATGATATGTATTTTCGCTGACAATAAGTCTATTATGAAGTACCCCAAGATGTCAACTGGACCTCTTTATTTATTTTTTCGTGATATGGAAATACAACCATGCTTTTCTATGGATATTCTAGTTGTTGGAAGTATACGTTTTATTGTACGGCATGACATTGGACACAAAACAGACCAAAAAAAAACCCATACTGTAAACCATTGACAATTGTAAAAACAAGGACGTCTGGATCTTTGCACTGGCTAATACATAACGATCGTACTTGAATTCTAGAAGCAAACTTATATTGGCACTAGAGAGTATATGGTTCTTCTTTTTTTAATAAACTAGTAACAGTGCTGTGCTGTCAAACTTTCGTCATGGACACAATATATTTCCTTTTAACCTTTTAATCTTGACTCTTTGTATTAGTATGAATAGATAAACAGGGAGCCTTGATATCTTTTAATAATCAAGATAAACATACAGACACTTTTACTGAATGAACGACAAATGTTGTTATTAAACTGCAGATAAATCACGTGCCAGGCACACTTTTTTGATTCTAAGTAATATTGAATTCATCTGAGATTATTTGAGGATTCCGACATGCCAAGCCGTTGATTTTTATCACTGAGGAACACAATATGCATGGATCGACAGGTTCTATTTATGCATAACGTATTTCATTATGACTTATTTGTGTTTGACCTCTCCCTTTTAGTTATTTACACAAGCATTTGCTGCTAGACTATCCGCGATGTTTAAAGTTAAAATTACACTTTATTAAAGTATTAGATGCCCCATTTAGGCTGTTTATTATTATTGTAGGCTAAAGAAAAAGAGAAAAGAACTTTTCTTTTCTATATAAAATAAGATGGATATGAAATAATTAAATAAGATAGTAAAAGAAAAGGAGAGAAATAAGGGGGAAAATGTTTGAATTATGATTGAGGTACTTTAAAAAATGATTAGTCTATGTACAACAACAAAATGATCTAATTTGTGTCTCTCTTTTTCTCTCTTTTTAAAGGGTTTTCAGTTTATCACTGAGTGTGGCATTTTCAATGGTGTCTGCATCATGGGCTTGACGGGCCATCACTTTATGGTCATCACGGAGAGCTTTGTCGTATTGTTCATCTGTTGGTTGACGGTGAGAACCACCAACTCTGTCCCAGAAAGTAAAGTATTGACCATAATTGTAGTTGAAATAGACATGGTGAACAAAATGATGTGCACTGGTATTGATGATTTCGGAATGAGAAATAAATTCACCTAAGAGATAGTTTAGCCTATATTCCTCGAATACAATGTAATGCCTTACCATCATGAATCATGACTGTCCAAAAGTTAACAAAGCAAAACATAAAGAGATATTGGAACTTGTGCATAGGAATCAAGAATGCATACATGTGGTAAGGAAGTGATTGAATGTAACCGTCAAAGGGATTGAAGGCATGAGAGGCAAAAGGTGTAGGGATAATCCATTTATGATGAAGCTATAAACATTTTTTAGTCCATACGTTTGAGCATTTTCATTGAACCCTACCTTGTGCAAATATTTATAAACAGAAGGGTGATGCATCCAACGATGGAACCAATAAATACCGCAATCTGTAAAAAATAAAAATACAGGGACAGAAATGACGATGTATGCCCATTCAGACAAAGACTTGGGCATACCACCATACAACATGGATTTTCCAAACACTTCACCCAAGAACCATGGCAAGGTAAGCACTGAATTCAATGTGAGTTACAATAGATATTAAAAACACTAAACTTACAGGTCATCCAGGGAATAGCGTTTGTGGCACATTCAATTTCCATACGAACTTGGTTCTTGAGAAACTTGGGATGGTTTTTATATGAATGATCGAAAACAAAATAATATGAAAGAGTGGCAGTAACAAAATACAATATCCAGCCGAAAAAGGAAGTGATAAGAAAAAGGGAAAGGGACGCACGCCATACATCATCGCGAGGCCAGGAAGAAATCAGTTTGCCTGCAACATGTCTTGTATATGAAGGAAATAATTTGGCATAAAGGCCATCAAACAGGTATTCATCGCAATAGTACAGTACAGTATCCATTTTTCTTGAGTACTTTTTTTTTCTTAGAAAAAAAGAAAGAAAGAAAAACTATAAGAAAAAAAAATTCTATAAATTTGTACCCTTTTTTTTAAGAGCAGACAGAAAGCAGGTTCCTATTGAACTCGGGGATTTCTGTGTGTCAGTCCGCCCTTACTTAATACTTTATACCGTATACCTAATTGTGTACTTAATATTCATCAGACCACAATTATTCACTATCTCTATAAATATTACATGTGTATAAAGAAAAAAGGCACATAGAAGAGAATAAATGATCTGACATATATTCCTCATTTGGTATCTGTCTTTCTTAGCCCTGAATCTTCGAGTCATAAGCTTATCTGATCATTGTTTTGTCAATAATAGAGTATCAACCTTTTTTTCATTGGTTATAAACAGTGTGGCTTTGCTTTTGTAACTAAAGTCAATGTTTTCGAAACTTTATACATTTTATTGGATTAATTATGTGTCAGTTTGTTTACCCATATGTTAATGTGTCACTTGATGATAAATAAACAATGCAGTGTGCCTGAATTCAGTTGTCAACCTGAAAGTAAATTATTTAAAGGAAAACTCGGGAATAGTTGATTTGTTTTCTTGGTGGGATGACAAACTTATTTGCATGAATTGCATATTGTCAATTCATAAATTAAGATTAGAGCTGCGTATTTAAGATCGTGCTAGGATAATAATTTAAGCAGAATAATTCTTTTTTGCGCACAGCTCCTAAGAAACAACGTCAACATGGATACGAATGATATAAGAAACCTGAATAGTTATACATTGCCGCCATAGCTAGACGACAAACAAAGCAACGGCACAGCGATAATCAACATTAAAATATACAGGCTAATTGATCTCTCTTTTGTTGCCAAACTTAGGAGATATCCAACACATCTTTAAATGTTTCACAATGTCACTTGTAAGTCCACTTTATTTAATCGAATATTTTGCTTTTTTAAAAAAACGTTATCGATGCACTGCACACTAGAAATGTTATTGCTATCTCACATTTTCTTTTATTAAACACTTAGTCCACTCCAAATGAATGTCTATTCTTGCATATATAAATTGATTTTGAAAGAGTTATAGTCGTAAGGTTTACTTTAATTGTTTTCGACCCAAGTGTCATCGATTTCTATAATCATGCAGAGAATATTATATCTATTGAAATCAATACAGCTTCTCTATCAAAAAAGTGTGCAACACCTCTTGCTGCATTGCTCCAACCAAAAGATAAGAGGGAAAATACTAAAAGAGTGGATGAATACACAGAATAGTACGGCTATACAACGGTGGCATAAAACCTATCTTTCCACGCACAAATAATTTAAACAGTGTCTATTATCATATGTGGTCCCTTTATAATTGATTTGAACCAAAAGAAGCAATTTGAAAAAAAAAAGGGTCAAAATGACCATTCGACCAAAGGGTATGGCCCGTGAAAATTGCTCGTTTGATAACTCTTGATCTTCTTTTGGTCGCTACAAGACGAAAAGTAGAGCTATTGACAAGCTTCAGTATTCAAAATGTGCGTCAGGAGCTCTAGTTTTTGGTGAGCGTGCTTGTTTGATAGTTGGACTACAAAAATGATGAGATATGTGTGAAAAACCTCATAACCATTTCTGCATACCTACTCGATATCTTAGTAGCAGGCTTGCTGTGCTCTTTGTATCAACAGACTTAGAAGGCAAAGATCTACAGCTTTTTTGTCACTACACCAAAGCCGAATAACTGCGTCATTATGCTGTTCTCCGCAAAAGCTCCATTTTTGTTGCCTTCCATTCTCAATCTCCGCACTCTGCCCTATGTTCATTTGCTCCCACATTTACATTATAAGATGTCTATGTTTTTATTTTCCTATGTTCTTTGGCAATCAAAATAGCATAATATGCTTTTAAAAGCCCATAGATAGTACATTTTACATGCCATCTAGAGCAAAGACGGTCAAGACACAGCTAAGACAAGCCTATCTTTGATGGACCATTACTCGACAACCAGACTACCAAAATGGCTTCTCTTTTTATTTAAGACATGTCCTTTCGAGTCAGGGAATTGAATGGTGTCATTGGTTTGGCTTCTAGATGACATTTATTTCTTGACCGATGGGGGATCCACGGAGGTTCGTGAAGATGAAAAAAAAAAACTCGATTAAGAGCTTTTTTTTTTTTTTTTTGGAATGACCCCAAGTAGGTCTGATCCAGCCAAAATGAGGTACTACTGTCTCTAGATACTTCTAATAAAAAGAAAATGAGTTTATTAAGATGAGAAATGCGACTCAATTTGAGCATCGTCTTCAAATATGCATTCAAAGCTCATCACACACTGCAATCAGTATAAAAGAGGTCCATTTCGGTAAACATTAGATAGTAAAAGGGTAATTGTCTATGCATCATTCAATATGCAAAGTATTTGGAAGATGTACTATACTTTTCACTTACAAGTTGTGACTTGCTTATTTAGAATAAAGTAGGGATATACTTTATAGCTTTTTGAAAAGATGCTAGCAGCCATACCATCAGAACATATACGCCATCTATTTACTTCTTTTGATTCTATAATGTACCTGATCATTCAAAATGCAAACCAGAATAAAACGGAATGTTTCCCGTATATATTATTTTTAAATGCCCGTCGTCTAGTATTCATTGTCGCACATAAAAGAAAATAGAGAAGTGAGTACATAAACAACTCGCTTATCAGATCCATGTTTAATTATGTCTTGTGTCCAGGCTTCATTGCATCCCCTTAGTTTTTCACACTCTCCAAAATAAAAAAAAAAAAATCGGAAAAATATTTATCTGATCCTTTTTTTTTCTTTCTTTCACTTTTTTGTCATTATCCATTATGTCATCTTTGCTCAAGACGATTAGTGATTTCATTATAGGCAGCGAGCCTTCTACACCCATCACAGAAACACCTACACAAACCAAAGAACCTCAAGTTGAGATAGATCAGATCCCACCACGCGATGTACTTGTCGAAAAGGATTGCAACACTTGTACAGAAGAGTGCGAAGAGCACCAACAGTACCCTTCTTACTTGGATCTCGACACAAAGTCACCTTTACTTGGCTCTATGTCTCCTTATGGTCGTCACTTCATGATAAGTACTGCCCAATGTGATTGGCCCGAGCGTATCGAGGAAGACTATGGCACACTGGCTGCTAATCTACAGGCTTTATTGGTAGCCAATCCTATGCCATGGCGTACGTTTGTCACCAACACATCATTGATTGCCACACATTCAACCAGTGTGCGTTGTGGCCTCGATGTGATTATCTTACCTGAAAATATCGTGGTAGGCAATGTTACACCAGACGATGCTGAATTACTGTACGAAGTGTTTGTCAAGTTACCCCTAAGCAATGATCCCATTGACATTGAGTCTACATTTAAGCAGTACGACTTAAAAGAAATGGCTGTCTATCCTAATCCCTATGAGAGCATGATTTTGATCTGTTCACATCGAAAGAGAGACAAGCGCTGTGGTGTTACTGCTCCTTATCTCAATCGAGAATTTGACCATGTATTACGAGATATGGATATTCATGATGGAGAAGGTGGTACATCTGTATTTATGGTCAGTCATGTTGGAGGTGAGTGCAACAAGGGATGTGTGTGTATGCTTAGTGTGGTTTTTATAGGTCACAAATTTGCAGGCAATATTATTTGTTACATCAATAAGGGCAGAGCAGGCATTTGGTATGGACGTGTCAAACCATGTCATTGTCGTGCTATTGTAGAAGAGACTATTGTTAAAGGAAAGGTGATCAAAGAATTGTATAGAGGTTCTATGAACCATAGTTTTGGTCAAGATACTGCTAAATGTAACAGAATCAAATGGTAAAATAAATGTATATTTCTGAATCTAGTCTATGATTCGTTAACCAGCGCTTATGTGTAATTAAAATATGAGTATCATACAGACTTGATTCGCTGTCTCAAAAAGGCATTTTGATACTCCTTTTCTATCATTGCAAACAGAACAACAGCTTATGTTTCTGTAAACAAATAGCTGTTGATGAATACTCAAACACCATGAGCGAAAACACTCAAATAAATCAATCATCAAGGCTTTTTATACATTTATTTAATAGATCATAATTCTTTCTAGTTGCTTAGAAAGTTTTCCAAAATAGAATTGCATCTTTCAGTCAATGAGTTCATTGACCAGTGCTGTCAAAGAGCATGAAATGGAGTTCAAAAATGAGCACATTCTGATTTGTCGAGAAAGAGCGACGTCACGTTTTGCTACGATAGGCGCGTTGTCCATATTACGCGGAAAGTTTTACTCGTACGTAATGCTCCTCTTCTTTACTTTTTTTTTTTATTTCAATAAGCAATGACTACATTAGAAGATAAATCCTTGTGGGAGGCTCAAAACAATGACGATGATATTGGACAAGATATTATTCGTCTATCACCTGAAGAAGTGACAAACAGAACTCGCTTATTAGAGAATGATATCAAGGTCATGAAGTCTGAAATCGTTCGTCTTCAACACGAACAAGCTGCCATGAAGGAACGAATCAAAGACAATAAAGAAAAGATCAAGATGAACAAGCAACTTCCTTACCTTGTTGGTAACGTTGTTGAGGTAATGTTAAACAAGTCAGTCGCGTGTGTATTTATCTGTTGTATAGTTACTCGATGTTGAACCTGATGAAGAAGATAGTGAAGGCGCCAATGTTGATTTGGACGGACAGATTAAAGGAAAGTGTGCAGTCATCAAGACATCCACAAGACAGGTAAGAAAAAAACAAGATACATTTGTATTCTTATACTCTCTAGACTATATTTCTGCCGTTGATTGGTTTGGTTGATGCAAGTGAACTAAAGCCAGGAGATTTGATTGGTGTGAATAAAGACAGTTACCTTGTCTTGGATAAATTACCAGCAGAATATGACTCTCGTGTCAAAGCCATGGAGGTAGATGAAAAGCCCACTGAAGACTACAACGATATTGGTGGATTAGACAAGCAAATTGAAGAATTAGTAGAAGCTGTTGTCTTGCCCATGACACATGCTGACAGATTTAAAAACTTGGGCATCAAACCTCCTAAGGGTGTGTTGATGTATGGTCCTCCTGGTACAGGTAAAACTTTGTTAGCCAGAGCCTGTGCTGCCCAAACCAACTCTACATATCTCAAACTTGCTGGTCCTCAATTGGTGCAGATGTTTATTGGTGATGGTGCTAAACTTGTGCGTGATGCCTTTGAATTAGCCAAAGAGAAATCACCCGCTATTATCTTTATTGATGAATTGGATGCTATTGGTACAAAGCGTTTTGATTCTGAAAAGTCTGGTGATCGTGAAGTACAACGTACCATGTTGGAATTACTGAATCAGTTGGATGGTTTCTCTTCTGATGATCGTATCAAGGTCATTGCTGCTACAAACCGTATTGATATTCTGGATCCTGCTTTATTGCGTTCAGGTCGTTTAGATCGTAAGATTGAATTCCCATTGCCCAATGAGGAAGCAAGAGCCCGTATCATTCAGATTCACTCTAGAAAGATGAATGTGAGCAAAGATGTCAATTTTGATGAATTGTCTCGCTGTTGTGATGAGTTTAATGGTGCTCAATGTAAGGCTGTCTGTGTTGAAAGTGGTATGCTTGCCTTGCGTCGTGGAGCAGTGGAGATCACACATGAAGACTTTATGGAAGCTATTCAAGAAGTACAAGCCAAGAAGAAGATGACATTACAATACTATGCTTAAATAAACAATATGATTGGAACAAGATTGAAACTCACTTTTTTAAATAATAATAATTAAATTTATTTTCTTCCTTTCTTTCTTCTTTCTTCTTTGTAGGATGGAAATAAATCAAACAAGGTACATATACAGGAACGTTGAGACAAGTCACTAAATTAGGTTGCTAGGATTGCTGATCCAGCAGTAACCATAGAAACCAGACAGCCTCGTCGATTACAGAATATGTTTGATTTGGGTGATTCGGAAGGAGAAGAAGATGACGATGATGAAAAAACAGCAGTCGCACCACCCAAAAAAACAAAGAATGCTGTCCAATTCCCTGAACAAATCGAACAACGCTTTTATCATCAAGAACCAAAACCTCCTGTCGAGGAGGAAGAAGAAGAAGAGGAACCACCTGCGCTTTCTCGAAAAGAAAAAGTACTAAAATACCTTCATGTCAAGTTTCCGAGTCGAATTGTCCGACGTGTACTGAAATGTACTATCGCCTATTTCATTTCTGCTTTGTTTAGTTTGATTCTGCCCTTGGGTCATGCTCTTGGTCCTGCACCCTTTTTGGCTACTACAGGCATGCTGTTCAGTCACCCAGGACGCAGTATGGGTGCTCAATTTGATGCTACAGTCACTGCTGTATTGGGTGTAGTGGCTGCTGTTCTTTATGCATTTGCAGGCATAGCTGCCGCTGTTGCTTACAATGTACGCCATCCAGACACATTTCTTACAGGTCGTACACTGAATGCGATCTTTTTATTTGTCGGCATTTTCGGTGCACAAATGTTACGTCAAGTGTATCCCAAGTTTCATTTCTTTTCATTGCAGTTCATGATCATACAGATTTTTAGTATGACACGTGGTGTCGATTATTTTTCTGTGCCTTTTGAGTTACCACTGCATTATGGCATACCCCTTATTATTGGTCATGGTATCTCATTAATGGTCAATTTAGTGATTTGGCCAGAAACAGCGGTGGATGGTCTAGGCAGAGCGTTGAAAGAAACCATTACCAGTAGTCGAGACATGCTCCATATGATCACAAAGCAATTCTTTTTAGATCCTCAGTCAGAAACTGTTGCTGAATCTGTGGTGGATGAAGCTGCTGCCAAGATGCGTCGTGGTATGACCAAAGTCAAGTCGGCTTATCGTGAAGCCAAGTATGAAATGTCCTATGCGTTTGTTCGGCCACAACAGCTGGGACATATCCGAAAATCACTCGACAGACTCACCAAGCATCTCAGCATTCTAGGCGGATGTCTCAAGACAGAGCGAGAATTATTTGAAAGTGCGATCGAAGCATTGCAAGCAGAAATGAGGGACCTAGACAGCGATAATGAAGATGGAGAATCAACCCATGGATACCACAGTGACCATGAAGATACCCGCACATCTTTAGGGAGACATTCATATAGTGAAGAGGATCTAAACTTACTTCGTACTGCACTACGTGCCACAAACGATTTTGTCAATAACAACAAACATCCCAGTCCAAAAACATCACGCCCTAATTCTAGAGCCAATTCTCGTCCTAGTTCGCGTCCTGTTTCTGCACATAATTCAGAAGACGATGAAGACTACACTGAACAGAATCAGCGTTCTGTTTCTTCATTAAAGTCCTTTTTGAGTTTACCGAAATTATCGATACCAAAACCTAAACCACCTAAAAAGTCAAAGAAACAGACAGAATATAACCATCGTCATTTACTCTTGACTTACTTAGAAAGTCTTCGAGATCCATTGATGGATTTATCGTTGGATTGTGCAAGTGCACTTGAATGCGTCTGTGATAGTCTTGCTACTGAATTGGACATGGATTCTGATGACGATATTTCAATCCGAAAGACATGGAAATCATTTCTTCGACATATTTTTAAAGTGGGGAAAAAAGAAGTGGACGTCCAAGACGATTATCGAAAATCATTTGAACTCCACAAGGGCAGTGACAAATGTAATTGTTCACAAACCATTCGATTGGCCATTGTCCAATTTGATAAAGCAGAACGAGAACGTATGCATGCCTTGTACGAAATCAATAAGAACCGCATTGGCTGTCAAGCGCTTGATTTGGGCATGCGACAAGAACTGTTTCTGGTTTTTTTCTTTATCTTTACGATGCGTGAAGTGGCCAATGAGTTGCAGGAAATGACCATGCATATGGACGAACTTCGGTTGTATGCCAGAAAAGCAAGCTTCAATGGCAAAAAGAAACGCAAGCATCTTTATTTTCCAGTACTAAATCAGAAAATGTGGCAAAAATGGGCCAAAGGCAACAACCACCAAAGCACCCGTGACAAGGGTGGACCTGCTTTTAGTAAGTTCAATATAGATGTTGTTATTGTCTAGACTAACTCTAATTTAGGTGTTTTGACAACACATATACCAACGGATGAACCTAAAAAATCAGAAGCTGAAGATGAATACCTTTTAACCAAAATCCAAACAAATGGCAGTTTAATGCGAACCAAAAGTAGAAGAGAATCTGTTGTTGCTCAAAAAACACTTTCACGTACAGAAACTAATGCTGATGATGATCTTAGTTCTCCTATCATGCTACGGCATCGATCTAAACAACAACAACAACAACAACAACAACAGCAACACAATAATGGCAGTACACATGATGTTCGTATTGAAGTGCCTCAAAACTATATAGAAACAGATCAACAATCTACAAAAGAAGAAACAAAAAGAGAAAAAGCGCCATTTTTATTACGTCTTCGGTATTCTGTATGGTTTCGTCTACAGTATTTTGGTCGATATGAATTTAAATTTGCCCTAAAGATGGCGACTGCTGTTCTTGTATTGACTTTGCCTGCTTTTATACCTTCTTCTTCATCCTGGTACTTTAATGTCAGAGGACAATGGGCACCTATGACTGTCATTGCTATTATGAACCCAACGAGTGGCGGTACATTACAAGCTAGTTTTTGGCGTATTGTAGGTACTTTGGTCGGCGCATTTGTTGGTTGGGCAGCATTAGCAGCCGATGCAGGAAGTCCATATTTATTGGGGTTGTTTGCTGTATTATTAGGTATAGTTACTATTGTATCTTTTTTTACTTATTTTTTCCCTCCCTTTTTTTTTTTTTTTCAAGCACTTCCATTCTTTTATATTCATTTAGCTAGCACATTTAATAAGGTCGGTATTGTATGCTTAACTACATATGAGGTGGTTGCTCTAAGTAGATATGCTATGCCTCCTGCTGGTGAAACAGTATCTGATACTGTGTGGTAAGATGCTTCTTTTTTTTTTTCGTTTATAATAGGGCTAACGTGCATTGACGGATAGGAAGCGAACTATCACATTGATTGTAGGCATCTGTGTCGCCTTACTTCTAAATTCGTAAGTAACAGACATAAATATAATATTCATTAACCATGTCTGTAGTCTCGTATGGCCATTTGTTGCCCGACATATGGTACGCAAATCTATTGCAGCCTGTATGGGACATTTGGAAGATTATTATACCTTTATTATGGGCACTTATCTATACCATGACCCACAAACAATACCCAGTGATGCTGAAATTACACGAGGCATTAAAATGGAAAGCAAGATCCAATCTGCCATTGATGCTTGTTCTGTCTTGCTAGAACTGACTGACAATGAACCTCGATTCCGTGGTCCTTTTCCTAAACTGTTTTACAAGGAAATGATTGTCTCTATGCGGAATTTGTTGGACCGTCTGCTGAGTATTCGCATTGCTTTGTTACAGATGCCTATGGTTGTCAAACATGACATTTGTGAAAAAACGTATCATATGGATAGAAGAGATATGGTAAAATGATGATTTGTCAGAAGGAAGCTAACAATGGAGAATAGATTGCGTCCATCTTGCTCTGCTTTCATACTTTATCGACTTCATTAAGGTCTAAGACGCCTTTACCTGTCTATATGCCATCTGCTCGAGCTATACGTAAAAAGCTAATGGAACATCGTCGTTCAGATGCCAAAAAGACCAACTGGATCAAGTTTAGAAATCTGACATGGTTTGCTATGGCTTGTTCTTCCGAAGAAATGATCGATGAGCTCGAATACCTGACAAAGCTCATACGTTATATTGTGGGTGAAAGTGAACATGCTGACTTGGCAAAGCGAATTGATGATTTTGTGAACCTTCAAGAGGATGGTGGTAATGGACTTACTGTTGTCACTACTGTTTCGGATGATCCTGTCGAACCTGAATTTCGCTAAACTAGGAAGGGGGTAAGCCATGATTCCTTGCTTTTCCTTTTTTTGATCTTGGACCGAATTATCTCATGATTGCTTTTAATAAAGAAAGCTAAAACGTTCTTTTCTTCAGTCTTTATTTGGTTGCACATTTCTCAAGAACTACTCGAGGAGATAGTACTAAGAAAATAAACTCACACACATCTGCATGCATTAGCGGTCACTTGGCTGAATTTTAAACGTATAAGAAAAAAAAAGAGTTGAGCGTTTTAAATACTACTTCTTTATGGCGGACTCACACTTTGACGATCTCGACACAGCAACAGATAACGGAGAAAGAGAAGAGTTGATAAAGTAAGAAGAAAAGAAAAAGAAACAAGCGATATTGATAAGTTTGGGTAGACACGTACTTGAACTACAGTCTCAACTCAAAAGTAAGCTCAAATAGATAGACAAAGAAAACTCTAAATAATATAATACACTAGACATGGTTTCACGAGTAGACTCGGCCAGAAAAGAACATCAATCTTTACTAACGGAGAACCAATTGCTTCAAAAGTACATTAATAATTCACTTACATCAACTGCCGTATTTGGAGCTACAAATGGAGCTATCAATGCCAACAATATTGCCTTGCGTCAGTCAAGTGCTGACTCTCCTCGATAAACCTCCTATACACGAGATGATTATTTGAAACACTCTGGAATTAGGAGTGGAAAAGAAGAAGAGAAAAGCAAAAAAAAAAAAAAAAAAAAAAAAAAAAAAAAAAAAAAAAAAAAAGCATAAGTGGAAATAAAAAGGAAAGGAGAAGCCCGCCATAATAATACTAATAATATTAATAAAAAGTGGGAAAAATCACTTGGTTTGGGAGGGAGAAAGAGATCAACCATAAAGAGGGTTTAGGAGAACATCTCCTCTTTTTCACTTTTCTATCGCGCTCTTTTTCTCAAAAAAAGAAAAAGAATGATTCCACACTAAAACAGCATGAATTCCACAAGTTTGTTTGACAAACAAAGAAGGTTTGAAATTGTGTAATGATCAATGACAGCTCCTTTTTTGTGTGTTCCCCTTTGTTCTGTATGTGCTGGTGTATTTACATATTTGTTCATATTGTAAGCTATGATCACAAGGTACAATCATCATAACAATAATAATAATAATAATGACATTTTTCTTGATTAAAACAGGAGACGGTCTCTTGACATTAAAAAGGAGTGTGTAGATCGAATGGACAGGATAGAAGACTATTTTGGCCTAATTTGAAACTGCTTTTTTGAATGAACAGTAATATGCTGATGATGTAAATGCAAATAAGAATGGCCCGCGCGCGTAATTCCCTACTCCCTTTCTCCTCCTTTCTTGCTTTACTCCCTTTATATACTTGCCCTGCATCTCCTTTTTCATTTTATCAAGCAATAGACTGATCTGTGCGTACAACCCGGGCAAGTAGTATAAAACTCCTCTTTTTTCTTTGTCTCCTAAAGTCTATCAAAAACAGTCCCTTGATAATTATAGTTTAATAGACAGTTACACGTATCTAACAATAAAGTAAATTCAAACAAGTCAAACTTCAAACAGCCTCTTTCTTTTTTTTCCTTTTTTCTTATCTTTCTTTTTTTTTCTTTTTATTATTCTTTTTAGTGAAAGCATACATTCATCTATTCATGTGTGTATAATTCTTTTGTATATACATATTTAAAAACCAACAAAAAAAACCTTATTTACTTACTTATTTTTTATTACTTATTCTTTATTGCTTATTCTTTATTACTTATTCATTATCCCAATTAAATATATATACACATACGAATTTATATATACAGTGTATGCATACACACAAGATTGTATACAAAGAATAACAGTTTGTTCTTAATAGTTAAACATGATAAAACAAGAACAAAGTCCAATGAATGATCCAAAACCCAATACTTTCACTAGAGTTTCTGTAAGATAAAAAGTATATACTTGTATATGCCTCCAATGCCATGATTCATTCATGTTTAACTCTTTTTTCTTCTTGCTTTAGATGGAGCCACTCTATGAACGACTACTGAAAAAGCCATTCCCTGATAGTGTTTCTGCCATAGAGTACTGCCGCAGTGTATGTGCTGAGTTTGGATTCACCGTCAAGCAGGAGGCAAGTGCAAATAGGGTATGTTCATTAACTAGTATTAAGATGAAACTGACATGTAAGAATTAGAACATTTATGTTTATTGCTCTAGAGAAGGGCTGCCCGACTCTCAACGCAACCCAAAACCTTCGCCTCAACGCAAAAGACCGTCCAAACGATGTGATTGTCGATGGCGTGTTGTCTTATCAGAAAACGAGCATGAAGAATGGGAGTTTCGTAAATCAATGAACCCCAATGCTTCTGAACACAATCATGATATGATGTCGCCTGAAGAAATGGTCAAAGCATGGCCTCCTGAAGTCAATGAAATGATTATTCGGCTTGCTCGACAACGTCTACAAACACATGAAATACGTGAAGCTGTCAAACAACATTTTCCTGATATCACTTGGAATGAACGTCGTTTCTATAATCGCTTGACCGAGGAAAGAAAACGAATTCGGCAACGTGGTGTGGTTGAAAGAGCACAGAGACTGTTGCTTTTGAGTGCACGTCTTTGTTCAATTGTGGCTAATCATGAAGAATGGGCATTTACTGTTGAAAGTGATTTGCAGCGCATGTTTGAAAACTTTCGTCAATTAGCACGATTAGCACCAGAAAATGTCAATACACTTGTGGACCTTGAACCGGACATGATTCAATTGGATTATCCTAGCAGCAACAATAACAGCCCAGCATCTTTGTTTGTAGCAAATACGCAACGACTGTCAATCACAAATGATTCTGAAGACGATGTTACAGCCATAATGGCTTCACCTGCTAAAAAAAGAAGATCAGTCAAATCGAACACTGACACTACTGTCATACACAACAGTAAAGGTAACACAGCCCCTGAAACTCAAAAAGGGATCCAAATGGTACATGTACCGAGTTATACAATTCAAATCAGAAGTTCTTCAGCTCTCCACCGGTCTCCTCCATACGAAACATCTGCTAATTCAATGAAGCGCCTTTATGGTGAATCATCACCTTCTTCGTTTATGGATACTCAGCCTCCTCCTCCTCCTTTGCCTCCTCCACAAGCTTTCGGCTCGTCTTCTTCCTTCTTTTCATTAGCTTCTCCTACTTCATCTTCATCTTCTACTTCTTCTATGGCTTTTCAATCACAAAGACATACGATTGTTACAAGAGGTATTACTTCACCACAACAATCTATGCACTCACCCAATGAATTCATCATGTCTCAACAGCCTTATCAAACACCTCAACCACAGCAAACTCAGCAGCATGAAAGTTCCACCGGCAGCCATGTAGGGTATACAACAGGATCAAATGCGAATGCTTCTGCTGCCACAAACAACAATAATGACACCGCTTATCCTATGTCTTTCCCTCCTTACACTATTCCTACATCTGCCTTTGCTACAACGCCACCTGAATTACCCTTCTCATTTGAAGCAAACTTTATTCCTCAACAACAAAGAAGTGATCGATTGACGACGAATCAAGAATTCTTTAACCACATCAAGGAAGACTCAACACAAGTTGAGCAGCAACAATCAAAGACCATGTTAAATCAACATGAATATGAACACCGTATGCATCGAAATAACAATTTCTCTCAACAACAACAACAAAATTATCCATTGCCCATGATCCGTTCAGGAGACAATAATAGTTCAGTAGAAGAAAACCATTGGTCTTAATATGAATTATGGATATTTTATATGCTTTACTCTCCTTTTTCTTTGTTTTTGTTTATGTCTATGATTGCCTTTCCTTTGTTTATTTTTTATGTCTAATATAGCTCACCATGAAACTATTGTTTACAGAGTTTTTTTTCTTTTGTCTTTTTCGTTTTTCGAGCACATTGCGTAAATGCTCTCTTTGCTCAAGCAAGACGAGTATGAGGCTTCTCATTTTTATTTCATTTTGACCGTATAAATATGACAGAAATAGTAGCTTTTTACTTTTTTAAGAGATGAAATGCTTGGATAGTGAGAACATCAATAATGTTATTCTTTATGCCATGCTTTTCAAGTGATAAACAACAATAATAAATGTATCAAAGACATAATTCCGAAAACTTCACCCAAAGCAGAAGCAGCCGGACTCAAAGTGTCTGAAATTTATTCGAAAAGGTATTTCCACAAAAAGGAAATCAAATAACGAGTCACTCATCAAAGAAAGACTCCGCAGACTCAAGTTATTTCCTTTTAAGTAAATCAGTAAACCCGCAAAGTGAGAAATGGGTTGTTGAAGCCTTTAGATTTAAGCTCAAATTGTGGGTTTGCAAAATACAAAAAAAAAAAAGAGGAGCTTTATTCATTAATGTCATGAATAATGGCTAACAAGGCATTACCAACATATTCAAAATCATCAAGATCTACATAAATTTGTCCACATAATCTAACCCACCACTTGCCATTGTTCTTATAAACAGGGAACATAGTATGATGGTCATAAACTGCCTTTTTCATGAAAAAAGAGATAATTTCTGCATCTGACTTGCTTGTCTTAAAAGCAGGTAATTCAACATTAACCATATTTGCAGTAATTGTCTTGGTCGAGTTTTCCATGACAGATGTGCCTAGTTTCTTAGCTACAAGATCACCACCCTTGACAGCAATATCATGACAATAAGCATTGATGGCTTCTTCACCACCAATGGCTTCACGGTATTTAATAGCGGCCTTGACACACATGTAAGGACTAGGATCAATCGTGTTTGGAGCAAGTTCAAGTGCAAAAGTAGAGGAGTCAGAAGCATCTTCATGAAACTTGTAAGCATAGTTAATAGTAGTAGGGTGAACAAAGCCTTGATTACGCTTAGGTACGTACAGAATAGCGCAGCCACGAGGGGTATAAAGCCATTTGTGACAGTTGCTAAAGAAGAAGTCTGGATCAGTCTCAGATAAGTTTAAAGGGATTTGACCAATAGCATGAGCACCATCAATCATAGCCAAGATGCCATGTTCCTGAACAGTTTTAGTAAGTGCTTCAAATGGTAAGCGTGCACCGGGAAGAGAAGAGAGTGCATCAATGACAGCCAAACGAATCTTAGGTTCACCTTCTTTAGCATGTTCTCTTTCAATGGCTTGTTTGGTCAAATCAATCATGTCTGCGTCTTCAATAGGGTAGTTAATTTCAACGCCCACCAACTTCACTTTGAAATGATCTCTTAAGAATTCCAAGGTCTTGTTGACAGAGACATACATAGTATGATACTAAGAAATAATCAATTTCATGCATTGGCGATTATTTTGATTACATACATAAAGAATTTTATCGCCTTCTTTGAAAGGAAAACTTCGAAGCACGGTATTAGCAGCTTGAGAAGCATTAGGCACAAAAGCAAGTTCACTAGAGTCACAGTGAATAAGTTGAGCAACGCGTTCTAAACTAGCTTGAATATGAGTGAACATCTCATAACGATTCCAGCGATCGGGGTGTTCTTCTGCTTTATCTTGAAATTCGTGCAAAAGTGGTTTGATTGCCTTAGGATAAACACCAAAGGAGCCATGGTTTATAGGTATATATCCTGGTTCAAAAGAGAACTCATCGCGAAAGGCTTTACCAAAAGATTGTTTTGTCATATAGAGAAAAACAGATCATTATCTTTGACCTATTTTATATATCTTTGAAGCACCGAAATTTATATGTGAGAAGGACGATAGCTAAGCATTTGTGAATCCTGTGGCCATTGTGAATCCTGTGGCCATTGTGAAAAATGCTAGAATCTTCTATTATGTTTCTGAGAGATATCAAATAAAATTTTGGATAGATACATGTTACTACTAACAGTCTATGAGCAAGTTTATTGAGTTTAGTCAACCAAACAAAGGACAGGATGATGATCTTGTTCCTTACTGCAGAGTATGAAATGACTCATTTTTCTTTGCATTATGAGTCACTGTGAGATTCTTTTCTTTTGTTGCATGTCTGTGCCTTGTGGATAAATACTTTTTCCTCTTTGGAAATCAAATTCCATGTCTGCAGCACTATTAAGAAATACTGATTATGTTGCCAAGTTGGATCTTATTGCATGTTCAAGAGCTGCTTAGCTTGTTGACAAGATCATATTACTGTTGCAAATGCATTTTCCAAAAATAGTTTGCTCTTAGTTCTCTAAGACTAATGTTTAAGGTATGGTTCATTTCTTCTGGTTAACTACGTGGCATGTGTATTTCCAGTTTTGTTTAGTAAACAAAATGACAGAAAACAGTATTCTCAATAACCACGTTCAAAGTCGGAGGTTGTGTAACTGTTAATCAATTAAGGTCTTTAATAAAAAAAAAAATGTGTGTTTTCATTATATTGAATAGGCGCTTATACAGCTAGAATGGAACCCTCATCTATCACGCGTTGTCTACCTCAATTCAGAAGACTCTTTTAACTCCTAATACTTCTCTCTCTCTTTCTCACTTTTTTTCCTTTTCTTCTTTCTTTTTTCTTTAATTTTTCATAACCCAGTACAATGGAAGATACACAACCACAAGAAACTATTAATCGCCATGATCGAGATCAACAGCGGACACTCCCAGTAAAGACAATCGGTAATTTTACTTTACAGCAAAGTATTGGTAAAGGTAGCATGGGTAAAGTCAAACTTGCCACCCATAATGTCACAGGTGAAAAAGTAAGTTCAAAGAATTCTATAAATAAATTTATTAAATTATTATTATTAGATTGCTGTAAAAATTGTCCCCAGGGCCAATATGCAATTAACAAACCAATCCAATGGAAAATCAACCAACCAGATAGCTAAGGAAAAAGCGAGAGAAGAAAATCGTGAAGTCAGAACAATTCGAGAAGCTCATATCATGATGTTACTAAAGCACCCAAACATTATTGGAATGAAAGATATTGTCACACAAGGTCCATATTTTTATATTCTGATGGACTATGTGGGAGGTGGCCAACTTCTTCATTATATTGTGAAACGACAGCGCCTTTCAGATAGGAGAACCAGACAGTTTTCTCGGCAGATTGTGAGTGCATTAGATTATTTGCATAGAAATTCCATTGTCCATAGAGACTTGAAGATTGAGAACATCATGATTGATAAATCAGGAAGAAATATCAAACTCATCGATTTCGGTCTATCAAATCTATTTTGTCCAGAACGTCAATTAACAACTTATTGTGGCTCTCTTTATTTTGCAGCACCCGAGTTATTAAAAGCCAATCCTTACAATGGCCCTGAAGTTGATATCTGGAGTTTGGGTGTGGTAATTTATGTGATGGCAACAGGCTCAGTGCCCTTTGACGACAAGTCCATGCCTGGTCTTCATGATAAAATCAAACGTGGTCATGTCACTTATCCAGCTCATTTGAGTGATGAATGCAAAGACTTATTGTCTCGTATTTTTGTCACTGATCCTGCCAAGCGTATTATCATGACAGATATCATCAACCATCCTTGGTTAAACAAAGATGCAGCCCCTATCAAGAGCCATATGCCAGTACGAAAACCCTTGGTATTACCATTTGACCCCAAAGTCATTGAGAGAATGTCTCAAGGCTTTAATTTGGGTACAGCAGAAGAAATTGAAAAGCGACTGACTTTGATTATTGAATCACCAGTATATCATGATGCCGTCAACCATATTGCTACTTTACACTCTCGTAAATCTCAATTGCCACCTCTTTCATATAACGAAGTTAATTTTGGTATTATATATGATGATCCTCAATCTGTACCAGCTGCCTATCATCCTTTTATTTCACTTTATCATTTGGCTGCTGAGAAGTTCATCACAATGGAGCAGGAAGCACATCATCACCGTGTGGCCATCAAACACAGTCTATCTCGCAAATCCTCTGTGGACTCAGTGGGTGGTGGGGACTCATCTGCTCGTAGTAGTCAAGCTTCACTTGTGGGTGCTGATGAAGCTGTGGTGCCCAATGAAATTGCTCCTAGATTATTGACAGATGTACCAACCAGTCAAACACCCGTTATGCCTGTTGTTCCTCAAGTGAAGCAAGGTAATGGTAGCATGGTGGGTTTCGTATCTCAACCAGCTGCTATCGCTTCTGCCAACTACCTCAGTCGAATTCAGCGCTGGCTTCGATCTTCTTTGTCTCAGCATCATCTTGCTGCACCAGACCATCTTGCTGCACCAGAAATACCCAGTTTCCCAAGTCAATTCTCTGCACCACCATCTCCACCTCAACTTGTTGAAGACACCAAGCATGCTGAAGTCGATACTCATATTTATGTCACTCCTACTGCTACTATTACTACACCTAATACTATCACAACATTAGCAACCATGCCTACACCATCACAATCCACAGACGATCGAGATCAACCTAATAACTCTCCTAATGAAAGTTTCCATAGTGCGCATATAGACTCAACAGAGCACACAACACATCAGCAAAATGGAGCACCTAACGGTAGTAAATCACTCTTCCGTAAATTATCACAAGCATTTCTTCGAAAGAATTCCTCTAGAAGTCTAAACAAAAAGACAAGTAACCTTAGCGCCAATCAAAGCAACAGTGATGATGAAGGCATCTTTATTCAACTTGGTGATCAAGCTCTTTTAAAGACAAATGAGTCTGTTAAATCACAAATAGATCAAGAAGTGCCTCCTCCAGTACCTCCTAAAGACATCAATTACAACATGTCTCTACGCAACAACAATGCTAACCATGTTCATCCATTGCCTCCTGGTATGTCTATTGCCACTGTTACATCTCGTCAAACAGCTCATACGATTGATATCACTAAAATAAACAACATCCATGGTAGTAGCGCTAGTGTTACTACAGGCAACAATATACCTACTCCTATTGCATCCAAAATGGCAAAATACGACGATATACCAATTCCTCCCATTCCTCGGACCGCAACAGAACAACCTACACCTAGTATTTCACGATCTGCATCAGTGGCTTCTGTTGCATTTCCTCGACGAAGAGGATCTGTCTCTAAAATGGCAGGCAAAATTGGTTCTTGGTTGAATAGATCTGCTTCAGTCAGTCAACCCAGTAGCAGTAAACTTGGAAATACCAGGGATGCTTAAACATATATATCCTTAATACATTCATTATAAAAGCTAATATTATATCTCAATTCCCTTTTTTGAAAAAATAAGTCTAGAATGTTAATTGTTTTAGTAAATTGCTCAGAAAATAAAACTACAAAGTTGGTCAGATACAAAAGAGAGAATATCTGAATAAGAGAAGGGAGGAGGAGAGGATAATTAAACATCTATTGGATTGACTAAAAAAGGTTTAATAGAGTATTGCAAGCATTCAGCAGAAATGAACTCTCACTTGATCAGGATAACACTTGTTCGCTTTACTTTATCTATATTTTCGAAATGGTTCAGAACTTCTCAGTTGGAACAATTTCAGACGAATGAAAGAGAGGAGAGAGAGGGAAAATATGTTGGTGTGTATATGACACATATGTTATATTTAACGCGAATAGAATGAGCAATAAAGGACAAGAAAGCTATAAAAACAGATAACCAGGTTTTTCGCTACCTTAACTTTGAAAAGCACTACATCCTTAACATTTTAATAAGGTTAGAGAGAAGAAGGCGAAAATCAAATGATCAAGTCTATCAAATCCTCGGCCGTTCAGTTTACAGAAGACCAAGCAAATGTACCAACAGCATTAAACAATAACAACTTAAATCAGCACCTTAAGAAATTTATTAAAGTTTACCGATCCATATCTCAACACTAGTTTGCTTAAAAGCAAACATTGGGGCTGGAGCCATTGTAAGCTTGAATGTTGTTTATAATAAAGTTCACTAAAGTCACGACTTCTTTATTTTGTCGCTTTAAAAAAGGAAGTAATATTTGCTGACTTGACAGTAGTCTTTTTGGTTACTACTTTTTTCTTTTTTGTTAAGGCGGTTGAATTTGTAGTCTATAAGAAATGTTGAGAAGTATGTTACAAGAGTACAAATGGCCTACTTTGAACTTTTCAAGTAACTTCAATGCCTTTTTGAGACCTGTTGGTATAGGTGATACTTTTAATTCTTCTAGAGTAACCCATTTTGTTTGGTCTGTGTCCATCCTTTCATGCTCATCTTGGTATTGAATCCATTCAATATGATACACTTTGCGAATATGAGAAAATAAGTGAACAACGTTGCCTAAATCTTGTCTAGTTGGGCTTTTGAAGTCCAATTGATATTTTTGCTTTAAAAATTCAGTTGCTTTTTTAGAACGATCCTGATAAGAGGTGTCAAGAGAATCTAATTCTAGGCTAGGGAATTCCCATAAGCCAGCCAATAAACCAGTGTCTGATCTTTTGGATATCAAATAAAGAGGCTCTTGGTCTTTAGAAACAATCCTCTCCACAATACAGACAGCACATTCTAATGTAAGACATTTATATTTAATATGTGACTAATATAATTTTGTTTCAAGTTACCTTCATCTCGGGGAGGCTTCTTGTCTACTTTAAGAGGATATTTTGTCACCACGTACTCTTCTTCTGACAAATCAGACTGTATTTCATGACATACAGAACATGCTTGTAATCATGAGCAAGAGCTTTTAAGCACCAGGTATTCTTACCATGTTCAGTAGATTCATGCTTTCTCTTTCTTTTTGCTTCGTCAAAGAATCCATTTTTCGACATGTCTTTTGCCACTTGGAGTTGATTTAATGCTCTGCAGTCTGTTCTAATAGGACACATTGTACAGCTAGGATTCTGAGGAGTACAAACACGAGCACCTAATTCCATCATGGCTTGATTGAAGTCGCCTGGATTTGTTTCAGACACTAATTGAGCAGCAATATCCCAGAATAAATCAATGGTCTTTGCCTTTTTAGAATCTGCATAAATGGCTCTCCAACGAGCAATGACACGAATCACATTTCCATCTACAACAGGTGTCGTTTCACCAAACACAATGGAAGAGATAGCACCCGCTGTGTACCTTCCTACACCAGGTATTTCATGTTGCAAATCTTTAGCATTGTCTGGCAAAAGACCGTCTAATTGATTTACTACTTTTTGTGCACCTTCCCAAAGCCGTTTTGCTCGAGAATAATAGCCTAATCCAGCCCATAATGTATTTACTTTTTCAATATCTGCTTTGGCCAAGTCATGAATGGTTGGAAAAGCAGTCATCCAACGGTTATAATAGTCAATGACTGTAGCCACTTGTGTCTCGTATGTGTTAGGTATGCATCTTTCTATTTATTTATTTACCTGCTGAAGCATAATTTCACTCACCCAGACTGTATTCTGAATGAGACAATCTTGATACTTATAAATTTATTTACCTTCATATGCCCTTTGACCTAAACGCTATCGTACACAATTTGTATGAATATCCCTTATCATTCATAGAAAGTGCCTTACTTGTCGATCCCAAGTTTTGTCATTGTCTTGTCTCCAGGGCATGTTGGTTCTTTTCTCGGCATGGTACCAGTCGAGTAGATCTCGTTGAACTCGAATTTTTTCTGCGTTTGATACTTTATGATATGTATCTGAATGAAACAGTCTTTTGCTCGAAACACACTCTTCGATATCTATCCATGCATCTGAGACTTTTTGGTCTTTTGAGCTCATTTTAATGTAAGGAAGCTAAAAAAAAAACAATACGCGCCTCAATACGCGAAATGCCAGTCAGACATGGACGCGTTTTACTGAATTCAAAGAGCGATTATCAAATAGGTATTTTATTGTAATTTTAAAACTATATGAATGTTAGTCTATATACATAGATAGATAAACAAGCACTTACTCTAATTTGATAGGATCCAGCTTTTGTCATGTATCTCACCCATTTAACAGATTGATAACCACTCTTTTCAAACACTTTTAAGAATCTAACTAAAAGACCTGAAGAAGTGAACATCAATACTTGGAAATCCATGGATATAGGAGGTCTTGACCAAACACGCTTGTGTGTCATTGAACTCAATACTGCTTCACCACTTAAATGGAATTCTGCTTGTCCTTGGAAACGAGATATTCTGAGCTTGAGATCAATATACAGACACATAAGATAGTCTACACTTACTTCCAAATAATGCAATTCTCAGATGGTGCATATTTAGCTTTTCCACCAGAACCTACTTTGACTTCAACTTTTGCTGAATTCAAAGGCGTAGGAATCTTGAGAACAACATTGTTAGCATACAATTTAGGTGAGAAATTAGCTCTAATACTGATATTGTATTCTACGCGCGTATTGCCTATTTCTGTCACTACAGGATGAACCTTGAATGGCAAGTTGACATTTTCTGTAGTACGATATCTATTATAGCAAGATGAGTAAAGAATTTACCCGCAAATATTGGCTCTTACTTCATCAATTCAAATTCACCATCTGGAGGTACAAAGCTTATTGTTCTGTCACTATCAAACTTGCCCAACTTGACGCATTGGTGGAATTGACAATCATCAATCTCTACTGCGTTTGTACGACGAGCACTATAAAGCTAAACGGTCAGACACATGCATGGTTTCCAGAATAATACTTGCGTTGTGCGATTGACGACATCTTTATCTAGCAATAGTTTATCGTTCAAGCCAAACTTACATTCAGGTGTGCCAGACAAATAGGCTCTCATCAAGATTTGTCCTGCTACATCAGCTCTTAATATAGTACCCGTATTGCTCATCAACAAATTGACACTTTCAATCACATCAATAAATGCTTCATTTTTTCTGTATTTTATATCGTTTCTTCTCCAGGAAATAGCACCTGTAGCTTGAATTGTAATTCTGCTTGAGTCCTCAACTGCTTTTTCAGATTTAACACCTTCTGTTGTGATATACATCTTGAGTGTGTCTGTCTCACTGTTCTGTGGATATCCAAAATCCAAGATTTCTAAGCATAAAAAAGTTAATTGATGTTCATGGATGCATTAATTCTTCTTTTTACCATCCAACAATTCGTAAATAAGGACAAAGTTATTCTTGACAGCTTCTTCATCAAACTTTCCAAAATAACTACGTCCAATATTCACCACTCGATAACAAAATTCAAACACAAGAGCCGCGTTAGCGTTCCATTTGGTGACTGCAACAATATAAAGATTTTCATGGCGAACATGGAAAAAGGAAGTTGAGCCTAGTGTGACAATGGGTGAACGAACGTCTGTATTTGAGATAACTTGAATACGAAAAATATCTGCTACTGAACGTCTAGTATGCGTATTTAAGTCAATGTATCTTTTTTCCTATCAAAAATCTACCTCAAATCGTGTCTGTAGAGTCTAGAAATAAGCACTTCACCTTTCTGGTTGTAGATGAAGAAGGCGCTGATCATGGCTGCAAGTCTTTCGAGATGAATAAAAAAAAAAGGACAAAAGAAAGGGAAAAAGGGCGATTAATTTGGCGGGTATTTAATCCATGGTATATAGGTTGCACTAGGATTCTATGTACTAACAAGCTATAGACAATTCTGTTTGAAATAGGATTGACATTTCTCTTTAAATAATTCAACTTTTCTTAGCTTGATCAAGGCGTTGTATTCAATGCTGAAAATAAATTCGTATTGTGTTTTTATAAAGGAAATTATATGCTAATTAGAAGCAGTAGAGACAAAAGAAGAAAAAAAAATAAGCACAGCTTAGGGGAACGGCAGCATGAATCGCTTCGTTTTATTACAAGAATAGATTGCAATATGACTGAATGATTTGATTTTTATTGCTCACCTAGGTATGTATACGCAATAGGGTTTTAAACAGTTTGACATCTTCGTGAGCAAACATTTTCTTTGATTTGAGGAATTAAGTGCTTTTTTGATAATATACTTTACTTAAACAAGCAATCTAGTATTATGCAACTTGTTCATGTAACAAGGACGCTAGGTAACTAGGTATTTCAACAATGGAAAAGATCCTGATTCGTGCAAATCCTTTTTCTTCCGCAAACAAAGGCATCATAAAGCCTTTTTTCTACACCTACAGACACTCTAATCAGTATTTACTAGTACTCATAGTACTTTTAGAGTTAACTTGGACCAAAAATCCCTCAAAACCAAAAGGTACTACTCATGAAAAAGCTTATTTTGACAACTTCCAACCTTTCTTTTCAACGCTGCAAATGAAAAACAGAGCTATCGACATGCTTAAATACTCGGAATGTATATAAGATGCTATAGTTCCTGATCAAAGTGTTTGATTGCTAAGTTCACTGCTAAAATGGTATGATAGAAGCAGAAAACCTCATAAACATTTTCTTTATTTTCTCAGTGTTTTAGTAGCAAAAATACTGTGTTATTTACATCAATAGGTTCAAAAATGAAAGATATACAGCTTTTGTTAATGTACAAAAGCGAAATAACTGCGTCTTCATACAGTTCTCAGCAAGAACTTGATTTTTTTTAATGATTTTATTTGCCGCACGTATTAGTGGTCTTGGGAGGGAACCACTAAAGAGGTGCTCGACGATTATTTATTGTAAGAAAATATAAAGAAAAACAAAATTGGTACGATAGTAAGAAAGTAGAAAAATATAAAAGGAAAGAAGAGCAGCTATTGCGAGAAAAGACCTCTCAAGATGAAAAATCATTTTCAGCAGCTATACGCTTAATTTGATAGCGAGTGCTGTGAAGAACAGAGAGATAATGGAATGGTTGGTTCTGCATGGTATGGGTCCAATGAACCTTCCAGATTTCAGAGAGACCAATCAAGGTTACCATGGCTATTGAAACGGGACAGTTTGTTTGAGACCGAATCCGAGAAAAATTGAAAGATGCAAGTGCATCAGAGACTAGATCCAGAGAGGTGCCTGGCCACAAAAATTCCCTGATCAAGGCATCCCAGAACGGAAATTTTTGAGGGAAGCGAAAGAAATGGTACACAGTCTCCTGATCACCACACAAAATGCAGGCAGCAGTAGTGAAGTGAGCAGGAAAAACCTTGAATAGAAGTAAGCGAGTGGGAATCTTGCGAGTCAGAAATCGATACATCACATTTCTCTGCAATGTTGTGATAGGTATGCACCAAAAGTACTTCCAAGCAGCAGAAGAAACTTCTTGCCGAGCAATGATATCAGACAAGGCAGCTTGTGTGATGACCTTACGGAAAGTATGGCCACAAAATTTGCGTTGTCAAAAGGCAGTTTCAACATGCACACAAAAGAAAAGAAACCAAGAGACCGCTGGATTGCAGGAATATGCACAGGATTGTATAAGTCTAATGAAGTACGAACAAGGCATTGACCAAAGAATGGCTCCAGTTGACAATGACTTTGATTCATTGCTTGAAGGTATTTTCTAGCACTACGACGGATATCCAGGGGAAAGGAAGAAACTGGTATTGGTGCCAAATAGTGACCCTGTGGATGGTACTCATATAGGTAGGAAACTGCTACTGTGCGTAACTTGAGAGGCAAGTCAAAGGTGTCAGATGGCAAAACAATTGAGCGTAATGGCAGTAAAAGGCATTCGATAGGGTTTGGCATGTATGAGTACTGTTTCCTAGGAATAGCATCCATTGTCTGGCAGCACATTGTGGCAGTGTTACTTGCCAATTGCCTGAGTTGGCCTGGGCGAGAACGAGGAAAGAGCAGACCCAAGAGCAGATGTTCAGTCTGAAGCAAAGCACGGGTATGTGCTGCTAGAAAGTCTTGTATCAGAGAACGTTCAGCTTGAGGACACAAAAAAGGATGAAGCCAATGGTAATACAGTGATTTCTGCTGAGAAAACAAGTCAATAATGCCAAGGCCACCATGCCACTTTGGTGCAGTCATCGTTTGCCAACTAATGCGAGGAAAGATTTGCCGGTTGACAAAAGAAGTAATGACAGTTCGAATGGTATTAAGGATTGCTTGAGTGGTAGGGATCACCCGCAAAATATACCAGCATTTAGACAATAAAAGCGAACTGGCAACTGTAGTTCTACCAACAACAGAAAGATCGCGTGAGGCATGAATATCCGCCAGTTGAGTCAGTGATCGAGTGAGGGACGAAAAAAAGTGAGCGCGCTGGTCCAAGGATTGGATAAGGGGAAAACCTAAATAGATAATGGGTTCAGCATCTGTACGGCACCATATCTTGGGAATGTCAATGGCTTGCAGAGTAGTCAGCCATTTATCATCTAGATTGTGGCCAGAGAGAGAGATTGCTCGCACTTTATGGTAGTTAATCTTGGCATTGGATGCTTTACTGTAGGTCTGCAAGTAAAACTGCATTCTGCAAGTAAAACTGCATTCTGCGAAGGTCAGGGATATTATGAAGAAAAACTAAAGTGTCATCAGCATAACTAAGCAATTTGATAGCAGGTAAGGTGATAGCTTGACTAAAATCATTATGATTGAAGCGATAGTCAGAAAATTGAGTGTCATTCAATATCGACTGGAGAAGTGGCTCTAAGGCAAAATTGCATAAAATACAGGAGAGTGGGTCACCTTGTTTGAGGCCTCGGCGCTTTGGAACCAACTGCTTAGAGAACCAACCATTGATGTTGATACAAATGGAATTATCTCTAAACAAGGTAATAGTGCTGGCAACCAGGATCTTTGGAAAACCAAAGTGTAACAACACTTGCTTGAGATAGTCAAGGTTGACACAATCATAGGCCTTTTCTTGGTCTAAAAGAATGTCAAGATCTTTGTCTGGTCGGCGGTAGTTTGTTGCTGCATTTTCCATGATCATTTGGGTGAGCAAGCCATGCTCAGCAATATATCTGCCAGGCATAAAGCCTAGCTGATGTCTCTTGATAAGTGTAGCAGCTACTGTCATAGTCCTGTGGTTGCTTATCCGAGTGAAGACCTTGTTATCTGCATTCACCAACTGAATAGGACGATAGTTCTCTGCCCGCGTTAAATCACCTTTCTTAGGCAAAAGAGTCACAAGTGATAGCAGCCATGATTTCGGGAATAAAGAATGAGCTAAGGCATCATTGTATACTATTAGAACCAGCTGCCTTAAACAAGGAACACGAAGTAAAATACCTAGAATCCTGTATGGCAGACTATCGCTACCAGGATTACTCTGACGAGGTGAGTGTCTACTTGCTTTCGATACCTCCAGCCAACTGATAGGACTTTCAAGGGTAGATGCTTGCTCTTTAGTAAGTCGTTGGCTGTTGGTACGTTGTAAAAGCGTATTGAAATCAGAGAATTGGATCTTGTCAGGACGATATAGCGCCTTATAGAAGGCAACCATCACCTTTGTTTTCCCTTCTGTATTAGTAACCAATCGTCTAGAATTGGGATCAAAGAGCTTTGGTATTGTTCGTTGTGTAGACCTATCTTGTGCAAGTTTTTTGAGAAGACCAGGAGATTGTTCACCTTTTTCTCGTCAAAATTTGCCTGCTTTGAGATGTTCTATTTCGGCAGATTCATCCTGCAAAATAGTAATCATTTTTACAACTTTTGGTAAAAGAGATGATAAAATAGATATATTTTTATGATCTCGTAAAATTTTTTTGCGTTTGGATTGAAGCTTTTTCAGAGATTTGGATCGCCAGTTGTTACGCTCGATCTGGAAGGATCGAGTAAAAACTTTGACTTGTTCTTTCAATTCATCCCAAATAGTTTGAACTGAAGGGCAATCAGGATCCAAACGGTTGATGTTATCCATGTATTGCTCAATATGTATTGTCAAACCTTTTCTATATGCAGATAGTCGAGCAAGATTAGGATTACCTTTCCAAGGACCAGGTCCAGCTGGAGTGTGTACCAGTTGATAGTTGATAGAAAGCAAGGCATGGTCAGTCCAACTGTAGTTGACAAAATTTTGAGTCATAGAAATTACATTGTTAGCATGAGGTAGAGTGCAAAATATATAGTCAATATGTGTGCGACTACCAGTGGTACTAACAAACGTAGGAAGAGGATCACTTTGAAAACAATCTTGGAATGAAGTAAGAAGTAGATCATTCCAGCACGTATCAATGTTGGATTTACGGTAAATGTCATAGTTGAAATCGCCAGCAATAATAATAGGCAAAGACGTTGACTGTAAATGTGATATTAATGGTTGATTGGAAGATAACATGCGAAAGAATGTGGATCGACTACTACAATAAGCAGGAGCATAAATATTGAAGATATACATAAAAGGAATGGAGGGTTCAGAGGCATGAGCGATAGACGCTAAGAGAAAGCGGTCATTGGTAGAATTGATGGTGGGATGTGCTGTAATTTTGTAGTGAGATTTTAAGGAAACAATGCCACAGTGTTCTGTCCAAAGACTAGATTTAGTCTGGAACTTGAGATTGAGCTATTTCTGTATATTAAGTGTAGATGCGCGTGTTTCTTGTAAGCATAGAATGTCATATTTAGTTGAACGTAGAAAGCGGATGAATAAGGACTGCTTGTAAGGATCTGAAGTTTTCGTAAGGCCACGACAATTAAGGGTGGCAATTTGCATAGAGTTTTTAGGCATAGATTATCTTATTGAAAGTCAGGAGAGGTACCTGTTGATCCACCTGTATTATGATTAGGCACCACTCTATGTCTCTCATCGTCATGATTAAATTTGATCTTTTTACGCTCCTGGATAAACCTTTCTAAGTCCAAAGCCTCTTGGGTTGGATTATTGCTTGGAATATTTTGAAAATATTCATCATCATCCTCTCCATCGGAGTCAATGATTTCTACTTCACTATCTCCTTGCTCTTTCATTTCATGAACCATCAATTCATGCTCGACTACTGTAATACCGTTTGAAAGTGTTTGAATAGTCTCGGTTGCTATTTGACTAAGAGGAACGGTAGTCAATGCAGCAGGAGAGACAATTTACTTAGGCTTCGCACTTTGTGCTAGTTGCTCATTGGGTAGGTTGGAGCCTGATCTACTAGCCTTGTCTTTTGTGATCCCAATACGCTTATTAGGAGGGTGGCCTGATCCATGACTACGACGAGGACAATCACGGCTGATATGACCACGCTCATTGCAGTTATAACAACGACGAGTATTAATGTGTTCCATGCAATCTGCTCGACAATGGTCGGATTTTTGACAAAAACGACAAAATTGGGGCATTTCATCCCACGTAAGCAGAAGTTCACGATCAAATTCGGGTCAATCTACTACTCGACCAAGTTGCTCAGGCTCAGACTTGTGAGGATTGTTCAGGTCAAGAACGACGTAGCCCTGGCCGAAAAATACAGCACCGTCCATATGAAATCCCAGATCTAGGAATTCACCAAAATGGGAAAAACGTTTGGTCATTTGCTCGCGGAGAGTTGAAGGATGAATCAAAGGGAGTCGTTCAACCTTAACTCGAGCAATTTTCGCATTCTGGGGCAAGCTGCGGTAACCTTTGATAATATTATTATCTTCCATCTGCAAACCAGTGTTGATCAACTTATTGTATACTTCTGAGTTGGTGTCCCAGCAAGTTTCAATAAAACGTCTCTGCAAATATTTGCGCTCAACAAGTAAAGTGCCAAAGAAATAATACTCTTCATGGGTATTAAGTAACCCAAGAAACTGTTTAAGGCCATTCACATCACGAATATTGGTGATATCGATCAATACACTATCTTTCTCTAAACCGACAATATAAGGCGTAATAGTGCCTGAAGAAAGAGTGTTGGTACTAGCATACTTCGACTGGGAAGAACCAGAAGTGCGTGCAGAAGAAGCAGTGACAGCCAATGATGACGACTGGTTAGCAGACACAATAGTTCTAGCCGCTACTTGCGACCAAGTTCTGGGTAAATTATTGTTGTTACGACGCCCTTTGGAGGATGTCATGTTTTTTTTAAAGATTTTTATTATTGCTCCGCGTAAAGTTACCCTAATGGCACTCAAGAGGCGGGCGCAATTCATACTGAATTATATTAAACAATTATGCTGAAAGCAAACTAAGCAGAATAAAGTAAAAGATATGCCACTGTTATTAGTGGGAAAAAAAACTACGAGAAGAATTACAGTCTTGTGTGTACTTGCTTTTCATCTGCAAGCAGTTGTAAAGCAGTACGTGTTTGTTGTAGAGTGGAGTAGGCATCAAAAGCTACGTTGTCCATGACAAATCTCCAGTGTGCTTTCCAAACTTGTGATACGGCTGTGTTGATAATGTCAACAACGGTTAAATTTTCTTTTTGTGAGTAATCTATTCTAGTGAAGTTTAGTGTAACCAGTGCTTGAATAACATCTTCGACAGTGGTTGTAGGCCAAAGAAATTCGAAGATGAGATTGTTCCAAAAAAAAACTCTTTGGCGGGCAATAAAACAGGAGGTGTTGTTCACTTTCCAGATGAATTGAGCAAATGGTACAAAGAGGTGAGGGGAGCTTCTCAGGAAGTATATAGTAAAGAAGTTGTCTTGTGGGTAGTTTGAAAACCAGGAATCGGTATATCATATTACGAGCAACTGGCAGCAGAGAACAGCTCCAGAAATCAGTCCAAAAGTTACTAGAGATAGCTCGTAGGCGCTCTGGAGCAGATGTAGCACTCTGGCAAGTTAACCGAAACTCTTTTGTCGATATCCGGGTGATTGATCCAGTCAGGGTCACAAATCGGAAAGATTTGACAAATGGAACAAAAGATAAAGGTGGTGAGGACGGTAAAGCAGGCAATACCTCTACAGTAGGAGGTTGGCAGTGTTTGACAAAGAAAGGAAAGAATTGGTACTTGTTACTTTCTAGCCCTCAGGTGATCTGAAAGTAGAATTTTTGGAGCTCTTGCGGAATATGATCCGGATGCTTCCAATGGATTAGCTTAAGATCGTGGTTGAAAAGCATAAATGCTTGAACTGAGATAAATTGAATCCTTTTCGGCAATGACGGAAGTCGTGGTCTCAAAGATTGTAAGACGACCTTCATCGGCAAACTAAGACATGCTTGGTGAGCTAGTGTCATCTGGTCAAAATCTCGAGGCAAGCGATCTATTGAGGCATAAAATAGATCAATTGTTGAAATACGTTTACCGCACCCAAAGTGAGAGGTTCTATTGTGTCTAGCCAAAGGAAAGAGCAAAGGAATAGCTACCTCATAATATCCGGAGATATTTTGGATATGTCTTGTGAGTATACGATGCCAGTGTGCGTTGATAGAGCGATTCAACAGAGGCAAGACCCAGCGACTATAAAGCGCGTCTCTTTGCAATAACGGATCAAGGACCCCTACATCACCATCTTCTTTCGGTAGAGTCCAAGTTGGCCAAGCAATTTTCGGAAAGATTTTGGAGTTTAGGAACTGCTGTGCTAAAGACCGGATTCGAGAAATCTCAGTCTTCGTGAACGGCGTTACCCGAAGAAGATATTAAGGTGTTAACTACCGTGGCCCGGCCTAGTACTGACAAGGAACGGGCAGAATGTATCAAGCAGGCAGATTTCATCTTTGCCAAAAAGGTTTCAAAATAATTTTGTCTTTGTGCAACTGACTGGATTAATGGAAAACCTAAGTACACAATAGGTTGTGCATCCATGGAAGACTGAATGCGCTGTATATGTAGTGGTAGCAGTTACCTATGCCAAAATAGCCAGGGGTTTGTACCAGATAAAGATAGAGCTTCAATCTTGTTAAAGTTGATTTTTGCATTTGATGCTCTACAATACGTTGATATATGTCTTTGCAGTATTGCAAGATCATTCGGATCATGTATAAATACTAAAGCATCATCTGCGTAGCAAAGAATTTTAGTTTCTATAGGAGCAGAGGAGGAAGAGTCAGGCCTTGGTGTTTGTTGTCGAAACTGATATCCTTTGAACCCCCCCCCTCCCATCTTGTATAATCGAACGTAGAAATAGATCAAATGTCAAGTTATACAAAACTGGTGATAGTGGACCGCCTTGTTTTAATCCTCTTCGTTTCTTGATTTCTTTGGTAAAGAACCCATTAACATTGATTTTGATCTTGTTTTTTGAGAGCAATTTGTGTATTGTATCGGCAATCACTTCCGGGAACCCGTAGCCTATCAGCACTCTTTTAAGATATGTGAGGTGTACCCGATCGTATGCTTTCTCTTGATCAAGTAAAAGCGCTAAATTATGGTCACTACTTCTGCCCTTAGTCGTATCTTGCTGTACTCTGGCTTGTGCGTCTTCCATAATGGTTTGGACTATCAACCCATTTTCTGCGATAAATCTCCCTGGTATGAAACCCAGTTGAAATTGAGTAATCAATTGTGGAGCAATCATCATTATACGGCGGTTTAGTATCCTTGTAAAGATTTTATAGTCCGTGTTAGCCAGTGTGATTGGTCTATAGTTCTTCATGTCGGATAGATTGCCTTTCTTAGGTAGTAACACCATCAATGATTCATTCCATGACATTGGAAGACTACCAGCTAAACTATCATTATATACATCCGTAATCAATGTGTGAAGACTAGGATGTTTCATGATAAGATTCAAAATTTCATATGGACGACCATCGGTGCCAGGGCTACTTTGTCTTGGAGTTCACTTGGATTCTTCAATATTTCATTCATAGAAATACTCAGCATCATGGTGTCTCTTTGACTATCATTCAATTTCACATTGTTAGGAATTTTAGCAATCAATCTGTTCATAGCATGGTAATTGGGAGGGCCCGGAGTATGTAATTTAGAATAGAATTGTTGTACTATTTTCTCTTTAGCCTCTTGATCTTCACAAAGTTCACCACTGACAGGATCTCGTAGATCGCCTACTGATTTTTGATGTGTTCGTACTTTGATCAACCTGTTTAGAAAGCCTGGAGACTTCTCGCCTTTTTCTCGCCTTTTTCTCGCCAACGCTTTCCCGCTCTCAGAGCGTCTATTTCAGCAGCTTCCTCTTGCAAAGCTCCCAATTGTTTCTCTACTATGGGTAATGTCCAATCCACTATACCACGATGTTTCTGATGCCGAAGGATTTTGTTACGTTTACGTTGTAACCGTTTAATCTGTTTGTTTCTCCAATTGACTGTCTCCAATTGAAATGATTTGGTAAACAGTTTGACTTCAGCTTTAATCCAGTCCTAATTTCTCTGAGCAGTGTAATGCTTTCTCTGATTCTGGAGTTGCAGAACTAGTGTATCCAAGAAAGCAGCTAATTGTTGTCTAAACTCTTTCTTTTTCGCTAAGTTTGGATTTGCCTTCCATGCACCTGGGCCTCTAGTGCTTGTAGCGAATTACAAGGAAAAAAATAATATCAGAATATGTAATCAATTTGAACTTCGATAACAATTATGCCGACATGACAAGTATGTCATTTGTGTATTCAAAGAAAAAATTAGAAAAAATAAAAACCGCTGCTTTAAAATAAATGAGAACTATTTTCTGTAATGGCAAGAAGTAAAAAATAGGAGAATTTCTGATTTTCCTGTTCTAAATTAATAAAAAAAGCATGATTTTCAATTTTTCTGTTTAAATTAATAAACGAGTCTACCGGATGATAATTTCACTGTTTTGATTTAAGAAAGAGATTACTACCTGGTAGATTTGTTTTTTATTTTAAAACAGAAAAATTGGGAAACAAACTTTTTTTTTTTACTTTTGAGCAGAAAAATTAGAAAATTTTACTTTTTTTTTTAATTTTGAGCAGAAAAATTAGAAAATTCTACTTTTTTTTTATTCTTTTCATTGCAAAAAATTTTTTGATTTAATTTAGAAATCTAGTTTTTATTTATTTCTAAAAAATATTTTTTTAGTACACAAATGGCATACTTGTAATTTCGGCATAACTGCTAATATTTCTGCTATTCTGAAAATGCTTTTCTTTTTCTTTTTTCTGACCCAAGCATAAATTTTAGTGTTCAAAACCTCCTTCTAAAGATTGTAATAGCTCTACAAAAAAAGCAGCTAGAGAGAAAAAAAAACATGGAAAGACTTGTAGACCTCATGCCTTTGTGATCAGTGTGATGGGCTTGCAAAAAGAAAAAGAAAAGCATTTTCAGAATAGCAGAAATATTAGCAGTTATGCCGAAATTACAAGTATGCCATTTGTGTACTAAAAAAAATATTTTTTAGAAATAAATAAAAACTAGATTTCTAAATTAAATCAAAAAATTTTTTGCAATGAAAAGAATAAAAAAAAAGTAGAATTTTCTAATTTTTCTGCTCAAAATTAAAAAAAAAGTAATTTTCTGTTTTAAATTAATAAAAAAAAGCTTGTTTTTCAATTTTTCTGTTCTAAATTAATGAACGAGTCTACCAGATGTTGATTTTGCTTTTTTAGTTTAAACAGATATTACTACTTGGTAGACTCGTTCATTAATTTAGAACAGAAAAATTGAAAAGCAAGCTTTTTTTTATTAATTTAAAAGAATTTTTTACTTTTTTTTTTGTCATTGCAGAAAATAATTTTGATTTATTTTAAAGTAGTGGTTTCTATTTTTTTCTCAAAAATATTTTTTTGAGTACACAAATGGCATATTTGTAATTTCGGCATAACTGTTAATATTTTTATTGATTTTGAAATGCTTTTTTTTTTGTAAGTCTATTGCACTGATCACAAAGGCCTGAGATCTAAGAGCCTTTGCATAGTTTCCCCATCGATCTAGCTATCTTTCTCGTAGAGTTATTGCAATCTTTAGAAAGTGGCTCTGAACACCAAAATTTATGCTCGGGCCAGAAAAATAGAATAAGAAAGGTATGGTTCAGCATCTAAAATTATTCAGCCAGCGCATGATACTTTTCTCCAAGATATTAGTTTCTATTTTTTATTTGAAATCGGGCTCACAAGTCAGCTGTACCCTTTCTTTGAATAAATTTTAGCATACTCTAATCAAGCAAGCGGCAGCTAAAGATCCTATTTGGAAAGCAGCTGTCAGACATCAACAGCGCCTTTACATCCCAAATGACAACTCCAGCAATCTGAGCTTTGTCTTGAACACTTTTTCTTATCAATTTTTGACCAGGTTCCCTGATGCAGCAAAGTGATTACGACAGCCATAGTAAGCATAGAAATCGTAGTACCCGTAGTAGCCATGGCAATCATACACCACAGCGTTAGCGGTTGCATTTTCCTCCATCACTTATGCTGTAGTGCTAACTCTACGAGAAAGATAGCTAGATCGATGGGGAAACTATGCAAAGGCTCTTAGATCTCAGGCCTTTGTGATCAGTGCAATAGACTTACAAAAAAAAAAGCATTTCAAAATCAATAAAAATATTAACAGTTATGCCGAAATTACAAATATGCCATTTGTGTACTCAAAAAATATTTTCTGAAAAACAATAAAAAGAAACATTATTTTAAAATTAAAAATAATAAAAAAAAAAATTTTAAAATTAAGAAATAAAAAAAGTAGTTTTTCTGCTTAAAATTAATAAAAAAGCCTGTTTTTTCAATTTTTCTGTTTTAAAATAAAAAACAAATCTACCGGATGATGATTCTATTATTTTAGTTTAAAAAGGATATTACTGCCTGGTAGACTCGTTTATTTATCTAAAACAAAAAAAAATGAAAAATAGGCTTTTTTTTTTAATTTTAAGCAGAAAAATCAAAAAATTTTCTACTTTTTATGTTTTTTTTTTTCATTACAAAAAAATATTTTTGTCTTATTTTGAAAAGTAGTTTTTATTTTCTTTAAAAAATATTTTTTTGAGTACACAAGTGGCATATTTGTAAGTTGGTATAAATACCATCGAAGTTTAAACACACCTGTGTTTCCTTGTAAATCCATCAAAGAGTTCTAATGTTTATAAGTTTTGGATTATTTTTTCTTGTCGCTTAAGCCAATTCAATTGTTTACAAAACTGTTATGATTTACACTAAGAGAATTCCTTCAATCATCCCCTAGCCAATGTGTCAATATAATGTCACTTAAGGCTGTAGATGGATCCCCACTAAATGCTTTATTGCCGTATCTGAGAAAGGCGCCACAGAGTATACTCTATCTGATACAGTCATCTCATAGAAAGACATCTTCTCCTATCTCAAAATTGCTCTCAAAGCCAAAAAGAAAAAATTAGCATAAAGACTTAGTACAAGCAGGTACTAATAAAGTTCACTTAGCTATGGTATTGCTATCCTCTATTGATCCTCACAGCCTTTTTTTCTCGACTGTTTCTAGTCACTCGTATTGTCAAATGGTTTACTCTCTTGAAAGACATTCATTTCTCGGTTATTGTCTAGACTGAAATACATCTTTATCACATAATAGCACAAACTCTCGTCCTCTGTTCTTTCCAAACACCTTCCCTATCTTCCAACATCAATTTATCCTAGCTATTTTGGATAATATGAGCTTCAACATCTGAAAACAAATTTTCATCGTATGCTCAAATTACCTAATACCAAAACGCTTTTACTCTATTGCCTATTCTCCACTTCTGACTCGACTCTTTAACTATCAGCTACCTCTCTTTCTTTTCAGTTTACAAGCAAATGTCCACAAAACCACAAAATCAGCGCTTTTTCATCACATATCCTTTTGACCTTGTTTTCTTAAGTTTTTTTTAAGAGAACTTTATACATTCATTCTTATGAGCTGATTGAGTCCAAGAAACTTAAGCCCAAATTGAGTCGCATGCTCAAAAATCTCTTTTACATAAATCAATCAATATCTTCAAAAAATTTAGCAACATTAATGTCAACTCAAATTGCATGTTTGTGTGTCAAATCCACCCGTTTCTGAGCAATGATAAATTTTGCAATAAAAAAAGAGGAAATAAGAAATACATATCTTCTACTGTTTCTTGCTCATCATTGCTATTATTTGTTGTTTTTATATTTTACTAAGAAGTATTGCGGTTCTCCTCTATTCAACTACAGATCATTTTTTACTTTTGATGCAAAATTTATAGACTATCCCATGGTTCTTTCACGTAATAATCAGACCCATACCTTAGCAACTTCTGCCTCTAATACAGGCAAGAAGACAGCAACAAAAACTCATCCCTTATCTTGGTCGAAAGTTGTCTCTGGACAAGCACGTACCACTCACTCCTTCCGGCCAACCATCCTAACCCCAGTTCCAACTGCAACAGTCGAGGATACAGATGAAGACCCTTCATCGTCCACGGAACCAACAATCGAATTCATCAAACCGTACTTGAAAGGCATTGAAAAAAACTCTATTATCATCGACATTACTGACAGCAAAGATGCTCATATGTTGCGAAAGGCACTTCAAGCCTTCAATAAAGACGCTGATGAAGAAACCGGCTGCGACGACTACTGCGGTAGACTCCCTTCTACCCGTAGGTATCTTAATCGTTCATTTATTGAAACTGCATGGACAAAAGATTCACCTGGATATGAGGCCATTTTGAATACGGGCATCCGTTTGGAGGATGGAACCTTCGTTAAAGGCTTCCCTAGTTTACTTGCCGACGCAAAGATTGTTCGCCTCAAATTGGATAGACTTCACCTAAAGGCCTCTCAACGATTGAGGAAGGATATGGAAAATTGCTTGTCCGAATATGGTCGAGTATTGGACCTTGGGATTAATAGGAGCCATGGCTGTTTTACTGGTCAAGGCTATGCGACATTGAACCTTACCCCAGCCAACGCCAATGACCCTCCTTTTGAATCACTTCAACGAGTCATTCCTTGAATGTATGATGATGGAGAGATTCGCCAGGTATTACTTCAATGGAAAAATATGCCAGACTTCTGTAGACTATGTCAAGCTTCTGATCATTGCCGTGCAGACTGTCCTGACTTGAAAAAACTACCTGAAGTGTTTTAATTGTAATGAGAAAGGTCATATGATGAGACAATGTCCTCGTAGTAATACAATTGAGACGGCAGCGGCTCCTAACAAAAAGGTTAAAACCATTGTTGTTAAGGACCGTAAGACACCGGTAAATACCGCAAAACCTAAGGAAGTCACAGCATCAGAGGTTTCAAGCAAATACAAGCGTTTCCGTGGACAAAACGCAGGGGATGAGGCTAGTCAGAGTCGTCCTACCTTGACAAATATAGACAGAGAAACGATGAATTGGAATTTTTAGCAGATCCAATTCTTGAAACAACAACATTTGATTTTGACCAGCGAATAGATACGAATGATTCAGAATCAGCAACCAGTATCATACAGCTGGGAGCAGCTAGAACAACTAGCTAATGCAGGTTTTCAATTCACAGAAGCACAATTAGCCGTTATGAATTCAGTTCCGACTATGGAACTAGGACAAGGTGGTCTTAGCGACCAACTCTAAACAACTACAATATCCATTAAATATGTCCAACACATGTAAAATAAGAATTGCGACACTCAACTGTCGCAGCCTACGAAAAACCTCCAATCCCTCTCAACAAAAACTTTTTATACGATATCTTCGCTCCTTAGACATTGACATTATCGCTTTCCAAGAAACACATGCCGATAATGCTCAAATCATGAATCAATTAAATATGCAGTTTCAGACGAACTCTGTTTTATGGACTCAACATTCTGGAATTGTCTCACTCAATTCTCAATATATGCTCAAGTCAATATGCACGGATGTGGCGGGAAGATACATTCTAGCGGCTGTACACCTAGCAGAGGAAAATACGAATGATTCCTCTAGTCCTCTCCCACTCCTTTCTATTTTAAATATATATGCTCCAGCAACTCAAAGCGCTCGGATTAAAGCAACATTTTTCAACATGATGGAAGATGTAATGGTACATCTATATCTGACCAGCGAATTATACAATGCAGTCATCCTTGGAGACTTCAACTACAATATGGAAAAACGAACTTTGGATGGATCTGTCTATGGTCCACCGGCAGAATGGATATATTTGCTGCAAACTTCGTTTTATGATTGCTTTTGCAATGATAAACAGATAACATGGCAAGGTTTAAATGCGTCTTCTATCATTGATTACGTATATTGCTGTAATATATTGCAGACGAATATAGAGAGCGTTGAACAGACGTTTATTTCTCGTTCTTGGACAGATCATTCTCTGCTAGTTGTTAACTTTAACTTGAACAAAGAAAGCACTAGAGGCCCAGGTGCATGGAAGGCAAATCCAAACTTAGCGAAAAAGAAAGAGTTTAGACAACAATTAGCTGCTTTCTTGGATACACTAGTTCTGCAACTCCAGAATCAGAGAAAGCATTACACTGCTCAGAGAAATTAGGACTGGATTAAAGCTGAAGTCAAACTGTTTACCAAATCATTTCAATTGGAGACAGTCAATTGGAGAAACAAACAGATTAAACGGTTACAACGTAAACGTAACAAAATCCTTCGGCATCAGAAACATCGTGGTATAGTGGATTGGACACTACCCATAGTAGAGAAACAATTGGGAGCTTTGCAAGAGGAAGCTGCTGAAATAGACGCTCTGAGAGCGGAAAGCGTTGGCGAGAAAAGGCGAGAAAAGGCGAGAAGTCTCCAGGCTTTCTAAACAGGTTGATCAAAGTACGAACACATCAAAAATCAGTAGGCGATCTACGAGATCCTGTCAGTGGTGAACTTTGTGAAGATCAAGAGGCTAAAGAGAAAATAGTACAACAATTCTATTCTAAATTACATACTCCGGGCCCTCCCAATTACCATGCTATGAACAGATTGATTGCTAAAATTCCTAACAATGTGAAATTGAATGATAGTCAAAGAGACACCATGATGCTGAGTATTTCTATGAATGAAATATTGAAGAATCCAAGTGAACTCCAAGACAAAGTAGCCCTGGCACCGATGGTCGTCCATATGAAATTTTGAATCTTATCATGAAACATCCTAGTCTTCACACATTGATTACGGATGTATATAATGATAGTTTAGCTGGTAGTCTTCCAATGTCATGGAATGAATCATTGATGGTGTTACTACCTAAGAAAGGCAATCTATCCGACATGAAGAACTATAGACCAATCACACTGGCTAACACGGACTATAAAATCTTTACAAGGATACTAAACCGCCGTATAATGATGATTGCTCCACAATTGATTACTCAATTTCAACTGGGTTTCATACCAGGGAGATTTATCGCAGAAAATGGGTTGATAGTCCAAACCATTATGGAAGACGCACAAG